CAGGCAGGTGCACGACACTTGCAGTATCTTGACGCGCACTTCAACGTGGACGACTTGCGTGTCGGCGGTCGTCGCTGGGCCGCTGGCCAAGCTGAAGCGCCTGGGTTGGGCCCAACTTCAATGCCACGCCAGCTTCCGGTCGTCAAGAGCAGTAAAGTGAGCCGGGAGCAAGTTCAACCACATTCGCCCGTAAAGCGCCGGCAGCCCCATGACAACTAGGACTGCAACGACCTCGTTTAACGCTTCAAATTGACAGGGCCATCACTCGAAATGCAAGACGGCGGCCGTAGTCGAGAGCATGAAGAGCTTTACTTGCGCTAAAGCTCTTCAACGATGGTGCGGAATTAGGACCCCAAGCAGTTGTTTTAGCTCGTTCGGCTGTTTGGTTTGGTCGGCAATGAAACGCAAGACACACTTGCTTTTTGTATGGTGCGTATCTTTGCATTTTTAGCAGGCCGTAAACAGCCCCTCCGCGGTATGATATTCTGGTATCGGGATAAAGGGTCACACTTGTATAGGTGTACCTACGCATAATAAAAGACTCAACTGGTGGAGCTACCGCTTTATCAAAAATTATCATAGAACACAGGCGTGTACTTCAACTTACGGTACGCCGTCAAGCGCTGATCGCCCGCCAACCTTGCCATCCATGTCGATTCCCAATCTAATTGCTACACGGGCCATCGAGCTACGACTCCTCGGTGTGCGTGCTAGCCACTGGCTAGTAGCCAGATCGCCGGTTCCGTTCGTTCCCTCCGAGTCGGAGGCTCCGACACCACCACCGCATTTGGTGAGTGTCCAGCGAGCAAGCGATCGGCGTTGCTGGGTGGATCTTGCAGTCGTCTCGAGCTCGGGTCGCTTTGCTTCAAATCCTATGAGATGAGGCGCCGGCTTTTGTCCGCGGTGTCGTTCCTCGTTGCTTCAAGGCGAGCGGATACGCTTGGAGCGAAGAGATTTCGACGGACGAGCGCTGGCCCAGCACCGCTGGGTGGGGCATTGCGACGGGCAGCCCGGATGCATCACCGTCCAGCTCGTAGTGAGCAGCAATTGGTCTTGATCATCTCGGCCCGCGTGTAAACGCGACGATTATCCACGTGACACAACTTGCTGGGTATGCTGCGTCGAATTCGTGTCTTATACGGTGTCCTGGCCTCTTGCTTGCTTGGCTCGGACTGGTCTACACACTTGGCCGCGTAGGCGCGCAGCTCTTGAGTGGCAGGCAGCAAAGGGTCATTCACCGGTCCCGCCGGTTCAGGTGCAGAGTCAACGGCGGACGGCAGAAGGCTCCTTGGTCACTCGCGTACTCAGAAATATGTACCTTTGTGCGTGGGGCGTTGGTGACCGACGCCAACTTGGTCCGCTCCACTCCAGGCCACGCTGATCGCTTGCTTGCTTCTCGGTGGCATCCTCGCGGCTGAAGAAATGCTGAGATACATCCTGCGTCTCGCTTGAAGCCATCCGCTCGCTGGCCTCGAATTCTCCGCCAGCCCCACTTGGGAAAACTTCAACGCAAAGCCACCGATGCCGCCTCTGCCGCTCCAGCCGCATCATTGCCAAGCGTGTCTGGATGGAGGACCATGAAAGGTCAGTCTTGACGAATTACACAGCGGTATCCCATGTTCGCAAGAAGAGCTTGACAGCGGTCAGTCTCGAAGCACAGTACCGACCCTGGGCTCGCAGTGATTCCCCGAGATTGGGCTTGAAGCTTCTCCGACCAAGTCCTTCTGCCTCACCCGATGGCATTCGCCGCACGACAGCCAGCTCTCTTCGCTTGGCATCCCACTCAAAAGGCCGACAACAGTCTGCAATCTGCACGCGTCAAGTCCATCCACGAATCGCTGCAGTACATGTAGAACCATCTTCTGCTCCAGAAACCTGGCAGTACTAGCAGTTGATGCACAACAGTACCAACAACAACACCATCAATACACGTAGCAACAGCAACAGCGCCATGCTGGTGGTGAGTCGCTGGTGGCAACACACCTTGAACTTCCGCCCTAGCCCTATCAAATCATCGCATTAGCCAATCGAATCGCGCACGCCCCTTGCTGCAGCCGTGGATCCTTTTCGAGCCAAATGCGACTCGTGCTGTCCTCGGGCGAAGTGGTCTTCTGCCTCTGTGCCGCTGCCCTGGCGCTATACACGTGGCCGCTCTTCCTCGACGATGGCTCGGGCGCGGCCTGGGAGTTCCTCCGCATCTGGGACGACCAGGAGAACTTCCTGGACAACGACGTGATCCAGCGCGGCCTGAGTCTGGAGACCCTCTACGCCATGTTCACCATGACGCGGATCAACGTGTACGAGCCGTTCGGGTGGCTGCTCAAGGCGGTGGAAGTGCAGACCTTCGGCCTCGACTCGTGGCGCATTCGGGTCGTGACAGCCGCACTGCATTTCGGGGCGGCGTTAGTGTTGGCGCGAGCGTCGGCGATGCTGCTCGATATCCTGGCATTGCTTTCGGACATCAAGTCGGGGGCTGAGGGGGACGATGCAGCGCGAGGGCGAAGAGAGAAGAGGCATTGGCTCGGCTGTTGCATCAGTGCGACGGTGTTTGCTGTTCACCCGGTGCACGTGGAGGTCGTCGGGTGGCCGTCCGCGCAGCCGTACACGCTGTGCGCGCTCTTCAGTAACCTTGCGCTCTACGTGTACGTACAGGAAATGTATCGGAAGTTGTGTGGAGCTTCGAAAGACGTGGAAAGTGTAAACGAAATATTGGGCGTCAGCATGTTTAGCGGATATGGACGCAGTGACCTGCTCTGTTGCGGTGAGTGGGCGCTTTTGATCGGAGCTAGCGGACGGTTGTTTGCTAACTATTTCGCTATTGTTGCAGTCTTTTATCTGAGCGCACTGCTGTCAAAGAGCGCGTGCATCCTCCTGCCGGTTGGTTTCTTCCTGGTCGACGTTCTGGTGTATGCGGCTTTGCAGCCTCATTTACCCATGCCCACCACACGACAATGTTGGCTGTACATCGCTGGGAAAGCCCCTGTGGCCGCTACTCTCCTTGCATTCCTCGCTGTCATGCTGGTGTCGAATTACGAGGGAATGCACCGTGACGCCGACGTGCTGTCCTTGACACTTTACGAGCGCGTGATCAAGTCACTCACGACGCCGATTTGGGTTTTACGCCAGATCGTGTGGCCCACGAAGCTACGCCCACACTACCAACTGCGACCTGGAGAACTGAGCGTGACCAATCCAGACTACCTGCTTTCGCTGGTAGCGTTGGCATCGCTGGCGCTGTTCACTCTCTGGCTGTTCCAGCATCGACAAGCACCGCAGCACCTCCTCGCACTTGCGTACTTTGTCGTCATGGTGCTGCCAGTTTCGGGGCTTATCCAGCATGGGATGGTTTCAGCCGGGTGCGATCGATACGCTTACTTGTGTAGCACTGTTGCTGTGCCTTACGGAGGGGCAGCGCTGGCACGCTGGTTTTTCAAAACTGGGGCCAAAGTGGTGGAAGCCGAAGGATCGGCGCGTGGTAGGCGTCACGCTCAACGCCAGAAAAGCGTTTACATGGGTGCAGGTCTTGTACTCGTTGGTACGCTGCTCTCCATCTCGACAAAAATGATGGGGAACTGGCAAAATGAGGATGTTCTCTTGGAATACTCGCTTCGGTGCGATCTCCTGAATTGCATCGTTCTGACGTATTTTATCGAGCTAACACACTTGCTTTGTGTGAATAGGATGGATCCAACGGACTGGAGGATCTTAGACCAGCGTGGCACATACCTCGTCACCAACGGAAGGTGCTCGCGCGTGGATGGCGATTGCCGGCAGATCTGGGAATTGGCTTACTATTTCACCCCCATGGGGACGCTCAAGTCGACTCTCCAGCGGCTCAAGCTTCTGGTTTGGCTGGATGAGGTGGATCGGGCGTGCGAAGACTACGTCAAGTTGCTCGAGCTTCATCCGTACAGCTGCCACGTCCACAACAATGCCGGCGTGTGCCTTATCCGGAGCGGAGAACTTGATGAAGCTCGGCGAGAATTTGAGCGGGCTCTGCAAACGCCAGGGTACGAGTACGTTTACGAAACTCCCACGCTAAACTTGAAGCGCTTAGATGAATGGGCAGCTCTCAGGGAAGACGCTCGGGCTCGAGGGGCGGAGGATTCTGTTCCGCAGGTCAAAAGCCAGATAATGTTTTAGTGACTCAAAGCAAGTGGGATGATTCATACAGGTTCATACTTGTGCTATTTTCCTAAAACTTTTGCCTGAATAGGGCTTACTCTGAATAGTAGTCTTCTTCCTGGTACTGTTCCTCTTCTTCGTCCGGGTAATCCGGAGCATCTTCTTCATCCTGCTGTGCGTCTTCATAGGCGTGACGCTCATCAGTCTCTTCATCGTAAAACTGGTGCACGCGCCGGAACTGCGAGTCATTGCCGCCATCCTCATCGGCATTTTCCTCGTGGTCATGTCCATGCAAGGAGTTGGCAGCCACGATCGAGCGCTCGATTTGTTCCTGCTCCTCGTCACTTTCGCCTTCGTCGATGACTCGCACCTGTCTGTCCCGCCCTCGCGCTCGCTTCCGAGGTCTCTCAGGCACTTCGTCTTCCCTCTCGCGCGAAGATGCTACGTCTGACGTCGGCGGGTTTCCTTCGTCCGACTCGTCTTCCTGGAACCATTGGGCTCGACTCATTTTTCTAGAGCGGTTGCGAGCTATTGCTTCGTCATCTTCACCCTCTTCCTCCTTTATCGCAGCACCATGCTCATCATCGTCTTCCTCGTTTTCTCCATCATTTTCATCGTGTTCGCCTTCTCCGCCATCACTTACGTCGTCCTCCTTTTGCTCGTCTTCATCCTGTGCGCCTTCGTCGTCGTCTTCACTGTCAAGAATGTGGTTTGCATTTCGCCGACGCGGCCGAACAACCTCGTGCGACTCATTGTGTTCCTCCTCCTCTTTATAACCATCGTCTTCAGCATCATGGCCGTCTTGCTCTCCTTCTTCATCCGAAGAAAATGCCGCTTCTTCCACAACTCGAACATTGCGTCGTCCGCGCTGCACTTCTTCTTCCTCATGATCGTCCTCCTCGTGTTCGTCCGCGTGTTCGGTCTCATCGTGTCCCTGTTCACCTTCCTCATCTGATAACCCGTCTTCTTCCTGATTTTCTTCGACGAATTGGACATCACGTTCGGCTCTTCGGCCTGATCGCCGCTGTCGTCTTACTCGACGCTGCTCTCTCTCCTCATCTGCGGCTTCATCGTCACTGTAATAATCCCAGTGGCTCTCTTCGTCATCGGAAAAACGGCCAACAGGTTCCTCGTTATGCGCCGCGCCGTTTATATCATCGACAATAAACGAGTCGTCTGACTCGTTTTCTTCGTCGTAGTCGTCCTCGTTGTCGCTATCATGATGGTGTCTATGATTGCGGCGATTAGCATTTCTTGCCTCGTCGTTGATGAGGCTAACATAGTCGGCCACGGGAGTGTCCGAAATCTCGTGTGGCTCGCGCAGATGCGTAGTAATGCTCAACTTAAGGCCGTACAAGTCGTCAGAAAAGCGGAAAGTATACACGCCTAGCACGCACAAATCCATCGCAACACAAACGATTAGTAGGTGGCGGAAGCACAAGCAACAATAAAGGAGTTCTCGTACCACCCGGAACGTCTAGGCGCAAGCCCGGAAAAATCACAACTCCGCCTCTGGCGCCACGAGTTCGTTCCATCACGCAGTTTCCCTGCACGTTGCCATGCAAGCACGATATGCATATGTTACTTTTCGCCCTTACTTTCGTCGCAAAAATGTATCATCACGCACCCCTTCGTCGCAGACGCGGAGAGTGATTTCGTTGTAATACGAGCCGCACACGAATCCATCGTCATCTCCGTCTTCATTCATGAAAAACGGCATCCCGTCCGCCATTTCCTCGTCCTCCTCCATCTTGATGACGTTCACGGAGCACTCCTGGTGTTCATTGTAAAGCTCAAAAACGCTGGGGAACTCCACGATCGCCATCCCGACGCGCATATTCACATAGCCATCTTCGTTTTCATCGTTCGTGTCCAGCACAATATTCCTCGAGACGTGTAGATTACCGTCTTCCGAGTCTTCGACTTTCAGCACGGGGTACTCATCGTGCCCTTCGTGATCCTCCTCCCACCGTCCTGAAGAATTCGCGTCGTCCTCGTCATGGTCACCATGATACCTGGCAGCCTGCTCATCCAGATTGAATACCTTCCACTTGGTATCGAGTTGATCCAGTTTGCGAGTAAAATCCTCTTCCTCCTCCTGTTCGTACGAAGAAATTCTCTCGGCGACCGATGGGATAAGGAGCTGCGCCACAGCAAACCACACAGTAAGTAAACACGTAAAGTTTTTCTTGAGCACACCTCACGAATGTACGACGTACTTGAACCAGATTCCACAGTGTGACGTTGATCGGAAACATCGAAGCTAGCGAGGCGTTGGCAACAAATGGTTGCAAGATTTCGACGCGGCAAATGGGGCACTGCGCCTCCTCAATCGAGCGCGTCAAGAACGAGTCCATAAGGCACACGCGGCTGGCAGCAACGGCACAAAAAATTAAACTTCATCCGACATCAACAACCGGGCGCAAGTGCCTCGTCAACATACCAGAACGAGTGTCCGCAGATCGCAGTCACTGGCTGCTCAGAAAACACCACGAAAGCACTCATCCAAGTAAGGCACCAACCGCTTTGCTCTCAATACGCTGCAGCTGATTACCTTAAACATGGCGTACTGGCAGATGATGCACTGGAGCTCCGCCTCCAGCGTCGCCGGTGTCACGAATCCATTGGCCGCCATGAGCGCGTTCATGTTGGCTGTGGAACGCTCGCCATTGGCGATTTGGCCGGTCGACTCACCGCTCTCCAGCACCACAACGTCCGCATCTTCTTCCTCCTCCCCGTGCTTCTCCTCCTTCTCCTCGTTGTGGTGCCCATTGGAGCCCTCCACACTGCAGACGAACTGCACCTCGTCGTCCTCGCTCTCTTCCTGCTTGTGCTCCTCCTCCTGGTGCTGATCTTGCTGCTCCTCGTCCCCGTCCAGCTCCACGATCTCGTGCTCTTCATTCTCTTCTTCTTTCTCTTCTTTCTCTTCTTCTTCTTCTTCTTTCTCCTCGCACTCAGCGTCTGCGTCACGTCCACCTTCTCCTCCCTGCTCCACAAGCTCCACTTGTTCCTTTGCCTCGTCCTCTTGGGCGCCGCCGCCCTCCATCGCCATCAGATTTGTTTCAGCTTCAAAAATACCCTTTCGCGCCAAAAATATTAAAATTACAGTAAGGAAGTGTAAAATTACATTTTAGGGTTTTGGAAGTTGAAGTGGTTTGGTACAACCAGCATTGTTGCCGTCGACGATGCAAAGACCACAACTCGTGGGGGGATAGACTACACTATGTACTGGTACTGGGACTTGAAGAGATGGTCTCGCCAGCGCACAGGACCTACTGCTGCGGGCTGACGGGCTGACTTTCGAGCGATTCGATGGCGTAGCGGATGAGGTAGACCCAGCTCTCGACCTCCTCTTCGCTCTCGACGCCGATGACGACGGAGCGGCGCTGATCCTTGAGGAGTTTGCCCTTCTTGGTCCACTCAGAGATCTCGACCTGGAAGCAGTTGACCTTCAACGCCATCTCCGGGTCGCACGCGCAGACCTTAGCGCCCTTGAGGGAAAGGATCGTGCTGTGCTTCGTGCCTTGCTTCAGCGGTGCAGAGTCGTTCGCGTTCCCAATGGGATCGCCTTCGTACTTTTGAAGCAGCAAGCGGGCGTTCTGCAGGACGGCGTAGCGGTTCTTCCACTGCCGAGCGTTCTTGAGACCCTTGAGCTTCAGGTGCGAGAACATGCTGCAGTACTTCTTGACAAGTACGCGACCAGCCTTCAGGCGCGTGAACGTCGGCAGCGCGTAAAAAGTGTTGCTCGACGTGAACAACGAAACGGTGGAGGCGTAGTTTGGACTAACCACCGGTGACAGTTCGTCGTCGTACTCGCTCTCGTGCCGCTGCTGCGTCGTGGACGATTCGGGCGATGAATCCGACGACCCAGTGTTTGTATTGCTCGAGAGGGCCGCGTAATGAGATCGATCGGCTCCAAAAACTTCGATGCTTGAGTGCGAATTGCGCCGACGCTGCCGTCTCGCGTCACTCAACACGGGAGATCGCGAGTTGCCCATACCCGCGCCGGTTGGAGTGAGTGCGCGGCGCACGAAACCACCACCATCAACAGAAGTCGAGACATTCAACTGCACCGGGCGAGAAAGACTCTCGTTGGCCTTGGCGAAGAACTTGTGACGTAGCTCCTTTTGCTGCTGCTCACGGAAATCGGCAATGCGGGAGTTGAGCTTGTCCAGCTGACCTCGTAGCATTTGCTCCCGGATGACACCGCACATGAATCCGTGATTGAACTCGAACTTGACCTTCAAGTGGCTGCTTGGTGGCGCTGTTTGTCTTGTCATGAGGATAGCTCCAGTAGTCCCTGGGGAATGGGTGGACGCCGCGGGAACACCACCGATGAACGTGTCGATTCGGCGGATCATTGCCAACTGCTCCAGGTCTTCGAGATCTTGGACGAATCGTGAAAGGTGTGCCTCAATAGGGCACGTGCCGCGGAGTGTATCCTTATCAAACACGGGTCCAATAGCACTGGCTGTCTTCATGAGCATTCGCTGCGAGACCGTTAACTGGTCAAGCATGGTAGTTAGCACGCTCTTCACGGTTCGAGGCGGTCGTAGCGCGATGCGGTTGGTCAACATCTGAGCACCAGACACAGGGGGAGATTTTGACGACGCTGATACCGATACTGCTTGGTCTCCAACATTTCCAGACTGAAACATGGAGCGAAATCGACCTTTGGGGCGCAGCCGCTTGTCGTTCAGGGTACCAACAGTGGCTCCGATGCCATGAGATGAACCACTGGGTCGACGGGATGATGCGAGATTGTAGCAGGTGCGGCAGTGGCGAACGGGCTCGGTAGACTTGCCCGGAAGCTTAATATGACACGCCTTCGGGGTACATTCCGCGCAAAAGATGTATCCACAGCACTTGCATTGGTGCTTGGTTTTCTTAGCTGTCTCTTCGTCCGCGTCCTTGTCCTTGTCTTTTTCTTTCTTGAAGCTGACATGGCAAGCAAAGCAAAACTGCGCCTTTGACTTGTCGCCCCAAGATTCCTGCACGTGCAGCTCGCATTTGCGAATGCCCCTCTTTTCGTCCACCTGGATCACTTGCTGCTCCTGCATCTCGGCGATGATTTCATGCAGAAAGAGGGGGTTTCCTTGGGACCGCGATACGAGAATTGCCAAGAGGTTGCTAGGAATCGCCGGCACTTTCAGAATCTGTCGTGAAAGCACCTCAATCTCATCGCTGCTGAATATTTCGAGGGATGTATGCGTTGACGACTTCATGCGCTTCAGCAGGCGCAACTGCTTGCGGAACGAGGAGCTTTCCGTGTTCTCACCCAGAGCCAAGCTGGGTGGTCTCGTGCCAACGACGATCAAACAATTGGTGAAGTATTTTGCGATGATAGCAACCAAGGTCCACGACTTTTCGTCCATGTGCATGGCGCTATCGAGGCAGAACACGGTGGCACGTTCACGTGACATGGCATACAGAGCACACAGAAGCAGAATACCACTGAGATCGAGATTCACCGGCCTCCACTCACTTTCTTCGTCTTGCTCGTCGACCGTCTCCTGCATAGTGTACGCACAAGTAGAATCACCCAACGACGCCCGAGCCTCTTCTTTCTGGGCTAGATCCATCTCGAGGAGCCCGAGGAACCACGCTGCGATCTCCTCTTCCTTCACGTTTAGTTTCCGATCGGGACTCTCAGCAAAGGCGTACCCGCAAGCGCGCATCTCTTCTTCGTTTTGTTTTTGATTCTCCTCCGTCGTTTCCTCATCGCTCTGGTTGGTACATTCCTGATTTGCAGACTCGCTCTTGTTGTCTTCGTCAGGGACGGTGATACTTCGTAGACCTTCAGCTACGTCAGGGTAAGCGTCGAAGTCCGTGTCCAGGATCGTATTCAACAGAGGTGCGTATCGAACCAGCGTCGTGTTGGGAGCGGCCCCCTCGCAAATCTTCTGCCTCACAAATTGCGCCACGCACTTGCGGCGCTCCGCTTCAGCCACTCTGCTTGGTGCTTGAACGACAGGGTTTGAGGCTGATGTGTTCGCAACGTCTGGAGAAAGGGGAGGCGCGGGCTCGGCGTTTACATGGATATTGGCCCCCGACATATCTCTCGCGCCTCTGGTAATGAGCTCCGACCAAATCGCGTACGGCTTCTTCGTGGAGAACGGACTAGCAGTGCCGACCAGCACCTGGTAGTCTCCAGCTTCGGGACTCGCAAGGGCCGATCGAAGTACCACCGTTTTTCCAACACCGATATCACCTTCGAGAATAAAAGCCCCGCAAGGAGCAAACGGATTGAGATGTGAGCACTTGTCCAGAAGTGCTGTGCGAACCTCCATGAAGCTTTCAGTCTCAACGAGTTCTTCAGCTGGTAGACGTTGGCGATCAGCACGTAATGACATTCTTCGCTGGGCATCTCGCACCTGCACACGGTGCATGTTCTCCATCAAGTTCTGCATCGGCGCAGCACGGCTAACAACAGACAACGCGTTAGCTCGTCCAGTACGCCCCACAATTCCGCCCGCGGGTCTTACAGAATTGAACTTGGTCTTCCGCGAGGATTGCTGGATAGCTGACGATAGGTGATAGTCCAACAGAATCGACATTCGTGGGTATGGTCGGTGAATCTTGATGCTTTCGTTCTTGCCCTTGACCATAATCTCCGGACGCATCTCGAAATGCAGCACGTCCTGCGTGTAGATCTTTGTCGGGGCATCTGTGATCACACCACCACCTTCCGATTTCGCGCGCTGCATGAGGCGGGCCGAAAGATTTACAATGTCGCCCAGCACGGTGTACTCTCGCCGGTTGCCTTGGTGACCAACAACTCCGCATAATGCTGTTCCCGTCGTGATGCCAACCGAGGCCTTGAGCCCAGTGTTTCCAAGAGCGGCGCAGATGGCGAGAGAAGCCAAGATGCCTCGAATAGGGTCGTTTTCGTGGGTCACTGGAGGCAAACCAAAGGCGGCGATAACAGTGCTGCCCTTGTCGTCCACAAGAAACTTGTTTATGGTGCCTTCATAGTCGTACACGCACTTTTGGACGTTGGCAAACGCGTCATGCAGACGCTGCAGCTCTTTTGCTCCGAGCATTTGGGATAGATCTTGTTCACTGATCGTAATCATCAACAGCAACATGTGAGTGAGCCTTCATCATATCGATAACCCGTGAGCACAGGCGTACCTGAAGCCGAGGTTAATAAATAACACAGTGACGTCTCGCAGTTCGGAGCCCCAGAACTCGTCGTGTGCATCCAAGTAGGGCCACACAGCCCGAGAAACGTATTGTTTCATGCGCGTGTGGAGAAGTGCATCGTGACGCGTGAAAGATGGCCGCCGTGAACAGATCTTGATCGGCTTGTTCACTCCTGTGACCTTGTGGAACCCGCTGCCATGGGCGATCTCGTCACCATGGCCTTGAACAGGTGCGCCATCGAAAAACTCACTAACACGCTTCCAACATTCACTGGAGCAAATCACATCTCCGGCCTCAGCGTTGTGCTCTGCACTGAAGGCCTGCTCCAAGGCTGGCCCCACCGCAACATACTCAATGCGAGTAGTGGCCCCATCGCTCTCGCCTCCAAGGTGCGCGATCGTGGCCTCGCCGATCCCCACTCCGACCTTGACGCTCAGCACGACACCACGGGCCAGCTCTGCCTCATGCAGGTGCGACTGAATGCGCAGTGCACACTGCAACGCACGACGCAGCAAGCTGTCCATGGTGTCCTCCTTGCTCTCCGGCCAGAAGATGAGCATGGCATCTCCAGCAAACTTAAACACGTCTCCGCCGGCGCTGGACACGAGGCGCAGCAGCTGCTCGAAGTACGAGTTCAGGTGCTTGGCCAGGTCCTCCGCGCCTACCGGTCCGCGCGCAGCCAGCGACTCGGTCATGGCTGTGAAGCCCGACACGTCCGCGAACATGCTGACCACCATGGTGCGGTGGGTCGTGGGCATGGGCAGCGGCCGCTGCAGGTCCTGCCGCTCGAGGTGCCGCCGCACCACAGCCGGAACGTAGGCCGTGAGGCGCATGTCCAGCTCCTTGCGCAGCATGCCCGAGCTCGCGCGGTCACGCGCGGCCCTGTGCGCCTGCGGTTGCTCACTCTGCTGCTGCTCCACCATCGCCCGCTGCTCGCTCTGCTGGCAGATCGCTCTGTGTGAAGTGTGTAGTATGCGTGTGCGCCGTTAAAAATATCGGTCGCTGAGCCTTTCTCCTTTCCTCCTCCTCCTTCTAGCTCGTGGGTGGGTGGGTGGCGTGTGCGCACTCGGCCTCCAAATAGCAAGTGGCGTTACGGGGCGCGCTGGAAACGGTTGAAGTGACCATCACTCCGATTGCTACAGTAGTGGCCGGTTGGCTTTCCATGGAAGCGAGCTGTCGCAATGGGCCTTGCTTGCCCCGTGACCGCCGACGTGTTGAGGGGGGCAACTCGGGTAATGGGGTTCGACGGCACGACGGTCAGTGCGCCGCTGGCTCCGGCGCCGCCATTTCGACGTGCGTGCAATAGTTTGGAACTTCAACGGCCCGGACGTAGATGAAGCTAGCGCGCTCAAGAGCAGAGCTGGAAAAACCGGTTTTTGGGTGTAGGTTTAAACTGATTTTACTGGGTTAAACCAGACATCGTCCACTGTCATACTCACTCTGATGTATCACCCTCTTCACCCCAACGCATATATAAGGTGATTACCTTATTGCCGCTTGCAAATACTTTGCCCTCTAAAATAGACCTCTAGAATAGACCACGCCTGTCTCTTAATATGAGTGGACACGAGATAGGCGAGGGATGATTTAGCTTTATGCTTTGGTGGGGGCCGCTTTTAGGCCTAGAAACTCGGTTTGGCCCGTCTAGAATGACATTTCTGCGTTTCCAAGTCGTAGCAAAGCGTGAAACAGACCCCAACCTTGCATCTTAGACCTGTACTGGCGAGATATATAAATCAGACCTAGGTCTCAATTAAGAGCTTGCTAGACTAAAATCGAGATTATTAACGAGATAATAAGCATGCGTTGGCCAAAATATCTGCAAACGGCAATACTACTTAATATGTTGTTGTTCGTTCCGATGTGCATCACTGATGCAGCATCCGTTTCTTTAGGCCCGATACGCATGCACGGGTTCGCCTTGGCTAGTCGTCATCGTCACTTCTATTATGTACGACGAACCCGTATGCATCGTTGCTAATGCACTAGCGTCGACTTTGCAAGCCTCGATAAAGGTGCTCGTTGTCGCATCGAGGCGCACGCACAACTCATGAATGCCTTTGCCAAATGCAATGGATGCACGCACAGAATGCAATTATTGCTGATTGTGTTCATGGCTGACAGATTTCAATTGAAAATCACCAATTTTCCCCCATATTCCTCTTCATCCAGATTAAGACACAGGTGCGGATGCATCGCTTTAGCCCTGTTCTTCGTTGCTGGTTAAAGCTTCTTTTGACTGATAACACAGTGGCAGCGTCATTCAATCATAAGTCAGGGGCCTCTGGCGTTCTCCCACACAGGGCCAGTATGCCCTGTGTGGGAATGGTTACAACCCCACGTCGATCGTAATAAGCCAAACTCAGCTAAAACACGCCCCGCCGCAATATATCTATGTAATATACCAGCATCCTGTGCAGAAGCAACGAGGAAAGTCGCAGTAAGTAGTAACTATGATGAAGTTGAACCTAAAACCCAGCAAAATTCGATTGGTAGGTTTTTGAGTTTAAACCAGGGAAAAACCTAATGGTGAAACCCAAATTGCCAGCTCTGCTCAAGAGGTGTCTGCGACGTGTGCACACTTGGAAATCGGCTGTGCAAACCTTCAGACCCGATGGCCTATCGCTGTAGACGGGCAAAGAGTTCGGACCGGAAAAGATCCACTTGAGTTCAGCCCCGCGCAGCCATACAACGCGGCGCCGATGCGTCAAGTCAAACCAGCACCGTAGGGCGCAGGCGTCTCAGGCCGCATGGTTGCACGGCGGAACGGCGGCAACACCACCCGCCAGATTGCAGCTCCATGGCCATGGCCAGAGCCACAACCACCACGCCGAGCGCTTTGTTCGATATAAAGTTGGCTGCTGCTTTTCGCGTAGAGCACTCGCGCGTATGGAGACTGGGAAGGTTCTCGTCGATGGCCTGTATCACTTTCATGGAATCCTGGCGCTTGGCGGCGACGGGAGCAGCTCCGCCCACATCAGGGCTGCGGCTGTTGCCTTAAACCTCCAGCTGCAAAGCAGGACGAGTTGAAGCTGCATTGATGATTTCCGGGGTTTGCTATTGTATTTCCTTGTTTTTAAAGTTATCGTGGCGCCACGCGGCGATCTCGTCCTTGGTCTGCTGCGAGGTGCCGACGTGCTCGTGCTCGTAGCCGAAGCGAAGGCGGCAGCCTTCTACGCCGCAGTCGAAGCCCTCGCGCTCCGTCTCATCCTCGTCCGCAGCCTTCCTACTGCCCGCTTTACTCCGAGCCTTCTGCGAAGCTTGACGCTCACTGGTCAGCACGCTGCACTTGGTGAGCCACGGCAGGAAGCGGGCCTCCCAGAGCACCTCCAGCTCCGTAACCAGCGCCTTTGGGTCCAGCGCGATGGAATCCACACGCTCGCCTCGGCGGAACGCCGCCAACGACGGCACCGAAGGTAGCCGAAGCTGCCGCAGCGCGTCGTCATCGCGCGTCGCCATCACTACGTAGAACTTTGTACCCAGGAAGCGCTGCGCCACGGCGGACATCTCACCGCGCATGGCACGCAAGAACCCTGGCGACTCAGCTGCGGCGCTGTCCACCACGAGCGCCACGCGAGGCACCTCCGGTTCGTTCTGCAGCTCCTGCACAAACTGCGCCAGCGCCGCATCCAGCACTACTCCATATCCTTCGGCAGCGTCCTGCGCCGCCTTGTGCAGCTGCTGCTCGAACTGCTTGCGTCGTGCCGCCAGCATTGCCTCCACGCCAAACTCGTCGTCGCTGTCGTCGAAGTCGTCGGAATCCTCAGAGTCCGAGGCGGACACGCGCGGCGGCGGGACCTGAAGCGCGACCACCGAGGGATGCAGCACCGCAGCGCCTGGCGGCGGCGGCTGGAACAGTTGCTGGCGCATCCGCACAGCGCCCGACGTTCGGTCGTGCGCCGTCAGCACGGCCTTGAGCTTCATGGCCTTCTTGTACTCGTGCTCGTCGCGCTCGCAACACGAAGCCAGCGTCGGATCGAACGCCAGGCCCAGCTCGTCGAGGTCGTCTTCGTGGCCCTCCGTGTGCGCGTGGCTGTGCGCGTGGCCTTCATGGCCGCAAGCCGCGTGCTCGGCCGCCGTCGCCATCACTTCCGCGATCGAGTTGGGGAAATGACTTCGCTGCTTGAGTTGCCTGGCGTGTGAAGCACGCCATGCGCAACTTTGCGTCAGCCGTAATCGGGTGCGAAAAGGCACTTCCCGAATACAAACAAAAGCCACCTTCCTTTAGTGTATCGCTTTATAGATTCTAGAACCTTCGCAAAACAGTGTTTCTATCGCGCGGGAGCTTAGTGCTATTTATTCCACATCCAGCACTGCGATTGGCTTAGACATCAGAACCGGATTGGCAAAAAAAGGGTGCGGCGGCCCTGGCCCAGTCATCGCGTTTCGTCCACGAAATCCGCTGGTGGCCTCACACTCGAACGGGCCTCGGTCAACCGACGAGATCCGCGTCTCTGTGTGTGTGTGTGGCTCGGTGCTAGGCGCAAAGTGCTCGGTGCTCCATGCAGGCGTCTTCGTTGACCACGGCGCGTGTGGCGCGCTCCGCGTTGCGCCGCGCTTCCAGCGGCCTGCAGCGTCGCAGCCGCATGCAGCGAGGCGCGCTGGCCCTGCTGGCGCGCTCCAAGAGCTCGCTGGCGCCCGAGGCGGCCATGGCCGAGGCCGCGGCCGCCGACTCGGAGCTGGCCAACGACGACTTTGAGACGCCGCGCCGCCTCGCGGAGGCCGACTGGGCCATCCGCGCTCAGCAGCTGATCCCTCGCGCCACGATGGAGAAGCCGTACGAGCTCGCGCCGCTGACGCTCGGCCTTGAAGAACTTCTCGGCAAGACGGAGGAGGAGCTGGCCAACCCCGGCGAGGTGGCCAAGAGCGCGCGCTCCTACATTTCCGACGAAGACGTGGACAAGTGGCTGGAGGGCTTCACCATTCCCAAGGACCAACTGGCCAGGTGCTCCACGCCCGAGGAGGTCCAGGAGATGCGCCGACGTTACGCGCGCCAGATGCGTCTCGAGTGCTCCGTGTACGAGATGGCCATGGACAAGTACTCGAACTCGCACGAGAAGGTGCGCGCTCTGGGTCGCACCTCCAACACCAACGCGGCGCAGGACCTGATCCGCAAGTGGATGCCGCAGACGGAGAACTACATTAAAGCAGAACAGGCCAAGATCGGCTGCGGCAAGCACAGCACTGACAGCAACATATACGGTCCGGCGCTGTTGCTCGTGCCGTCCGATGTGCTGGCCGCCACGGGCATGAACATCATGCTGAACACGTGTCTGATGGAGCCCAAGGGACCCAAGTTTATCAAGCTGGCTCTTGCTATGGGCAAGGCTGTGCAGGAAGAGGTCATCTCGAGGAAAGAGGCGTCGGCCAAGCGTCATAAGGGTGACGATGACAAGTTCTCAGTGGCTATGAAGAAGAAGGCCAAGCAGGCCTCCGTGGAAACCCGCATGCAGGAATACATCGACAATGTGGGTGCCTGGGACAAGCGCCTGCAGCTCAAGGTTGGAGCCGCGCTGGTCGACTGCATTCAACGCACGTGTTATGTCCCTAATGAGCAGGGCGAGGTCTCGACGCCAGAGCTATGCGCGGCCAAGGGCCTCCCCCCTCCGGAGCCGGCCTTCATCCACAACTACGTGTTCGATCGCAACCGTCGCGCGGGTGTGATCCAGATCCACCAGAAAATGGCCGACACCGTCTTGGCCACAAACCCTGACGCTAATGTCTTGCCGTGGACAGCGCGCTATCTGCCGATGCTTGTGCCTCCTCGCCCGTGGACTGATGTCGTGAATGGTGGCTACCTGAAGCTGCGCACCAAAATTATGCGACAGCGTGACTCGGCGTGGCAAATGGACTGTGTGCAGCGTGGTAAGATGGACGGCATTTTGAAGGCTCTGAACCTCATGGCTGAAGTGCCATGGGTTATCAACAAGGAAGTGCTGGAAGTGGTGCTCAAGATTTGGGAAGATGGTGGCAACTTCGGCGATCTCCCTACGCGCACTGACGTTCCGCTGCCGGACCCCGACAGCCCCGAGTTTGCTGACGACCCGGCACTCTACCACAGGAATGTTCGCAAGGTAAGCATTGGACGCTGTTTTTGTTCTGCATGTATCGACGCAACAGAATCAAGCCCACATGATGACATCCTACGTCATGTGGGTTCAAACTGATTGCAAAAGCAAGCGGTTGCTGCTTGGAGGCTGTTGGGTATTTGCATCCCTTGAGTCATCCGAGAGGCTCCAAAATTGGAGCTTCGTGACTCACATACATGATTCAAAAGTTTATGCGCGCGGCAGCAAGGTGCTAACGAGCTATTGTATTTTATTCGTTAACCTACAGATCGAGCAACTGAACAGGGAGTTCCACTCGCTGCGATGCGATACGCTGTACAAGTTGCAGGTCGCTGAGGAGTTCAAGGATGAACCTGAGCTGTACTACCCGTACAACATGGACTTCCGTGGACGCGTGTACCCGATCCCGCCGAACCTGAATCACCTGGGCTCCGATCTTTCGCGCAGTTTGCTCATCTTCCGTGACCGTAAGCCACTTGGTGAGCGCGGTCTGAGATGGATGAAGATCCATTTGGCCAACGTCTTTGGTGTCGACAAGTGCTCGTTCGATGAGCGTGTCGAGTTTGCTGACGCGAACCTGGATAAGGTCGTGGCCTCTGCGAGCAACCCGCTTGGCGAGGGCGATTGTGCGTGGTGGAAGGGGGCCGACTACCCCTTCTTGGCTCTGGGCGTGTGCTTTGAGCTCAGACGTGCAATTGAGTCCCCCGACCCGACGAAGTACATGTCCAACATCCCCATTCACCAGGACGGCTCATGCAATGGCCTTCAGCACTATGCTGCTCTAGGTCGTGACTACAGCGGTGGATCCCAGGTGAACCTGGTGCCAGCGCCGCGTCCGAGCGATGTGTACATGGGAGTGGCCACGGAGGTGATGGCCAAGGTGGAGAACGATGCCGCGCTGGGTGTGCCATCGGTTGAAGAGGTGCGCGCAATGCTTGCTGGTGTGCCAGATGACGACACTGCTGAGACGAAGGCGCGCAGGATAAAGCTCCGCACTCTGCTTGACCAGGCGCAGAGGAAGAAGTGCGCCCAGTTCTTGAATGGTATCATTACGCGCAAGGTGGTGAAGCAGACGGTGATGACGAGCGTGTACGGCGTGACGTACATCGGCGCGCGTAAGCAGATCTCGGCGCGTCTGCACGAGACGTTCCTGACCAAGGGCCACATTATGGATGAGAAGCTGGAGGACGAAATCTACCATGCTTCTTGCTACTGCGCCGAGTTGACGATGGGCTCGATGGGTGACTTGTTCAACTCCGCGCGTGGCATCATGGCGTGGCTTGCCAAGTGCGCTGGCAAGGCGGGTTTGAGTGGCCAGCCGATGTCGTGGATCACGCCGCTGGGTTTGCCGGTGGTGCAGCCCTACCGCAGCAAGTCCACGAAGCAGGTGCGCACCAAGGTGCAGCACGTGCTCATGGTGGACAACGATGGCCAGCCGGTGAGCATTGGCCGTCAAAAGTCCGCTTTCCCGCCCAACTTCGTCCACTCGCTAGACTCGACACACATGATGCTCACAGCGCGTCGCTGCCTCGAGGACGAGAAGATCTCGTTCGCGGCCGTGCACGACAGTTACTGGACGCACGCGTGCTCCGTGGACATTATGAACCGCCGGCTGCGCGAGGAATTCGTGCACTTGTACGAGCAGCCGCTGCTCGAGGACCTGCTCACGGAGCTGCGTCTGCGCTTCCCCGACATGGACTTCGAGGACGTGCCGCAGCTGGGCGACCTGGACCTCCGCAGCGTGCTCGACAGTCCCTACTTCTTCAACTAAGTTCTCCTTCTCTTTTCGCAAGGGCTGGCCAAGTAGTAGCTATTTTATCACCCCTCGCTCGATCCGGGGGTTTGTCTAGAGTGTAACAAAGTTCAATCACAGAGCCGAGCTTGACCTACTACGACGTACTGCTTCTAGAATTGCTATGCAGCTGCCTACCGGCCATGCGATTGGAAGCTCTTCAATTTTATGAAGAGTTCCCTCGTACATCCCTGCTCGGTGCAAGTCCTGGCAGTGCCAGGACTCCTGCTAGGTTGCGAGAGTGCGGAAACACTTCGATTGCCGCGCTTAACACGGCTGTGCTGCTCATCGTTGGCCTTCTTGCTTGAGCGTGGTTGAAGTTGGGGGTATCGGACTACTACCGAAACCAAGTGGCATGTTGAAGCTGTCAATCAGCGTAGTGAATCCACACAGCACTTGTAAGCGTTGACACTGGTGCGACGGACCTTGTAAGGCAGCAGTGCTTGCATCATGGCGTGAACGAGTTGGACGTTGAAGCGCGACTAGAGCTCGCGCACGTTGAAGAGCAGCCGTGTACGCGGCAGCTTCAACCGCTTGATACCTTCCTAGCTTTTGGACTCATTCCCCAATTCTCCACGAGCTACTCGCATCTCCTCAAGCCTCCACTCTCACCGCCATGCTGCGCATCGTGTCTCGCTTCAACCAGCCCGCGCGCCGCGTCGTGCAGACCTCGGCCAAGTCGCTCGCCGGCGCGCACAACATGCAGTGCCGCTGCGGCAACTGCGTCCAGCACCCCATGGGCTGCACGTGCCCTCGCTGCCAGTCGCGCTCTTTCTCGGTCAAGTCTCAGTCGCACTACGACATCCCCAAGACGCAGACGGCCGTGATCTTCGACAAGCTCAATGGCCCGCTGCAGGTCCGCAAGGACTGGCCGGTGACGCAGCAGAAGGAACTCAAGCCTGGCGAGGTGCTGGTGCGCTTGGCGTACTCGGGCGTGTGCCACTCGGACCTGCACATCTGGAAGGGGGACTTCCCTCTCGACCCCAAGCTGCCCTGTGTCGGTGGCCACGAAGGTGCCGGCTACGTCGCTGCCATCGGCGACCACACGCGCTCGCACCTCAAGATCGGAGACGCAGTGGGCGTCAAGTGGATCGCCAACTCGTGTCTCGGCTGCGAGGACTGCCGCAAGGGCTACGAGCACACGTGCACCGAGGTGGACCAGCACGGCTTCACTGTAGACGGCTCGTTCCAGCAGTGGTGCGTCTCGTTCGCCGACCACGTGACTCCGATCCCTCAAGCTCTGCCCTTGGCGGCTGCTGCTCCCATTCTGTGTGCCGGTGTGACGGTGTACAAGGCCTTGAAGGAAATTAACGGGGTTTGCGGCGACTCGGTAGTGATCCCGGGCGCTGGTGGTGGTCTGGGCCACTACGCTTGCCAGTACGCGCGTGCCATGGGCTACCGCGTGATCGCCATCGACACCGGCGCCGACAAGCACAAGCTCATCGAGTCGTACGGCATCAAGGACTTCATCGACTTCAAGGACGGCAACGTCCGTGACAAGGTGCTGGCTGCCACCGACGGCCGAGGCGCGCACGCGACGGTGGTGGTGGCGTCCAACCCCGAGGCGTATGACGACGCGCTTTCGTTCGTGCGTCCGCACGGCGCGGTTGTGATGGTGGGGCTGCCCAAGGACGCCAAAGTCACCGCCGACGTCTTCGGCTCGGTGCTGAACGCGCACCGCATCATCGGCTCGTACGTGGGCAACCGCCAGGACTCGATCGAGGCGCTGAAGGTGGCTGCGGGAGGTGATGTGTCCACGAACTACTCCATCGAGAAGCTGGACAATCTTCCCAGCGTGTTCGAGCGCATGGAGGCCGGCAAACTGGCCGGCCGAGTCGTGCTCGACTGCGCGTAAGCTATGACTTTGCTTCACGTCGTCACTGGTACCGGTGATATTGTTGTCTGTATGGTGAAAGCTGAGGAAGTTGAAACATGAGTGCTTTCAATGAGCTTCTAGTTGTTGTTTACTTACTGTGTCTAGAATAGTATCTGGCTTTTGACCTGCGGAACAGAATCCTCCGCCCCTCGAGCCCGAGCGTCTTCTCTGAGAGCTGCCCATTCATCTAAGCGCTTCAAGTTTAGCGTGGGAGTTTCGTAAACGTACTCGTACCCTGGCGTTTGCAGAGCCCGCTCAAATTCTCGCCGAGCTTCATCAAGTTCTCCGCTCCGGATAAGGCACACGCCGGCATTGTTGTGGACGTGGCAGCTGTACGGATGAAGCTCGAGCAACTTGACGTAGTCTTCGCACGCCCGATCCACCTCATCCAGCCAAACCAGAAGCTTGAGCCGCTGGAGAGTCGACTTGAGCGTCCCCATGGGGGTGAAATAGTAAGCCAATTCCCAGATCTGCCGGCAATCGCCATCCACGCGCGAGCACCTTCCGTTGGTGACGAGGTATGTGCCACGCTGGTCTAAGATCCTCCAGTCCGTTGGATCCATCCTATTCACACAAAGCAAGTGTGTTAGCTCGATAAAATACGTCAGAACGATGCAATTCAGGAGATCGCACCGAAGCGAGTATTCCAAGAGAACATCCTCATTTTGCCAGTTCCCCATCATTTTTGTCGAGATGGAGAGCAGCGTACCAACGAGTACAAGACCTGCACCCATGTAAACGCTTTTCTGGCGTTGAGCGTGACGCCTACCACGCGCCGATCCTTCGGCTTCCACCACTTTGGCCCCAGTTTTGAAAAACCAGCGTGCCAGCGCTGCCCCTCCGTAAGGCACAGCAACAGTGCTACACAAGTAAGCGTATCGATCGCACCCGGCTGAAACCATCCCATGCTGGATAAGCCCCGAAACTGGCAGCACCATGACGACAAAGTACGCAAGTGCGAGGAGGTGCTGCGGTGCTTGTCGATGCTGGAACAGCCAGAGAGTGAACAGCGCCAGCGATGCCAACGCTACCAGCGAAAGCAGGTAGTCTGGATTGGTCACGCTCAGTTCTCCAGGTCGCAGTTGGTAGTGTGGGCGTAGCTTCGTGGGCCACACGATCTGGCGTAAAACCCAAATCGGCGTCGTGAGTGACTTGATCACGCGCTCGTAAAGTGTCAAGGACAGCACGTCGGCGTCACGGTGCATTCCCTCGTAATTCGACACCAGCATGACAGCGAGGAATGCAAGGAGAGTAGCGGCCACAGGGGCTTTCCCAGCGATGTACAGCCAACATTGTCGTGTGGTGGGCATGGGTAAATGAGGCTGCAAAGCCGCATACACCAGAACGTCGACCAGGAAGAAACCAACCGGCAGGAGGATGCACGCGCTCTTTGACAGCAGTGCGCTCAGATAAAAGACTGCAACAATAGCGAAATAGTTAGCAAACAACCGTCCGCTAGCTCCGATCAAAAGCGCCCACTCACCGCAACAGAGCAGGTCACTGCGTCCATATCCGCTAAACATGCTGACGCCCAATATTTCGTTTACACTTTCCACGTCTTTCGAAGCTCCACACAACTTCCGATACATTTCCTGTACGTACACGTAGAGCGCAAGGTTACTGAAGAGCGCGCACAGCGTGTACGGCTGCGCGGACGGCCACCCGACGACCTCCACGTGCACCGGGTGAACAGCAAACACCGTCGCACTGATGCAACAGCCGAGCCAATGCCTCTTCTCTCTTCGCCCTCGCGCTGCATCGTCCCCCTCAGCCCCCGACTTGATGTCCGAAAGCAATGCCAGGATATCGAGCAGCATCGCCGACGCTCGCGCCAACACTAACGCCGCCCCGAAATGCAGTGCGGCTGTCACGACCCGAATGCGCCACGAGTCGAGGCCGAAGGTCTGCACTTCCACCGCCTTGAGCAGCCACCCGAACGGCTCGTACACGTTGATCCGCGTCATGGTGAACATGGCGTAGAGGGTCTCCAGACTCAGGCCGCGCTGGATCACGTCGTTGTCCAGGAAGTTCTCCTGGTCGTCCCAGATGCGGAGGAACTCCCAGGCGGCGCCCGAGCCATCGCCGAGGAAGAGCGGCCACGTGTATAGCGCCAGGGCAGCGGCACAGAGGCAGAAGACCACTTCGCCCGAGGACAGCACGAGTCGCATTTGGCTCGAAAAGGATCCACGGCTGCAGCAAGGGGCGTGCGCGATTCGATTGGCTAATGCGATGATTTGATAGGGCTAGGGCGGAAGTTCAAGGTGTGTTGCCACCAGCGACTCACCACCAGCATGGCGCTGTTGCTGTTGCTACGTGTATTGATGGTGTTGTTGTTGGTACTGTTGTGCATCAACTGCTAGTACTGCCAGGTTTCTGGAGCAGAAGATGGTTCTACATGTACTGCAGCGATTCGTGGATGGACTTGACGCGTGCAGATTGCAGACTGTTGTCGGCCTTTTGAGTGGGATGCCAAGCGAAGAGAGCTGGCTGTCGTGCGGCGAATGCCATCGCGTGAGGCAGAAGGACTTGGTCGGAGAAGCTTCAAGCCCATCTCGGGGAATCACTGCGAGCCCAGGGTCGGTACTGTGCTTCGAGACTGACTAAGCTCCTCTTGCGTGGGATACCGGTGTTATTCATATGCCAGTGCAGAGGATTTCATTGCAGACCGACCCCTCGTTTCGCTGTCAACGGTACGCTGTATCTAGTACTGTTGTTATCCAGGCAGTAGTTAAAACCTTTGGGAGGTTGCGTACGATGGCAGGCTAAGCCTGCTCGAGTGCACGAGGGCGTTGCCGTTTCGGTCGACAACTCAATTATTTCCGATACGATTTAAAATAATTTGCAGAATATCAAAAACATTTATTGCATAAAATCTGGGAGATCAGACCGGAATCGTGAGTGGCCAGCACCCACGCGTCGTGCCCCGCCTCAAGTGCTCGGTCACCGCAAGCGTCCCTCCTTCTGCAGCGCAGTCGTAGCTCGCTAAAATTGCTGAAGAAACCGCGTAAAACTCCGCCTAAAACCGACCAAGATGGCGACAACCGAAGACCCCGCGTTTGCCAAGGGCATGTTCGTGACGCTCTGGCCCAAGGTAGAGCGCTGCCACGACTACGTGGAGCTGCTCCTGGCCGCCCAGGAGAAGCTGCAAGCGACGGTAGACAAACTAATTGCCGGTAGGATAAAAGTGATGCTAAGTTTAGGTAGCTGTGACGGTCTCACATTGATATGATACACTTTTGGGTGCTGGTTCCAGGTCTGCAGGAAGCGGAGAAGGCGGAAGGCAGCTCACTAGTGAGCTACGCAGACAGACTGAGGAATTTCCCGGCCAGGGTCGAGCGACTCCAGAAGAAGGTGGCCAGGATCCAGGACCGCCTGCTGGCCATGAAGGAGTCACGGAATCGCGGCGTGCAGCCCGTGACCACGATGTCGGCGGAGGAGTCGGCGGTGTACGCATCCCCGCTGTTTTGAGGAGGAACTCGGGGGGGGCAAAAGGAGCGAGGGGAGGGAGGCTGCAGTAGTGAGGGGCAAACCAGGAGTTGGCTCCGTCACTTTGCATTTTGGAAGTGGGTCTGCAGCCTCGTGAAGAGCGCGTACGTCCGTGACAAGGCGGGCCATGCGATTCAGCTCAAAATTTAGCACCATATAATGGCTGCTAGACACGCCCCGCAGCCTCACAGGATATCTTCGTCACCATTTTCTACGTATATAGCTAATGAACTGGGTATTTATGTTACTTACTAAACCGCGAGTCGCGCCAACGCATGATGCTATCGATTCCGATTGCAGTGTGGGAGCTTCGTAGCAACAATTACTCACCGTCACTAGCATGTAGGGAAGCCTGCGGTGTTGCTTGGTTGTTCCATTCACTCATACATTTCATCAGGTCTCGTCAATTAATTCTGATGCTCACTTGTCCCGTGCTTCTGCCTCCTTCGCTTTCCTCTGCAGCGCCAGCGTCTTATCCGTATTCCACGAGCTACAAACAGAAGCAACAAAACACCCCTACCACATCAGCCGAAAGGAGCAGCAGCCCCTCGCACCTCTCGCAGTGAGTGACGTACCTCCTGTCTTCAGTTGAAATGTTGGGGCAACGGAGCTGCGGGGGAGCAAATGGGGCGATTTTGGGCTTGCGAGCGGCTTCTCCCGTCTCAGTCTTCACTGCTTTAGTGGCTGGTCTTGACGTTTGCTCGTTCTTCCGCTTGTGACTTGGTGCTGAAGGCGTCGACCGATTGGTGGTCAGTACACTGCTCGTGTCACTGGCGAACAACTCGTCTGCAGATGGCAGCAGCTCCGTGCTGGGAGCTGCTGCGACTGGAGCCGATTCCTTTGTGACTGGACGAGCTCTGGGCGAAGATTCCTCCTCGGAGGAAGACGCGTACTCGTCGCCGAGCAGGAAGGACGCCATCGCCGCTACCCGTGCCAGTAGTTATTGTTATGCGTACACAAACCTTACACAATGACAAGAAAAGGGTAGTAAAAACTGAAATTTTAACTGCAATTTTTAACTAAGTATTGTGCCTTTCGTTTAATTTGCCGACAGCAAAATCGGACTTCAAGTCCGAATTTCATTTACTAAACAAGGGAGACAGTCAGTAATTCGTTATAGTATAGCTTCCCCGAAAATCGGGTTTCCTGCGCTTTGCTCCTTCGGTTTTGCTCTCGTTTTTCATTCGAGGTCCTGAATGGCGGTGATTTGTTCGCCATCTGGGACTTCGGCTCGAAAAGCGCTAACGTTGTCGCTTTCCCTCTCTTTCAATTGAAAAGCGGAGATCCCTCCGATTTTTCAAATCGGGGGTTGGCCCCCTTTATTTTAACTCGTATTAATAACCCTACCTCAATAGTAAAAGTGATAGTTTTTGTGTACTGTATCCGGTAACTTAGCACTCTATTGTTGGACGAAGCAACTTCAGCTCAAAATGTGTTACCAGTAGATACACGGGTGAGACCACTTCCGAGTACGGTGGCGAATAGTTCCTGCCGAGAAACTCAAAGCTCGAGGTTTGAAACTCTGGGACAGATGCGTCGCTACGGAGGCAAGTACTCAATTGAACGGATGCTGGCTCTGCAAGAGTTTACTCGAAAGGCGTCACCGATCCGAGCCACATGTGGTGATTATTCAGGATTACTCTGGTACTTGTTGCCTGCAGCGATTACTCGAAGTTTACTCTGGTAGTTGTGTTGGCTAGAGCCAACCATTAGATGCAGCCTCAGTGGAGCTAGGTTGTAGAGCAAAGAGCTTCTGCTTCATGCAGTCTCTCACTTTGCATTTTAACTTGCAACCAACAAGTATTTCAAGCAACAAGCAGCGGAAATTAACACACCACAGTAGTCGCCATCGCACCGCCACTTTTAACTCTCGCAGTTGTACTTAGTCAAGAAAGTGCTCCTCTCCAAGACCCAGCAGACAGGTGGAAAGCAAACTATGGATTCTGGACCCGGGTGGGAGTTATAAGTGTGTCTGTGGGGTTCCTATTCGCGACTCAATTCAATTCGGACCGTGGCTCGACATGCCAGCACTTTCCCCAAGACAGATGCTACTTAACGCTGTTGGGGTTGGAATATGCTTTGTCGCTATCGGAATGTTTGTATCGAGTACCTGGGTATTTCCCGATACTGTTGCCGGTGCTATGAGCTGTATTATTTATCGTTGTGATGGGAGCCGGAGCGTTTCGAGTGATACTTTCGCGAAGGGAGCAGCTTCGCCGCCTGAATAAAGTCGGTATGCTACAGGGGCTCATGTGTATCGCGTACCCATTATTTCAAGTGCTTTTCAACGAAGTGACCAACACACAATACCAGCTGCCGGTTGTGTTGGTGTTACCAATTTTCAAGCTCGTAATGAGAGGCGCGATGACATTTGCTGCGGACCACAAAGATGACATTTTACCCGAAGAAGAGATTTTCACCGTTGATTTCTTCGATGCGCTGTACCGGCCCACGTGCATGCAGACACTGTCCACGCCTTCATTGGTGGTGACAATCAGCGTCGACCTTATTCAGACGGCGCTGGAGTTGTATGAGCCCAATCAACGCACGCAGAGTATTTTCACACGTCGTCAGACAACGGCAGGTATTGCTAATACTGATCACAACAGCAACCTGCTCTCGACACTCCCCCCCCAGCACCAACGCCTCCGCCACAACAACAGTCGCCTGAGAGGCACTCTCCACGAACTCTTGAGTTTGTCGAGACCTACGGAGACCGTGACGACGACCTGTTCGATTCCGACTAAGTCCCCTTGCCAAATCGGATTCTCTGAAATTTTACGGGAGTCGTAACGCGTCGTCGTTCCCGAGCAACTCGCCGGCGTCAACGCAGTGAAGAGACCAACACGACTGCAGCTAGCCCCGGTGGTCCAGACTTGAATGCACCTTCATCGCACGATGACAGCAGCGAGGAGGACCAGTACGAAGGCAGCGACAATAATTCGGACCCAGACGATTCGGACCAAGACGTGTCGTCGGAGATTTCAGAAAGCGAGAAGGCCGCCCCAACAGTACGACAAAGCCTGACTATTGATGGGACGCTCGAACACCCAGTACGCTTTGAGTCTCTAGCCGAGGCTCGAGGGGTTCTCGACGGGCTCGAGAACGCAAGATTCGCGCTGTCAAACAACAACAGTGTCACCAAACGTCTCTGGTGTACTTCTCATGTTGATTGCACAGCTGAGACACGTATCACTCTTGATCCCGACGGCAAGTTTCGGTTGTCGCGTAGTGGTATGCATACGGCAATTGTGGCACCGATTGAGACACAGCGGACGGGAATTCACACGCCATTACTTCCGGAAATCGACGGTTTGCTGCTGGGAGGCTAAGGTCCCAAAAAGTGTTTGAATACCCTACGCATGAAGTACGGTCTCTCCGAAGAAGTTATCGCCTTGCTGCCATCAGCTTCTCAAGTCAAAAACAGAGCACACCGACTGCGGAGACGGGGGGATTTCGACATTACCACCTACGCTGATGTCATGGTTTGGGCGACGCCAAGACTCTGCACAACCCCAGCAGCATTTTTTGGTCATATGCGCTACAATCGCGAGCGGGACGCTAGGCGCATCGCTCGCCAACCCTTGAGTTTCAAATGAGCTCATAGTGCTGTACTGCTTCACCGACACAATCGACAGTGGTGACACCTCGGTCGGAATCATCTTCACTTCGCGAGGGCTTTTTCGAACAGCTCCCCGAACAGTGGCAGGTCAAAATGACGAGATGCTCGGGGTCACAGATGGAACATACAAGCTTCACTTCGGTGGTAGGACGCTTGTGTCTTTTGGCACATTTGGACTTCGTTACACCGCTTTGCACGCGTATCAACAGAAGTTTTACCCGATGGCATTCATGTTCGTCAGGACGAATTAGAATCCGATTGAATCGCACCACCACAGCATCAAGACTACTGCAGTGAATCAGCTGCGGGCTTGAACAGGGCATGTGCTTGCGTCGACTCTACCGAAAATCCTGGTCGAGTGCGCGATGGAAATCGGGTCGGAGCCTATGCAGCACTTTGCCGCTGGACCCGTTTCCGCAGAGGTTCTAGAAGCTGGTGTATTTCTCTGCAACGACGACAACCATTTCCCGACTCACAAACGCAAGTCGCGCAGAGCAATCCGCAACATCCAGACGTATTACTTCAACCAGAGATACTACATCGTCCGGGACGACAATGTGCATGGATTGAAGGTGAACGCGAGCCGAACAAAGACCTATGAGAGCTCGCTCAGCGGATCCCTCAAGGATGATGAAATTGTGGAGAATGTCCAGCTTCGATACCTCTCACTGCACAAGGTGACGGTGTTGGATCGACTTCCGTATGAGCACGACTGGAACTCTCCGTTGTGGTCCCTGGAGGAGATCAACACCATCAAAAAAAAGTTCAAGTGTGACTGCAAAGATTTCTACCAGACGGGGTGGCTGTGTGCTCATGTACTAGCATGCCTTCACCTCGTTGACAATCTTGATTTGACGGTGATGCTTCGAGGGCTCCCAGCTCACAGGCCTCCCGGTAGACCGCGCAAGAAAAACAAATGCCTCCAGCGAGATGGTGTGAGAACATCCCAATACTTCGTCGATGCCCTGGTGAAACGACTTGTGGACAAGCCAGCAAGTGTTATCAACTGGAGCGTGCTAATCGAAAAGACAGTTACCGAGGCGGATGGCGAGGAGTCTCAGCGGACCTATGTTGACAAGATTAAACCCCCCCTTCACTCGTGGAGGAAAGCGGTTCTGGGAGATCACGTACGAGGATCAAGACGAGGTGACTGTCCTGGAAGTTGAAGCTCTTGCAAGGACGATCAATTTCTCCTTCCAAATGGGGCACAACATTGTTCCCAACTAATGCATATCTTCGACACAACAGCGGTAGCGTGAAGCTTCAGCAGAATAGCAAGTGGACGACATAAGGCTAGACGTAGTGAGCACATCGGGTGTTACGAACTAGGGACCGAGTAACCCGGATATTTGTTTTACATTTTTCAATAAATGCAATATAACCCTTGTGAATGCAATAACACCATCGAAATGAAATCTAGCCAATAATAAATGAAAAGCAGACTTTTTGACTATAAATGGAAAGTAGCCGCTGAAAGAATGAGAAAAAAACCGCGCCCAAATCTAACTACGGGTTCTGGGTCCGCGTTGGCCTAATTGGCGTGTGCGCAAACTATTTGCTCGTAAACCAAGTCCAGGCATGGATTGGCGCTTTCTTCAAGGCAGCTGCTGGCATCGAGCTTATGTGTCGGTGTCATTTTTACTTGTGTGGGGATGATAACAGCAGCGTTCTGGGTGTTTCCCGTACCGTTTTTATGTACATAGTCATGAGTGTTTACTGGGACAGGCAGAAATATTCCTGCAGTTATTGGAGCGCAAGCTTTTCGGGCACTTCTGTCGCGACGCGAGCATCTCCGTCGGGCGAATAAAGTTGGCATCTTGCTGGTATTGATGCTGGTGACATATCCAGCTATCCAGGTCCTTTACGGACTAATAAGGCGAACAATCTACGAAATAAGCATTCTGGTGCTGCTCATTATTTTCAAAATCGCCACGAACCTCCGTGCTGCGTCTCATGTGGAGGACATCATACTCGAGCAGGTCATATTCACGGTCGATTTCTTCCATGCGCTGTACCTAGCAACATTTATGCCGGGTTTGGTGACAAGTTCAGTGATTGGCATCCTGATTTTCGATCTCGTGGATACATCGATCGAGTTACGCGAGCTCTATCATCGGATACAGAGTGCTTTATTGAAGCTACGTGGGCTGAGTATGAGCATCGATGTTGATGATAACAACAACGATCTGCTGTCCGCAGTCCGATCGCTGTGCTACTCCTCCGAAATGATTCAAACGCAGCAAATCCGAGTCCACTCCTGCGTTTATCATCAGTTGTCAAACGAAGGGAGACCTCTACTGCAAAAATTCGAAAGTCATTCGATTCAGCTTCGCGACACCACCGATTCCTGGCCCCCGCCACAGTACTATTGCACTCCCCGACAGTGGATTTGGCCCAAAACGAACGAAGGCGCAGCCAATCGATTGATGGAAAATCGCACGTTCTTCTGGGGAGCCTCTAGAGTGCGTGATCCCCGCACTATACGGCGGCTTTGTTTTGGTGATGGTTCACTTGCCTATATCATGCGGAAATGGAGGGCATCACCCGCGATAACGTCAACGACAAAGTCTTCCGAATGTTCTTGTACACTTTGCTGGAGTTCGCGTCATTTGTGGCGCTAGCGGTTGTCATGTGGCGGAATTGTCGAATTCAAGCGCTGTACCAGTAGGCATTTGTGTTAGAGACGCAGAAGTCGTTGATCCTATCCAAATTGGTGTCACTCATATTGGTGACGCTTACGTTCCGTGTCGTACACTTCGGTGCGTTTACCAGCGAGCACGATCTATGTTTTGGCATGACTCTAACAATGCTTATGATGAAGGATCCGACTTCTCTTTTCAGTTTGAATGGGTCAAACATGCGTACTGACGAAGCGGCTGGAGCTAGGTTTGAAAAATTAATCGTGCTTTGGATTATAGCTACCGAATTGCCGAAATGCTAGCCAAGTAGTGGACAATTCAACATGAATAAATAATGTGTGGCTTATACACTACGTATGTATTAGTATATAGTACCTATAGCATACTCACTTTAACTACTCATTTCCCACTGCTTGCGACAACATTCGTAAATTCTGGCTCTCCCCGCCTCTACAAGCGTACACCTTGCCTTACCTTGGTCCAGTTTTTAAACTAAATAGGCGTGAATAATTACGATTTCTCAGTACGTGTATTTGCGGTACATATTACGACAAGTCGTAGCTTAATTGTGTAGCCGTTCTCGTTCGGGCTTGTTCCTTAGGCGCTCCATTCAGGCACCAGCAGGCCGAGATCTTGGACGTCCCAGCTCAGGAATGACGACAAGAGCAGCGTGAAATTGACGAGTTTTGCGAGCAGGTTGCCGAACACGGCGTCAGTTGTAGATGTGTAGTTGACCATTGCCGCTTAAGTTGGCTGAAACTGTACTTACCTGAGAGCAAGTTGTAGAATGAGGAAGATTGAACTTGGTGCACAAACAGTTAGGTTAAACGCCCACCGCTTCTCCCTCCATACCCGATGGTATTCTAACTTGGCTGTTGTTATCAGTATTTGTTGTCGGTAGTATATCAGCCACAATGGACATCTCTTTAATGGATTTATCGTATCTGCCAACGCGGATATTTCGATAATTTAGCTGTACACGGAGTATTTGAGTGCAATATTTTACGACCAGCTAATGTGAAATGCTACGAGTGAACTAACATATCTTTGACAGGCAGGTGAGCGCCACCTATTGCTAGTACGGACCATCGTATCCCTCTGATTCGACGTGCTGGTCCATGGTCTAGTGGCCAAGTCTACGAATGCTTCACTACCCAAATTCATTCGAGGAGCGACAACCTCAGGCGCCATGTTCGGGTCCACGATTGACTACGTCTCCAAGATCGACCTCGCCGCTGGCGACCTCATCGTAGTCGTCGTGAAGGGCGCGCCGCCTCTGTCGGCTTTCTTAGTTGGGAGATCCAAGATTTCGGCCCACTGGTCCCGGAGTGGAGTGAGTAGTAACTACCGCCGAAATCGTGTGCCCAGGCTCACCAGAGAGCAGCGCCAAGAATCGAACGAAGATCTCGCTGGCGAAAATACCCTTCTGTATTACAGCTCACCTCCTGGTTGTATGCCGTACTGTTAGTGACACGAGCGTTCCCGTGAAATAAGCGAAATAATATGTGAGATGGACGATTTACTCTGGAGTAATAGTAGTGAAGAATATCCGTGAAGAGAACACAACAGTGGCTACTGTACTTGTCCGGGTCATGCTCCGCCATAAACCACGTCCCCCATTCTCCAACTTCCTCAGCTGCAAAGCTCAGCCCAATCGACACTACCATGGCTAGCTTCACGTCCACGACTGAGGCCGTTCTCGGCAACCTGCTCGCAAAGGTTGTCAAGTTCACTCCGCTCTTGTCGCCATTCGTGAGCTACGACGTTCAAGACTTCGGCCTGTTAGTCGCGAATCTCTCCTAAGACCAGCACGACAAGGGCTAACCCGTCAAGCAGATTCGCCGACCTCAAGCAAATGTGTGTAGCAACCAGCGTTGACGAGCGTATCCAGCGGAACAGACAGATAGGTGCTGGATTAGGCGGAAGTTGTCTGTGGTGGCACGAAAGAAGAGATTAGTCAACGATGCTCGAATCACGAATGAAAGAACTCACGGGAATGAGCGCGCCCAGGTCCTCGAAGTGCCAGTTCCAGTTGGATGTGTACTCGATCGCGAAATAGGACACGACGGAGATCACGCCCTCGTACACCTTGCCGGCGATCGAGTTGGTCACTTTGGTGTCATCACTGGGAGAGCAAAGATCGCTGCATAGTCGCTCGAAACCGCGCCGATGAAATACAAGGGCTGAAGCGAAGGCAATCACTTGTGTCGAGCATTCGTAAGACAGTTTGACGACAAATCAAATGTAGCAATTTCATTGGTTAATATTGTATTGTGTAGTCTCGAGTGTTGCTGCATCTCGGCTCGGAAATTGGACTGATTTATCTGTGTGCGCATTTTGCCCCCTTTCCTAGAGGCAGCGCACTTGAAAAATGCCCCTTGAAATGTCCGGGCCTTTGATCCTGACGCCATGCACTAACCTCCTGCTAGAAGATTTAAATATACTTGCCAGGAATGGAATGTAAGGACATCATAGCACAGTTATCATGCGACCGTTTGTTCCCGTAGTGGAGCAATGTTTCTTCGCTGTACTGGGGTGAACGACTGTTGTCGTTCACCCCACCACGTCAACTCTCCTTTCTACAGTAAAGTACTAACACTACATAGAAGATGGAGATTCGGATAGAGCGCGCACACGCAAACCAGTCTACGCTGTAGCATCGACAAAAAGCATGGCTGCAGGCAGTCTTAGTTGCAGGAGATTCCGAGTAACTCGCCGATGCCGAAGGTCGAGCCCAGCAGCGATATGGCGCGCGCCGAGCGCCCGCGCAGCAGTGTGGAGCTCCTCCGCACCTCAGCGTCGTAGGTATAAGATCTAGGTATTATCGCCGTTGCAGAGTACGGGGTTGCATTTTGTTGCTGGACTGTAATGATTAGGTAAGAGGGGGTTGGAGGATCTCGGGAAGCCCACTGGCAACACCGTTCCCTGGCTGCCACGCCTTCACAACTACTATGATGTACGCTCAAGCATAAAATTTACTACATTAAAATGTACATGTAGTACCGTTACGAGCTATTTGTCCCTCTTAGTTTACGTCTGCCAACTTCATCGTAACTCCGTGCCCTACAACGGCTGCACCTCTGAGTGGAACAGCTCCACGGACTGCATGCACGCGTTCGTGCAGTCATTATGCCGATATTTAAGCTTGCTGCCAGCGGCCAACTACAGGCACATCGCTTCGTGTGTGAACAAGAGGCTACTTACCCTACCGCACCATGCAACTGCATCGTTTCGGCGCTCAACGTTGCCACCGCGTCCGCGGCAACGATGCCTCTGTGACCTGAACACTTTTGACCAATTGTATGGCGCAAACTAGTGTCCGACAAGCTGTCTTATGTTTTGACAGACAATATGCAATGTAGCCACTGGTATACAAAAACCAAGATGTAGTCAAAACGCGTTGATCCGAAAACGTAAGACGCTTTGTCTTATGATAGGCATTCTGGGGCTAAGTATCGTCTTACGAAAGAGCATGAATCACAAATGTAAGAGCGATATCTGCTGGATGAATTTGACGTTTTATTTGCTAAGTTATGGTCATTTATGTGTGTATTCATGTCTAACAAAGCTGTGTTAATCTCACACTAGAATGTGCTTCTACTTGTAGAGCAGAGACGACATCTGTGAGACGCGCTTGCTTGAGTGGCGGAAGCGAGACGCTAAGCGCACGTTGATGAGCTTGAGTACCGCCACTGCCGTGTGGGGAGCCCGCGCCTCCAGCGCCTCCATAGCCGCTGCACGCAGCCTCAACACCACGCAGTCGGACGTGGCAAAGTACTTGTACTCTGGGTCCATGCCAGCGACGTTGGGCGTAATGACGGAGCCTGGGCCGATCTTCAGCAGCCGCGACTTCGCGGTCGTGAACGGCGTCCACTGAGACTCCTCGGGCACCACGAACGACAGTTTACGAGGGTTGAAAACTCTTCCTGACTCATTCGAGTCCTCTACAGCGTCCTCGTCCCCCTTCTCACTATTGGCACCTTCAATCTCGCCAGCTTCAGAGTAGCGGACACCGGGGATGTTGTGGGCGTTTGAAAACTCCGAGTCCATGACGAAGTTCATGTACCCGAAGCAGATGAAGTACGTGTCATCTCGTAGCCGCTCCGGTACGAGCTGCGAGCCATTGGGCACCACGACGATATCCAGGTACGCGGACAACGGGAGTAGCTTCTGGTAGCTCGCACTGCTGTCGTGCTCGGGGGATGCGGCCATGAAGCTCTCCCAGAGTTCCAGTTGGCTCTTGCGCTTCCAGTCCGAGAGAGAATTGCCGACTCGAGGTGTTACGGGGGCGCTGCAGATGTGGTCGGGGAGCAGCTCGTTCTCGCAGATCTCCAGGGCGATGTCCACATCGCTACTCAGCAGATGCACGCGCTGCGAGTAGTGGTTCTGACGCAGTGCGAGCTCGATCTCCGGCTTCAACCCGCAGAAGTAGATGTCGAACATGTACATGTCTGCGAGTGTGGATGCCTTGCGGAAATTTAGCAGCGCTGTAGCGTCGAAGCTTGGGACGAGTCCAAAGTCGATGATCACGTACTGCAGTTTGGGGAAGTCAAGCGAGTGAACGCGCGTCTCCATCCGCTCGAGGATGTTGACAGATGTGCCGAAGAATAGGTACCCTTGCAGACGCAGCACGAAGATGGCGCTCCCTTCAGCGTCCAGGAACGCCGTCTGCTCGGGCGTGCGGTCCACAGCACTACGGGTCAGCGCTCCAGTCGTCTCATGGTGGACGCAGCCCACATCGTGGATACGCCAGATCAGCTCGACCATGGAGATGATGATCCCCATCGCCACACTCTCCAGCATTCCAATGATCAGGAAACTCGACGTAATGAGCACAACCGTTGCCTTCTCAATAGGCTTGAGAAAGTGGAAAGGGGTGACCAAGTACGCCTCCAGGAAGTGCAGCCCCACACTGAGTAACAACCCGCCGAAGATGAACTTGGGCACGAACTGGAGCAGGCGAATCCCCACCATCCACAAGACCACGATCAGGAAGGCGCACACCAGCGCGGGCACTTTCTCGTGAGCCTCGAACTGCTTCATGATGCCCATCGCAGAGAGGTAGTGGCAGCCACCGCAGCACCCCATGAACCCGCTCGCAAGATTGGCCAGTCCGATCACGCGCATCTCGTTATCCGGCGAGATATCCCGTCCAAAGAGCGTCGACAATGACGTCGTAGCCACACTGTACTTCAACGCGCCCAGAATCACGAGCGAGATCATGAATCCCATACATTCGTTCGTCAGCGTGTGCCAGTGAACATGCTTGAAATCAATCTCAGCCCAGGGATACCACATGGGCGTCTGTGCCACCACGACGGGATCCCACGAGAAGACCCAGCCATCCTTGCCCAGCTTCTCCATGCTCGCGTCATACAACGTCGCAATGACTTGGAAGCCCACGAGCGACATGGCCAGCAGACATGGGAACGAGATGGCCACGGGGAACTTCAGGTACTGTCCGAGTCTGGCAAAGCCGGCGAAGGCCACGGCCGGCAGCAGCAGCATCTGCACGTCCCACGTGAAGAAGGCCGCTGTCAGCGCCTTACTGGAGGCCATGTGCACTCCGTTCTTCATCAACTCCGCTCCGATACCCGACAGAAAGCCCGCGATCACCGGGTACGGCATGTAGTTGGCGATGGACGTGACTCGGAAGAGCCCCATGAGGAAGAAGACGACCCCCAGCACCATGGACGTGATGGCGACCATCATGACCGTCGTGGGCACCACCTTGTCCAGGTCTCCGTGCAGGTGGTCGGAGATCTTCTGGGCCATCTCGGCCATCACGGGGGCCACGAACACGTCAATGGCGCCCAAGGTCCAGGGCGCGCAGCTCTGCCAGGCCAGCACGACGGACAGGACGGCGGTGCCCAGCAGGTTCATGTCGATGAAGTGCGCGATGACGGAAGCCAGGGGCGTCCCGTGGCCCACTAGAACACTGGCGCAGGACACGGCCAGCGTCGAGGACAGCAGGAAGGCGATGACGCCCGACGTGCCATTGACCAGCACCTCCAGCAGCAGGGCCTTGAGTCTGCGGGCGTCTTGGGGAGCTGATTGGCTATTGCCGATGCTGGAGGCCACGGAGAAGGTGACGTGCGTGCTGTGTAGAGCCCCGTTGACGGCCCCGTACTCGCCCGGGCGGCTGCGGCTGCGGCCCTGGGCGCCAAGGAGCAGGCCGTGCTTGGCCGCGTCCTGCACGCTGCGCACGCGGCGCATGAGCTGCTGCTTCTGGGGCGCGGGCGAGTGGAAGGACGAGTCGGACGACGCGTGCGGCGGCGCGGGCGGCGGCGTCAGGATCGGCGCCATCTCCACGCCGCCGCGCTCGAGCGGGAGCGCGTCGGTCTCCATTATTGTATTGGCCCTGATATGAATATGAATGAAATGGGGGACTGTTGTGACGTCGCCGAATTGGGCCGAGTACGAGAAAATGACTTGGCGTTTGTATGGAGAGGCTGGGGGGAGTGGGAACACGTTGAAGTTTTGCTCGCTGGGACAGCAGGAGTGCGTGCCAGCCGCCGCGGCTGGTGGTTTGTGTGAGGTTGGGAGAGAGAAGGAGAAGGAGCAGTGATCCGCTGCAAGGCGTGCAGCGCGTCAGGGCGATAGCAGGAGGTGAGGCTTATATAGGGGTGTCTGAAGCATTTTTACTAGTAGGTGTTCGTGATTGGGCTCACCAAAATGGATACATTGTTCGAGTTGCACGACGCTCGTACAGTATGCATTCGAAATCGACTGGGCGATGGCTATCCTACCTTGCGCTGGGCTGCGAAGACGTCGAAGCTCTTGCTTTGTGGCCGACAAGCAGATCGCTAATGCACCTGCCTTCGCCACCGCTGGTGTCTTGAATTTCAGCCTGAGCGACTATGCAGCGAACTTTGCACTCCCCGTGATGACACCAGCGATTGCTGGCGCTGGCGATCGGGCAGCTATTTCTCGTGGCGGCCTCGGATTGCTGGTTATTTGCCGAAAGGAGGCTGTCTTCAGTCCACTATTTGCGTCGCGCCGAGCGCATCTCAAGCTTTCAACGCATCAAACGCCTTTCACCATGGAGCCCGCCGCTGCAGTGACCAACTCGATCGCCGGCAAGGTGTACGAGGGCGTGATCTCCGTCGTGTCCTACTTCGCCATCGAGTACACGTCCAACTGGAACTGGCACTTCGAGGACCTGGGCGCGCTCATTCCGGTATGTTTTTCCTTAGTCGTGGTTCGTGCTGCGTTGAGGCTGAACAAGTTGCTTTCGTGCTACCACAGGCCACGTCCGCCTAATAGCCAAACCGCTTGCTGACCATGCTCGCCTACTGCAGCGTACTGGGACGCGAAAGAAGCAGCCAACCGCTTTTGCTCGTTAATGTGTTGAACAAGTCTACTAGGGCGTCTTCCCCATTCGTAATTTATCGGTAAAACAACACGTGTGATGATGTCATTTGTTTCTTTGACGAATATGCGGTCGATTGCTGACGCGTTAGTCGTTGCCGTGGGATTAGCGACTTGATGCTCCATCCGGGCTCCAGGAGAGCGAAGTGGTCGACGGAGGAAGTGGGAAAAGTGGTGGGTGGTGCATGGCGGAGACTGCTCCAGGGCAAGTCTAGGTAGTAGGAAGTCGGGAAGTCGGAAGTCAACCATTCGTTCTGTCCTCGCCACGGTTATCTACTTTTGTATATCACACAACAACTATGGAGGTCAATGGTGTTATTTCACATATTATTATTGTGCTTATCTCACTTGGACTCGGTTTACATGTAATCGCTATCTTCGTAGTCGCTTTTCAATTGCATGGTGGGCTTCTCACAGGGTTATTTACGCGCATAGAGATCTTCGTTCGATTCCGGTGCTGCTCGCTGGTGAACCTGGAGGCACGATGTCGGCTCTACTGTAGCTACTGACTCCACTCTGGGACCAGTAGGCCGAGGTCTTGGATCTCACAACTCAGGAGAGCGGACAGAAGCGGCGTGCCCTTCACGACGACTGCGATGAGGTCGCCGACGGCGAGGTCGATCTTGGAGACGTAGTCGAACGAAGACCCGACTATGGTTGTTGAGGTTGTTGCTCCACGAGTGAATTTGGGTAGTGAAGCGCTCGCGGACTTGGCCCGAAAAGACCATGGACCAGGTAGAACCACCAGCACGTCGAAGTGTTCGGAGCTGCAACGACAAGTTCACCACCATCAGTGGTCTGGGTGGCGTTCCCCCGCCTGTCGTGGACATACACTTAATACCGACTGGTGAAAAATCCCATAGCGAGATATCAGCGGTGGTAGTGCTGGTACGGGCAATCCATTTAAATAATACACAGAGTCGCGTGTGCTTGAGTCGACAAGGTGCACTGCCGATGAGGACGTCCAGGCAGAGACGGCCGCTGTGGATGATTTACTCCCAATAGCAAAATAAATGTAAGTTAGGATACCTTCGAAGTCGAGCATTGAAAGTTACTAGTGCTAATGTCTCGCGGCCTGCCTCATTCCACAACTTCCTCTCCATCGGACAGTCTCAGTCAAATCACGCGACAACATGGCCAACTACACGTTCACAGCTGATGCTGCGCTCGGCAACCTGCTCGCGAAGCTCATCAAGTTCACGTCGCTTTTGTCGTCACCCCTGGGCTGGGAAATCCAAGACCTGTGTCTCTTGGTGCCTGAATGTGCTCTCAAAACCTCCACCAGTCAGCAACTAAGTTATCAAACAACGACAAACTCACATTTCGTATCAAGTTCGTTGACCAAAACATTTTGATGAGCCTAAAGAACTCATACATAGTACGATTTGTTTTTGCGTGCACATGCAGGAAGATATATTCGTCGACGCGGGTCTTACAAAATAAGCGCTATGAATATCTCCCAGCAGTTGAAAAGCAGTTTTCGAGTCCTAGAAGCCACGGTTCTAGCCAGCAACGAGGTTCTGGAAGCATCATGACGCTGATGCTGAAGTCTTTCAAAGAGCGGTGGACGACGATTCTTCATGCGTGGTATGCCGTCCAACTTCCCCACTACGGAGCAAATACTCGATCGAGAGGATGCTGGTGCTGGATGAATACACGCGAAACACGTCGGGGATTCGCGTTGGATTGGTGATCTTAACACCACCAATTGTAACGACCGCGTTAGTGCTCTGCCAAGAGAGCATTCCTCTTCAAGATCCGATGGACGGCTGGAAAGCGAACTATGGATTCTGGGCCCGCGTTGGGATAATTGGGGTGTCCGCAAGCTATTTGGCTGTGAATCAACTGGGCGTGTGGATTGGTGGCTTCGCTCTTTCTACAAGACAATTGCTGGTGATGTGCTGTTGTGTCGGTGCCATATTTACTTGTGCGGGCATGGCAACAGCAGAAATATGGGCATTTCCTGTGCCGTTTTTCATGTATACCCTGGAAATTGCTTTGATGGCAACAATGATAAGTACGTCACGCGCAGTTCTCGGAGCTCAAGCCTTTCGAGAAATGTTTTCGCGACGGGGGGGGGCTCCAACAACTGAATAAAGTGGGAATTTTGTTGATAGTGATGCTGGTAACATATCCTGCCATCCAGGTCCTCTACAACTGCATAAGCCGCACAAACTACGAGATACTCGTTCTACTGCTCCTCTCCATGGTCAAGATCGCCACGAAGGGTATTTTCCTCCGCGTTGCGTCTCAAAGGGATGACATCATACCTGAGCAAGTCATCTTCACGGTCGACTTTTTTGACGCGCTGTACCTAGCAACTTTCATGCCGAGTTTGGCGACTAGTTCCGTGGTTGGCATCGTGATTATTGACCTCGTGGACACAGCGGTCGAATTGCGAGAGCTCCACCATCGGACCCAGAGTGCTTTATCACGGCTGCATGGATTGACCAGTGTCAGCTCTAGTAGCAATGACCTGCTCGCTGCAGCTCGATCGCTATGCTACTCTGTCGCGATGCTCGAACAGCAAGAAATTCGAGTCCGTTCTTGTACTTTTTACCACTTGTCGAACGAAGGAAGGGCTCTGGTACAAAACCTAGATAGTAGCGGGTGGCAGCTTCTTCACCATAGGAGAAATGCACATTTACCACCGGTTTCTGGCCCACGGCGCAACACTATTGCAGTTCAGCCTTACTCCCCGGCACCGGATGTGACCAAAGAGGAAAAACGAGCCGGTCAAAGAGTTAACGATGCCTCGCGAGCCCTGGTGGAGAGCCTGCAGGTTCTTTTCACATCCGAGTGCCTCATTCTGACGGAATATTTGGAGTGCGTGATCCCTGCACTTTACGGCAGCTTTGTTTTAGCGATGGTTCACTTGCCAAGTGCCCAGTATCATGCGGAAATGGAGGGCATTACCCACGACAACGTCAACGACAAGGTCTTCCGAATGTTCTTGTACGCGCTACTGGAGCTCACGTCGTTCGTCGCGCTAGCGGTTATTATGTGGCGGAATTGTAGAATTCAAGCGCTGTACCAGTTAGCGTTCGTGTTAGAGACCCAAGTCAGCGGTGCTATCCAAGCTGATCTTTTGGATGCTAGTGACGCTCACTTATCGTGTCACACACTTCGGTACGTTTGCTGGTAAAATCAAATCTGGCTAGCTAATCGGATTTTGAACGCCTATTGCCGTGCTTTTGATATAGGATCGGACTTCTCGTTTCAATTTGAATGATTTCTTAAAAACACACGAATGAGCGAAGCCGTTGAAATGAAACATCCAAACTTTCCGCTGAAAGTTAGCTCTTAACGTATCGCATCCAAATATTGAACGAAAGAACATCAATCAGGAATTATGATCAATCAAAAGTCGAAGTTCAGGTACAGAATGTTCATCATTCTGACTTACTCTCAGAGGAAGATGGTGAAGCTGTTCTGTCTGGTGGTTGGAGATGAAAGAGTGTTCCCTGTCGACATCGGCCTGGACATTACGGTGGGCTATTTGATGACGTCGATAAAGGCAGCTCTATCGTGCACGATCAAGGCCAAAGTAGACAAATTGCAGCTTTTTCTGGCGAAGCATGACGGCACATGGCTTGAGGAGGCTGATGCACGAAATGTGACGCAAGGCCATTTACAAAGTTTCGAGTGGATGAATCCCGCTCTGTTGGTTAACGACGCCAAATACTTTGGAGGGGGCTTCAAACCGAAGGAAGGCGACGTGCACGTACTTGTGAAGCTGCCAGACCGGGGAATAATTCCTTATAAGAAGCTCAAAATCACCCACAAAGACGTGCTTTATCCTGGACCAGTGCCAAGCGAGTCCTTCTCGGTTCCTGTGGATACAATCGAGGTGTTTACGAGGCTAGAGGCGCGGTTTTCTTCTTGTGGTCCAATTAGTCCGCTGTATTACCTCTTCGGGCCTCGCCAATTTGGTAAGACAACGATAGGACATCGACTGCGGGATTCGCTTGCTGCTGATCCACTCATCTCCGTCATATTCCACACTTTAACCCCAAGCGATGTCGAAACGGAGGAGGCCTTTTGGCTTGCACTTGGCCGACATTGTGGTGAACGAACACGAACAGCACGGGATTTTGAGTGGATGTTCATACGCCGTAAATGCCGCCTGTGGCTGGCGATTGACGACATGGATGTTATGTTTTCCAACGAGCAGTTGACTAGCAATTTCTTGGACAGACTTCGCTCTTGGGAATCTCTTCCTGCGTTTCTTGGGTTTCTTGCAATTGGAAGCTACGATCTCGTGAATTTGCCCATGAAGTACAAACAGCCAGCCCCTTTCAATATTGGCGAGCTGATTCAGGCAAAGTGCTTCTCTGTTCGACAAATGAGCGACTTTTTCATGCTTATCCAGCCAATGTATTGCTTCAAAGAGGCAACCCGCGAAGCCATTATGGAATATTCCTCCGGTGCTCCCGGTGTGTTCGGGTCTTTAGTCAAGTTTTCGGTCGATCGTGGCAAGTGTAGCCAAGAACGGCATGGATGGGAGGATTGGTTCAAGATCCAGAACTTCGCTTGCTATCTCAACGAATACAATCCAAGCTATGTTAAGATACAGGAAAGTGTAAGAAAGTTGAGTGAGCCAGACTGGAGGGTTCTCACTTTGCTACTTAGGGGCGAGGTGGGTGGCTTTGGCTCAGAATGGAATCACGCAACTACAACTCTGCAGCTATTGGGTGTTGTGACAATTGGGGCTTCTGGTGACTTGGAGTTCTCGTCCGAGATGATGCGACGTCTGTGCCTAGAAGCTCTACCCATCCGTGACATTGAACCAGTGGCAAGTGCTCGTGATCCACTCGAGCTGCTGGCTGCGGCACTTCGACTCATGGACCCGAAAGCAATGGGGCATTCGTTTGGAAAAGATCCGATATTTCCGACTGAGTCCGTTCTTCAGTTTCAAATGTACACATCGATTCGAGGGATTGCGAAGGCGAATAACACCTCATGCACGAGTATTCTAGCAGAGACGCATGGTGTCAGGGGTAAACAGAAGCGAAGCATCATCACTATCAGTAATTTCGAGAATGGAGTTAAAGTTGGTTTCGAGATCAAGGCAACACAACCGACGGAAGAGGCTCTCCTTACAGCAGTGGGAGATGCGGATCGATCCAGACACCTACTAGGGATTCAGGCGATGTTCTTGGTCAATTTCGCTCCTCGAACGAGCTTGCTGGAAGAAGGAGTGCATCAAGTGTGTGAATTTCCTGTCAAGGTGGTTCATGTTTTCGTCTCGGAAGCTTATGACGAATTCACAGTCCACCTGCAAGGAGGTGGTGTGGAGAGACGCACTGTCTGCTGTGCTCAAACCGAATAAAAACACTCTCAGTCCGTGCGCGCCAAGTCGAATTCAGCTATAGACGCGTGCGGAAGCGCTAGCAAAATAAACTTCCTTAGTACTTCGAAGTAAAAGTTTGTGTGTGTGCCGAACACAAAACCATATTCGAGCACGATGTGTCGAAGACTGAAATGAATCAAAACCTCACTTGCCAAATTCCTGTCAAGTTCCAAATGGTATTTGGGAGAGCCCGACGAAAACCAAAGTTGGGACGCAACGGCATGTTTGATGGCATCTTGCATCATCGGTCGTAGCGCATTGGCTTTCATATTTGGCTGCTGTCGACAAGTTTTCGCGTTGATATTGCTGTTCTACATGTACGTGCACGTTAGGCATCTTCAGCATACAATTTGCGTAGCAATAGCAACATCACTTTCATTCGGGAAGCAGTCCCATTTGATTATCCGGCCGTGTCTATTGTGGCCACGAGCCTCCGCTGCTGGTCGCAGAACCGAATCGTCCTCATCATCGTGAAGCGATTGGGCGCCCGCAACAGGAACGGAGTCTCTCTCTCACTAGTCTGCAGCATCCCTTATATACACTCTCACTCTCGTAACTCTCAGCTGGCGTACCGACCTGCCGCCGCTCTGTGGGGCGAGCTGTGGGCAGCCAGCCGAGTTCTTCAATCTCGATTTCTTGTATCCAGATACCTCTTTCTCATCATTCCACGTGCTCAGCCAGGAACCGCTTGGTGAGTGCGCTGATCTCCTCCTGCCCCAGCAGGAATCCGTCGTGACCGTGAGGCGACGACAGCGCCGCGAACTGCGCGTTCGGCAGGTTATCCGCAATCTGCTGCTGCTCCGACAGCGGGTACAACACGTCCGAGTCGATGCCGATGATCAGCGCCGGCTGGGACAGCGACCCCAGCGCCTGCTGCAGCCCACCGCGGCCTCGGCCGACGTCGTGCGTGTCCATCATGTGCAGCAGCGCCAGGTACGAGTTGACGTCGAAGCGGGACAGGAACTTCTCCCCCTGGTACTCGAGGTACGACTGCACCACGTAGCGTCCGTACTTGGAGGCCAGTGTGTCGTTCTCCGCGGGCTGCTCCTCACAGCGCCCGAACTTGTCGCCGTACGCGGCGTGGGTTCGGTAGCTCACCATGGCGATCTGGCGGGCCAGCGACAGCCCCGTGTTGGGCGGCGCGGACGAAGTATAGTGGCCCCCGCGGAAGTTGGCGTCCATGTAGATGGCCTGGCGCTGCAGCTCGCTGATGCCGATCTGCCAGGCCGAGTGCTGCGTGCCGCACGCGATGGCCACGAAACTCTTGACGAAGTCCTGGCCCTGGAACGCCCACTCGAGCGTCTGCATGCCGCCCAGCGAGCCGCCGATCACCGCCTGCACCTGTTTGACGCCCAGTCCGTCCTCCAGCAGCCGACGCTGCAGCGCCACGGCGTCGCGCAGCGTGACGGCCGGGAAGTCCGGGCCGTACGCGCGCCCCGTGAGCGGGTTGACGGCCGTGGGGCCCGTGGATCCGTAGCACGAGCCCAGCACGTTGCTGCACACGATGAAGTACTTGTCCGTCCACTCGGGCGTGACCATGGCGTCCCAGTACTGGTGCACCAGCGAGTGGCCCGTGAGCGCGTGGCACAGCACGATCACGTTGTCCCGCGCCGCGTTGAGCGTGCCGTACGTCGTGTACGCCACCTCGGGCGCCACGAGCTTGTCCCCCTTCTCCAGGTGCAGTGTACCAGGCAGCTGGTACACGCCCGACACGGCGCTCGGGTGCGCGTTGTCGCTGTACTCGTCCTCGATGAACCCGCCGCAGGTGGGCGCCGTCGCGGCGGCCACCTCGGGCGCCACAGAGAGGCGGCGGCGAGAGAGGAGAGACGAGAAAGGGGAGACAGAGGAGGAGGCTCGTGACACGCGGCGCGCGGCGCGGTGCAACATGGGGCTGTGCTGTGCTGTGCGGGGGAGTGGACGGAGGAGGACGGCGGCGAGGACCCGGGGGCGTCGCTTTGCTCTGCTCGGCTCGGCTCGAATTGCGGAATGGCTCGACTTTGGTCCTCTCCACCACCGGCTTTCGGGGGTGATGCGCCGCTTCGAAACTTTCACAACTGGTGTCCTCCACATCAGATGTCCACTTCCTAGTCTAGGCGTTTGCCGAGAGTAGCGTGCGTCACTCGAGTATCAGTGATGGGTGAAGCCGCCCGTCGTCACCGCTTTGTCCGACCCGACGGGATCCAAGCAGCCTTTTTTCCGCCAATCGGCGCGCGGCTCCCCTCTTCAAACAGGCAAAAGCACGTGCCCGGACCGCACATTGCCGGATATCCTCCCCAGAAGATTGATCGATAGATAGCCTAAGCTAGAGCCATGAAGGTGCTGGTGCCCGTGAAGCGCGTGGTGGACTACGCCGTCAAGATCCGCGTGGAGCCCAAGGGCGTGGACCTCAAGAACGTCAAGATGAGCATGAACCCCTTCTGCGAGATCGCCGTGGAGGAGGCCATCCGCCTCAAGGAGAAGAAGCTGGCCACCGAGGTCGTGGCCGTGTCCATCGGCCCCAAGCAGAGCCAGGAGACGCTGCGCACGGCGCTGGCCATGGGCGCGGACCGCGGCATCCACATCACCACGGACATGCGCACGGACCAGGAGCTGCAGCCGCTGGCCGTGGCCAAGCTGCTCAAGGAGGTCGTGGCCAAGGAGGAGCCGCAGCTCGTCATCTGCGGCAAGCAGAGCATCGACGCCGACGCCGCGCAGACGGGCCCCATGCTGGCCGGCCTGCTGGACTGGAGCCAGGGCACCTTCGCCTCGGACGTGGCCGTCGAGGGCGACGCCGTGAGCGTCACGCGCGAGACGGACGCCGGCGTCGAGACGCTCAAGCTCGGCCTGCCCGCCGTGGTGACGGCCGACCTGCGCCTGAACGAGCCGCGCTACGCCACGCTGCCCAACATCATGAAGGCCAAGAAGAAGAAAATCGAGACGCTCGCGGCCGACAGCTTCGGCGTGGACCTGGCGCCGCGCATCGACGTGGTCGAGGTCAAGGACCCCGCCGCCCGCAAGGCCGGCATCAAGGTGGCCAGCGTCGACGAGCTCGTGGACAAGCTCAAGAACGAGGCCGGTGTGATCTAGAGAGAGGAAGCAGTTTAGTATGCTGCGGACTCTGACGGGGTAGCGGCCGATACCACCCTCCTGCTTTCTTCTCGGCTGGACGCGTGGTAGCTTGAAGGGGAGCTGGGGCTGGGTGGGGATCGAGTGCCGTGGAAGTAGCTAGAACAGCTAAACGACTGTCAGTAACCTGCTGTGATCTTTTGTTTGTTCTGAAGTGGGGGTCAAATCTTTGAGAGTTTTCTTGAATATCTGGGGCCCCGATTCGGGGCAGCGTTTTTGCAGGTGGCGTGTTGAAGTGGTTTTGATGCAAGAACTCGAAATGGCGATCGCAATTGCTGAGCAAAGAAATTGACAAGCAAATTGCAGAATTTGCTCACGGAACTCAGCGAAGAGAAAATCGAGGCGGCCCAGACATGCCGTGGATGATTCGCAATGTGCGAGGCAGGAAACAATCCACCTCCATGATCGAGGTGGAGTCCATCGCCAGCGTGTAAGCTGAAGTGAAAGCATAAACAGCAATGACAATCTCAAAACGGCGCAATGGCAATGCTTGACAAGCGCGCGAGCCTCCCGCTTCAACTTGAAGTATCAATGACAAGTAAACACGTCAAAGTCGCTCCGCCCTGCTCAGCGTCGAGCCGCTCGCTGCATTGCACAACTTACCCGCTAACCCCCTCCATCAATTCCAACTTACGAAGTACCATGGCCATGGAGCTGAAGGATCTGGCGCCTCTGCTGCTGCAGCGCGAGCGGGAGTCGAGTCAAGAAATCGACGTTGAGTTGCTGACCAACACCCTGCGCGGTGGCCACGCTGCCAACGTCCGCCGCAAGAACGCCGAAGCTGCCATCTCGCAGCACGTGGAGCTCTCCAAGCGCGATGCCGCCTTCCAGAACCACTCGCAACGGTACAACACCGCTCTGGAGAAGACCTTCCACTACGTCAAGCTCATCCAGAGCAGCAAGGTCGACAGCGACGACCAGCAGATCATGTACGACGCCATCGGAGAGAAGCTGCCGATCCAGGTGCACCGCTCCATGTTCATCCCAACGCTGGAGAACCAAGCGGACGACGAGCAGCAGGCTCATTGGTTGCCACTCGCCAACTCGTACCGGATCCTCGGCGCGTACGCTCAGACGGAGCTTGGTCACGGATCGAACGTTCAGGGTCTAGAGACGACTGCAGCGTACGACAAGAATGCGCAAGAGTTTATCATCAACTCGCCCACTCTAACGAGTCGCAAGTGGTGGCCCGGTGGACTCGGTAAGACGGCCACGCACGCGGTTGTGCACGCTCAGCTGCGGATCGATGGCGAGCACAAGGGCGTGCAAGCCTTCATCGTGCCGCTCCGGTCGTTGAAAGACCACAAGCCTCTACGAGGCGTGGAGGTGGGGGACATCGGCCCGAAGGTGGGCTTCAACTCACTCGACAACGGCTACGCAGTCTTCCACAACGTGCGCGTTCCTCGGCGCAACATGCTCATGCGCTACGCCAAGGTGCTGCCCAACGGGACGTTCATCAAGCCACCGAGCTCCAAGCTGGTGTACTTAACCATGACGCAGATCCGCGCGTACTTGATCCTGAAGCTGGGGTTAGCTCTGGGCGCTGCTACGACCATCACGACGCGCTTCAGTGCAGTTCGTGTGCAGGGTCGTAAGGCGAACGGGAAGGAGCTCGAACTGACGAGGGAGAACCCCGTTCTGGACTACCAGAACCAGCAGCACGCGCTGTTGCCTTTGGTGGCGCTGTCGTACGCCGCTAACTTCGCTGGGCGGTCAATGGTCGACATGCACGACAAGGTGCTGGCCATGGTGACAAGCGGCAAGGCCGATTTCGCGGCCCAGTCGTCCGAACTGCACGCCATCTCGTCCGGGTTGAAGGGGTGGCTAGCAGACCGCGTGAACGACGGCATCGAGCACTGCCGTCGTCTCTGCGGTGGTCACGGCTTCCTGCAGTCCAGCAACCTCGCCCACATCTTCGCTGAGACTGTCGGATCCTGCACCTATGAAGGAACGGCCGATGTCTTGGTGCAGCAGCACGCGCGCTACCTGTTGAAGGAGCTTGGGAGCTGGAAACCCTCCAATGCTGAAGGCCCCACAGCCTTTTTGAGCCGCAGCGACTTCTACTCGGACCCCAAGCTGCGCTGCAGTGCCAGTAACGCAGCAGAGTTTGGCAGCTTCAAGGTGCTTATTGAAGCGTTTGAGGTCCGTGCTGCTCGATCTGTGCGGAAGCTCGCTCATGCGATGAAGGCGTCGGGGAACAACGCCAACGCCTGCATGATGCTGATGACGGCTGCATCCACGCACCACACGGAGCTGCTGCTGCTCAAGTTGTTCATCTCGGGCGTGAGCTTGCTGCCTGTGGGGTCGACCAAGGCTGCGGTGACTCAATTGTGCCAGCTCTTTGGCGTTTGGCTGCTGGTCAACGGACTCGGAGACTTTCGCCACGACGACTACATCTCCAGTTCACAGGCCGACCTGGCGCACCAGCAGCTTGCGAGCCTCTTGCCGCTTGTACGCCGCAACGTCGTGCGTCTGACGGATGGTTGGGACTTCAGCGACTTTGAGCTCAACTCGACGCTTGGACGATTCGACGGAGACATCTACCGTGCGTTGGTCGAGCACGCCGAACGTGAGCCGCTGAATGCCTCCCAGGTACCGGAAGGATACGACAAGTACCTCCGCCCGCTCATCAAGTCCGCGTTGTAGGCTGCAGTTCGTGTTCTGCGTCTTTTTTTAAATATGAGGCGGGTTTTCAACTGTGACCGGCATGACTTCTTCTCCGGAAACGACACCCCTTGGCTAATTATCTTCATCGCCCGCTCAATGATGCCGTTCAGCAACTCACTTATCGTCGTGCACGGTGACTCACCGTCGGTGAGAGCAGAAATGCCAGCCGGCGGAGGTTGGATAATGCACATTGGGCGATCGAATCTCAATAGTGACAAGATCATTTGAAATTGCTTGAGTTCGCTTATGGTAGTAGTATCACTTTTCAAACATTGGCTCTGGGTTGCGTCGATCACACGCAACACTGAAAAGTAACGCGACTTCCATTTGATAGCAAAACATGGCAAACGATTTGTAGCCAAAGGCGATAGCAATGTACAAATTCATTCTTACAACAGGTTCACATTGATTCTACTGGCCTGTCCGTTCGATCCGGATCGCCAGTTTGAGGTTGTGGAGAACGTCATACAACGGTTGCTTGGGACTTATCCTCTGAAGGCAGCGCGAACACTGGCGCCACCATGGTGCTCTCATACCGCAACGCCATGAAGAACATTTCCATGAACCAGTACTTTGCATTAGTGGTGGACGTGCGTATCCATCCTCCGTGGCGGAGCAGGCAGCCGCTGTCTCGACTGGCATCCAAAGGCGCAAACCCGAGCGACGTCGTCATTTGCGTCCACTTGTACGAAGCGCCGAGACATTGCTGGACGGCGTTGTGCTGAAGTGCCGAGTCAAAGATCACGTATTCATCGCCAAGTCTGACGCGCCACAGCAGCTCCAAAGAGTTCGACGAGCTCTGCGTGTGCGGATTGAACAGCACTCGGTGGATCACTAGCGTATCGCGGTTGATCACTTGCAGGACTTGCATCTGTTAGACACGAAGGATAGTGTGTTAGTTGACTCCCAGAAGACAACGAAATAACAGCAAGAAGGTACCAACCTTGACTGGAAACGCAGGATTGAAGAACCGGCCGTACGTTGACGGCGTCGACAGCGTGTCCCACGTGAAGTTCATAAGATGCAGCGCCCGGGCGTTCGGGAACCCTTTCGACAGCACAAACTTGACCGACGATTCCTCCACTTTGCGGAAGTCGCTCCAGCCCATGACGGACGCCCCCGAGGTCAGGAACGTATCATCTCGTTTCGATAGCTCGTACTCATGCTGCGCATTGTGCTGGACGCTCGCCAGCACCTGAGGCGTCAGCGGCTCGTAGAATTCTCGCACCAGCTCCATCTGATTCTGTCAAAGGCAGGGTCAAAAGAAGAGAAGATATGATCAGTCACCGCATTAATCAACCACGTTAGCATCTCAACTGCTGCATGTGCAGTACCTGCATAAGAAGCTGCACTGGGTCCACGTGAGGCACTCGGGGCACGGAGGCTGCGGCAGCGTCCACGCGCTCCTGTAACTCCTGGTTCTCGGCCTTGAGGTCCCTCTCTTCCGCCGAAATTTCGAGGTAGCGGTACTTCTGCTCCAGCGTCTGCGCCAGCTCCTTGGTGCGCTGCATCTCCGCCTTCTTGCGCTGGATGAAGCGCCTCTGCACCGCTCGGTGGCGCGCGCGTCTGTCCTCTTCCGCCAGCTTGGCCTCCTCGCTGGTGGGTGCTGGTTTGGCTTTGGCCTTCATTGTTGATGCTGCAGGCGGCTTGACCTCCGTCCTGCTGAGCTCCACAGTGCGCGGCGAGTTGGTGGCGCCTCCCTGAGCGGCTGCGTCGCGGTCTGTCTGCTGGTCCAGCAGCAAGTGCTCCATGATGCGTTGGTCGGTGGGCGTCCAGCTCACGGGCAAGTCCGGGAAGGCCACTGCAGACGTCGACTCCATTTTGAACAGTGCCTCGTTGCAACGCGAACGGCGGGACAACGGCGCTGATGTCTTGGGGCGCCTCTAAAGTCCTGGACTCCAGGCTGGAGAGTCCCCAGTTCCGGATGGATACACCCTTCGGCAGAGTCGCGGAGAACTGGAAATGGAGCCAGCTCCTTGTCAATTGTTCACTGTGGACCACACGAAAGAGGTCACGGCACTTCTGATACGCTGCAGCTTGACCATGCGTTTGACAAGCATGGGTCGGAACGTACGCGCCCAAAGCGTAGAGCACAGAGTTCAATAGTGTATATATCTCATTGAATATAGATATGGGCCAGTTCAGGCCGACCGCAGGGCGAAGACTGGCGCAACCATGACGCTCTCGAAGCGGAGGATCACGTACAGCATCTCCATGAGCCAGTACTTGACATCTGCCGGCGCGAGCGCAGGCAGCCGGCGTAGCGGAAGATGCATCCGGGGTCTCTACCGTCTCCGCTTGCCGCGAACCTGCTGGAAGGCGATGGCGTGAACACCAGCGCGGTGAACAGCTGCAGCCAGTGGTGCGACTTGGGCAGGCAGCCGTAAGCGGCGTTGTGCTCCAGCGTACGCAAGAAAATGACATGGTTGCGTCCGTGCTGGACGCGCATCATGCTCTCAACCGTGTGCACCACCGCTCCAGTCTGCGGGTTGAACATGCAGCGATGGAGAACAACGCCGTCATCGTCGACCCGCTGCAGTTGCTGCATCTGGATCGTCACAACAGGATGGAAGAGCCTCGGGTGCGTCTCTGGTTGGCACAACTTGTCGAACGTCGTCGTGTAGAACGCCTCCGCGTTTAAGTGATCGAACCGCTTGGACATGACGAACCGCGTCGATCCTTGCTCCAAGTCGATCTTCCGTCGGTCACTCCAGCCCATGACAACGGCGCCAGTGCTCTCATAGTCCGTCTCGCAGCTCGTGGCCTGGAACTCCTGCAGGTTCTTCCTCAGCAGTTCGTTCCAATCTTCTGCAGTTAATGGGATGTAGTGCTCTCGGATCAACTTCTGGTGGCCGGCTAGCAAGAGCTCAATCTGCGCTTGGCTCGGGTAAGGCAACGGCGCGCAATTATTCAGATTTGCCTTCAACGCGTCGTGTTCCGCTTGTAGCTGCTGCTTCTCTCTTGAAATCTGCAGCAGGTCGCGCTCCTGCTGCAGTCGCTGGACTTCCTCCTTGACACGACTGACCTGGTCCTTCTTGCGCTGCATGAAGCGGCGCTGCACCGCGCGGTGCTTGGACTTGCGCGTATCATTTGCAATTTGCCTCGCAATCAGAGACCGATAGCGCATAAGCTGCTGGGCATTGGACTCGTCGCTCCTGCCAACATGAAGTCGTTAGTCAAGCGTACACATCAAATTTTAGTCCTTGCAGTTTGCGCGTACTTGTAGCTGCCCAGCGGCTGGTCGAACAGCAGCGTTTCGATGATTTCCTGGTCCGTTTGCGTCCAATTGACAGGCAAGTGCATTGCTTCGGCCGGTGGCATTGACAGCAGAGAGCCTCGGCGTGAAGAGATCCACTTGACGTTCCCGGTTGGACCACCGTTTTGATGGGACTATTAAATAGTCCTGTCAAAATAGGTATAGTCCAATTTAACGTTAATCTCAACGTTTGTATGAGACTCAAAAATTGCGCATCACCATCTCGTCCACCAATTTTCAAACTCAAGTTGACACGCATGGCGCCAGTGTCCTCACTTCCGCTGCACGACCCGGCACCACTGCTACTACGCCGCGAGCGTCAATTCAGCGATGTGGACGTGGAACTATTGGCCGATGCATTGCGAGGAGGTCGCGAGGCCAACCGCCGTCGCAAATTAATGGTGAAATTGGTCCGCCGCCACCCGGTACTGTCACGTGGAGACTTCATCTACTAGAACCACACACAACGCTGCGCTGCGGGCTTGGAGAAGGCCTACCACTACATTAAACTAGTGCAAGACTACAACGTCGAAGACCCGTACGACCAGCAGGAATTGTATGTTGCGTTGGGCGAGCGTCTGCCGCTGGAAGTGCATCGAGCCATGTTCGTCCCGACGCTCGAGAACCAGGCCGTCAACGAGCAGCAGGCCAAGTGGCTGCCGCTTGCGAGGAGCTTCCGCATCATTGGGGCCTACGCGCAGACGGAATTGGGCCACGGGTCCAATGTGCAAGGCATTGAGACGACGGCGGTGTACGACAAAGAGAGTCAGGAATTTGTGATCAACTCCCCGACGTTGACCAGTCGGAAGTGGTGGCCAGGGGGGCTGGGAAAGACGGCGACGCATGCAATTGTGCACGCGATGCTGGAGGTTGGTGGGGAGAAGAAGGGGGTTCAAGCGTTCATTGTGCCGCTGAGGTCGCTGAAGGATCACACGCCGCTACCGGGGGTCGAACTGGGCGACATTGGACCGAAAGTGGGCTTCAACTCGCTGGATAACGGCTACGCGGTCTTCCGCAACGTGAGAGTTCCGAGACGGAATATGCTCATGAGGTACACGAAGGTGCTGCCCGATGGGACTTTCGTCAAGCCCAAAAGCTCCAAGCTCGTGTACTTGACCATGACGCAGGTGAGGGCGTATCTGATCCTAAAGTTGAGTTTCCTGCTCGGAGCGGCGACGACCATCACGACTCGATTTAGCGCCGCACGCATTCAAGGGAGGAGCAAGACAATAGTTGGTCGGGGCTTGGAGATGTTGCCGAAGGAGGTTCAAGTGCTGGACTACCAGAACCTGCAGCACGCATTGCTGCCGTTGATTGCATTGGCCTACGCGGCCAATTTTGCTGAACGAGCGATGACGGCGTTGCACGATGATACTCTGAAGTTGGTGAAAAGGGGGCACGACTCTTTCGACTTGCAAGTAGCTGAAGTACATGCAGTGTCGTCTGGATTGAAGGCGCTGCTGGCAGACCGAGTGAACGATGGGATCGAGCAGTGCCGTCGTTTGTGCGGAGGGAGCGGTTTTCTGCAGGCGAGCAATTTGCCGCATCTCTTCGCTGAAAACGTGGGGCCTTGCACGTTTGAAGGCACTTTCGACGTGCTGGTTCAGCAGCACGCACGTTATCTGCTGAAGGCTTTTGCCCGAGAGAAGCGCTCCAGCGACTCGAACGAAGCTAGCGATGAAGAGACTCCAACGAGCTTCTTGCGCTACACCGATCTGTACGTCAACCATCGACTCCGCTGCAACGTCCATCACGCAGCAGACTTTGGCAGTTTCCACGTTCTCACAGACGCGTTTGAGGTGCGCGCCGCGCGCTCCATCCAGCGACTTGCAGACGCTATGGAGTCAAACAATGGTCAAAACGCATGTATGCTGCTCATGACCGCCGCCTCGACGCATCACGCGGAATTGATGCTGCTCAAGTCCTTCATTTCAGGAGTGTACTCGTTACCTTCAGGCAAGACCAAGGCTGCAGTGGCGCAGCTTTGCCAGCTCTTCGGAGCGTACTCCTTGTGAAGGGGTTGGGAGACTTCCGCCAGCATGACTACATGTCTAGTGCTCAGGGGGATATGGCTCATCAGCTAGAAAAGCTGCTGCCTCCAGTGCGTCGCAACGCTGTCCGCCTCACGGATTCCTGGGATTTCAGCGACTTCGAGCTCAACTCGGCTATCGGCCGATACGACGGAGACATCTATCGCGCTCTCGTGGACCAAACCAAACGCGAACCTCTCAACGCCTCGGAGGTTCCGGAGGGATACGACCAATATCTCCGCCCGCTTTTCAAGTCATCGTTGTAGCTTGCTGGCTTCTCGCGCATGTGTACTAAAGAAACGAACAGCGGTTTTGAATCAAATCCGCTCATAGGCTTCGTGTTAAACCTGCTGGAAGCCCTCCGTGGACTCTGGGACCCAGCCAACGGCTTGGAAGGGTACTTCTGCTGCGATAATGCTGACTGGCAAGTGCAGGCAGACGTCGGGGCACCACGGGATATCACACTCGACGTCGATGCGGTACGCGCAGGCTATCAGCTCTCCTTTGGTTGACGCTGAAGGAAGCCGCTGTGTTCCGGAACGAGTGTGAGCGGCTGTGGCTGGTCCAACGTCGTGCCGGGCGGCACCCCCGGGAAAGCGTTCTCGCACATAAGCTTGGTGAGCGTGCGGTACGATCCTGCTCCGTTCGAGAGCTGCACCGTGATGTCTTGGTACAATTTACAGCGCATGGCTGTGATCTCCACGCTCGACCCGTTGTTGATGTTGCACAGGATCTGCGCTGTCTCCCCTGGGAAGTAGACGCTTTTGTCCATGGCCACAGCGAGCTGGCACGTGCCGCGGCTAAAGCAGCAGAGGAACTTGACGTCCTGCGTGGTCGAGTCCTCGCTTGCTACCAGCGCCTTGAAGTTGCGTTCGTGGACCACGAGGTCGCAGAGCTACGCCCCCGGACGCTACATGTATCCGTTCGAGTACCAGCTTCCGGCCGATCTGCCGGGCGCGTTCAAGATCAGCGACTACTCCGAGGGAGACATGCAGGGGCTGACGGCCAAGATCAAGTACAAGTTCAAGGCCACGCTGGACGTCGGGGGCTTCTTCGCCTCGGATCTCAAGGCCTCAGTAGCGAAGATCACAATCTTCTGCTTAAAGAAGTCCTTGTCACGCTCGACGTGGTCTCGCTGCTCCACGGACTCCCCGTCTCGGAATTCCGTGTGAACGTGCGAGAACTCCACCTTCTCCTTCCCGGTCACCTTGAGCACCAGCGCTGCATCCACACAGACGTATCTTAATGAGCATAGGTAAACTCAAGCGAGCTGCACTTCTTAGTAAGAAGTTCTTACCATCGCACTCGATTGGCTCGAGGATGTCGGCGTAGATGGTGCAGACCACCAGCTCGCCGGCGATGTACACCGGCTTGGCGACCGTGAGGCCGATCTTGCCTTTCTTGCCGAGCCCGAACGCCTTGGCCAGCTTCCCCATAGTACAGTGTCGGTAGTCGCTCGATCCCAGTCGCGAAGAGACGGCAAAACCGAAGTGCCGCTCGTCTGAATTCACGTGAACTCAAAGTGCCTACATGTACCTAATACATCAGGTGTCGGTGGTCTCCGATAATCGCGCAACTTGATTGAGCTGCGCGAGTAACACAACGCGTAAAACCCCGAGGCGTTTTGATCGAGTGCGTCTGCAACGGCGGTGGCCAAAGCCTGTCTGGGTCTGGGGTGGAGTTGAGCTGCAGCACGAGATCATGTAGTGTACGCCTCAAAGGGCAGGACTAGGGACTCCCTAGTAGGGATGAACAGTACAAGTGAAAGAGGATACGGTTGGAAGGCGGTTTGCTTCAACGAGAGCAAATGACATGAGCCGGAGCGCGGCACCAATTGCACTGACGAGGTGTTGAGTCAGCTCGGGCGAGATTTGCACAGGCAGGCAAGCAGGTCTGGTCGTTGCAGTGCAGTGCGTGCACTCGTACATGTACTCTACGTTGAAGTGGACGTGGACTCTGCGGCGCGCGCGCGTCGAACACGCAATGCGTCACCTCGAGCGGCGGATGAACACGGCTGCAAAATACATGTACATGTAGATTTACATGTTGGCCGACACCAATGCTTCACGCCACACCTTCTACGAGCCCGAGCCCGTCTACTTCAAAAGTGGGCTCCCCCTAAAACGAGAGCCAAAAGTCGCACAAAATGGGCTCCCTCATGGTAAGTACGAGATCAAGGAGCCCTGGTTCGGGCTCCCCATTGGCTCCCCTCCAGGGCTCCCCAAATTTAGCTTCAAATCTATGACGGGCTCTTCATAGTAATATCTGATTGGCCAATTTTACCTAGACTTAAGGCGAGCAACTTCGCGTGATCGATGCGCCACGCCAGAAGATCGAGCTCAAAGATCGCCACACTAGAAGATCTCGCGCCGCTCATATGTGTACAGCCGCTCCGAGGCCACCCCAGCGTCGCCGATAGTCCTTCCTTCCCCTCAAGGAGAAGCCCTCTTTCCTATGCCTTTTCAGGTTAGAACCTGGAGATACTTCAATGACGGCCAATCATCAGCGAGATATTTAACACAGGTGAGGGGGAGCCCTTAACGAAGAAGGCTCACAGTTCTGGAGGGCTCCTTTCACTTAACCTATTAAACTCAAGAGCCGAGCTCGCGACTTTTTGGGTTCACCCAAGAGCCCAGGAGCCCGGCTCTCCCCAGGGCTCGGAGAAGGTGTGCTTCACGCCATCTTGGCTCGCACGACTTCGCTTCAACTTTGTTGCCAGCCTCTGCGCGCCTGCTGTTGTGGACGTCTGAGCAGCGCAATGTCCGCACTGGAATGCTTGCGCTGCGGAGCACCGTAGACAAGGCTCGGGGCGTGATCCCAGGCCTCGAAATGATGCAATTTCGCATGGCAAATGGCATCAGTCAAGTTGACTGATGCCTGAGTCAACGCGAGATCACGGCCGACCGGCGCTTCAAGCAAGTGGATAAGCAGATTACGCCCGCGAACATGCTCCCAATCTGCCTCGAAGGAGGGCAGGAACGCGCAGCGCGCACGCATTGGCGCTGGTTGGCACTGCGCGGCAATGAATGAATGAGAGAGAGAGAGAGAGAGAGAGAGACTTTGCAGAGGTTGAAAACTCATTGGTAGATGCTGTATTTCATTGGTACAGGAAGCTAGCACGCAGTCGTAGTATAGCTTGAATACATAGGGGGTTGGTTGGTTGGTCGTTCGCGCGTGCACTTCCTTACGGCTACACGCGCTGGCGGTAGGTATTAGATCAGAGCAGCGATCAGAAGAGCAGTTCCAGCAGCTCGCTGGCGCAGTCCTCGAGCGTCGGGTATTCGTCCGAGTCGCTGGCTGTAGAGTCGAGAGGGACGAGGTCATCGCTGCCGAACGCCTGCATCTTGACGAACGGGTCGTAGTCGCCCGCGCCCAGCCACGTGCTGCCGATGGTGTCGTCCGGGGACACGGGGGAGCTCGACACGGAGATCGGCGACAACTTGGAGCTGGTGTTGGAGTCGAGGATCTCGATGGCGTCCGCGATGGACATGTAGATCTTGCTGGCGTCGTCCATGTGGGGGCAGTCCTTCTCGGTGCAGCTGCACGGCAGCTTCATCTTTGAGTAGGAGCCGAGTCCGAGTCCGCCCGCCGACGGGCTCTGCAGCGACCGGTGCGCCAGCGCCGCGTCGTCGGTGGATCCGATCAACCCGCGGTGGGCATTGTGCAGACCGTGGCGGGACGCCGCCTGCTTGCGCTGCGCCTCACGCAGCCTGCGCGCGGCCTTCAGTCGGTACTTTTGCGCGTGGGTCATGGTCTGGCGCACGTTGCGCGTGCCGACGTAGGCGGCGACGCGCTTCCAGGGGCCGCTCGCGAAGAGCTTGACGCCCTCGAGGAACCGCGCGTGCTCCTCTTCGGTCCACATGCCGACGCCGACCGAGGGTTTGTTGCTGCCGCTGAAGTGCGGCTGCGTTGCGGTCTGGAGGCTCATGGTGGTGGAGGCGGAGAAAGTTGGGGAATGAAGCCACTGCTGTTGCTGTGAGGGTGGGTTGGTGGGGTAGTAGTAGGGGGGGTCTAGTTCAGCTCGAAAGTTTCCGTGTTCGTGTGAGTGCCTGAACTCGCTGCCGCAGATTCGTGAATGAAGTCACGAGAGACTTGGTCGGCAGAGACACTTCAGCATCGAGCTGAGCCTTGGAGGATCGGAGCGCTTTGATGGGCGTATGACTGCGGAGACCGAGCGCGCATAGTGGGTACGCGTCGATCCGCGCCGAGAACACGCACGCACCGGAGTCGCGGCGCGGCCGTAAACTATTGTTCAAAATCCAGCATCGCCGGAGATGCTTGAGCGGCGAGAAAACGGGGGGCTTTCCACCGCGATCCTGTATACTTTGGTCTCGTGGTGCGCGAGTTGAAGGCGCCGCCACCACGGAATTCCGCGCCTGTGGACGAGAACCGCGAGCCGATCGAGTCCAGTTGCCGCGGATTACTGGCGCAGCGCCAGCCGGTGTGTACGTCGATCCTGTACATCACCTCATTGCACAAAGATGAAGTTGACTTTTGACGAGACCATAGTGGTGTCAACACATAACTCCTTCTTCTCGCTTCTCGCTTCTTGCGACCGTGGCTGTGGCTGCGATTACTGGCGCAGGCGGCGCTCGGACACCTGGCGGCAACAATTAATTGCAGTGTCAAGCTCACGCTGCCATGTGCTCGATTTGAAGGTCGGCAGGAAGAGGACAGGGTCTCAAAATGCAACTGCATGTATAATTGCACGTGGTGGCAAAGGAGCTCATCTTTGGAAAGCGTGACATATCAACCAGCGTCTTTTTGGTACACGTGTACAGTAGTCTCTATTTTTTATCAGCACTGCGGGAAAGCTGTCGCATCGGGCAAATTAGAGCCGACAACAAGCTCAGCTGAGGCTCGATGCGGCTATTCCCAATGTTAACTGTTTTCCTTGACCGCAGCGCTTGACAGCGTGCATTGCATTGCTCAAACAGCTTCAACGTCGCATCGAGATCAGCTCCTGTTATCCGAAGCGCGCCGAAGGCTCACGTCTCGGTGGATAGTCTTCAGTGCGCTGCGCGAAAGTTGAAACTTTGCTGAATGCGCGCGCTGCAACATGTACAGGACAACACCACGAGCATCAAACGCGGCGGACGCGCGGCACTCCTTTGTTGTCGCTGTCGCTGCGGCGTTCGTCACCCACTTCAACTCGGCACGCTTTAAGCAGCTTACATGTTGTGTGAAAGCAGGGAAGGAATTCGAAACGCGGGCTCCGCTTAGCTTCACTGCGGGCGATGCATCCGCGATAGGCGAAGGCACGAACGGGAGGAGCGCGTTCATGCTCATCCGGTGACACACCTAGCGGCGCGAATTGCCCAGCTGGTGGATCTTGAGGCGACACGATGCATGTTGAAGTGGACTTGCAGATACGCTGCTTATGGTGCAAGGCGTGTCGTACTCCGTCAGCATGGGGCTGGGGCGACCACAACGTGTCGATTTCGCTCGTGTACTGTAAAGCAGATCGGCTTTAGTGTGCCTTGATAGAAGCCGCAGCCACGACGTCGTGTTGCTCCATCATCCTGGCGGCCGGACTAGCGCCATGTTTGCTTGTTAAAGGAGGTCGGACGCGGGCGCACACGTCGGCCCGATGCCCCTCTTATGGCCAACTTCGATCGCGAGATGCGCTCGAGTAAGATGCTCGCTTGACCTGAGATCCCAGGGCTTTGACCTGTTTCCGCTGACGGTCTTCCTTGCGAGGGGTTCAAGCTCAAGTCCGAGGTGGCTTCTACATGTATCTGTCTGGCTAGCAATTTAATGGCGTCTGTGGCGAAGGGCAAAAGCCTGCTTCGGTGAGATGTCTCTTCGAAGTACACCAACCTACAACAGCGTCCTCTTGGAAAAGGGTGTCATGAAACCAAGGGAGCATTTTATTAAGCGTCCTCTGTAAGTAAAATTCTAATAACAATTTGAGTGTGTCTTGACGTTGACGAATCCATACAAGGGCTGCGCTGCTTGAGTTGCTGGGCGGGTTGTTAGTGCAGGTGTGCTCTACGTGTGCACGTTTAAAATAATAGTTTGAGCAGCTCGGTAGCGCACTCCTCGAGCGTCGGGCTGGCCGTCAAGTCATCGACGAGGTCGATATCTTCCACGTCGAGCAGCGCTGCGTCCAGACACGCTGGCTCCTCCGTCGTCTGAGGAAAGACCCAGGGGTTCGTCTCCGACTCGCTAGCGAAATGCTTGACCTCTGCAGCTGGCAGGCAGCTATTCACGGGGAGCTCCACGGTCGGGAACGCGTAGCGAATGGGCTCGCACGTGAGGTGGTAATTGGTGTTGTGGCTGTTGTGGGCGGCCCCCAAGGCGCGGAGACGCTCTTGCATGAGGGACTCCTCGCTCACGTGGTGGCCGAAGTGCATGCGCATGAGCGCCTGCTTGGTGCGCAGGCCGCGCAGTCGGCGCGCAGCCTTTTGCCGGTACTTTTGAGCGTGCGTCATGGTTTGTCGGACCGTGCGGGTGCCGACGTACGCGGCCACGAGCTTCCAGGGCCCGTTGGTGTAGATCTTGATCGCCTCGAGGAACTTGGCGTGCTCCTCCTTGCTCCAGACGCCGGTGCCCATGCCGTTCGCGTTGCTCTGGCCGCTTGGAGACGACTCGGAGCCTTCGTCGTCCGTGTAGGACGACGACGTGTCGGAGTCCACTTCCATGTCGGTTGAGTGGCTCAGCTCGTCCTTCGACTTGATCTCATCGACGGTTCCACCGGTAGACAGGTAGGCGTTCATCTTGTGACAGAAGAAGGTAGATGGTACGTCGTCGCGGGGTGGACTGGGGGCGAGTGTAGTTGCTTGAGACCAAGCAAATTCGAGAGTGCGCTCCTGCTGCTGCAAACTACCCTTTGGCCGTTCGTCTCCGTGGCGTTTGTCGACGTACGTACATTTTATCGAGGAAATCATATCTAGAGAAACCGCACTTTGAGTACGGGCGCCCGCGTTTCATAACGCTCACTAGTGGTCGACTGAGTCCCGCTTGGCGCTTGCTCTGCCTGCCTGCGATATCACAACGCCGTGGTCGTCCCAGGGTTTTCCACGAAGACGTGGCTGAAAGCTGGAAGCTGGAAGCGCGACTGGAATTGTTTGCCACGCAGGAGGTGGACTTCGTCTCGACTGCAAAAGTTCGAGGCTAAGATGGCGGCTCAGTGAAGACGCGTTAGCTACGAGGACCGAGAGAGTTTTTACCGTCGCATCTTGGTGGCGAGCGGGCGCCGGTTTTCTATGACTTTACACTGGCGACTGTCATGACGGTTGCTTGGTGCCCGCTCGGCGGGCCCTGAGAGACCAGCAACATGATGTGGCCAGCGCGCAGCGTCGGCCAGTACACTCAACGTGGTCTTAATCCTTAACTGCCCACAAGGCGACGAGACAACCGCCCGCCCGGGTATCAGCCCCTGCCGAACAGCGCTTCGCTAAGAAGGCGCCAGGCCTTTCGCCTGCAGGCAAATACTACATAGCCTTTCGGCGCAGGACACACGGCACGCCAGCGAGCTGGTGGTTAGCAGTTTGTACACTGGGGTGCTGCCTGCCAACGCGGGACGGGCGCAGAATTGTCGTCGAGTTGAGGTCTGAAAGATACCTTGAAGTGCATGTACTTGAGGTCGAAGCGGACTGTCCTGGACAGTGTGCACACTGCACAGATCACCGATTCCGGCTTTAGACCTGCGAATGGATCATTAGGCGAGCAATGGCCAACTCCTCTTGGCCGCTCCTGAGCGTGCTGGAAGTGGTGCAAGGCTCTGTTACCGCCACTCGATCAAAGCTTGTGGTTTCCAGCAGTTGGATGGAGCAAGCGGAGCTGTGGGCGGGCGGTTGGTTGTCTGTTGCCAATGCCGATGCTGCCGCCTCCCCACATCAGCTCGCGTGAGAGTCAGAAGCAGAACCGAACGCTTTTTTTCGGGGGCTGAGCCTTCACGACACTTGACGTGACGTCGGTCTGCGTCGCCGCTGGCATACGCGGATGGAATACACGTCCTCCATGGGTGCGTCAGCGGCAGCGAATGCCCAGCGACGCCACTGTACTCTTCACGACTGCTGCGAAGTTAAATGAGTGGCGCCACCATCATTTATTCCTGTCTCCGGTGGAAGAGCCCGACCAAGCGGGGCCCGATTCTATTTGTCCACGCTACTGAGCAACCTGCGCAGGCCTCAACTTGGCAGCAACTCGCCTCCTTCGACGTCTCATGTTGTACTGGTCTTCATTTAACCACAGCTTTGATCTAGCTGGTAGTCTCGTCTTGCCATGCGGGCGGATAGTAATCGGAGCTGGAAGTGCACGCTTGGCTGGAGATGAATGGACCCGTTCACTGCACACATCAAAGCTGCTCGCATCCTTCACCCTCAACGGCGGGACAACTCCCAGCGTAAACGAGACGCTGATGATACTGTCTGTAGACGCGAGTGTCCACTAGATCTGCGAATCTACCCGCAACTATGCCAAGTATTAGCGTGAAGTAATCTCAGCAGTCGATACTCGCCAACCGGACAGCAGCAAAGAGTTAGCGGATCCTACGGACCCTGACATGGTGGCAGCCACAGCTTCACGCTCGCCACGGCAGACGTTGCTCTGCTCTGCATGCCGATACAGTATCAGCGTCCGGAGCTCAAGTCGCTTCTGAAGCTGAAAGCCTAAATCTCCCGTCATCGCAAGAACCCAAAACTCAATTGAATTGCGTCCTCCGAGACTTGGAGCAGGTCTTCCCGTCTCTGGAGGTCGAGAGCAGGTCCAAGGCCAGGAGCTTCCAAGTTGCCAACACTAGATACTTCATTGTATCGAATCACGTTAATGGTGCCGCTGGTACAGTATACGCAAATTCATGCCAACTTGGCCCAAGCCTTATCCGAAGCCGCCAACTGGACACAGACCAGCGGATCCTTCGGAGCCCGGCGCGATTACAGCCATAGATTCGATAGAAGCTGCCCCTCGCTTCACGCGGATGTGTGGCTCGCAAACTCTCCCAGAGCTCGAGTCCCTTCTGAAGATGGACTAACTCCCAGAACCCGAAATTCACATTGTCAATTCCCATGTCATCAACTGTCAATTCCACATTTTTATGATTTGGTACTTAAAAGTACCAAATCATAAAAATGTGGAGGAATAAAAAACGGATTCAGACACAAAAGCAGACTAAAAAAGGACCCGTTACTAACACAGTCGAGCGCGGTTACAGTACCGCTTGACTACCTAGAGCTGAGCCCCTCAAGCCCCTCCGTGCAAGGATGAACAGGTTCTGGAGCTGCTCGCTGCGCGGCGATGCGTCGGACGAGTCGGTGCGTCAAGTGCCGTGCGCGCCCATGGTGCCGCGTGCTCTGGGGGCGCCGGCCAAGACGAAGCGCCGACTCACGGAGCTGCACGACGTGGCGCAATTGGGTTTCGGGGGCTGCGGGGGCATGTACAACTACTTCCTGGGCGTGGCGTCCGTCCTACAGGAGGAGTACGACCTGCGAGACGTGATCTTCTCGGGGGTCTCGGCCGGGTGCTTCCCGGCGCTGGTGCTGGCCCTGGGCATGGACGTCAAGGAGTTCTTCTTCAAAAAGAACCTCCCGCTCATCGAGGACGCGGCGCAGTGCTCGTACGCAGGGCTCGGCAAGTACGACAAAAGCTGTTGCTATATTGTATCTAAAGGGTTGATGACCTGGGAGAGTTAATTTGTTTGACGTGTGTTGTCTGTAGGTGGATCCCCATGGTGAAGCGCAATATGGTGAAGTTCCTACCGTCGGACGCGTATCAACTCGTGGACAAGAAGCTGTACTTCTCGGTCACGGAGATCCCCTCGTTGCGCAACCACTTGATGACGACGTGGACGAGCAACGAGGAGATGGTGGACTGCATGCTGTGCTCGGCCCACGTGCCGTTCTACACGACGTCGCTGACGGCGCCGTACCGGGGGAAGCGCTACTTCGACGGAGGGCTGAGCAACTCCAGCCAGGGCCCCATCGTGCACCCGGACGCACCCCACAAGGTGTTTGAGATCTGGAAGTGGCGCTGGATTTCTCCTACCTGGGTCCTGGTGACCACCAACGCCGACTGGGCCATGGAGATGTTCCGGATGGGACGTGAAGACGCGGCCAAGAATCTCCACGAAGTTAACGAAGTGTTCTTTTAGACAGGAACGCCCGATTGATTCCCTCATTAGAAGCAACAGCGTGTTCCTATCTGATTCATTGCCCATCATGTTGTATGGGGTGTTGTTGAAATGTTGTGCCTGTTACAGAGGTGTTTTAGTTTTCAGACTTGTTGCTCGAATTTCTCGACAACTATTCAACAAGTCAGTGAGAGTGTGCGAGTCCGGTTCTCAGCCAGCATTGTCTTCGTTGTTGGCACTAAAGAGCAGCTCTGGAAATCTCAGCAGTCGACATTCCGTCTGTACGTCGATCGTCAATCTTAAGAGTGATCTCAGTGATCTTTGCTGCGGTCAACATTGGTTGGATCTCAATCGAGACTGTGATCACTTGTTTCCAGCGGTACAGGCAACGGTGTTGCTGGACTAGTTCCGAGCTGAGTATTCGGCTGTTTCCGGTGAACGGTAGACTCAGCCCGCTGCACTGGCAAACAACGGCACCAAGACCATGGGTTTTTCCACCGTTCCTGAGTTTTCCTCGAGTTGGCAGTGAGCGGTAGACTCCTATTGCGTGGCGCCAATGCATACCAAGCGTGAGAGATGTGGAGGTTGCGTGCACGCGTCAGTCGTAATGCGTCGAGCGTTGCCATGGAGTGTTCCAGCTCAAAGCGGAGACCATGGCATCAAAACTACGGCTTTCGTTCGGGTAGTAATCATGAGATGTAGCCAATCTCAAATGGATCACTAACTACCCGTCATAATCGATTCGGTACCGTACGTACCAATCCAGAACATGAACTGTAACGTGTCACAAAACCTCTATCAACCGGTTCCCCTTGAAATCCAATTGATGGTTTCTACCAACGGACTCAATCCGCCGCGGATCTCATTTCTGCATCGGATCGATCATGCAGCCGGACAAGGCGAGCATGTCCGAGGCCGCTGCGTCGCCGCGTCGCCCCATGACCGACGACGACGCCAAGAAGCGTCCAAAAACCAAGACCAGAGCCAAGAAGCGCGAGTCCGAGGGCGTCAGCAGCAGCGACAAGAGGCGAGCGCCCAAGAAGAGTCCGCAGCAGGCGCGAGAGGACTCGAGCGCGTGTCTCGTTGGCTCTTCGTCCTCCTCTTCGTCCTCTTCCTCCTCTTCGTCTTCTTCTGGTGACTCGGATGCGCGCGACTCGAGCTCCGGCGGCAAGAACAGCGACGCCAGCGGTCCACGACGTCGCACGAACAAGAGGAACCCTAAGGCAAACCCTAGCGCCAAACGTCGCTATGACTCGTCATCTGCCGAGTCGCCAACGCCTGAGCAGGGCAAGTTCCGGTACCTCAAGCCCGACGAGATTCAGAGCGGACAACTGCCGGTTTACGACTTCGCCGTCATCGTGAACCGCCAAGTGCAATTGCCGGGGTGCATCCGACGCACGATCAGCTGCATCTGTTGCTGTGGGACGTCTGTGGAGTCGCCCTCGGCGGTGAATACGCCCAAACGGGGCTGCATGGACAGTATCGCTGATGCCTCACACGAAAGATCGGGCTTTAGACGGCTGTGCATGGCCAGCTCCCCCGTGCTCAATGAGAGCGAGGACGAGCACCGACGCATCGTCAACAAGCTCTGCAGCCAAGGCTTGCTCGTGGATATAATCGATGGGGGAGACTCCAAAGGCGAGATGCACTCCGGGTACCTGATCCTGCTGGTTCGAGCGCCGGACTCCGTGGTCATGTCGTTGGTCAAGCAGTTCCGAACGCTCATGTGGATGGAGCACGGCGCCGTGGTGGATATGGAGCAGGACGTGGCTCAGCGTCGAGACGACCCCACTACTCCGGCCGAGAGGATCGAGATCGTGGACTATATTATCGAGCAGCGGGCGAGGTTGTCCAAGAAGGACTTGTGGATCCATGACCTCTTCCCCATGCACAACCAGAGCGTGACGAACACGCTCATTCATAGGTGGGTGACGTCCTGGAGGCTACACGAGCTGGACGACAAGAAGGTGCTGCGCTCGTTGCGCTACAATTTTGGCGAGAAGGTGGCGTACTACTTCGCGTTCCTCAAGTACTACAACACGTGGCTCATTCCGCTCGCGGCTATCGGGATCTTGCTGGAACTATTGCGTGGAGTCATTTCCATGACGGCATACATGCGTCTGCTGCCGTTCTGGGGCTTGGGTGTGTCGGTGGTCTGGGGCTTTGCGTTCCTCAAGTCGTGGGAGCGCGAGAACGCGTGCATGCAGTACGACTGGACGGGTAAGCTGCACGTAAAGCAGATTGAGTACCGCAATAAGCAGTTCCACGGCGAGTCTCGCGTGAACGCGCTGACGGGCGAGGTGGAAGTGGTGTATCCTGCATGGCGCCGGCTGCCCAAGTACTTCTGCGTGTTCCTCTTCATGCTTGGGCAGATGCTGATCATGCTGGTGCTTGTGGCGAGCTGGGTGACAATCTATGAGATCCTCAAGGCCACGTACAAGGAGAGCTACATCTTCTCGACTCAGTGGCTGCTTATTCTGCTGGAGGGCTGCGTGTTCGGCTTCTTTGTTGATGTTGTCCAGTGGAACATGGTGGTGACCAAGATGGGCGCGCTGTTCACGCACTGGGAGAACTACCGCACGGAGGAGCAGTACGAGAAGGCGCTGATCCGTAAGCTCTTCTTGCTCGACTTCCTCAACTACTACACGTGGTTCTTCTCGCTGGCGTTCATCTTCGTGATCCCTGGACTCGGCAACACGTTGACGAACACGTTCAATCACATGTTCTTCGGCGATGCGATCAACTGCTGCTTTGGTCCATACGTTAATGAAGACGGCTCGTGTTCGGTGTGTCCTGTGGGCGACAAGGACGCCACTTGCGTCGAGTGCGTTGGGTTCTTCACTTTTGATCGCCGGCACGTGGATCTGAGTGCGATGTTTGTCACCCCCATCGTGATCACCCAGTCGTTGAACATCTTGCTGAGGCTGGTGGCTCCCATGCTAGTGCGTAAGCGTCGGGAGAAGGCCCAGGCGCGTGCTGACGCGCGAGCTCAGAAGCGCGTTCGTGAGGCAGGCTCGATGAAGATCCTGGGCTCGCTGGACTATGAAGACCACAAGGAGTCGCAGTTCGGCAACAAGTCGAGCTCGCGGTACCTCGAGTATACTCCGAGTGAGATCGAAGTGCTGAACAAGAAGGCGCGCGAGATCCTGTTTGACAGCGAGCAGGACACGTACGACCCGTACGACGATTTCCACGTGCTGACGGTGCAGTTCGGCTTCACGGTCATGTTCTCCATGCTGTGGCCGCTCATGCCCTTCGCGTGCTTCCTGATCAACAGCGTCAAGGGCCGCACGGACGGCTATCGGCTGTGCAAGACGCTGAAGCGGCCGATCCCGCGGCGCGCTAATGGTATTGGAGCTTGGAAGGGGATCCTCACCACTTACGCCTACATCGCTGTGATCGTCAACGTGCTGTTGATCTGCATCTCGACTGGGGTGCTGGAGTTCTTCGACGAGACCTGCGTGAGGGACATTGAACACCAACTGGAGAAGCAAGGGAAGACGCTGGACGATTTCATCTTCGGGCCGAACTTTGGGTGTCTGCACATTGCGTGGCGTCTGCTCTTTATCCTGCTGCTGGAGCACTTTTTCGTTGCGATTGCCTATGTGGGGATGCAGCGCGTTCCTGGCGTGCCGAGCTGGGTCAAGACCGTTATGAGCGCGAGGGAGAATAAATTCAAGGAGCTGCTTAGGAAGCACGAGCTGGTGCTGTTTCCCCCGAACGCTGGAGGTGGCAGCAAAGTCACTGGGTCGGAGGCCGGGAGTGACCAAAGCACGCTGTCGTCCGAGTCGTTCCGTATCGACATGAAGCGGCTCGTTGGCTTTGGGGGCAACACCACGAGCATGTCGAGTCGCAGCACCCGCGCGTCTTCTCAGCCGCCAGCCCCAGCGTCAACAACAGCAGTGCCGCCTCGCTCCATCTTGATCGACCCGATGACGCCGCTCTCTCGAGCTCCAAGCGACTTGGAGTTCCCCACCAGCACGGGCGTTCGCACCAAAGCTCGAGAGAAGCTGGCGAGGCAGTGGTCGGACGGCTCCGACCATTAACCACACTAACTATTTGACGCTAGCTGCTTCGACGCAGCATTTGTAGCTAGGGAAGGGAGCTCCTGGATTGAATCGAGATATGTATTGGCCACAGGATACATGCATGCTTGTCTTGAGCACGTACATGTACGTGCAATCATCCGACGGTGGTTGGCTCTCCAGACTCCATAGTTGACGATAAAGCTGAAGTTGCCTGTCACGTTGAGGTTCAAGGCGGTAAAGTCAGCCGGCCGTGGGCCACACCTTACGCCCGCTTCCGACCATGTCGGCGTAAACGGAATGCCAAGCTTGCTGCTCGAAGCTCGCAATGCAAAGTGCAACAAGTTGGCAGAAGGCAGCAAGCTCCAAGAATACTGTGCATGCACGCACGGTGCACCCCACTGTCAACGCCGGTCAGAGCCTCCTGTCCGTGGGATCATGCTGTTCGAGAGATACAGTAGAGAGAACCAACAGCAGTAGCAGTAGCAGTAGCAGTAGCAGTAGCGAGGCGTTTCTAGCGCTTCCGCGGGATCAACTCAACTTCAATCACTGCCCGCGGCTGCTTCGTTCTCCTGACGTGTCAGCCCAATCACGGCGTTGCGACTGCCGAAAAGCTCCGATAGCTGTAGCTGCTCGCCCATGGCCGGCAGAACGCAATTTGCCATGGGCTACAAGCAGTCCAGCGACGACGACGACAAGAGCCAAGACGCGCGCGAGCGCGTGCTGAGCGCGCTGCGCGCGTGGGACCAGCAGGAGCTGCTGGGCCTGCTGGCGGACACGGCCGACAGCGCGCTGTGGCGGCAGGTGCTGCACTTCGACGGCTGGTACAAGGGCGGCGTGGCCGGCTACTTGGCCTCGGCCACCAAGCTCTACGCGGAGCTGCGCGGCGAGGCCGCGGACGAGGCCGACGCCGGAGACCTATGGGCCGACTGGCGGCCGTCCAACCCGGCGGCTTCGGCCGAGCTGGCCGCCGTGGCGGAGCTCGACTCGCCGCTCTTCAATGAGCTGGAGCAGAGCGGCCTGGCCAACCTGGACAAGTGCTGCTTCGTGGTGGTGGCCGGCGGGCTCGGAGAGCGGCTCGGCTACCAGGGCATCAAGCTGCGGCTTCCAGTGGAGACGCTGACCCACACGAGCTACCTGGAAGCCTATGTGCAGCACCTGCTGGCCATGCAGGCGCTGGCCAACGCCCAACGTGACGCCCCGATCCACATCCCGCTGGCCATCATGACGTCCGACTCGACGCACGAGGCCACGCAGAGCTTCTTGACGGAGCACAAGAACTTCGGCATGGCCGAGGGCCAGCTCGTGCTCATCAAGCAGGAGAAGGTGCCGTGCATGGATGTGATCGAGGGCTCTGCTGATGGTGGCAAGCAGCCCAAGTTGAAGCTCGTGGTGAAGGACGGCTTGCTGGTGATGAAGCCCCATGGCCACGGTGACGTGCATACGCTGCTGCACACGTCCGGACTGGCGGCCAAGTGGCTGCAGCAAGGCAAGATGTACGTGCACTTCATCCAGGACACCAATTACCTCATCCTGAACGGCGCGCTGCCGATGCTGGGCGCCTGTGTCAAGCACGACTGGGGCTTCGCGTTCACGACGGTACCGCGCAAGGCCAAGGACGCGTCCGGCGGCATCGTGCGCTTCACGTCGCCATCGGGCAAGCACTCGACGCTGTTCAACGTGGAGTACCACGAGCTCGACCAGTTCCTGCGCACGCGCGCCAAGACCGAGTTCCCTGACGGCGACGTGAACGACCCTAAGACGGGCTTCTCGCCCTTCCCGGGCAACATCAACGGCATCGTCGCGGCGCTGGACTCGTACGTGCCGGTACTGGAGACGTCCAAGGGCTTCGTGCCCGAGGTGTTCAATCCCAAGTTCCGTCCGAACGCCAACAAGTGCGCCTTCAAGTCGCCCGCCCGCCTGGAATGCATGATGCAGGACTACCCCAAGCTCCTGGTGCAGTACCAGATTGAGCACCACGACGAGAGCGGCAAGGGCGGCGTGGGTCTGGTGCAGTTTCCCTCGAGCGTTGTGTACTCGCCCTGCAAGAACGACGCCGCAAGCGCCAGCGAGAAGGCCAAGAACGATATCCCGCCCCAGTGCGCAAGCTCCGCGGAGCACGAGGTGTTCGCCATCAACCGTTTGAAACTGAAGACTCTGGGCGTGTCGATGCCGAAGGAGACCACGCAGCAGTCGTGGCTTGACATCCCCGTGGACACTTCAGGTCCGCAGATTGTGTTTGGATCGGGCTTCGCACTCAGCCAGACGACGTTGGCCAAGAAGTTCACCAAGCCTTCTGCCATCAACCTCTCCGCTCGCTCCACGCTGATCGTCGAGGGAGCGGACGTCACGTTCGACTCGCTGGAGCTGGACGGCGCGGTGCGCATTGTGGCCTGCCCCGGAGCCAAGGTGGCGGTCAAGTGTCTATCGGTCAAGAACGCTGGCGTCGAGTACGAGTCGGTGCCGGCCGACAGTGACCCCGTCGACGCCATGCGTGGCTACCGACTCAAGCAACTCGAAGTGAAGGAGTTCCGCTTCGACAGCCCAGGCAACTACGTGATCAACGAGTAGGTGGCCAGACTGTATGAGGCACAAGTAGAGACTACGTTTTCCCATTCAATGTAATTGAGACTGTCTACTTTCAGTAGTGTTTCCGTTCCGTTGCTGACGCTTCACTACATCAACGACTACGATGGCACGATTTCTATTGAGATGGATGTGACTGCCGCAGGAAGCCCCCAAGCTCTCCAGCCGAAACTGAAGCGCCCCCACCAGGTACCGACACCCGACGAGGAGAGGGTATTCCTCTCGCAGCACAGTACGCTGTTTGCACTGCGTATATCACAAGCCGGACGGATGAACCAGCAAGTGGAAAGTAAAAAAGTGCTTGAATCCACACAAATTCTTTGATGGTAGGAAATGTATCTGGGACTCCCCTCCATTCGGTGCACGAGAAGGCAACAGAACCGTCCTCGGTCCCGCAATAGGCTACGAGGACAGTCTGCTGAGAACGCGGCGAGAGAGACCGAAGCCTCCCCCGCCCTTCTCCCCCGTGCACCAAGTCCCGAAGGAGCTCGGACAGGAAGCCCCAGACGTCCATGTGAGCCTCATATTTAACTGCGTAGCCACGGTCGACGCTCCCCGCTCCATCCAAGAAGACGGAGCTAAAGGAGGCAGGGCTGGTAGCTGGTAAAGAGAGGCACCACAGCAAGATGGGTACATACACAGATTCGCGAATTTTGCTTTGGCTGGTACGGGTTCAATTCGTAACTGAAGCTCGGGAGTGGCTGGTCGCAAATTTTTTACGACTCGTTTGTGTGTTTTTACGTAAAAACAAACGGAGGAAGTGTAAGAAGTCAATTTATGGACATTCTACAAAGTGTCCATCTCTATCTACGGGACGTCCACCTTATTCGCCGTACTCCATCATGGCGAGCTCCTTGGAGTCCGGGACGGCCATGGCGCCTCGTCCAGTGCTGATCTCCTCGTCGTCGCTGTCTAGGTGGGCCTTGGCAGCGGCGGGCAGCGGCTTGACAGCGTCCTCCTCCGTGTCCTTCTCCGGCAGAGCGGGCGCGACGCCCACCAGCGAGCTGCTGCTCTTGTTCGTGCGCAGATACTTCTCCCACGCGTACTGCTCACGCTTGTACAGCTCCAACGTCGCACGAGCATCCTCAACCTATACAACAAGAGATACCGTTAGCTGCTGAATGACCATTAAGTGGTTGGTGGTGAGATGACGTACGGAGTCGTGCTGTCCTGTTTGAATCTGTCGGCCCAGCACTTCCTCCGTCAAGACCTTCAGTGCCTTCGGGTACAATTTCTGTAGACAAATAACACCAGCATTAGCACCAACACTTCTACTGCATATCAACACAGAGTCGTTCAGCCAACGTACCGTTCCGTTCATCTTGCGACGCATGTACGGTCGGTAGTACGCCGTGTCTCGGATGAGGTGCTTAGGCGGCGTGAACATGAGCGCTTGGAAGTCGTTCTTCAGGGCGTGGCCCACAATGATCTTGTCCTGCAGCAGCTTGCCCACCTCCTTGAGGCACTGCTTGAAGGGGATGGCGTGCCGCAGCGAGCTCGACTTGATGCCGCTCACGTGCGTGCGGAAGTCCGTGACCTTCTCCACGGGGCGCACGTGCTTGTCGTACAGCACGTTGCCGTTGTAGTCCACGATACTGCAGCGCGCCAGCACGCTCGTCTTGCCCGAGAGGCCCACGCCCACCATTTCGCAATCCATGCCCACGATGAGCGAGTTGTCCACCCACTCGGCGGTGCGCTGCTGCTTGCGCTTGGCCTGCTTCTCCTGCTTGGCGCGCTGCTTCTGGGCCTTCACGTCCAGGTCGTGCTTCTTCTCGGGCACCTTGCCGCCCTTGTGGCGCTGGTCCTTCTGCTGGATCTTGCTCTTGAGCGCCAGCCAGTTGGAGTTGGCCAGCACCATGGGCTTCACAGCCTTTGCGGCCTTCTCCTGCGTCTTCTGGGGCGCGGATTCGCTCACTTTCTTCGCGGCTGCGACCTTGTGCTTCTTCTTGCCATTGTGCACCTTGCCGTTCGCCTTGCCGCTGCCCGCCTGCGCCGGTGCAGAGCCCTCCGTACGCTTCCTCTTGCCGCCCATCGTCAATGTGATCAACTTGACTGGCGGCCCGACTCGAGCAATATAGACCTATGATCCAACATACACCTACCGTATCGCATGTTTGCATTGCAATATGGATACATTTGGGTTCTCCACACAAATATCATGGCACAGTGTATTACGCCCACTCGCTCATGGGTTCATTCTGCCATTTTGCTCGCAACGTCTCAACATGAGCGACGCCGAAGTCGTCGTGGACGTCTCTCCGCTGCTTTCTGCGCCTTCCACGGACGGCACCACCTCCACACCGACCCCAGATGCTTCTCCGTCGTCTGCTCTACCCAACGCAGCCTCCGCCGTCTCCAACAACGCAGTAGTCGCCCCGCAACACGCGCACGGACACGGACACAGCCATGGCCACCACAACTGCCAGCACCAGCACGACCACGCGCCGCCGGAGGAGCAACCGCCCATGACCCCATTGGAAGAAATGTTCGCCTGCGCCAGACGCAACGATTTAGCGCAGTTCGTGCAGCTGGTGGCGCAATACGGCGACGAATTAGCGACGCAGCGACGAGATGCCCAGGGCCACACCATCGCCCACTGGGCGGCGCAGAAGGCCAACGGGGAGTTCCTGCACTACTTGCACTCCATTGGAGCGCCCATCGACTCTCCCAGTGAGGACGGGAGGGCGCAGCTGCACCCGATCCATTGGGCCTGTGCTGCTGGAAACTTGAGTGCGCTGCGCATGCTCGTGCTGAAGCTCGGCGTGGATATCAATACGTGCGACGCCAAGAAGCACCGCTCGCCGCTGCTGGTGGCGGCGCAGAATGGACACCCGCTGCTGGTGCTGTTTTGTGTGAGGAACCGAGCGGATGTGTCGCTTGTGGACGCGGATGGAGACACGGCGGTGCACTGGGCGGCGTATAAAGGAGCGACGGAGATCGTGGCGGTGTTCCAGTACCTTCAAGTGAGCTCAGACGCGCCCGACAAGTTCGGTCAAACGCCGTTGCACCTTGCGGCGATGAGAGGCGAGCTGAGCACGGTGCAGTTCCTGGTGGAGACTCTGGATGCGGATGTCAAGGCGCTGGATTCCAAGAACCGAACCCCGAAGGACCTGGCGCAGCTCAAGCATTTCCGCGATGTGGTGCGGTATCTGAAGCAACGGGAGCTGCGTGTTGCGGCCTGGAATGTGGCAGCGTTCACGTGGTGGTGCGACCCTGGAAGTCGTGCGCCGTACCACTTTACGATGCTGAATGCTGTGGTCGCTACGTTGGTATACCTCTTCGTTGTCTTCCCGCTTATGCCGGATAGACGCAACGTGATGGTGCCGCATCTCGCTTGGAACGCAGTGACCTGGTACTTTTTCTATCGGACTGTCACGACCAAGCCTGGAAGTGTACCAGAAGACAACAAGAAGTACGGCATTGCGTACGATAAGGTCACTGACGCTCTCATCAACGGCGATGACGACGATGGAGATGAAGACAAGATTGGAGAGAGCGCTAGTGCGAGGGCGCAGCGTGAATGCCTGGAGCGCCCACTTTGCCACACTTGCCATATCCAGAGACCTCCACGCTCCAAGCATTGCCGCATCTGCAAGACTTGTGTCCCTGTATTCGACCACCAGTACGTGCCAACTGACCATGCCATACATACAATACTGCGCAGTAACTAACCTGCTCGTTTGTGCTTCTAGCTGTCCGTTTGTAGACAACTGCGTTGGTCGCGACAATTACGCGGCTTTCTTGCTGTTTGTGATTTTCCTAGCCCTTGACTTGGCTGGGATGGAATACGTGCTCTACCTTCTCTGCCGTTGGCACCACGACATGCGCATCTACGCCGTCATCGGCATGGTCTACCTGCTCTTCATTTTCCTACCGGTGGGGCAGCTTGCGGGCTTCCACATCTACCTTACTGCCAAGAACCGCACGACCAACGAGCTGCTCAACGCGGATCGCTACCGCTTTCAGCGTGGAGGAGAGCTGCGTTCGTACGACCGAGGCATCATCAGAAACGTTGCTGAGCGGTGCTTTGGTCTTGGCGGAGAGCCCGTTGAAGATGAAGACGCAGAAGTGAAGGCCAAGCTGCTCGACGAACAGCTCAGTTCAGTCCCCGCGTAGACTTACAAAAGAGTTTTATTGATCGGGAATACAAGGGCGCTTTAGTGCGGATAATTTCGACTGGGGGCATCGAGAAAAACTACCAAAGCTGACACTTTGTCTTCGGGTTCATGGGAGAACCAGCGGGGCAGGAGAATACGCGAGCAAAGTCCCGCGAGTTGCTTGCCACGCCGTTAATGCGCCATCGCTCGGGAGAGTGCGGATCCGTTGCTAACCGCTGCGTCACGCTGGCGTCGCTTGTCTTCGCACAGAACGCCTGCGCGAATGAGATGAAGAAGAGCTTTTCAGCTTCGCTGGCAGGCAAACTCTTCTCGGCGTCACTCATCGCATCAGCTTCGCTCATCTTGTCAATGTACTCTTGATACGCCGCGAAGGATAACTTGACGCCGCCGTTGTCCGCGATGTTCTCGCTCAGAGTGTAGTTCCCGTTGACGTGGCCCAGCACCTTGTCGGTGTCTGCACCACTGGTCACTGCAAAGTTGTCGTACTGGTTCACCAGACAATCTGTCCTCTTCGAGAACTCCTCCGCTGTTTCACTGCTCCACCAATCCTGGAGATTACCATCACCAGCGTAGTATCTTCCAGAGGCGTCAAAGCCATGTGTAAGTTCATGGCCAATGACAGAACCAATGGCACCGAAATTCCGAGCTGGATGCCGTCCACGAGCGAAGAACGGAGGCTGAAGGATCCCAGCGGGGAATACGATCTGGTTGGCTGTCGGCTGGTAGTACGCGTTCACTGCAGCACTCGTCATTGCCCATTTGTTGCGATCAACGGGATTGCCGATGCGAGCCACGGCGCGATCAAACGCGTGTCGCTTCACAATCTGCATGTTGTCGGCAAGTGGCGCGTCGCCGCGTAGCTCATACGGGAAGTGCTCGGAGCGTGTCGAATGACCGATCAAATTCGTTATGTTGCCCAGCTTTTCCAGCGCCGCCTGGCGCGTCGGTCCGTCCAGCCAATCCGCACGTCCAAGATTCTTCTGTAGTGACTCTTGGATCTGCGTCACAAGCTGACTGGCGAGTTGTTCGCTTGCCTGGTCGAAGCGCAGGAGCGCGAAGTACTTGCCCACAAGATCAGGAAAGTTATCAGTCACACGCTGAAGACAAACCTTCCAGCGCGGTGCGCGCGTCTTCTGACCGCGGAGCGTCCGCGCGAAAAACGAGAAGCTGGCCTGCACAAAAGGTTCACTGAGCACACCTGCATACGTGCTGATGAACTGGTACGTGAGTACGGCCTTCAACGTGTCCAGCGTGACAGTATTCCCCGCCAGCAGCTTCTCAACTCGCTCAAAGTATTCAGGAGTCTCCACGATCACATCGGTACTGTGAGCCTTGAGACTAGTCAGCAATCCCGTACCGTTGACAAACTTTGCGAACGTAAGAGGAAACTCGTCAGCGACTTGGGCCACGTTCATGCGGTTGTAGGTAGCCACGGGATCCTGCAGCTTCTCCTTGGGCACAAACAACGGCGCCAGTGTCTGCTCAAAGTCAATGACCTCAGAAGCTCGCGACGCAGCAGCCCCGGACTCCCATCCAGCCAGCAGAAACAGCTCCACCACGTACGCATGGAACGCGTCACTGATCGAGTCGAACTGCTTCTTGTCCAGATAATACTGCGGGTCGGGCAGTGACAATCCACTCTGCGATGCGTACAGCGCGTACGTCGTGGCTTCCCTGGCGTCCGCACTCACACTCAATCCCGTCAAGAAGTCCGGCCCAGCCTTGGACAGTTCTCCGGCCACTTGAAACAGCTCCTGCTTGCTCTTGGTCGCTGCGATCTGCTGCAACACGGGCGCCAGCACCTTCAGCGACGCCTCGTCCGCCGTCGTGCTGCTAACATTGCTGAAATTCATGCACGAGTCGTACAGCTCCCCAACCAGCGGCCATCCCTGCTGCATGAGCTCCTTCAGCACCTTCTCGTTCTCGTCATGCACCGTCGAGAAGGACAGGAAGACGCTGGGTCTGTCGTCCGGGATCTCCGCCTGCTGCTGCCACGCGCCGCAGCTGAAGGCGTAGAAGTCCTTGCAAGGGTCCACCGCTCTGTCAATATGGCGCTCCACATCACTGGGCAGCCTCTGTACCCACGCCGACGCCTCAGTGGACCCCTGAATGGCTCGAGGGGCGTGCAGCGTGCCGCCGCGCACCACCAGCACCACCACAATGAGGAACAGCGCGCCCAGTCCCGCAGTGGCCCAGGCGAAGAGCGGCTTCTGCAGCAGCAGCGGCTGCGGGCCGGCGTAGCCCGCGGGTTCCTCCTCGTGGGTCACGAGCGGCTGCTCGTCGCCCAGCGCCTTCTGCTTGCTCATGGGCGCGTCCTCTTCCTCGTCGACAGGGGGCGGCGCGCCGTCTTCGTCGTAGATTTTCTTCCACTTGGCGCCCGCGGAGCGCTCCATCGGCGTGCAACTTGGCGCGCGCACTGCGCACACGTGTCGGCTACTTGACGCTGCCGCCTGCGAAGCCGCTTGAGATCTAGGAGCCACGAACGAGAGCGGGACACGACGACGCCTGCTGCCGGCAGATGTGGATTTGCCCGTGTTGAGGTTTACGAAGTGACGCTCGGATTTCTAACCTATGGTTTGGCATAATGGCTACATTGACAAAGACCTAAATTAGGACACAGGTTCAGGTTTTAAAAGCAGGTGAGATCTTGTCACAATTGCAGGTGCCGCGTTCAGCTTCAACTTGCTGCAAAGCTTCACTTCTAACCGCACACAGTCGTTGCAGGCACCACCACTTCATCCATAGGGCCATGAGGCATTGAAAACCACCTTATTAAGGAGCTTCAAGCATAGATAAAGTTTAATAACTTTGTACTACTACTAGTAGTTACTCAAACCACTAAAAGCTCGTGCAATACAGTACCGGTATCGCTGCTCTACCTACGACTCCCAGACGAATCCCGCCGAGCGAACGCCCTTGTCCTCCTCGCCCACGAACGGATAGTCCGTGTAGCCCGCCTCCAGCGGCATGCTCGGCTGCAGGTAGAACGTATTCGGCTCGTATGGCGTGAGCGCCGCGTTCGTGCGCAGTCGCTCGACGAGGTCCGGGTTGGAAATGAAGTCGCGGCCAAATGCCACGAGGTCGGCCCCGCCGTCCTCGATAGTCTTCATGGCGTCGGCGCGGTCGAAGCCCGCGGCCGTGATGAGCACGCTCTTGTAGACGCCGCGGAAGTGGCGCGCCACGCCGCCCGCCGGCACGTCCGAGTTGTCCGTGTGCATGCCGCGACGCTCGATCACGTGCAGGTAGGCCAGGTCGTAGTCGTTGAGCTTGTTCACGACGTAGCCGTAGGTCTCGCGCGGCGCCGAGTCCTTGCAGCCGAAGGTGTCGCCGAACGGAGACAGTCGGATACCGACCTTGCTGGACGGCAGGCTGGCGAGCACGGTGTCGAGCACCTCGAAGATGAGGCGCGCGCGGTTCTCGATGCTGCCGCCGTATTGGTCCGTGCGCGTGTTGACGCTGTCGCAGAGGAACTCCTCGAGCAGGTATCCGTTGGCGGCGTGGATCTCGACGCCGTCGAAGCCCGCGGCGATGGCGTTCTCGGCGGCGCGCCTGTAGTCAGCGACGACATCGGGGATCTCGGCGATGTCGAGCGCGCGCGGGGTCACGTAGTCCTTGCGGCCCTCGCGCGTGACGGCGTGGCTCTTGACGTTGGCCATGCTGGTGGCGCTCGAGGACACGGGCAGCTGTCCGCCGGGCTGGTTGAGCGGGTGTCCGACGCGGCCCGTGTGCCAGAGCTGCACGAAGACCTTGCCGCCCTTGTCGTGGATGGCCTTGGTCACGGGCTTCCAGCTCTCGACCTGGTTCTGCTGGAAGATGCCGGGCGCGCCGAAGTAGCCGCGTGCGGTGGCGCTGATGTTGGTGGCCTCGGTGATGAGCAGTCCGCCGTCCGAGGCGCGCTGCGAGTAGTACTGGGCAACCAGGTCCGTGGGCGTGCCGGCGTCACCCGTGCGCACGCGGGTGAGCGGGGCCATGGCGACGCGGTGCTTGAGCTGTACGGGGTCCTTCTTGCCGCCGAGGGTGACGGCCGAGAAGAGGCTGGGCGCGGCAGTGGCGTTCGCGAAAGGAGCCATGGTTGATGAGGTGGCTGGGGTGATTGGTGCTGTCGGTGAGGACACTTGCGTTCTTGAGAGGGAAATGGGAAGTGAGGCGGATTGATCGTGAATCACCAAAGCGAGTCGGGATCGTTCGCCAAGAGCCTCATCAACATGGTTTACGAGCATGAAGTGGCCGAGTTGTCTGGGCACGGGTAGATCGAAGTAACAGTGTAGGTATTGCGTCGAACGAAATGGAATCGCGATCGAGAGTCTCGATTCGAGACTTGCGTCAAACATTTTGCAGACGTGATCAAGCGTGATCAACCCGATTAGATGTGCAAAGTACACAGTGCTGTACTTTCATGCGACACCTTCGCTTTGCGTGAAATTCTCAAGGCGTGATCGCGATTCCATTTCGTTCGACGCAATACCTACACTGTTACTTCGATCTACCCGTGCCCAGACAACTCGGCCACTTCATGCTCGTAAACCATGTTGATGAGGCTCTTGGCGAACGATCCCGACTCGCTTTGGTGATTCACGATCAATCCGCCTCACTTCCCATTTCCCTCTCAAGAACGCAAGTGTCCTCACCGACAGCACCAATCACCCCAGCCACCTCATCAACCATGGCTCCTTTCGCGAACGCCACTGCCGCGCCCAGCCTCTTCTCAGCCGTCACCCTCGGCGGCAAGAAGGACCCCGTACAGCTCAAGCACCGCGTCGCCATGGCCCCGCTCACCCGCGTGCGCACGGGTGACGCCGGCACGCCCACGGACCTGGTTGCCCAGTACTACTCGCAGCGCGCCTCGGACGGCGGACTGCTCATCACCGAGGCCACCAACATCAGCGCCACCGCACGCGGCTACTTCGGCGCGCCCGGCATCTTCCAGCAGAACCAGGTCGAGAGCTGGAAGCCCGTGACCAAGGCCATCCACGACAAGGGCGGCAAGGTCTTCGTGCAGCTCTGGCACACGGGCCGCGTCGGACACCCGCTCAACCAGCCCGGCGGACAGCTGCCCGTGTCCTCGAGCGCCACCAGCATGGCCAACGTCAAGAGCCACGCCGTCACGCGCGAGGGCCGCAAGGACTACGTGACCCCGCGCGCGCTCGACATCGCCGAGATCCCCGATGTCGTCGCTGACTACAGGCGCGCCGCCGAGAACGCCATCGCCGCGGGCTTCGACGGCGTCGAGATCCACGCCGCCAACGGATACCTGCTCGAGGAGTTCCTCTGCGACAGCGTCAACACGCGCACGGACCAATACGGCGGCAGCATCGAGAACCGCGCGCGCCTCATCTTCGAGGTGCTCGACACCGTGCTCGCCAGCCTGCCGTCCAGCAAGGTCGGTATCCGACTGTCTCCGTTCGGCGACACCTTCGGCTGCAAGGACTCGGCGCCGCGCGAGACCTACGGCTACGTCGTGAACAAGCTCAACGACTACGACCTGGCCTACCTGCACGTGATCGAGCGTCGCGGCATGCACACGGACAACTCGGACGTGCCGGCGGGCGGCGTGGCGCGCCACTTCCGCGGCGTCTACAAGAGCGTGCTCATCACGGCCGCGGGCTTCGACCGCGCCGACGCCATGAAGACTATCGAGGACGGCGGGGCCGACCTCGTGGCATTTGGCCGCGACTTCATTTCCAACCCGGACCTCGTCGAGCGACTGCGCACGAACGCGGCGCTCACGCCATACGAGCCGAATACGTTCTACCTGCAGCCGAGCATGCCGCTGGAGGCGGGCTACACGGACTATCCGTTCGTGGGCGAGGAGGACAAGGGCGTTCGCTCGGCGGGATTCGTCTGGGAGTCGTAGGTAGAGCAGCGATACCGGTACTGTATTGCACGAGCTTTTAGTGGTTTGAGTAACTACTAGTAGTAGTACAAAGTTATTAAACTTTATCTATGCTTGAAGCTCCTTAATAAGGTGGTTTTCAATGCCTCATGGCCCTATGGATGAAGTGGTGGTGCCTGCAACGACTGTGTGCGGTTAGAAGTGAAGCTTTGCAGCAAGTTGAAGCTGAACGCGGCACCTGCAATTGTGACGTGCTTTTGATATATTCGCCAAAACTTGCCTTTTGATACGGTCAGCTAAAACTAACTTGGTTAAATTATCGACAACGATTTTGGGAATCTGCCTTTGGTTAGATTCATACTGTCTGTGGCTATTATCAGGCTCTGAGGACGACTGCAGCGCGATATTCGTGACCCCCTCCATTCATGGCGCGCTTCCTGCAACGTCGCGTGCGCTTGTATTTTCTCGACCCCGATCAAAGTATCCTCACTCACTTTGAAATCCGCCTTCGACAGACCAAGTGCATTACTGAGACCGAATGAAGTTCGGCAAGCGCGTGCGCAGCCTCGCGTCGCCGGAGTGGGCTGCCGACTACGTGGACTACAAAGCGCTCAAGCGGGAGATCAAGCTGGCCTTTGAGGGTCGTGATGGCAGCGCGGGCGTTGACAAGCAAGTGACCTGGTTCCAGTCGGTCCTCGAGTCCGAGATGCAGAAGCTCAATGCTGCACACGCGCGGATCCTGGACGAACTCGTGAACCGCGAGCTGAAGCCGCTGCAGCAGGCGCTGGGGACGCGGTGGGTGCTCCCTCACGCCACCGCGCGCTCGCTGTTGCTTGATGTGCTCAAGCTTTCGCACCAGGTGGACGCCTTCCGGCGCTTCGTGGTGCTCAACAGCTTGGCGCTCGTCAAGATCACCAAGAAGTTCGACAAGGCGGCGAACGCTGGCGGCGCTGAGGCTGACGAGGACTCGGACGATACGACCTCCCGACTCAAAGCTCAAGTGTTGGAAGACCTCAAGTCCCAGCCGTTCTACGACGCAGCGACGCTGGATGCGTTGTGCGACGACACGGCGGCTCTGACGGACCGTGTGATGCTGTGCGTGCTGCCCGACGGCAACTTTCGACTCGGACCCAGAGCGATGACTTGCCCCATTTGCCTCTGTTCCGAAGTCCAAGCCCCCATTACGCTGTCGTGCGCGCACACCTTCTGCTGGTCGTGTCTGTCACGCGCAGCTCAGCACCGCTTCCGGTCGTGCCCGCTTTGCCGACGCGCGCAGTCTGTGGACCCGCGCGACTACGAAATCGACGGCTTGGTCAAGCGCTTCAAGCGCGCGTATGAGTTCGTGGAGCAGGCGCTGGATGTAGCTCCACTGGTTGCGAGCCCGATGCGCCAGATCCTCGCGGAGGCATTTGAAGTGGGCAACGCGTACCTTCGCGAGGTCGAAGACCAGTACGCAGCACTTGCTCCGCTAGCTTCGGCTACGTTTGATGATCCGCAAACCCTCGCAGCTTCTGTCAACGACTTGAAGGCTGACGTCGAGGCAAAGACTGTCGTGGTGGTCGATGGCCAGAGTGCCAAGAGTGACGAAAGCACTGAAGAGGGCGAGGCGGAGCCTCTTGTCGTCTTTGAGAAGGGCGACATCGTCGAGATCCTGTATGGCGCGCAATGGTATGCTGGTGTGGTGCTACAGCGCAATGAGGACACCGGCGCTGGCGAGACGTATTCGGTGTTGTGGTGGGTGAAGGACAAGTCGCAGCGCTTCGGTCAGCGCACGCCACGCCACCTTCTCCGCAAGCCGCAAGAAGTTCCCGTTCCACCAGCGCTATACGAATACGCGGCAGAAGCATGGCGAACTGCAGCGAGCTGGGCGCTGGAGCCTTTTCGACGACTACGGTCACGATCCGAAGGAGGGGATGGCAACAGCGCAAGTAGGACTCTTGCGCGCCAACAGACTCGATAGGTTATCCAAACGCTAATATATATCTTTTAATTTATAAGCAGCCTAGGACTGTGTCTAAAGCTGCATCCACTAATCGCTGCGTGTTGGAAGGCGCTGAGAGTAGTGAGCGGACGGCAGTTCGCTCCGCTAGCTACAGCTAACTTTGCCCTACTTTCGCATCGGCAGGCCGAGCAACAAGCGCCTCCCCCAACAAAACTCAACACGCTCAGTTTCCTCACCTTGACCATCAACAACAGGTGGGCCTCCTTCGTGCTCACGCGCGACCTCAGCAACTCTGCAACTCGGATAGACGCCGACTGGAGGAGTTTCATGCTAAGATCAACACCTACCACGCCGATTGCAGTAGGATGAACACGCTGTTACCTTCTCACACTCAACCTGAAGGAGGCAGAGGACACCACCTTCCTCTTGCTGGCGCTCCGGGCATTCCAGCGTACGCTTCCCAGCATCCCAGAGGATAAGCGCGTAGGCTGGGGCGTTTGAAGCCGAGGGGGGACGGAAAATCTTGATCTGTTGCCGCAGTCGTTACAGCACAGATAACTACAACAGGACGAAAAGAAGTTACTACCTCCGGAAGGAAAATACTGCACCTTTCCAATGAAATTATAGTCTAACAATAAACGATACCCTTGCAAAAGCGATGCTGGTTTGATTTTCGAATCTCCCGCCTACCGGATCTCATCCGATCCTCCCCCCTCTCGCTCCCCCGCCTCCCTCACTTTCAAAGATTCCCAGTCCTCGCCAAGATGGAGACCACCGACGACGAACGCCAAGCTGTGTGGGAGTATCTGCTGCTTCGTAGCACAAATGGGGTACTCAAGCGCGGTGACATCGTCAGAACTGCTGCCTACTTTCACCTTACCCGCTTCACCGTCGCTCGTATCTGGGAGCGAGGTCGCAGCTCGATGGGCTCCCGAGTTGCAGCTGTCGTCAAGTCCAGGAAGAGCGCGCGCGGAAGAAAGAAGCTGGATCGTGCGGTCCTGTGCACGCGCGTGGCTGAAGTCCCCGTGAACGACCGCGAGAACCAGCGCCGTGTCGCGGCGTCTACTGTCAACAAGTATCTTATCCAGCGGCTCCTACAGGAGGGGTACTTGCGACGTGCGCTTCGTCAAACCCGTCCACTGCTTACGCCGTCGCATAAGCTAGCGCGTCTGAAGTTCTGCGTCGAGCACGTGAAGCTGGGGGCCAACGGGAACCACTTCTTCGACCCCATGTAAGACGTTGTACACATGGACGAGAAGTGGTTCTACGTGAAGAAGGTTGGACAGAAGGTCTATGTTCTGACTGGGAAGGACGGCACGCCTGCGGAAGAACCCCCCGTGCAATACGTGCACAGCAAGCGCTATATCAAGAAAGTCATGTTTCTATGCGCTGTAGCTCGACCTCGGGGCGACTGGGGTAGGAAAGTCGGCCTCTGGCCGGTTGTGGAGACGTACATCACGGAACGGACAAGTGTCAACCGCGCTGCTGGTGTCGAGGAGCTACGTCCGATCTCAATCACCCGCGCGATATCGCGCCGTATGCTGGTTGACAATGTGATCCCTGCCATTAAGGCGAGGTGGCCGTAAGAGCAGAAGGACATTCCGATCAAACTGCAGCAGGACAATGCGCGACCACACGTTGATGAAGACGATCCCGAGGTGCTGGCAGCAGGTTGCAGCAACGGCTGGACAATCAAGCTGGCGAATCAGTCTGCGCAAAGCCCCGAGCTCAATTGCCTTGACCTAGTCTACTTTGCCAGCATCCAGTCTCTTCAGTCGCATACGAGGCCGCGAACAATTAAGAATCTCATCGACGAAGTGACGCGTGCGTTCGACAACAGAAAGGCCGAGACGCTGAACAAGACGTTCCTGACTCTACAAATGATAATGTTGCAGATCATGAAGTGCGGCGGTCGGAATGACTTTCGCCTGAGTCACATGCAAAAGGACAAGCTGTTTGCCGCTGACAGGCTCCCCGTAACGCTGCCGTGTGATACCCAGACGCTTATCAACGCTCACATGGACATGTCCACGCTATCTGCACTACTACTGGTCCCTACACCCCTACGTCACTGTTTCCGGCAGCACTAGAACCCGCAGCATTGCGTTCTGCCTCACCTCATTCTGACCTCGACCCCTTTCTTCGCTAGTGGTAGTACACACTAAAACACAACCTTTGCATATCTTATAACCGCCAAAAAGAACGAGGCGGAGCGCTGCGTAATTTGTTTTTAAAGGTGCAGTATTTTCCTTCCGGAGGTAGTATACATGTATGCGCCGAAGGCTTACGGCGCGTATAACTTCGCACTGTGTAAATATATTTTTTCTCGAAAACTGATAGAGCTGCGTCTCGCATCTCCTTGCGCTCGACGCACGTGTAGCGGAAGGGGTCTCCCAGCACCCACGCGTAGTGAATGTAGTCCTCCTTGCGCCATGCCAGAAGCCTCAGTGCTGCCTAACAGCTCTGTCAGACGGAAACCTTAAGGCTACCCGAGCTTAGTCCTGCCTGTCAAAAAGATAAGCATCACTGGTCTGCGTTTGATGCATTACCTGCAAGCGCAAAGCAATACTAGCATTAATTGGGCGCAGTAATGAGCGGTTGCGAGGCCGCGTAGCCGCATGTATTGCGGCTGTATGCCTGCATGGGATGCCTGCGAAGCAGGGCAGTACGGTGCATGTATTCGCGGAGGCGATCCAGGCCGTTGCGCTAGCTTTTCTACTACAGAAGTCTGGGAGTGCAGAGCTCTGTCGCGATAAAATATACCAGTATATGCAGACATAGATATCGTCGCAGATGGACACTAGATGTATGCACGTTCAGGTTGGCCGCGGCCATCAAGACGCCACTAAGGTTCTCTGAAAATGTAGAGACCCGGGATATCTGCGCCATACTAGTGTGTGCCCGTACATAAAGTGATTATATGTGCCGTAGCGAGTTATTGCCGCTTGCAAATACTTTGCCCTCTAAAATAGACCTCTAAAATAGACCACGCCTGTCACTTAATATGAGTGGACACGAGATAGGCGAGGGCTGATTTAGATTTATGCTTTGCTGGGGGCCGCTTTTAGGCCCAGAAACTCGGTTTGGCCCGTCTAGAATGGCATTTCTGCGTTTCCAAGTCGTAGAAAAGCGCCTTGGTCGAGAAAACAGAGCCCCAAGCTCGGATCTTAGACCGTACTGGCGAGATATATAAATCAGAGCTAGGTCTTAATTGAGAGCTGGCTGGATTAAAATCGAGATTATTAACGAGATAATAAGCATGCGTTGGCCAAAATATCTGCAAACGGCAATATCTGCGCCGTATCAATTTCGTGTTGCCGTAGTTATCTGTGCCGTAACGAGAGTCATCTGTTGCTGCGGACAGTGAATGGGGTGGTCAACGCACTCAGCTTGTGATTGTTAAAAAAAAAAACATTTGTCGTGTCTGAGTGAGAAAAAAAAATTGTTGCTGCTGCAGGCATTGACTACCCCTATTATTACATTAAATGTATCTCCAAGAGTGCTCCTCGTAGCTGGGCGACTGCAACTTGATCCCTATCAGCCGCCAGCAAGTGCTTCGAGTTACATTTCACTAATGCTTGAAACTTTGCCACTTCACGTGATTAATTCGTGTCTGTACTTTAGCTCCGCTGCAGATAGATACATCACCCAACACGGCTCAAGACGCAACGACAGCAAGTGTGCAGTAAATCTATGAACACGACGCAAAGCGAGGCATGACACCCCCGCACCCCACACCTGAATACACGCCAGCAACCTTCACCCTTTAGCTACTGAGGTGCGTTCGGCGGAAAAATACTACAGCCTAGTCCTTCTTCTCCTTGCCATCGTCCTTGGAGGCGTCGATGGCAGTTTTGACGATGGAGATCACGGTCTTCACGCGCTTGAACATCACCTGACCCGTGGACATCATGATCAGCAGCATGAACACGATGAGTGCCCAGTACAGGTGCGACAGCGTGTGGCTCACTTGCCTACAAATTGGCAACGCAAATGTACCGGAAATATTAGCACAAGTCGAATCAATCCAATACAGTAACTGAGCTGAGCACGCTCCAATTCACAGAGCAACATGGCAACGTACTTGCAATCGTAGAGCGGAATGTCATAGCCAATGTGCTCGTAGCACAGCAGGTCCTGCGAGATACGGAACACCAGCAGCGCCAGCGCCAAGCAGCCCGGAATCAGGTAGAACTCCAGGTTCTTGTACGGGTCACGCTCAGCGTTGATCTCGAGGTAGCGGTGGCGCTCCTTCTCGATCTCGTCAGCCAGTTCCTGGCGGAAACGCATGATCTCGCTGCGACGGCCCATGCGCGCGCCGTCGTCGAACACGTCCATGGCTCCCTGCAAACACGCCTTGTGGTGGGCCTCCAGTTCCTGCACAGGGACGTACTGGCACTTGGAGCCCGCGACCTTCTCCATCTCGCGCTTGTACTTGAGCAGAGCCTTGTCGCGCTGGTTCACGTTGTTAGCCTCAGCCGTGGCCTCCAGCAGCGTCTTTGCTTCCGGGAAAATGGACGCCTCGCGGAACAGGCCCGCGTACGTCTTGATGTACGTGAACAGCTCGCGCGAGGTCACCGTAACCCCGTGAATCTTCTTGGGGAACAGGTTGGCCGGGTCGAACAGTTCGTCCAGGTACGCCGTCAGCAGCTCCAAGAAGCGGTTGTCAATGGCTTCAACTGATCCATCGTACTCGCGCTCCGTAACCGCGTGGCCAGGGTGGGGCAGCAAGAAGCACGCGACCTTCTCGAAGCACGAGCTGATCTGCTCACGGGTGTCAGCCAGGTCCTTCTGCTTGCGGGACGACAGCAGCTCCACCATATACTGCTCCATGTCCTCGCGCTTCTCGTCCAGCGTCTGGCTCCGGGAGAAGTCCTGCCAGTCACGCACCAAGAAGTCGAGGCGCTGGAACGGGCGTGGGCGCTTGGGGGTTGAGTCGTCGTCGTCCTTGTCCTCGTTTTCCTCCTTCTTCTCCTCGTCGCCCTTCTCACTCACAGTCGACGTCGACTTCTCCAACGCACGCGCCGACACCGATGATGCAGCGCGCTGCAGCATCTGCTGCTTGTCACTCAATGAAGACGACGACTTGGTGTCTCCGAAGAGCGCCATCCTGCCGTACTCGGTAAACAGCGCGAGGTGCTGCAGGTTGTCCTCCTGCACCCGCTTGTCCACGTTGTAGATCTGGTACGAGCTCAGCAGCGTGCTGAGGCCGAAGATGCTGGCCGTGAGCATCTGCGACGTCTCCGAGTCGAACATGCCCTGCGTGTCGATCAAAAAGACGGCGATGTCCTCTCCCGTCTGGCTCTTGCGGATGAAGGGCGTCTCCCACATCCAGATGCCCGTCGTGTTGCGCTTGCGGCCGGCGCGCCACGAGAAGCCCTTCTCGCCGTGGGTCTGCTCCACGTTCGAGTTGCCCTCGAGCTTGGCCTCGCCGCTGCCGGCCACGCCCTCCATGACCCAGGCCTTCCAGACCTCCGTGGCCTCGTCGTCCGCGCCGTCGGGCTTGAGCATGCGCCCGTGGCTCGCGTGCCGCAGGTAGCGCAGGAACAGGTCCAGCACGAAGCTCTTGCCCGTGCGGAAGGCCCCCACGACGGAGAAGATGGCCACCTTCATGTCCTCCGGCACCTGGTGGAAGATGCGGCGCAGCGCCGCCTCGTCCAGCGTGAAGTTGGTGCCCTCTTCGTTGATGCTCACGATCTGCCGCGCCTTGGGCAGCTCCTTGGCGGGCTCCAGCGCCACGGGCGCGGGCGGCGGCAGCGTGGAGGGGGAGGAGGAGGACGCGCGCGGAGAGGAGGGGGGCGACGGCACGGGGGAGCTCATGGCGGGGGGGGGGGGGGGGGAGAGTCAATGCAAATGCTACGCTATGCGGGACACACGGTCGTGGTGATGATCTTCTTCTCGACTGATCTGCACTGTAGAAAAGCTGATACTTGAGATTGGTTGAAATGGAGGGAATACGGTGGTGTGATTGGAGGAAGGATGGCTGGAATAGTGGACGGTGGGTGACGTATGTGAGGAGATGGCTACATTTGATGGACGCTTCGCATTTTCTAGTTTTCTTGGATGGAAAACCAGCTACCAAGGGGTGGTTGTCATTTGGTGGCATTATGTGGCGGTGGTGTTGTGTTATGCCTACGCTGTGAAGTTTGGATCTAAGCCCAGAAGCTCAGGGTGACGATGATCAGCAGCGTGGCTAGTGGAGACCAAGTTGAAGTCGCTGCTGCCGCCGACGACTCGAGGCGGGAGCCGGCGGCAAGGCACGCGCTGTAGTCTTCGGGCGTCGTCCACCACATCATGGAGCAGAGGTACCAGGTGAGACACACGGAGTCCTCGCACGCGTTCTGCTGGTACGACTGCGCCTGCGAGTTGTAGTAGTAGTGCTGCACGAGCGTCGCGTCGGTGGCGGCGTCCACGATGAAGCGGTTCATCTCGGACCACGACAGTGAGCTCACGTTGTACGCGCTGCTGGCGTTGAAGAGCAGCTGCCAGTCGAGGTCCGAGCTGTTGTCGCTGGAAATGTTGGTGCCGTAGACCGCGAAGTCCAGAAGCTCGTACGTGCTGGCGTCAAAGTCCCAGACCATGAAGGCCGGGTTGTTGTAGAAGATGGGGGAGATGGCGGCCGATGTGAACAAAGGCACGAGCTGCGAGCTCTGGGTCTCGTCATCGTCGGCTGCGATAACTTCGTCCGGGTCTTGCGCCTCCATGTCTGAAGTGAGGGGCAGGCGGAACTCGACGCTGTGCGTGTGGCCGAAGATCTGCGCCTTGATGACATCCGCGTACTGGGTCACAATCTTCTTGTACTCTACGATGTACGAGGCCTCCCACATTGGCGAGCCGTCCTGCGCGTCGATGATCGGCGGGATGTGGCCAGCTATGTACGCGTACTTGCCGCCGTTGCGCAGTCCCGACAGCGTGGCGTTTAACCAGGCAAACTGAGCGAGCGGGTCCGTTTCGTTCGATGTATCCGGGGAGTGCTTCGGCTACACAGCAACAAAAGGTTAGTTCCTAGCAACAAGCGGAGGAAAAGCAAAACTGGCTTACCGAGTATGGCACCGTGTTGAGTGTGAGCAGCAGCAAGTTCTCGTCTAGTTTGTACGACAAGTAGCCGCGGGTGTTGAGATCCTTGAGGTTGGAAGCGTTGAGCGCGTCACTCCACGCCGGAGACACGACTTCGATCGTCGGGTTCTCCTCGGAGGTGGGGTCTGTCACGTCCATCGTGTAGTCTGCGGCAACAAGTACAACACCAAAGATTAGCTACATCATTGGCAAAGAGAGGAGGAGGCGGAAACGTACTCTTCACATCGGTATCGCCGAGAATGGCTGTAGCGTTGAGCGTCTGGTTGCCGGAACCAGAAAAGTACTGGGCCATGGTCTCCACATTGATCTTCACCGCCTCAGCGAGGTACTCATCCGATGGATCGCCATGGACAGCGTGGTCTCCCGTGTACAAGAAGAAATCTGGGTTGGGGAGAATTTGCTGGGCGTACTCGAGCGCAGAAGTCAGCAAACTGATAGGGGCGTCGTAGCCGTACTGAATCGGAATCTCGGCGGACTCATTCGCGTCCAGGGACTCCGAGATGTTGAGGTGGGCGTCGGAGAAGTGGAGGATGTGTTTGACGCCCCCGACTTCTCCATTGCCAACGCTGCTGCTGTAGCTGCCGCTCCCCACAGACCCGTTCTGCTCTTGCGAGCCCGAGTTGTCCTTCGCGCTGGTGGAAGCGATCTTGCCGCCTGACATGCTCGGGGTTTTAGCCTCTACCGCGGATTCAGGTGTCGTCGTCAGCAGTAGGAGCGTTGATGCCAGACGTAGGGAGCGAAACAGCGCAGCAACCATGGTCGAAACGGAGAGGGGATTGTTGTCGAGAGGAAATTGAGTAATGACCATGGCGCACTAGAACCGCAGTGGTGTATGTACGGTGGTCATGTTACACGGTGGATGATGAGACAAAAGCTCCCCAGTAACTTTGATGATACAGCTATCATGTTGGCGTCACGCATTTCCAGAACGAGCTATGAATATTCGCTACGTGCGACTTCAATGACTCGCTGCAGGCACTGCTTGGGCTAAATTGTCTGAGGCCACAAGTCCGAGGTGATCACCTGCAGTGAAATCCAACACTGGCGGCTGATTGGGATCAAGTTGCAGTCGCCCAGCTACGAGGAGCACTCTTGGAGATACATCACAATTTATTGGCGTTTGGATAACCTATCGAGTCTGTTGGCGCGCAAGAGTCCTACTTGCGCTGTTGCCATCCCCTCCTTCGGATCGTGACCGTAGCCGTCGAAAAGGCTCCAGCGCCCAGCTCGCTGCAGTTCGCCATGCTTCTGCCGCGTATTCGTATAGCGCTGGTGGAACGGGAACTTCTTGCGGCTCGCGGAGAAGGTGGCGGGCGTGCGCTGACCGAAGCGCTGCGACTTGTCCTTCACCCACCACAACACCGAATACGTCTCGCCAGAACTCTTGCAGATACGACACCGTTGATACAATAAAAGTCATTATCTTGTATCTACAGAGGAGCTGCAGTACAGGCGCGAATTAATTACGCGAAGTGACTACATGTAAAGTGACAAAGGTTCAAGCATTAGCAGGTGGACGCGAAAGCAAAGTGACTTCCAGTCGTTCAATGCCAGCATAACATTTGACGCTTCCAAGGGATGCAACTTTAGCGTCAAGTGTTCGAGCAGCGAAAATCTGGCTGGCGAATTCCTCCAGGACAGACACTTCAACGTATGGCGGAGCGACCTTTGTCACTGTACAGTAGTGCAAGCCGGAGCTGAGATTGCCGCCGATCGACTGGAAACTCCAGGACAGCGGGCCAAGTACATGCACAGGAGGGACTCCTGTGAAGAATAATTCTTCACAGTAAATTCTTCAGGAATTTACACAACGTGGATGGATGCCTTCAGTTTAGACGAAAATAGGCCGGGATCTCTCTTGTGTCTCTAGCTGAGAGCACCGAAGTCTGCTTCGATGTGTCGCGCGAAAACACGCATTGCTGCACTCGACCAAAATTTACGACGGCATGGGGAGGACCAACCCAGCCTTGCACACTGATCTTGAAGTGGAGAGTCAGTAAAACCTGCATACTTCCGCACAATCTCAATTATATTCCATATCAAGGTCCAACACTTGTAGATTGTATAAATTGATTGCAATATCAAATAAGAACATCTAAACAGAAATGCGTCATAGTCGATATTGAAACGGAAAAGTGATAAATTACAACCGCATAGAGGATTATCGCCGTCGAGTCAGATGTTTTCCCGGCACTCGACCACGTCGTTCAGATGGGAGTCTTCATTTCGCACTGGCTACGGCAGTGCTCCATGCGTTTGTATCGGTTTGGCTCGCTCTGCAGGCCCATGAAAAGGGCCTCTTCCTATCCTCGGCTTATCCTCAGCTTTGCCCGCGCGCGGACTGTCCCCGCTTCGAACCAGCATGGGGCGCTTAGCTAACAGACAACCAGTTCATTCTGCAATTGGCTCAAGACCGACCGACACTTCGCTCGATCAACCGACCACCGCAGTCTACAGAGCGATAGCAGCTCTGTCCCTACAGCAGCAACAACAGCAAACAGCACCATGGTTAACATCCGCAACGCCTTCACCTTTGGCTGCGTGGCCCTTGTGGCGTCCGTGAGCGCCTTCAGTGAGGAGCACCGCACCCTGCAGGCGGTCAACTTCCGCTCGGAAATGCTGGAGGCCATCAACGCTGTCCGGAAGACGGAGGGCCTCAAGCCCATGTGCCTCAACGAGATGCTCATGGACGCGGCCCAGATCCAGGCGAACGACATGGCCGACGGCAACTTCATCAAGAGCAAGGGCTCGGACGGCTCCACGCCCAAGCAGCGCGCCGCGGACCAGGGCTTCAAGGCGGCCGAGGTGACGGAGGTCGTGGGTGCCGGCTACAGGACGGCGTCGAGCATTGTCGCCGCGTGGGCCAAGTCCTCGAGCGCCAAGAGCACGCTGCTCAGCAAGCACAACGTCATGGGCCCCGGCTACACGTTCGACAAGACGCGGAAGTACGTGCACTTCTGGGCTGTCGACTTCTCCACCGGCGAGTGCGGCGATGGAACCGCCGCGGGTGGAGCTGGCGCCGCTGGATCCTCGAGCGGAATCGGCGCCGGCAGCGTCGAGCTCCCCGAGTCCGGCAGCGGAGCCCCTGCGCCGGCACCGGCACCGGCCAGCGGCGACGAGAGTGACAAGGACAGCGACAAGGACAGCGGAAGTGGATCGGCCCCCGCGCCCGCTGGAACCCCCGCCGCCACCCCGGCTCCGGCTGGCAGTGGAGCTGAGACTCCCGCCGTCACGCCGGCTCCGGCTGGAAGTGGAGCTGAGACGCCCGCCGTCGTCACGCCGGCTCCGGCTGGAAGTGGAGCTGAGACGCCCGCCGTCGTCACGCCGGCTCCGGCTGGAAGTGGAGCTGAGACGCCCGCGAGCGGATCCGGTGAACCCCCCGCTGCGGCTCCTGCTGCTGGCACGCGTGCTCCTGCTGCCGCGCCTGCTGCCACCCCTGCCCCTGCTGGAAGTGAAGAGGAGACTCCCGCAAGCGGATCGGGAACGCCTCCTGCTGCAGCGCCGGCAACTACTGAGGCGCCTGAGACTGAGTAAGCTCACAGCATGGAATTGTTTGTTCGTCGTAAAAATTCATAATGCTAGATCAGGGTTTCCTAAAATGGTATCGCTTGGTATTGCCAATCTTAGAAAACCCTGTGCTAAATTAGATGCTTCATAACGTTACTCTCCTGTTAATCTTCTTCCTTGCCATTCGACGCAAACCTTGCAGAGCCATGGAGGCTGTTCGGCTCGATTGACTTTCATGTGTGTGTCACTCCGTGGCTACAAAGCTTCCCTCAGTCAAATCACTCGGAAGAACTTGAAAACGTGCACATTCAAAATAGGGATGCCGCAACGCCGCGACGCATTGTTGCTTCACTCTGGCACCGAGGAGTGAGCTTCGAGTCCAAAGGCCGCAGCACGCTTTTTCATGGGCGTTTTAGCGGGCGTACCAAAGGCTCCGAACGAGTCGGTAAAAGTGTACTTCGCGTCGTCTTCGAGCTTCATGGTCGCGATGCTGTCAAACACCCACTGTGATCATCGAAAAAGGAAAACGCACAATTAATCTTTTGCTCACCAACGAGTCACTAGTGCCAGAAACCAAACCAAACCACATACCTTGGAGGTGACAACTCGCATTCCATTCCGTTGGGCTCGCCGAAACAGCGAAGCATCACCGCAGATGCAAATGTCAGCTACAGATATCTGTTTGCAAATCTGCAGTACGAAACAGCAGCAACACGATGAGCAAAATACTCTAGCAAGGAACGCACGGCGGCACGACAGAACTTACCTCTCCACCGGAAACCTGGATTAAAGATTGGAGAACTTCGCGAGACGGCTCAACGTTAGACCCGACGAAAAACTTCATGCCCTTGAAAATCTGCCGAGATTCGGGGTGCTCGCGAGAATATTTGTTAGCGAACATCGTCAGCTCAAAGTCTTGTTCCGGCAACCAGCGTTCCTGTTCTAGCGATGAAAACGCCCAGTCTTCAGTCACAATCCAGGCGCCACGAGCAATTGCGAAGAGCACCTTAATGGTGCGTCTTGCATCCTTCCCCACGATAAGGTGCGTTACGCCAGCCGCGTAGTCCACACTCTTTACCACACGCACTTTACGATGTCCGTCTTCATTAGCCATGTTGGCGTCGATAGCGTGAATAGCGCACTGAAGAACCCCACGCGCCTCTGGACCAACCCCCGTAATACCGATGACGTTGCGCGGAATCTTGCGTGGTGTCGTTCTGCTGGATGTGCTAGAAAAACTCATCGCCATGGGAATGGGGGTTGAGTCTAAGTCCCGATATTTCCTGCTGAACCCCGAGACTGATCCTGGTGTTCCCATGAGCTTGCCGTCGACAGTATTCTCCTTATTGTTATCACGCCGAGCCTTCTTCACAACTGGGGTCGTTAAAGTGTTGAGGGAAACTGGAGGACGAGCTCGCTTTTTTGCGGCGCTCTGCGTCATCTTCACGGCACTAGAAGGAGTTGCTGACGTTGGAAGCTTCCGTGCAGCTTTTCTCGCAGCAGGCTTCTTCAATGGAACGTCAGTCGATACTGAGGCACTAGCCAGTGATGTGCGTGTTGTTTGGCCAGATGTGGAGCTTCGAGCAGTTGTAGATGTTCTTGTTGTTTGGTCCGACGTGGAGCTTTGGGCAGTGGTTGATGTGCGTGTTGTCTGGTCCGATTTGGAGCTTTGGGTAGTCGTTGTTGTAAGTGTTGTCTGATCCGACGTGGAGCTTCGAACAGTCGGCGATGAGCGAGTTGTTTTACTCGACGCGGAGCCTCGAGCGGCAGGGCTCTGCGTTCTTGATCTGATCACGGGACTAGAAGTAGCGCTTCTAGTCGTTGTTCGAATCACTCTGGCTACGGCAGGGCTCGGACTTCGCATCTTCGCAGCCGAACTTGCAGTAGCTTGAGTCAAGGATCGCGAAACTCTCTCTAGCAACGACGGACTGCTGGAAGGCGTCTTCATTTTGGTAGCAGAGCTCGGGGCGCTTGATTTCCTCTTAGAAGGAGGGGTCTTAGTTCTCTGCGTTGCTGAAGCTGGAGTAGCTAGCTTTCCGGGGGTTGCACGAGCTGGAGTAGTCTGCGTTCCGGGTGTAGCAGAAGCTGGAGTAATTGCAGCAGGGGTGGCTGGCGTCTTCGGGGAATCAGCCACAGTGCTTGCAACAGTTGCAGGCGAGGCCGTAGCAATGCTGTCAGCACCTGGAGATTTAGCTGAGCCTCTCGGAGCGCGGCAGTCTGTGCAAAACCTGCGTGTTCGCGGGTTCGAGCACCCGCACGCTGCGCACGACCAGATTCCAGATTTCAGCGCAAGTCCGCTACCGTATGTCAGAGAACTCCTGTTGCGACGCCTCAATTCCCGCGCTGTTGGGGTCTTCTTAGCGCTGTTACCATCAGGTGTACCAATATTGAAATCCATGCTGCTGGTAGTAGGAGTGCTGCTCGATACTGACAAAGGCCCCGGAGATTTCTGCTTCCCCTCAAGCGGAGCTGGTGACGGCTGACACGCCTGACTATCCACAATCACAATCACCTCGTTCCTCCGTGCTTCTGCCTCCTCCTCCAGTTCGTTTTCCGACTCGCTCTCAGCCACAATTCCACTCGCCTGCGACGCTGTGATTTCGTCCTCATCATGTTGTGTCGGCGGTCCGTTCAACGTCTTTCTCCGCTTTGCCGACGAGCTCAATTTCTTTTGTCGAATAGGCTGGGTCGGCGTAGTCAACACTATCGTCTGGGGCACTTGCTCTGTCGTACCCAGCATTTTCAATATAGCATCCGACGTCATGGGCTCCATCGAGTGCGCGCGCCGCTTCCGTTTCGCTCCATTAAGTGCCTTGTTAATCTTCGGCGGCGGCGTCGAAGGCGGCGCTACGTTGTCATTAATTTCAGCATCTGTTTTCTTGGTGTTCGTCGTCTTTGTCGCGTTATCTACTTCCCGCGTCTCCGAGGCTCCGTCCGCCGCCTTGGGCGCGTCCGCGCCGAGCGACTGTCGCCTCTTAAGTTTGGGCTTGGCTGTATTCACGGCTGCCTCCACTGTGTTCTGCTGGCTCACGGGGAAGAACGGGCGCTCGTCCATCCGCTTTTTGCTCACGTAGCAGGCGTTGACCCATAGCTGCGACACAATCTTGAGCTCGTAGCGCGTGGCCGCGGCCGCCATGGAGCCACCGCCCGCCTGCCACTTGGCGATCTTGGTCTTCCACACGGGCGTGAAGTGGCTCAGCACCATGTGCGTGAGCTTGGGCGTGAAGCGCTTGACGGTGGACGCGCCCAGCTCGCGCAGCTTGCGCGCCACGACGTCGCTGCAGTCGATCTGCGCGTCGGCTCCCACGCGCACGTCCACCATGGCCACGACGCCCTTGAGCGGTCCGGCGGTGGACGCGGTGCGTGGACGGCGACGCGCTGGGGCGGCGGAGGGCGCCGAGGACGACGTCGAGGACTTGGAGGATGCGGCGGAGCGGGACGAAGCGGCGCTTCTTGGGGCGGTGCGCGTCGTCATGCGCGTGGTGCGAGGCCCCGCCGACAGCGAGACGGACACGGCGGCGACCATGGGGCGGGAGGGCGCGAAGGAAGCCGCGGAGTGCGCACTCGGAGTGCAGCGATTTTAAATTGCGCGCGGAATGGAATGGATGGGTTCGACTAAGTGCGAATTCCGTTTGGGGCAGCAGAGTGATGGTTGATTGATGTGGTACACACTTTTGATGGGAGATGGCTACAGGTTTTAGATTGACAGCAACCGGCTGCTGCACAAGACTTGCCGACACTGACACTGACACTGACACTGACACTGACACTGACACTGACACTGACACTGACACTGACACTGACACTGACACTGACACTGACACTGACACTGACACTGACACTGACACTGACACTGACACTGACACTGACACTGACACTGACACTGACACTGACACTGACACTGACACTGACACTGACACTGACACTGACACTGACACTGACACTGACACTGACACTGACACTGACACTGACACTGACACTGACACTGACACTGACACTGACACTGACACTGACACTGACACTGACACTGAGAAGATAACCACAGGTTTTGGTGAGGTAAGCTCTGCTGTACTGGCATCAATCTGTCGTTGCGACAGAATGATCCGGGCTCCCAATGCAGTAGTGGAGAAATGTACATTTATATGTTCGCTTATGCTCATTTAGGCGCCTACGAGGTAGATATAGATACAGGGAGCACCGAAGCTTCTTAGCGGGGGTATGCCGCCATGATAGTTCCATTGCAATGCGCACTAGCGACGACGGCCCATGTGCTCGAATGCGTGCGCGCCGAGGAGCCGGCACATAGTCGAGCGCTTCCTCTCGTTCGCCGCGGCCTCTTCCTCAGGCGTCGGCGCTGCTGTCTTCGCGTTCTTGTCCGAGAAGAGCATCTTCATCTTCTGCGCGAGCTTCGAGGCGGACGAGTCGCGTCTCGGCCTAGTGACCGTGGTGGGCTTGTTGGTGGGCTGGCTGTCGGCGCGGTCGGCGTTGGCCAGAGTCTTGTCGGTCAGGTACTTGAGGTTGCCGTGCGTGTTCATCGGCAGGGCGAAGCGCGTGTGGGCGTTCATCTTCGGCGGTGTGAGGCTTGGTGCAGAGCTGCTGGAGGGTCGCGATGCAAATTGGGAAGTGAGGGCGCCATGGCCTGTGGCTGCGCGACCGAGCCGTCATTCCGGCAGCGAAGGGAACGAAACAGTCAGCGCAAAGAGCGCGTCGAAGAAGGCTGAAGTTGGCCCCCGCAGAGAAGCCAAGGCGCCGATTCCGTGCGGCGGCTGCAGTAACGAAGTGCAAAGATGGGGTAATCTGGCGGTGCAGCCAATGGCTCGATCGTGCGGCGGCGCGATTCGGGATCGCGCGATGTGGACGTCGGCATCTACAAGTAGTGATCTCCGCTGGAGTTGCCAGTGAAGCGCTGCTGTATGGTGTGTAAGCACTTCTTCGTTTCAACCTCGTCCAGCAATGCACTATTGACATGCCATGCCAGTGGTCCGACACGCTTACCTGGTATCCTGTATTTTGGACAGCATAATCTGACGTGACGTCTGCCTTGGCTATGTCTATCCTGTACATTTGAGATGGGCCCCATGGATGCTCCGAGTAATGGTCGTTTTCACTGCCAGTTATGGCAGTGATACCACCCACAACTGGAAGAAAACTTACCGTCAACGAACGAATGCGCGCGTGCTACGCTGTTCGTTCGCCACGATCGACGCGTGCAATGAATGACATGGAGGGGGAAATACAGAATAGCGTGTTCATATTTACAGGTCATGCGAGGCGCTGCGGCTCCCGCAGACAAAACCTACAGCGGTTGTAGCTACGTGGCACCCTCTTCATCTAAACCCCGTGCGCACAAACGCCAGCGAGTCGACGTACTGCCGTCGCTGCGCCTCTTTCCTGCTCTCGCGCTGCTCGGAGGGGCTCAGCGCTTGCTTTTGGCTCTTGCTGCTCCCGAACAGCTCTTTCATCTTGCGCGACAGCTTGGCCCCCGTCGAGTCGCGGGGCTCTGATGCGGTGACGAAGTCGGTCTTGGTCGCGTCGCTGCTGGTCTTCTCGCGCACGTACATGAGCGTCGCCGGGGTGTTGAGCGGGAACGCGTTGCGAGTGGCCATCATGGAGGGGGTCATGGTTGTGGGTGCGTTCGGCGGCGTTGGCGCTGCGCTGTGGTCTCTTGGACTGTTGTTGCTGGTGGCGAAATTGCAAGTGAGCCTTGCGTTCCGAGCCACGGACGTACCACAATCACTCCGCTGCAGCGACACCTGCATTCTTGGTGGCGGTGCCGACGCCAGGAACTCGCTTAGAACCCTCCGTCCGGTCCCGTTTCCTCTCACTCGGGCGGCAGCGTTCGTAATGCGGGCTATCCTGCCAGGATCACCGTGAGGTGAGTGAGTCGAGGCAATGCGTCTGCAATGCTGGACGCGCCGTACTGCTTACAGCAACGTACGCAGTGCGATGTCAACGCTCGGCGGCACCACGCACATGCGCGAATTGAACGGCTCGCAAATTCTGGTGGGTTTGGCCCCTGGTATCGCCTATCGACAGCTGGCTGACCGGTGTACATATAGCGCCTCGAGCAATTTGTGCTCAGCGATCTGCTCGATTGGTCACGGCCGGCTTCAGCGCAATCATTGCACAGGAGGCAGCAGCCGAGCTACTTGACAAGGCGATGAATCTTCATCCTGGATAGGCAGACTACCCTCGGGGCTACCAGTCATTCAAAGTGCGATCCTCAGTACACTCATGTATACAGTACACATATACCAGCCAAGTCTTGGTCCAAGGCGGACAACTATGTGCCGGGCTTTCACCCGCATTCCCAATTGACTACCCAAGAGTGTTGGTGCGTGCCACTCCTCGAGTCGACTAGCGAGCGATACACATCCTACGGATACTGTTGCGGCGCAGCATCGTACAGTGCATGCACATGTAAGCATAGCAACCCGCTCTCGGAGCTCTTAGCTACTGGCTGGCACCCCTGCGAAGCTCGTCTCCTCGCCCAGCGTGCCCGCTCTTCACTTACCTTCCCGATCCCCACGCTCACTTTCCAATCTCCTCCGGTGAGCACACAACCCCGCCATGGACCCCACCAACGACCTCGCCGCCGGGACTCCTGCCGCCAAGACTGGGTTGTCGATCCAGCCGGCGACCGACGCGAACACAAGCACACTTGGGGCCAAGTTCGCCCAGAAAGCGGGGACACCTTCCAACCAAGACGACAACGAGGCGTCGGACGAAGCGAGGAAGAGCGCGCTGGAGAAGCAGTTCATCGCGTCCCAGGCTATCACTGGTCTGGGCCGCCCGCTTGCGTTCCGCCGTTGAAGAGTTGGTAGGTCATTACAGGATCCCAAGCTTGATCTACTGTAGGTTTAAAAAAGTAGCCGAGTCAATATGACAAAACAAAACTGAAGTATGCTGAGCAGCTCAGTCAGTGAATTCGTATTGTTCGGAACAAGGTTGCTGCGCTTTGGCTGGGAGACCATTTTTCTACTTCGTATTCCTTTAATCCTAGACGTGCAAGGTCTGCAGGGTTATTGTCAGGCAGATAGTTTAGAAAAAAAGTTCAAATGCAGCCCTCAGTGATGCCGGTGTGACACAATGTAAACTCTCTACATGAAGTGGACGCGTGTACCAATATGTAGTTGATGCTCGAATACAACTTGTTGTATGTTCTTCGGTGGCTGGTGCAATAGTTGGCGAACTGCCTGTGGAAGGGTTAGGAGTTAAGCCACAATTGCAGCTTTCGAGAAGTCTGTCATGAACGATTTTAGCAGTCGAAGGCAGACAGATGCTGCGGCTGTGAAGCAGGCGCAGGAGATGCCCGTGGATAGCGGTTTTGCAGCACAAATATTGATCTAAGCTTAGCACAAAATTCGAGTCAAGAAGCACTGTTAGTTGATGCTAACTAATACCTGCCATCTACTGCGCCTGCTTCGCAGCCGCAGCATCTGGCCAGCAGTCTTGTTTACTTTACACTTCCAAAAGGTTTTCGCTCCTTGAAAAGTTTTTGAAGCCTCACTAAATGCGATTTCGATGGGGTCTCCCAGGGTTTTTACATTTTGAGTCAGAAGAATTCCGGGAGGGGGGTCTGTTTTCGGCTACATGTATAGATGTTCTTTTACATATCTTCATAGCCCACAGATCTCCACTGCCGAGGCACCACCTTTCCGACGTCGCCGCCGTGTTAAAAAGATATAGAGTGCCACTTGCTCACATTAACACAGTGAACGGCCGTTGGCTCGATCGACGGGAGATCGGTAGTGTGCGCGATCGCGTGGAGAGTGCTCGGAAGTCGGTCCACCGGCATACAAATACCGTCACTGGATTTGCTGGAAAGTAGCCCGCGGTCTCGTTTGCGAGCACTCCGCCATGCCAGGTCGCCATCCTCGCCTCACCGAGCGATGCAAGCGGGAAAAGAGAGCGGCCCGATTCGGTTATCCTGTCTGTGCTAAACCCCATAATCTGACGTGATATGGTGTATGTATGGACATTGTTGTAGTGCACTCCACTAACATGTTAGCTCATTTTACTGGACACTAACTAACAGCTACTTCTCCGGTCCGGAAAAGAATTAACAGTTAGGTTTTTTCATTAAAAAAAACTCAAACCATCTCGATGTATGATTAGCCAAAGTACCTCTATGTACCACACTTCATTGGACAAAACTCTAACATCAGTGATTTGTATGCAAAAAACCTCAAACACGATTGGCTCTTTTTCTCGCCTTGGAATATTCAACTGTTTACGACATTATATCACAGGAATAAACTCTCTTTCCGCTTTCTCATGTGTATTTCCAAGTTCTAATCTGATCATTTTTGATGGCGCAGCGAATTTAAACCTCACACCTGTGGAAACAGATTGTTTAAACGGCCCGATAACTACCTGAAAGGGCGGGAAAATGGATTTATCAAAAATACTACGTGATACACCAGATCCAGAGCTTAAATTTAAGGGCAGCTACAGCTCTGTTGGAGCAGTAGAACGCAATATATAGTCTGATTAGAGAACTGTTAATTCTTTAGCGGACCGGAGAAGTAGTTGGAAACTATACATGTTAGCTGCACTGTATAGTGGAGGAAATAGGTACATGAGGAGATTACTTAGTAATCTGTACGAATATATTTACTACATTACTTGTAGTTGGTCTGGGTGTCTATATTGCGCCGCGGACTTTGATATACCTAAGTCGTCTTCACTCTTAAAATTGGTCATCATCTGCGCTGATAAGTGGTGTGCCAGCGCTCCATGTGAGCTCCACCCAGCCAATATTTTCCTATTTTAGCGGATACTTTGAAGTATATACATTGGATGGTAAATTCATAATTTTGAGGGTGTATTTGTGTTCAGTTTAATACATCGCTCGTCTTGACTGCCCTCGGTGCAAGTATTTACCCTTCTCCATACTTTTGCTCTAAACGCTACCAACATGTTAGCTCAAAATACTAGACACTAACTAACAGTTAGCTAACATGTATAGCAGCTAACATGTATAACAGCTAACATGTATAGCAGCTAACATGTCGGCGTTAGGGAGTACACTAATGAACAATGACGTCTGCCTAGGCTCTGTCTATCCTGTACTTTCATTTGAAATTTGAGATGAGCCCCATCGTCGATCGAATGATGGTCGTTTTCCAGCTTTGCTGGAGAACCGAGTATCTCTGCACTGGAAGCGGACAACACGGCCTCTACGCCATATTTATAAAGTTAGCAAGTCATATATCCTGTGGATCGCAAAATTCGCAGGCCCGTACAGATTGGTACACCGTTCGTTCGCTATGCTGAACGCGTGCAACGTACAAAAACTGAATGGCTCACTCATATTTACTCGATATACAACCCCGGGCGCGCAAACTATCGATATCGGCTATGTTACATTCTCTACCTCTAAACTCCATCCGCACGGAACCCAACTCAATGGCTCGACGTAATAACTAACTGCCGTGCTCCCCTTGCTCCAGAAGGCTACGCCTGTTTTCGGCTCTTGCTCATTCCGAGCAGCAGTTCCATCTTCCGCGACAGCTTGACCCCGGTCGAATCAGGGGACTCCGAGGCGGTCGCTGTGCCTGTGGTGACGATGCCAGCCTTGCTCGTGTCGTTGATGGTCTTGTCGGTCTTCTCGCGCACATACATGAGCGTCGCTGGAGTGCTAGGCGGGAGCGCGTTGCGGGTGGCCGGGCCATGGTTTTGTGCGCGTTGTGTCAGCGGCGATGTGGTTGCTCGCGGCGCAATATAGACACCCAGACCAACTACAAGTAATGTAGTAAATATATTCGTACAGATTACTAAGTAATCTCCTCATGTACCTATTTCCTCCACTATACAGTGCAGCTAACATGTATAGTTTCCAACTAACTGTTAGTAAGTGTCCAGTAGAATGAGCTAACATGTTAGTGGAGTACACTATATTCGAGCATCAACTACATATTGGTACACGCGTCCACTTCATGTAGAGAGTTTACATTGTGTCACACCGGCATCACTGAGGGCTGCATTTGAACTTTTTTTCTAAACTATCTGCCTGACAATAACCCTGCAGACCTTGCACGTCTAGGATTAAAGGAATACGAAGTAGAAAAATGGTCTCCCAGCCAAAGCGCAGCAACCTTGTTCCGAACAATACGAATTCACTGACTGAGCTGCTCAGCATACTTCAGTTTTGTTTTGTCATATTGACTCGGCTACTTTTTTAAACCTACAGTAGATCAAGCTTGGGATCCTGTAATGACCTACCAACTCTTCAACGGCGGAACGCAAGCGGGCGGCCCAGACCAGTGATAGCCTGGGACGCGATGAACTGCTTCTCCAGCGCGCTCTTCCTCGCTTCGTCCGACGCCTCGTTGTCGTCTTGGTTGGAAGGTGTCCCCGCTTTCTGGGCGAACTTGGCCCCAAGTGTGCTTGTGTTCGCGTCGGTCGCCGGCTGGATCGACAACCCAGTCTTGGCGGCAGGAGTCCCGGCGGCGAGGTCGTTGGTGGGGTCCATGGCGGGGTTGTGTGCTCACCGGAGGAGATTGGAAAGTGAGCGTGGGGATCGGGAAGGTAAGTGAAGAGCGGGCACGCTGGGCGAGGAGACGAGCTTCGCAGGGGTGCCAGCCAGTAGCTAAGAGCTCCGAGAGCGGGTTGCTATGCTTACATGTGCATGCACTGTACGATGCTGCGCCGCAACAGTATCCGTAGGATGTGTATCGCTCGCTAGTCGACTCGAGGAGTGGCACGCACCAACACTCTTGGGTAGTCAATTGGGAATGCGGGTGAAAGCCCGGCACATAGTTGTCCGCCTTGGACCAAGACTTGGCTGGTATATGTGTACTGTATACATGAGTGTACTGAGGATCGCACTTTGAATGACTGGTAGCCCCGAGGGTAGTCTGCCTATCCAGGATGAAGATTCATCGCCTTGTCAAGTAGCTCGGCTGCTGCCTCCTGTGCAATGATTGCGCTGAAGCCGGCCGTGACCAATCGAGCAGATCGCTGAGCACAAATTGCTCGAGGCGCTATATGTACACCGGTCAGCCAGCTGTCGATAGGCGATACCAGGGGCCAAACCCACCAGAATTTGCGAGCCGTTCAATTCGCGCATGTGCGTGGTGCCGCCGAGCGTTGACATCGCACTGCGTACGTTGCTGTAAGCAGTACGGCGCGTCCAGCATTGCAGACGCATTGCCTCGACTCACTCACCTCACGGTGATCCTGGCAGGATAGCCCGCATTACGAACGCTGCCGCCCGAGTGAGAGGAAACGGGACCGGACGGAGGGTTCTAAGCGAGTTCCTGGCGTCGGCACCGCCACCAAGAATGCAGGTGTCGCTGCAGCGGAGTGATTGTGGTACGTCCGTGGCTCGGAACGCAAGGCTCACTTGCAATTTCGCCACCAGCAACAACAGTCCAAGAGACCACAGCGCAGCGCCAACGCCGCCGAACGCACCCACAACCATGACCCCCTCCATGATGGCCACTCGCAACGCGTTCCCGCTCAACACCCCGGCGACGCTCATGTACGTGCGCGAGAAGACCAGCAGCGACGCGACCAAGACCGACTTCGTCACCGCATCAGAGCCCCGCGACTCGACGGGGGCCAAGCTGTCGCGCAAGATGAAAGAGCTGTTCGGGAGCAGCAAGAGCCAAAAGCAAGCGCTGAGCCCCTCCGAGCAGCGCGAGAGCAGGAAAGAGGCGCAGCGACGGCAGTACGTCGACTCGCTGGCGTTTGTGCGCACGGGGTTTAGATGAAGAGGGTGCCACGTAGCTACAACCGCTGTAGGTTTTGTCTGCGGGAGCCGCAGCGCCTCGCATGACCTGTAAATATGAACACGCTATTCTGTATTTCCCCCTCCATGTCATTCATTGCACGCGTCGATCGTGGCGAACGAACAGCGTAGCACGCGCGCATTCGTTCGTTGACGGTAAGTTTTCTTCCAGTTGTGGGTGGTATCACTGCCATAACTGGCAGTGAAAACGACCATTACTCGGAGCATCCATGGGGCCCATCTCAAATGTACAGGATAGACATAGCCAAGGCAGACGTCACGTCAGATTATGCTGTCCAAAATACAGGATACCAGGTAAGCGTGTCGGACCACTGGCATGGCATGTCAATAGTGCATTGCTGGACGAGGTTGAAACGAAGAAGTGCTTACACACCATACAGCAGCGCTTCACTGGCAACTCCAGCGGAGATCACTACTTGTAGATGCCGACGTCCACATCGCGCGATCCCGAATCGCGCCGCCGCACGATCGAGCCATTGGCTGCACCGCCAGATTACCCCATCTTTGCACTTCGTTACTGCAGCCGCCGCACGGAATCGGCGCCTTGGCTTCTCTGCGGGGGCCAACTTCAGCCTTCTTCGACGCGCTCTTTGCGCTGACTGTTTCGTTCCCTTCGCTGCCGGAATGACGGCTCGGTCGCGCAGCCACAGGCCATGGCGCCCTCACTTCCCAATTTGCATCGCGACCCTCCAGCAGCTCTGCACCAAGCCTCACACCGCCGAAGATGAACGCCCACACGCGCTTCGCCCTGCCGATGAACACGCACGGCAACCTCAAGTACCTGACCGACAAGACTCTGGCCAACGCCGACCGCGCCGACAGCCAGCCCACCAACAAGCCCACCACGGTCACTAGGCCGAGACGCGACTCGTCCGCCTCGAAGCTCGCGCAGAAGATGAAGATGCTCTTCTCGGACAAGAACGCGAAGACAGCAGCGCCGACGCCTGAGGAAGAGGCCGCGGCGAACGAGAGGAAGCGCTCGACTATGTGCCGGCTCCTCGGCGCGCACGCATTCGAGCACATGGGCCGTCGTCGCTAGTGCGCATTGCAATGGAACTATCATGGCGGCATACCCCCGCGAAGAGACTTCGCTTCTCTTGTATTTATCAACATCTATTATATATCTAGTTGCTATCCCACATGATAACCACGAGAAGTGCTCGACCGTAGAGCATGAGCTTGTAGGCATCGAACCATTAAGAACTGAAAATGCATACTTAGTACAGTATGACCCCCTGAGTTGCCTAAAGTTGACGTGGAGGGCTTTGCTAAAGGGTACAGATAACGACGGAAAAATACGCTCCACCAAAAAATACGCCATGCGACAAATCCAGATGACTGATCCGATACAAATAGTCACATGTATTTATAGCCAATGAAGTTCTCCTAAAACCTATGAAATTTGCAGAAATAATGGTTGGAGTAGCTCTGCGAGTCTATAAACACCTCATCGATGTGGGAATGTGCATCTATGCATACGTTTGTTTGTACCTAAGGCACTAAGTTACCATCAGACTAACGCTCGATCAATGTTGCTATTATTGTATGCCAGAATTGGTTCATTTTAAGCATAGACTGGCCTGAGCACTGAGAAAGCGCACAAGAACCCGTCAAGTATATTGATTGTTATTGTAGAATGAAACAATAGGTTTTGTTTAAGAAAACTGCTTCTCCGCAGCTTTTAAAGCTGTCGAGCTCAATAACCACAAACAATATGGACTTTCTTTTGCGAGATCACTCGTCCTTCTATACATAATCGGCCCTTTTCTAGAACGCAAAGAATACTTTCGACCAATCAGCGTGAGTGGCGTATTTTTTAGTAGCGTCCGGCTTACTATGGAGGATGATGGTCAGCGGTGATCTGTAATCGTCTCTCTAGGATGAAGAAACTCTCGTCAAGCGTAGCTGTCTCCTGATTCGCGGTCCTCTCGCAAACCTTACTGATGCCAGTTCATGGCTCTATTCGGGTGCCTACCAGTAAGCTCGATCGCGGTGCGAAGTTCGGACGTCGACATAACTCCCGGTGCCTGTAGCAACACATACCAGGTTGTTGCGGTGGAAGGAGTGCTCAAGGATGGGGTACCCTAAAGCCCACAAGAATTTCTTAGGCTAAGGAATTCTCTTCAAGCGGAAGCTGCAGCCCACACCTTAAAAACTGCGCAAACTCCTCGCAGACACTATAGTACACTTCCGCTGCCCTGACGCAGGAGTAAGCGATTTTGCGGGATAGGCCACGGCGTGCAGCCGTTGCCCAGGAGCTCGTGCAGTACCGGGAAGAAGGGAGATGCCACCTTCTCGATTGTTGCAGTGTCAGCAGACTGAGACTGCTGTAGACACCTGAAACCGTTCTCGCGTGTTGTTCCTAGCCCATACTGACACGAATTTCGCTTTCGCCTTCGTCGTTTTATTATTTGTGTTAGGATATACCCCAGAGACCGATGGCGACCGTTTCGCGCCTAGCGCTGGTTTGTGAGCATCGCTGCTCTTGAAATCATAAACTGCCGCCAAACCACATTCGACTTGTCCTTGGTCACGATCTCCGTCGAGGCTTGCTTCCCACCCTTCGTAGTGGGGATCTCGCCCATGAGCTTGAGCGCCATCAGCTTCCTCTGCGCGGGGTCGAGTTGCTTCGCAGTCCTTGTACGGACACTGCTGGTTGCCGTTGTTGTCGTCGTCGTCGTCGTGGCGCCTCTCGTATCCGTAGAGGCTGCCGGCTCCGCCTCCGCCTCCGTCGTGTTCTTATCGCGGATGAAGAAGAGCGTGCTGAGCGGAAGCGCGTTGCGACTCGACATACCTGAGGGGCGTGCGTCTGACTTCGATTGGTACTGTACACTATTGTACGCTTGGGCGCTAGAGAGCAAATCTGCTAATGAACGACGCAGAGCAACGCGCGGTGCCAAGTGCATGTCGATTGGGCGGCGCGGAGCAGCACAAACACATTCGCTACATCTGCAACGCCACAGCAGCTTCGAAAAAGGGCGGTGCCGACCCTCCCAGACATCACTTGGACACGCTAAAGACGGGCTTCTGTACCGTATGAAAAGCTGGCGCTCGCATATGCTTTCGGCTTTCCCACTCAACGTTGTGCAATGCCATGGTCGTTGCCAGGGGGTTCGAAGTTCGAACTTCGAACCCAGCGGGATCAATTTGTCGTGCACAGGCACCGACTTTGGAGAGACGACGTCGCGCACGAAACTGGATCTTCTCGAGGGACTTGGAGGGCAATCCTGCCGCAACCAGGTGGGGTTGAAGGGATCACTTTAACATAGCGGTATCTCTACCTTGAAGTGGGGGCTGTCAGGTCGCGGGTACACGTACTTGTCGGATCGACTTGCCATCAACAAGTCAAGCATTAGTCTCTAGATGATATTCTTTTTACTAATCGTGGCTGCTTTTACAACTGCGCACAGAAGCTCTAGACATTGATCCCTGTAGTCACGTCGTGCTCATTACATGTAGTTTTACGCATCATTCTTGTTGTAGTGTTCGTGTCTGGTGGATATTGCTCTGCTATTCTTGCATTCCGAGGCCGTTTCTTCCTCTTCTTCGTCTCGCTGCCTCCATGTCGACACAAGTTGGTGAGCTGCTCGGCGCTTTGCTGAAGTATGGAGGTTCTGGGCGAGCAGCTGCAGTTGCAGTCTCTCCAGCAGGAGCGGCCCAAAGCCAACCTGGATGAGACGCCCGAACCGACGGTCATTTCTCGACGGCAGGCCGAGCTGGAGGCAGCGAATGACCGACTGCAGCGAACAGCTCAGGTACAAACGCAAAGGTGAAGGACATAACGAGGTAGAAGAGCTCTTACTTAGGACGATGTTGTGGTTATTTAGAATTTCTCGGTTGAGTGGAAGTCGTTCCTCGGGTACGCGATGAAGATCAAGCAGCAGCGCGTGACTGGAGCGACTGCAGGTACTGGTGAGAGGGATCTAGAGGATCTACTGCTGAAGACTCAAGGCGGACTTGTCCTACTACGTGAGCTGCACAGCCGTCGAGAGGAACAGTGGAAGACCGTCCTTGAGCACTATGGCTACGAGCACTCTTCCCTCAAAACTGCAAGCAGTGAGACACAAGAACATGGTCCGGAGCCCCCACCGCCACAGCAGCAAGTGGCGAGGCAGCCGCAATGGCTGCAGACGCTCGCCTCGAAGCTGTTGGCCTTGAATCAGCAGGTGGCGGCCACTTCTCACTGCGCTCTGAAGCGATCACAGCTGACGGTTGACCAGAACGAGCCACGACGGACAAGCCGAAAGCTGTCACCCGTTCTGGTCAAGCAGCGCGCTCAAGCGCTGGAGACGCACCACCGACTGCTCCACGCGGTGGACTCCGCGTCTTCAGCCCCCGACTCCATTGTGACGGTGGACGATGTGAATAAACTGCTGCAGTTCAACTACTTGAAGCACCAGCAGGCCGTGGTGCTGGAGCGATTCTGCACTCGTCTCAAGTGGCTGCCCGTGAGCCACCGCTTCCACCTCCGACAGCGCATGCTGGCTCTGATCCACCAGCAGAAAGTGAAGAACACGCCACGCCCCAGCGCATCAACAGCTTACAACAACAGCAAGGATCACATCCACTGTCCGCTCTTCATGATGTCGACGTCTCACTTCATGGCGGAGCTGAAAACCTTGGCGCTAAAGTGTTGTTTACCCATTTCTGATGCAAATTTTGATACGAAGACCAGCGCGGAGGAGTTCCAGGCTCTTAGACAAGCCGCAGACGGGCTTTTAGCGTCTGCAGTGAGCGCGTTCCCGCTTGATAGTTCCATCAACTTGGATGCGACTTTGGAGCTGGATTTGGAGTCGGTAGTGCACGCGTACACCAGGAATTCTCGGTGGGAGCTCATCCAACGTGGCTACCTTAGCAACTGCGAGCCTAGCCCCGGAGGCATCGAGGAGACCTTGATCGCGCTTCGCAATGACCACAAGATTGACTCACTCTTGGCGAACGAGTGGGAGCTGCTCGGTCTTGACGACGTCGGGTATCTCCGTGTGAGACTCGAGGCGCTCTCCAGAGCACACATGAAGCGCGCCAAAGTGGACGTGACGAAGTCCGAGTCTGCTGCCGCCGGGAATGTCCTCACGCTTGAAAGCCAGGACGAAGCAACAGACGATGATGATGAGGGAGAAGGTGATAAGCCGAAGTCTGGTCCACCCCACGCCTGGAATCCCGACGCGCTGTATTCTCTCTATGTGCTGCGTGTGTCTTCATGTCGAACCAAGCGGTTGAGCTTGTTGCGCCTGTTGAACTATCTCCACTTCGTCCAGCTCCGCCAAACCAGTTCATTCCACGATGGCACGTCTCCAAAACCTGTATCATCCAGGTTTGCTACTGGATCCGACAGGATAAGCCCCTGGATGGTAACGAAGTGCGAGAAATCTGGCGACTACATCGTTATGCGCGTACCAGATAGAGCTAAAGAAGATCTCGACGACGAAGACGACGATAACTACAACGGACCTCAAGAGTTCATCTTTGCAGCTGCACGGCGCGACTTCGAAGTGCTGGAGCTTCAGATGCTGCGGATAGCAAGCATCTTCATCTTCAAGCAGGAGTACGATAGCCTCCCTACATCCCCACGCAGACGCAAGAACGGGACCGACCAGGATTCGGACAGCGTCGTGACGACCATCGAGCGGCTGCAGGTGCTTCGAGACGTCTACGACTGCGAGGTGGCATTCCAGCAGGCCAAGGTGCAGTTAGTTGAGAGGCTCCTCGAGTTTGGGCTTGACTTTGCTCCAAGAGCTCGAGACTTTAGCGAGCTTAACCTGACACCTCCAGGAGATGAACCCGAACCATTCACCGCTATCCTGTCCCCACTGCTGCAACGACGACCGCTTATCGACTTCTCGCACGCGTACTTCTTCGAGAGCTACGCGGCGGAGACGCTCCTGCTGGAGCTCCAAGCTTCACTCATACAGCAAGTGGCTCAACACTTCCAGCGTCTAGAATGGTGCGCGCTCAAAGAGTTCGCTTTCAGTGACGAGAGCAATGAGGAAGACGATAAACGGCAGTGGGTTTGTCGCCAGATCTTGGGCTCTCGAGCGTTGGTGCAGCTCTACGCTCACCAAGAAGAGCTGGTGCGTCAAACCGACGAGAAATGGTTCACTGGCACCTCCATCGGCGACTTCCACTCTCTCCAGCACGTTCTTCTGGAGCACACGCTCGTCATCTGGTCGCTGATCACCAAGCTGGAGCTCCCCGGAAGACCCGTAAACTGTCTGGAGCGAACTGCAGGAGATCTGTTACTCGGAAGTGGGTGGCAACTTGTTCTCCCCCCGCAGCTACTATCCGACGTGTGCAGAACAATCCACGAGCAACCAAGTGCGTCACGTCCGCTCGTTGAGTGCCTCGCTAGAGCCATCGAGCTGGACGCATGGCGTCAAAAGCTCACACGAAGCGTCTACGAAGCTCACCTGCTTGAACTCGTGCACAGATTCCAGTTTGGCTTTGTGAAGCAAATCGCAGCGTTCGATACGGTAGTTGGGGGAGAGCAAGCGCGGCATCTACCGTTCTTCTTCGACTTCGGCGACTGCGACCGCACTAAATCTCTCCAGCCTATTGCAGTAGAGCTGGAGACGCCCATGTTCCACGCTACATCGGCTTCAAAGCTTGCTGCTCTGCGTAATGGCGACAGTAAGTCCATCTCCGAATGGCTTCAAGCGCAGCTAAGCGCTCTGCAGACCCGCACCGGCGACAGTGACGACCTTGCTACACAAGCGAAGCATTCGGAAGCGTGGAGGACTTCGCTGCTGTCACTTCAGGAGCAGTACGTGGCGTACATGACGGTGATCGTGAGCTACCAAGACGCCGTGGGTGCTGACGTGTACGAGTTTGCGGCGTCGTATCCGTACGTATGCCTGGCCAACTCGCTCACTCCAGAATCCTCCTCTTCATCCGACGAGAACTTGACGCTAGCCATGGACATCAACACCGTCCGCACGAAATACGCCAAAGAAATATCCGACAAGATGACGGAGGAGATGCGGACGAGCTGCTTCCCATACTGGAAACGACTCGAGAACCTCAAGCAGCAGCTACAAGAACGCTTCACCACTGCTCCGAACCAAACTAGTGACGGGTTGAACGCTGCGTTTGCATCGCTGCAGCCAGGATATCATCTGGAGGTTGATATGACTGCATGCGGCCAGTTCCTCAACGACGAGATGCACCATGTGAGTCTACTCATCGCACTGAACGATCACCTCCAGCGACTCAGGAACGAGAAGAGACTCATGCAGCAGCTCAGTCCAGCAGCGCGTGTTAGATGCGCCTTCATCACGCGTGCAGCAGCCACCGACAGATTCTCGACCGACAGCTCCAACGACGACGACCAGCCTTCCGGCTTGACCAAGTGGCTACTCGTCAAGCTGCACCAACTCAAGGAGGACCTCCAAATCCACGAGCGCCCAAAGGTGGAGCAATTACTGCTGACGCCTCCAGCTTTGAGTGTCTCGCCTCCAGCAGCAGCACAACGCGCCAAGCGAAAGTTCGGTACACATCGTTCCACGGAGGAGTCCAGTCTCGACGTTCAAATGCTACTGCAAACGATCCCAACATTCCGCTGCTTACTCCAAACATTCGCAGTGAGTCACGAGAGATCTCGACGGGATTCCACCGGTGGAGCTGCCAGCGCTCACGCAGCACGACTCCAGGAACACCGCGAGAAAACTCTGCGCGTGCTGCTGCCCATTTTCAACCAATTCAGCTGCACTTTGGACTTGTTGCGGGTCCGATGCGGCTCGCGCTTCGCTACGACCCGATACACGTCATCAGGTAGTGGACTGCGCTACGTGCCCATTGAGACGAGCTCCGGTAGTGCTCCTGGGGGTATGTACGCTGGCCTTGGACGCCTTGAGCGCTGGCAAACGCAGTTCCATGATGAAGTCCGCCATCTATTAGACATCATCACGAGCAGACTCAGTCCTGAAGCCGCCATAACCACTGGGGACTTGTTTGATACTCACCCGGAACACTTGAAAAGCCAGCACTACGCCTCGCTCATGCGGCAGGAAATGTACGACGCGCTCCAGGAGGCAAACGCTCATTCGATACGCATGCTGCGGTGCACGACCAACTACGCGCTGCTGCAGACGTACCAGAAGAACGCTGGCATTCGCGTTCGAAGGCACCGGCAGCTCTTGGTCGCATTCCAGTCAATCTTGGAGGAAGTAGCGACGTCCATGCACGCGCCTTCATACAACGCAGCAAACATGAGGTGCCTTGTACGTGCTGGTGAAATAGCCTTCTTTGGCGAGGCTCGACCCCGCGAGCGTGAGCGCGAGTGGCAATCATTCAAAGACGCCATAGGCAAGTACGAGCCGCGAGATAGCGCGTACATTGCGGCGGTCACGCGGTTGTTAGAGCTGCATCGGGTCTTCATCGACGAGAATTGTCGATCTCTTCTGCGTCTGGGGGAGGAGACCGCGTCACGCTCACTGACCGCACAATGTGCTGCGGAAAACCAGGCTTTGGTCGCGCTGGATGATCTGTGGGAGCGGTTCCAGCTCCCGGTATGGGACTCGCTCCTGGGCGACGAGAGCAGCAGTCGATCACAGGTTGTCGGCGGGAAGAACCTGCACATGAAGAAGCGCTTGCTTGGAAATGCTGAACTGGGTATGGGAACGGCGTCGTCATCAGGCACATCGACGGAGATCCCATCGCCGAAAGACCTGTCCTTCGCGCTGCGCAGTCTGCACATGGGGTCCGCTACAACGCTCGTGCAGTTCTGCAACACTGGCGTGCTCGTCCTGCCACCGCCAAGCAGCATCGAGGACCAGCTCAGCTATCTCGAGATCTCCGTGGAGCTGACGTGGATGAACGCCGACATGAAAGAGCTCGAAGAGCAGTACAAGAAGTTCATGCTGCATCGAAAGACACACCGCGAGCACCAGCGACTGTCCAGTGCCACCACTCGAAAACCTCCGAAATGTCCCCAAACAATAACAGGAGCGTCGTGCACAACCGCAGCTTCTTCGCTCTTGGCATTGAACAAATACTTCCACGAAGACGGGATTCCCGATGATAAAGCCCAGCAACTTGAGTCGGCATCAAATGGTAACGGAGTATCATCCGTGAATAAGCCGACGAAGAGGGAAAACACCCCAGTATTCATCGTTCCAGCGTCCGAAATGGCTTGGTTTCTCCGTGGCATCACTACCAATTGTGTCGATCACAGCCAACAGCTCCTTGATCTTCAAAATGCGTCCTTGCAGCAGCTTCGTGACCAATTTGAGGCCGTAACTCTCGAGTATCAGAAGATCAAGAAGCAGTGGGTCAAAGCCAAAGCTGAGGAGCGGATTCGGCGCGAGGCTTTCGCTGTAGACCACGCGTTCCACTTGTACTTCGAGGTGGAGGCTCTGCGGAAGCAGCTTGGAGTGCTGGAGGCACGCAGGGAGCTGGATCAGAAGATTTTGCGCTGCGATCTCAACGCCGAATACGACGAAAAGCTGCGCGTGACGCACGCCGAGCTCCTGAACAAGCAGCAGAAGTTTGCAGAGTACCGCACGACCATGCAGCGCGAGCTGCAGACCGTGATCCAAGGCGCCCACTCGCAGTTCGTCGACCAGATCTTGGACTACTCCGGCTCCATCCCTTCCGCGATCAAAACCTCGGTGGCAACACTTCTGCGCGGGCAACAAGAAGTGGTGAGAATCAAGAGTGAGAACGCTGCTATGAAGCAAGCGCTCTTGAAGGTCCAGGCGCTGGGGGATATGCAGCAACAGACTCAGAGCGCCGCTCGAGAGCGCGAGCTCCTACTTACCCAGAGATTCGCCACGGCTGAAGCTTTCCAACGTAACGAAGTGGAAAAGCTACAGGCGTACGTGAAGGAGCTTGAGGGGAGTCTGAGTAAGCTGTCGCAGGAGAAGACGTACTTCCAGGTGAAATGGACGACAGCCCAGAAGCAAATGGAAGCCACAGCCCAGAGGAGACGAGAAGCCAGAGTCCGCGCGCTGTCTGCAACGTACACCCGAACACTGCCGACAGGAGCCATAAGCACAGGCTCGGACGATGACAGTCCACCAGCAGTTGCCATCAACACGCGCGTTCAAGTCGACGACACCGACAGCGTCACGGATGCCAGCACTACTCGTCCCCCAACAGCTACGAGTACAGTCGACGGAGCGCAGAAGCAGGAGCGCCAGCGTCTTGAAGCGCAATATCTGAACACCACTCGACATTACCAGAACGAAATACGCCGATTGCAGCAGCAGGTCACGCGCGAGATCCGCGAGAAAGCAGCCATTGCCCAGCAGCTCACACAACTGCGCCAGCACGAGTCTTCAGCTTCAATTCAGTCACGCGATGGCCTGCCTCTCATTGACGACCCTCTGACACCGAGAACACCACGCGGAGACGACACTTTCAGCCGTAGAGATCACCTGCTGCCGTCCACCCCGCGCAGAACGCAGTCAGCATCACCTCGTACGCCCTCGAGAGCTCTTGGCTGCGTCGCTGCTCCGCCGGATCGATCGACGACACCCAGACGTCCGAAGTCTTCCTTCTCCCCACGAGCCTCGCTGCTCCGCGCTCAAGTTGAAGTTGGTTCTAGGTCCCAGCCGCCGCCACTCCTGCCATGTCCGAATGCTCCTGCTTCTGGGTCGAACACTCCGTCCTCGAGGCCGGGCAGCTCCGCTGGAACGTCTGCGCGAAAATTTCAGGTGGTCAAGCGCGAAACGAACGTGGTAGACGGCGTCGCGGGCGTATCGAACACCCTGTCGGTCCGCGAGCCTCTGCAATATCGCTGATCGATACAACTAACTCACTACGCGGATACAGTATGCAGCGCAAAGTGAAGCATACATTACAATAATACAGTAGAGCATTGAAGTGCAGCAGCAGCTGCGGAGCACGACGGACCCGCGTCGCTCCCTCCGACTGCTTGTCCAGCCTTGTGGGCGGACATGGCTGCCTTCAAACCGCTCTGAGGAAATGAGAGAGAGAGAGAAAGCGATACCGCACGACGAAATTGGAGGACAGAAGGAGGCTTGAGGCGACGTTCTGTCGCCTCAAGCCTCCACTCAGTCCTGCAGAAATGGCGCGCTGCAGTGAGAGGGGATGGTGGACACGGATGGAGCTACACCCAGTCGTCGGATGTTCACAGTGTGGCGCTCACACTTACGCGCCGTCCTCCCTGCAAAAAGTAAAATAAAATAAAAGAGTCAGTCTCACTTCATTCCTACTATTGCCAGCTCCACCACAGCTCGTCGTACCAGTCCGGGGACATGCCGAAGTAGTCCTCCATGGCGTCTTCTGCGTCGTCGTCCATGTTGGCAGGTTCGTCCATCGTCTCGTCGTCCATGTCACTATCATACGTCAGCCTGGCGGCAACCATAACAATGAAAATAATAGTGTCAGCATCTAAAAAACTCCTCTCATTCCCCCCCTCCCCTCCATCGCAGCACTCACCCCTTGCAGAGGCACGTAAAGTACAACACCTTCTTCTGCACCTTGTTGTAGAAGAAGTAGTTGAACGACCACCTACAAATTAAGAAAAAAATCAGACCCATAAACTACCCCCATACCGTAAATAAAAGTTGCCACTGTACGAACAGGTTGCCGTCCGAGAACGGGTCCGAGTCCATGTCGGGGATGTAGCTGTACACGTCGCACTCGTCGAGCTTGATGGCCTCGGCGATGCCCTCCCACATCTTCTCCACGAAGCCGGCGCCCTCGCTCTCGAGCAGCTCGGCCAGGTCGTGGTTGATGCGCTGCAGCGCTATCCGGAAGTCGAGCTCCTTGCGGAACTGCTCGGGCCGCGCGGCGCTGAAGTCGTAGTCCGGGAAGCTGGCGTTCATGGTGGAGATGAGGTTGATCAGCAGCTTTCGCGTGGCCGGCGCGGCGATGGGCCCGAGCGGGGACGAGCCCAGCAGGTCGGCGTCCGCGGCCTCGATCTCCTGCTGGTAGAAGAGCTCGAGCGACTTGGCCAGGCGCTTGTCGCTGCCCGCCTTCTTGCACGAGTACGTCTCGATCTTGCCCTGGAGCACGCGGTCGCCCGCCTCGTAGTTGCCCAGCACCGAGTTGAGCCACGACAGCTGCGGCTCCTCCAGGTACTTCATCGCGGCAGTCGAAGAGCTACGTAAGTCTTGCGCTTGGGGTTGCTTGTTGTTGAATGCGGCGCGTCAAGTGACTTGAGTTGAGTATGGCGACGCGTGAAGCGTCGATAATTTTTTTTAAAAAAATGTGAAAAATACTGTGAGGATTGATACATAGAGAAATTAAGAGATGTACGGCACTGAACCCACACTCACGTTACCTGTGCGGAACTCATATTTCGGATACTTCGGGAAAAACGCGGCACCTAGCCTGTTTCTTTGTGATGTTCAACGTGGCAGCACAAAATTTCACGTACGCCACACCACTGTCGCAGCACTACCATACAGCATAACAACCCCAAGTTTAACTATCCCGACACCAGCATGCGGCGCTCGGCGCTGCGGCGGCCCGAGAGCCTGACGGACAAGTACCGCATCCTGGGCAAGATCGGCGAGGGCACGTACGGCATGGTGTTCAAGGCGGAGGCGTACTCGTCGGCGCTGCTGCCGCGGCCGTCCAGCGGCGGCTCGGGCGGCGCCGAGGACGAGGAGCCCATGACGTTCGCCATCAAGCTGGTCAAGTCGCACAAGGAGGGCAAGAACGACGTGGTGCTGTCCAGCGCCACCGTGCGCGAGATCAAGCTGCTGCGCGAGCTGCACCACGACAACGTGGTGCATCTGCACGACGTGCACGTGGACCCGCGCGACAAGTCGCTGGCGCTCGTGTTCGAGTACGGCGACCACGACCTGCACGACATCATCGTGCAGAGCAAGCAGAAGCCGCTGGGCGAGTACACGCGCAAGTCGCTCATGTACCAGATACTGAAGGGCGTCGACTACATGCACGACGCCTGGGTCATGCACCGCGACATGAAGCCGCAGAACATTCTGGTAGTCGGCCACGGCCGCAAGAGAGGACAGGTTAAGCTGGCGGATCTGGGTCTGGCCCGCATCTACAAGGAGCCCATCAAGGCGCTGTCCGACGTGGAGCGCGTGGTGGTCACGCTCTGGTACCGCGCGCCCGAGCTGCTGCTGGGTGCGAAGCATTACACGAAGGCCGTGGACTTGTGGGCGGTTGGCTGCATCTTTGTTGAGCTGATCAACACGCGCGAGCTGTTCTGCGGCAAGGAGGTGGAGGGGTCCAACGCTCCGTTCCAGAAGGACCAGCTGGACAAGATCTTCAAAGTGCTGGGCATGCCCACGCCGCAGACGTGGGAGGGGCTGGAGAACTTGCCCGAGTACAGCCATGTCGTGCAGATGGGACGCGAACGCAAGTACCCGACCCAGTCGGAGCTGAAGAATGCAGTTAAGGTTGGGCCTGGCCGCGCGGGCGCTGCACTTCTGGATCTGCTTTCGAGGCTGCTGGAGTATGGTGAGTGCCAGGTGATCATGTCAGTTTCACTGCTCGTTGCTGAGGATTTAACTCTGTACGTGCAGACCCGGAAACGCGCATCACGGCGAAGGAAGCACTGGAACACGAGTACTTCAAGGAGATCGTACGTGTTTCGTGCCTATTGTAGTGCTGCTTGTTTTACAGTCTAACCGCGTTGCTTGGTGTTAACTTCGACAGGAGCCTGAACCAAGGGACTGGGCCTTTGACGAGCCTGGCAAGGAACCTGTTTCCTTCCGCACGCAGACTGTAGAGCCCGTAGCGGAAGAAAACCTCCCGTGGAAGAGCAAGAAAGACGGCGCAGCAGGAGCTGACGGCAAGCCGTCCGACGCTGCGGGTAGCCCTCACCGAGATGGTTCCAGTAGCCGTCATAATGACCATCGTGGACGTGACGCGCCATCGCGAAGCCGCAGCCACCACAACTCGCGAGATCCGCAGCAGCAACCTCAGCGACGAAGTGATCGTGGCAACGCTGGGGACGCGAACGCACGAGACACGAGAAGCAGAGGGCCTCCTGCTGGAGGAAACGCGCAAGCCGCTGGAGGATCAGCTTGGAGAGACCAGAGGAGTTCTGGCCGTTCCGGGGGAGCTGCTGCACCTAATGCTGGCGCGATCACAGGTGCCAAGCGTCCAAGTGGCGGCGAGCGCCCCACTAGCGCGAGTTCAAACCGTCCTCGGAGTCCAAAGCAGCCTCGCCGCAGGTGAAGGGACGAAGAAAGCCAACGAATTAGGCTGCAGGCATTCAGTAAAACAACAGCAAACCACCAACATCAAGTGTCTGTGTTAGGCATTTCGTTTACAGCACTGGTAGAAGTTCTTCGTCCTTCGCTTCTCCCTTACTTCTTGGGGGTGGTGTCGGCCAGCAGGCGCTCGAGCTCGACAATGCTTTCCACCAGCAGTTCCTTGAGTTGAGGAAGGTCCTTGCGGTAGCTGGAGAGCTGGAAAGCAGAACCTTCTTGCTCGATTCCGTATCCGATGCCGTAGCAGTCCTCGTTCACAGGTCCAAAGCTACCGCCCTCAAGCGCTGGGCTAGACAGCGTGCTGGTTGACAGGATAATCTTGCTCATAATTTGGTGGGCCGGCAGCGTGTAGAACTCCGGCGTGTCGATTCCCTGCAGTTCAGCCATGGCTCGCAACGCAAAGAGGTGACGGTCAAAGCCCTGGCCCATCACACCGTTCTTGGTCAGCTCGCTGTGCTTCGTCACAGCCGCACGCAGGGCATTGGCCTTGTCCGAGTCTGACGCAGAGGCATCGGTCATGGTGCGCACGAAAGCCACAGCTTCGTTCGTGCAGCTACGCACGGTTTCGGTACGTCCGTGCTTGAATGCGGCAGTGCTGGCGCTCTCGTAGGTGGCCACAAACTTCTGGTGCAGTTTGAAGTGCGCCAGTTGGATCGTCATCTGCATGAGCCCGTCCGTGCCAATGTTGTACTTCTTGCCAACAGCACGAGTCACGGGACTCTCCGCACACGCGACCAACAAGCTGGAAGTCCACTTGTCGTACGTCTTCTTCGCCTCGTTCAGCAACTGCTTCGTCTCACCGTTGACGTCCCACGTCAGCTCCTTGGGCTTAGCTTGGCTGCTTGCCTTCAACACCGGGTACTTGACGCTGTCGCCATACAACTCGTGGAGGTAGCGCAGCACAGCCACACCGTCTCCCCAGGCGTGCTCAAAGTTCACCGAGGCCGTACCGTTCGCGGCTACTATTAGCTGAAAGCTCTTATCGAACCAGTGGTTAGTGCCGTCGCCCACCAAGAACGTGCGGCTGACCTCTTCAGGCGTCGCAGGGGACTCATGCTCCAGGCTCACCACGAACAGCGCGCTGTCAATCTGCTCCAGCGACGCCTTGTTGACGCCTCCACTGGCCTCCAGCTTCTGGCGAGCGTTAGCCCACGCGTCACGGTTCATGGTCGTCATGAGCCCCATTCCAGGTGCATCCGGCGTGCTCTTCGCCAGTGGCTCAGCCAAGATCGCTTCAATATTGGCCAGGATCTGCTCGTCCGGGACAGCTCCTCCATCCGCCGTGAGCACGTCAAAGGTATAGAACTTGGTTCCTCTCTGAACCACAACGTGCTTCGATCCCGGCGACACCTTGAGCTCATCTTGTCCGATCTTGGGCAGCCTCGTGCTGGAGAACAGGTTCTTGTACTGGGACATGTCCAGCGGGTACGCGCCGAGCGCCGCGGCTCCGTAGAAGCTCACACTCTCGGGCAGGAACTTACAGAAGTACTGGAAGGCCGTGGTCTTGCTGGTATCCGGCTTGGTGTGGAAGATGTCCGGCTCCAGCTTCTTGTCGCGCAGCGTGCGGTGCACGCGCACGGTGGAGGCGATGAGCGAGGCCGCGCGCTGGCTCTGCGAGTTCTTGGCGGGCACGGGGTCCATCTTGAGCTTGATCTGCGGGTTGTAGTTGACGGGCAGCGGCTGCCGGTCGTTCAGGTACATCTCGAGCCACCACTGGTTGATGTACGACGTGTGCTTGTTCTCGGCGTCGCGCGCCACCAGCGCCCGGTGCAGCTCGGGTCCCACGCCGTTCTGGAAGTCCCTAACGGCACGCTGCGTGTCCGCGAGCTGCTGCGCCGTCACCACGGGCTCCACGGCGGCCAGGTAGCGCGCCAGCGAGTCCTCGAGCTTGGGGATCGGCAGGCGCGTCAGGCTCTTCTGGAAGTGGTAGGTGGGGATGATGGTGTCCTGCACGTAGCCGCTGGCGGACGAGAAGGCGCGGCGCAGGGCAAGTGCCGCGCGTGCGCGGGCAACGGTGGAAGCCTGCATCATCGCAAGGGGAAGCAGTGGGCACTGGAGAGCGGATCCTGAAGTGCGTGTAAGATCGTTGACGTACGCTTCGCTTCAACACGTCGGATTGCGGCCAGGAACCGACGTGCTTCAATGTGTTCACCGTAAACGTCGTTTGAGATTTACTATCTCTGTTCTGAAAATAATGCACCTTCAAAAAATATTTGCGCATAGCTCCGCCTCGTTTTTTTCACCGATATAGGATTTGCAGAGGTTTAATGAAGTGCCCTACAAAAGAAAAGGATCCAGGTCTGAAGTCTCAAATGCAGAGGGTAGTAGCGAGGGCTGGTGCTGGGGTATCAGCTGCGGTGGGGAGGGACGTTGCCCAGCACAACTAACCGGACGAGGTTGGGCAACACGAAGCTGCTCTGCGTAGATCTGCTCTACAGAGAGCATTGCGATTGCTGAGTGAGCGCTGAAGAGGATCTCGGCATCACACATCAGAGTGGTGGGGAGTTGGCCAGCATTGATCAGCTTGTCCTTGTGCATGTGCGTGAGCCGGTAGTTGTTGCGCCCTTCGTTGGTCATGATCTCCTTCATGACAAGTTGCAGCGTTAAGAATGTCTTGTTGAGAGTTTCTGCCGTAGTCTCTGCAAACAACTTCCTTGATGAGATCCTCCGTGGTCCGTGGGCTGGTGTGAGACTGGAGAGACTGTATGCTGCAGAAGTAGCCGAGACCCAGGCAATTGAGATCTAGGCTTTGGGCAGGTTGGTTCTTGAGTCGGATATTCCATCCGTCGGCGCGTCCAGCAGCGAGCACTTCAGCGTCCTCCTCAAGCACATGTGGCCTCGCGTTGTCTTGTTGAATGCGAATGAGAGTGGCCTTCTGATCTTGAGGCCACTTCGCCTTGATGGCAGGAATGACGTCGGTCACGAGCATGCGGCGCGCCAAGGTACGGTTCATAGAGACTGGTTTTATCTCCTCGACACCTGCGGGGCGGTTGACACTCCAGCGTTGTGTAATGTAGGTTTCCACGACAGGTCAAAGCCCTATCTTGCCGTCCCAGTCGCCGCGTGGCCGCGCCACGGCGCACAGGAACATCACCTTCTTGATGTGACGCTTACTTTGAACGTACTGCAGGGGGGCTTCTTCCAGGGGTGTGCCGTCCTTGCCTGTCAGCACGTACACACGCTGGCCGATCTTTTTGACGTAGAACCACTTCTCGTCAATGTGGACTACGTCGAACATTGGGTCGAAATAGTACTGCCCGTCTCCGTTTAGCTTCACGTGGTTCACGGCGAACTTCATGCGTGCCACCCTATGCGATGCCGTAAGCAGGGACCGTGTGTGCCTCAGGGCCCGCCTCATGTAGCCCTCCTTGATCAACTGTTGGACAAGGTAGGAACTTGTATTCGACGCCTGTTGGATCTTGCGGTGGTTCTCACGCTCGTTGACGGGCACGGCTGACACATGCTCGCAGAGGACTGCTCGGTCTAGCATCTTTCTGCCACGCGCACTCTTTCTTGACTTGACAACTGCAGCGACGCGGTCGCCCATCGAACTAATCCCTCTCTCCCAAATGCGCGCGACGACGAAACGACTTAAGTGAAAGTGTGCTGCAGTCTGGACAATGTCCCCAGGGCTCAGCACACCTCTCGTGCTGCGAAGGAGCAGCGTCTCCCAAACGGCTTGCCGTTCTTCATCGGTTGCTTGCATCATGGGCAGGAGAGTGCGTCTTGAGCAGGAGGCTGCGTCTTGAGCGGGAGGCTGTAGATCTTCGAATGAGCACTAGAGGAAGTTGTGCGGTCCAGAAAAATGGGCAGGAGATTCGCAATTCAAACGATCGGATTTACAAGGGTATCGTTCTGAACAGGATGCAATCTGATTGGCTAGGTGCGTTATTTTCCGCTCAGAGGTAGTACGAACTTTATTTTCGAAAAGTAATCAACTTTTTGAAAATAAAACTCGTCTGGGAAAACAATAAGACTTTGTACTCCGAGTCGGAATAATACATATATATTTTACTGTATTGAAGCGAAGCCCAGATCTTAATTAAACTTTCTTAAATTTCTTGAGTTTGCTGTCAACGAAGCACATGCTAATGCGAAAAACTGAAAACAAAAACTCGTTTTTTGTGTATAAGGACTTAAGTATTGCGCCTTGCAGTCACGTCACTAGTATTTTGCTGGTAGGAAATTCGGACTTCAAGTCAAATCCAGATTTACGCGCACCAACATTCGCATTATCATGGCGCTATCTAAGTAGTCTCATGGTATGTGGGGTATATTTTTTATTTTTGAAAAAAACAAAAAGCTTCTTCATAATAATACCGTACCCCACAGAAATAAGTCTTCCTCGTTTAGAACTCAATTTGCCGGTAAAATGCTCCCAAAGTGTTGCCTTCTTGCTAATATTATTAAGAAAGGTTAACGCCTTGTGAACGCATAATTTAATGACCGGCTTTCGGTGTAAACTTTATCTAGTAGACATTTTAGATTCCCCTAAACTCGACCTCAAAAGTAAATCACAGTAAAAAATGTTGGCACGGTGCCCATCCTGGGAGTAATTTTATGTTTTGAACACAAGTCAGATATGGTCATCAGGTCCGATATTTCATGGTATGGATGAATATCGTGACGGTGCCGACACATATGATTTTATACTTAGCCATTGTATGGCCGTCATGGTCCAATCAAATGTCCATGAGCGATTATTGTCGAATGAGGAGGCGGATGAAGCGTATTTTATCCAATCATCAGCGCTAGGGGTATGTTTATGGACTGCCGACACTCCTGCCGACGTATAATGTCGGCAAGGCTGTCGAAATATGCTATCCACCAATAGTGAGGTTAAGTAATTAGGCGATTATATACATATTTTGCTTTCTGCCGACACTTCACATTGCGTTTGTTTGCCTGTTGGAAGCGTTCTGTATGGCGCCTTCACTTACATCACAGATTCAATCGAGTTTTCTCGGCAATGCCGTACCCGCATGCGAGCATGACACAAAGTAACTTCGGGTAAGGCGCTTCTGAGATGCCGCCAGCGACACATGCGTGACTGCTGTAGAGAGGTCAAAGCGGAACATGAACTAGCAAGTATCAAAACTTCAATCTATTCATTAGACCTTAGTACCAGTTTGTTGGTACCAAGTCAGAAAGCATGTGCTATACGATAGCCATACTGTATTCATGCAAGCCAGCCGCTTAGTGACGAACGACCAGGTAATCTACTAAAACCCCAGCATCCGACGAATTGTTCGGTATATGATAGATTACCAGGCTAGCTACCAGACCCACAGATACTGATCAGAATGCTGGGATCATTTTAGGCTCCAATTCACTTTTCAATTTACTCTGTTTCCAACGAAAGCACCTCGATACGCGACCCATACTTCTCCACCCCGCCATGTTTTCGCCTCCACCTCAACCATCATTGTCCAAGCGTCGCTCCCCAGCATCCTCATGTCAACGGACGGCACCGCGTCGAGCGAGCCCAGCGTCAGAGGGGCATGCCTCAATGCGCCCCGACACTACACCAACGGCAACCCGACGTGCAAACAACAAGGGCGTGAACAAGCAGAGTGCTGCGGCAGGGATAGCTGTGGTGTAGGAAACACCAGATTTCGCGCGACCAACTCGGCTGGAGTGGTACCCAGTACCGCTAGCCGAGCCCAGCCGAGCTCAGCCGAGTTCACCAGCTTATCCGGACACCTTATCCGGACACCTTATCCGGCTCAGACGAGTTCGAAGAACTACCCGGATAGCTTATCCGGACCAGCCGAGCTCAAGCGTCGCCGAGCTCAGCGAAGAGTCGGCCGAGATCCAAAACCACCCACTTTCATTTGGTATTTGTATAGGAGCTTAGGAATAGTGGAGGCGTCTTTTCAGGGCGCCCGACAGAGATAACAAACAACAGAGCAGAATTTTCTAGGCCTAAAGCACGTGTACACGTTCCGGTAAGTCCCTGCACGGGGCCGGATTATGTCTGCTGTCGGTACCCGAGAGGCATAGCTTGTAGGGTACTCGGCTGGCAGCGCCAAGAGATTAAGGTCGGCCCGGGTTGGGCGCGTGTCTCGCCAAGCGCGTCAGAAAAGTCTCGCTGCGAGCCGGTGTTCCCGTACCTCCCGGGCACAGATTGCTGAGTCGAGAAGCCTTTGCTCTCGGCGACTTGTAAAAGCGCTCCGTGCGCCGTCGTCCATCCTATGGTGGAGGGCACAGGGTTGAGTGAAAGGAGGCCGTCGAGCTCGGCGGTTCTCCGGAGGAGGGATCTTGGTTGGCAGGTCTCGGCGAGAGGCGAGACACCCGCTGTCCCTGTTGGGCCGAACCGCTCGGGGGCAACCTGGCGCAGGCCAACAAAGCCGCCCAGCTCGGCTCTTGTTGTGTTTGTTGCCAAGATACCACAACTGACGATTTTGTGTGTACTGCTATACCACATAGCTCTAATCCGAGAGATAGAGGCGGAGCGCCAGAGGAAACGGGCCCGGCACGACGAGCTCGTTTCGGACGAGTACGACTCTTCGGACGAGGAAGAAGACTCTCCGGTCCCAATCATGGACACCTTCATCGAGACCCGTGGTGCAGCCGCGATCGTCTCCTTGACCAACTTCTCGCCAACCGAGATCAACCGGTTGTGGTGCGATATTGAGGGCTTTGTGAATAGGTCCTGGAACCTGGGCCGAGGGAAAAAGTGTCGTCATTCGGGGAAGGATCTGCTGGTCATGATGTGACGAGGCGATGCGGTGTTTTCTCCCAGAAAACAGTTATAGGCCCTCCTTGACAGACCTCAGGCTACTAGAGCTTTGGATCCGTCTCGGCTGGCACAGGGTGTGTGTTGTCCAGTACACGCTGTTGGTCAGGCGCACGATGTGTATCCCTTGGGTAGCGGTTCTTTTCACCAGGAGGTTAGTATCGACCCCGTGAATCAGACAGCTACGCCGGGCTAACGCTAGAACAATCCAACCCAAATAGAGTTATACACGTTATAGAATCACACAAATACTTCTTTGCCCTCTCTTCTTTCTCGAGGCCCAAGGCTAAGGCCAAAATACAAGTCAACTGGTCCAACTCCAAGACACTTGATCAATCTTGGGGTCGCGCACCACCTCTCGGAGAGAGGAAACGATCTACCCTGTCGCCAACTTCTTCAGAGTGACACAGGCCCAATAGACCGCAAATATACAACAAAGACGGTCTGCAATCCGCCCAAATATACAGATATGGAATAGATATGATCACTTCCAGGCCGAAGCAGTGGATCACTTACCTAAAGTACTTTGAATTTTGTCGTGGAGAACGGCCTTCCAGGCTGTGAAAGAAGCACTTGTGCCCTTCGAAGCAAAACGAACTCTGTTTGGTTAAAGGTCACATACAGACGAAATCTTTCCTAAGCGACTCCTCGGAGACTGCGATCTTTCGGCGGAGTGTTGGTCTGACCTTGAAGGGTCGCCAGACTGGATACCTTCTCGGAGTTGTTGGGTACACCTCGGATCTTGGAAGATGCCATAGTGAAACCAAGTGTTCTTGGGTTTGGAGCCTTGAAACGTCTCGCACAGAGGCTGTTCTTGGACTTTTGTGGGAAGTAAGTCTGAGGACACGAACGTTGGGAGTCGTTATTCTGGGAAAACAACGGGGAATCTGAGAAGTGCCTCAGTTCCCAGGTCGTAACCCAGAGTCGAGTCCCGCCTCGCGCAGATTCGTAGGGAAGGTCGCACACATTCCTGTGCACTTCTAGGAACGGGATCCATTCGCCTACGCCGACCTGCTTTCCGGGGTCTCACGTCCGCCACAAACACATTCTTGTTTTTATTCGGCTCCAAGTCCAGCACGAACTCTCAGAATCCCAGGCACGATTGTCGGGTTCCAAGAATGTACCACTTATCTGGTACCGTGGTCATCATTCTTGACCAACACATTTCCATCAATCCGCGAACTCCACAATATGGGCAATTCCCGGGTTTTGGTCCCATGACCCAAATTTTAGTGACGGCACCGCGTAACAATGACATTGACGGCTTTAAAAAGCTGCGGCGAATGGGACGTTGCTGCGAGGACATTTTCGGAGCTCCCTGGCACCTTTGAGAAGATGGTCATGAACTACCTTAACATCTTGTGGCCGCACTTGTATGGGTTGTTCGTCGAGTCGCACGCCGAGCGTGATACCATGAAGCGGCTGCAGCTCACGGACCACGTCTTCAAAGAATACCCGTGCGCTCGATACGCTACCGATGTCACGTTTCAGATGATGAGCATGCCCTCCGGAACGCGAAAAGAACGGGCTGACTACTACAGCGCAAATCACAAGCAGCACGGGTTCAAGGTGGAAGTGTCCGTACTGCCAAACGGCATGGCACTCAACTGATCGTCGCACCACCGCGGTCACACGTCCGACATCGCCATTTTCCATGAAAACCTAGAGTTTCACCAAGTGCAGCTGCACAAGCTACTAGATGGTCAAGAACTACCCGACGAAGGCCCCCATGTGACCGAATACCCCCATGACTGGGCAGTTTTAGTGGACAAGGGATACCAAGTGTAACAGGGTTACACACACAAGTGGCTACAGTTACAAGTAACAGTTACAAGTAACTGTAACAGACACGACGTCTGTTAGAGGTTCGAAAGACTTTCTCGACCTATGTGTAGACACACCAAAGGGTACACACATTTACGAGACTTAGGATTCCTATTGGCTGAACGCAGCATCTTTTAGCCAATGAGCGACATGCATAGCATTGGAATTCTGCCAACGGCTGGTTGGCAGATTCCTAACTTAGAATATTACATTTAGAGGAAGTCAGAAAGCATAAAACAAAAATACCAGTTCTCATTTTAACCCAAAAACATTATTTGGATCGTTTATTTAGATTAATCAATACTCGGAGGTCCGAGTATAATTAACTCTAGTTTAAACTAAGCTACGCTTCCTCATACACATGCGCACACGTGTAAGCTAAAGTAGTGAGCCGAAGTAGGCCCATTACACCAGGGCCTTGCCGATGTCGTCCGTGCGATCCATCCAATTAAGAAGAAGAAGGGATTGACTGTGGCGTCGCTGACAAGGGCCCAAGAAGCAGAAAACCGCCGTATCTCAAGCGACCGTATCATTGTCGAGAATTTCTACGGTCGTCTCTGTACGCTATGGACCATCGCCTCGGATAAGTATCGCTGGGCAGAAAGTAGCTACGACGTCATTTTCCGAGCTTGCGTGAGCTTAACGAACGTCCAGATCATCACGCATCCACGTCGACAGGAAGACGGTGAGGCGTACCGCGAATACATCAGCCGCCTTCGTGGAAACACCATCCAGAAGGTAAAACGACGTGCCGAGATTCAAAAGGCCAGCAGAGAGAAAAGACACTTGCGCTTGGAGACAACGGTGATGACTCTCCCAGGTACGACTGAAGGATTCCTGAGTCAGGAGTATTAGTCCTTTGGTAGGTGTTTTGTAGATTGATCGGTCTTAATCGATTGGTCGGCTTTTTTAGGGCTTCGCGTGCTATCCTATGTTACTGCGTTATACATCTGCTGCTTTGCAATTTGTCCTTTACTCGGTGTCTTTCGTCAGTACTCGGTCTTCAAGTAGATCCTGGTGGATTGATTAAATACCATATATGTATCACAGATCTGGGTAACAAGGTTTAATGACTACTGTTAAATCAATAAATACAGTCCCTTCTTGTCCACTACAGCACCACGCACCGCCACGCCAGTAAAAAGCGTCGCTCCACCATGCAGCAGCGGTGGCACCACCAGTAACAGTGATATGCCACGTCCGCCGCCTCCCCAACTTGACGTAGGCATCGCCTCCCCAGGGATCGACAACTCGCAGTCGTCTGCGTTGACGAGCGCAGTCGCCGCGCGGGTGCTGCTGCTTCTGTTCTGACCTCCATCTTGGACACCTTCTTCATCAACTTGCCCTTGCTTCGCGCACGTGTCGTCCAGCGTGAGCGGGTGGGCACCGAATGGGTGGCATCCAGGCGCAGGCTTCTTATCGGGCGTCCTCCCTTCTCCTCGCCGTTGCCCCTGCGCGCACTTGGCGTCTCCGCCGACCTCCACGAACTTGGCGCCTCCCCCGTCCTTCACACACTTGGTCTCCACGCCGTCCACCACGCACTTGGTGCCTCCGCCGCCCTCCACGCACTCGGTGCCTCTATCTTCCGCCGTGCCCGTGGTGGTCGCAGTCTTCGGGGCCTGCGGCTTGGGCGCCAGCGCCATGACGCGCGCCATCCGCTCGGGTGCGAGCACTGGCCCGACGAGCCCGTGGCCAGGGACGAGCACCGCGCATCCGTGTGCCTGATGGCCGTGCACGTGCCTGCGGGGAGGGCTGTTGTCCTTCGTGCCCTTGGTCATCTCGCCGTCCTTCGTGCCCGCGAGCTCTCCGCCGCCTCCGCGCTCTTGGTGGCTTCTCACCCCGGTTTCTGCTGCCTCTTGCCCTTCGTGTCCTGGGGCTCAGTCATCGTGGAGGTCCTGATCGCACCCGTGCACGACCCCATGCCACGCACGCAAAGCCTGGAGAGAATGTGACGTGGAGCAGCTGGTCACGGCGCTGCTACTTCGCACAGAGGGCAACGACCATGACCACGCATAATGAAAATGCGAAAAGTGTTTTTGATGTACAGTAGTTTAGACCAATCATTGAAATTCATTATTTCCACCAATGATAGATAGTGTCGGCAGGTGTTGGCCGCTGTCCGTACCGTCATGGTATGGAAAGGCTTTACTTGGTTTCAGTATGAATTATTTTCAACCAGTCAAATTTGAGGTACCGGTTTTGACATTTTGGACTATATGTTGTAGCAAAACTTTTGTTCATGTGCATTTTTGTTACGCGCCTTTCAGTCTTTTTGGCTATTGTGCATTTCATTAAATTTGACGACAGCAAAATCGGACTTCAAGTCCGTTTTTCATTTACTACAGAACTGTAGTTTCTGAAGCTATTTTGGACTTGGAGCTACATAAAATCCAGATTATCTTAGATAATCCGGAAATATTTTACGGATAAAATACCGGCGGATACTCCAATACTTTACTCCAGTGGAGCTATCGGGTACCCCTGTAACTCCAAGGAGTCTATTTTTAGAGCAACGCCATTTAAGCTCCGAAAGTTGAAATAGCTCCAGAAACTACAGTTCTCTAGTAAAATAATGAAGATAGTCCGTAATTCGTTATAGTAAAGCTTCCCCGAAAATCAGAATATGGTTTTCTGTACTTTGCTCCTCCGGTTTTGCTCTCGTTTTCGTTCGAAGTCCCGAATGGCCGTGATTTGTTCGCCATCTGGGACTTCGGCTCGAAAAGCGCTGTCGCTTTCTATCGCTTTCTATCGAAAAGCGGAGTCGGATCACCATCCCCCCGAATTTTCAAATCGGGGGTTGGTCTCCTTTATTTTAGCTCGTAACCCTACCTCAATAGTAAAAGTGATAGTTTTTGAGGTCCGTTTAGCCAAAAAGACAGAATGGCGCGATAAATGGACCTTACAACTATCACTTTAACGACTAGGTTAGGGTTACGAGGTACAGTAAGCGGGCTCAGCCGCCGATTTGAAATATCGTAGGGGTGGTGCTCCAACTCCGCTTTTCAATGGAAAGCGAAGGAAAGCGAATGATAATTTATGCTTTTCAAACCAAAGTCCCCGATGGTGAACAAATAAACGCGATTCAGGACTTTAAACGAAAACGAGAGCTAAGTAAAGCCCAGGAAAACCGGACTCCGATTTTTAGGAAACCATACTATAACTATGACTATATCCCTTGTGTGTTTAGTAAATTAAAATCGGACTTGAAGTCCGATTTCGTCGTCGGCAACACAAATGGAAGGCACAATACTACAGTAGTACTAAACCAACATGTCCACTAAAAAGTCGGCATTTTTCTCTACGAAAACGACAAAACTGCGATTTTCGCATACGTTTGATGCGTGTCGGATTCAGACGATCCTTTGTTCGTCTAGTTCAACGTGTTTTAGGAAAATGCAGGCAAGCGACAGCGCATCCTTGGGATGTCGGTACGGAACGTGAGGCGACTTCTTTGCCAGTACCTGGAAGACGTCCGCCAGAGCGCTCAGAATCTTGTTTTTAGCCTGCGAGAGAGCCGATCTAGCCCGCCGACGGGTACACAAGGTGAGCCACTCAGCAACGCCACGGTTATCGGAGTACCCCATTTGTTAGTCGATGTTTGTTGTTGGGTGAACCCCATTAGTTGTACCCTTCTAACTGTGAATATTCTTAAGAAGCTATTAAACACTAAGACCACGGTGTATTTATATGTAATTTATTCTAGTAATAGTCAAATTTAATAATAAAATAACTTGAAAATATTGAATATAAGTGTTTGTTAAATTATTAATCTTATTTTAATATTTTTAACATAATTAAAACATAATTAAATAATAATAAAATTATTTACAATCTCTTACTTTAATTTTTTATGTTCAGAAAAACCATTTTTTGATTAATAATATTTTCACCAAAAATAATTTTGCATTTCAAGCGAATTTAAAAAATTATTAAAAATGATATTTCAAAGTCTAAATAAATAAAGGTAATCTATGAAAACTTAAACATGGGGCTCTCATATTATAAATAGTTGAAATAAAATTAATAGCACCTAATAATGATGAAATACCTGTTGAAATTATCATTACATTAAAAAATAAGTTTTACAAATTGAAACTACAACCGATGATTCTAATATCGATAAATTTAGAAATGATTGAAAATTTTAAGATAATTTTTTTCAATATTTTTTTCTTTTTAACTTTTGTTTAATTAAAAATGCTCTTAAATTTAAAAAAAAATCAATATAATAAGGATTAAATAAAAAAAGTTAAAAAGAATCATTTCTAAATTTATCGATGGTTTATGCAATGTTATCTATCGTAGTTAAACCGTATGGACCAAACATTTCAATTAAGCCTTTATTAATCATTCTATATGTTCAACTACATTATATAATTGATGATTTCCCATTAAAATTTGATTTGCTGGTTGTGCGGAATAGCATTTAACAGATGAAAATTTAGGGCAAACGAATTTCTATTTGACAAAAACGATGTTAATTTTATCACCCTATGCGATCAAAAACGATTTACAAGAAACCTGGACACTTTTCAGTGTCGAGATCGTACCGGGACATTTGTGATGGCTTTTGGAGATATGGAATCATTTCCCGCCTTTTTCGAATGCAGAATCTTTACCTGATACGTTTACCGAGGTTAAACTAAAATAAAGGATTGTTTCGGGTAGCATTGACCCCTAACATACTACCCTCTTAGTAACAACATCAAAAATGATATAATCCTCTGAACTTCGGACAGATCAGTGTATGAGTTCTTTTAAGTTATTGTTATTCGTTTTAATGCTGGAGTGGCGCATATGAACTACTGTATAAACCTTGAGCTTGTAGTTTGAGCTATCAATAGGCTCGATGTTCATTGAAGCACATTGCAGTGCCTACTAGAGTGATCAAATATAAAGATAAATATACATATATACATGGACACTAAACAAACTGGAAATTAGTTAATCCCTTGTATATATTCAAAAACGATTTTTAAGAAATATCTAAAATTCCGCGTAAATTCGGATTGAGCATGCAACTGCTTTTTTTCTACAAATTGAATTTGTTGGTAGCTGAAAACACTGATATTATTTGTTTGCCAAAATAAGTATATTAAAATTGGTGCTATACCAACTACATGTAGTTTTTTATCCTTGGGTTGAAAACATGTGCGACAGGCGCAGGTAGATCTGGACCCCTTCCGGCAGGCGCAAGCGTGCTTCCGGCCCAAGTCTTCTTAACCCTTCTAGCCCCAGACCTTATTCTGTATCCTACAGAATAAGCATTAGACTCGATTAAAGTATACTTCAAAACCTGTCAAATATTTGCTGTTGGAAGCCCTTTCGCATCTTGCGGTCAAGCGATGGGTACATTGTGCACAGAACAGCTACGAAAGTGTACAAAACATGCTCAATGTATCCACCATATGCCGAAATGGCGAGCTTCTATTGGTCGTGGCGAGCGTAGAGCACGCTCAAAACCTGCTACATGGTAATACCTTGCAAGGCTGCTAAGGCAGCATACTTCGGCTCCAGCCACCCATCTTCGGCACGTCGCGATAAACGCGGAGGAAGAAATCGCCCTGTTCCTAACTGACGTAGTGAGGAGGAACTGGGCGAATTCTTCCTTGTGCGTGACATTAGCGCATCATTAGATTTCTTTAGCCCACCTAACAAGCTTGTTACGGTTGTCTGTCTAACAACACCAGGGAGCTTGCATGCTCAATAGCCCGTAATGACACGGTTCCTCTTGTACGAAACGGGACAATATAGGATATTCATGCCAACGTCTACTTCTTCCTTTACATGCGCACGCTCTTCAATGTTCGCGCCAGCCGTGGGTCATCTTCGCCATTTTGGCAGCCTCCGCTTTGCTCTGTAGTCTCCGGCACTGCCGCTCCATTCCTGCTGCTTTCATCGGTAGCCTCCGCCGTAGCTTCTGTCCCTTCTTCTGTAATCTCCGGTGTAACCTCATCACGCGGAGAGCTTCTTCTGTAGCATCCGTCGTAGCATCTACTGCTTCTTCTGTAGTCTCCGGTGTAGCCACACCATGAGGAGCGCTTCTTCTGTAGCCTCTTGAGTAGCCGCTGCATCAGCTACAATATAGCGGTAGACCCGGCTGTATCCGGCTTCGTGGGAACCGATGAGGTTGTGCGCTGACTCCGCAATCGATCTGCCAATCGGGCCACACGCGAGAGCTCATAGCGTCGTCTGGGTCGGATCACCAGGTCTGGTAATCAACATCGCAACGTAGAATCAATATACCACTAGTACAATGTTACAGAGCAAAGTACACGCTCTCGCTTACCTGTAGATCACAATGGCGCTCATCATGATCGTCTTCGGCCATGGTCCTTGGCCACTTGGGCGCGCTCGACGGGCCCAACAAAGCTTGCATTGCGACGTCTTGAACAGCGCAGTTTCGGAATGAAGGAAAGTACGAGTGGCTGACACGCGGCGGTTTTAGGCTTACACCCGAATTTTCAAACGTGTTGGTGGTTTATAGTCGTCCGTCTATTACCGCGGAATAAACCCCGTTTATCTTCCCATCGCTAATCTAACAGGAAGATGTGCACAATACCGGCTATACAAACATCCATATGCGAAGTTCGAAAGAGAGGACAAGTTTGCTGGATATTATGTCCTGTGGGATACAGAATACGGGGTTAGAGGGGTTAACTGTCGGGTTTCGTTGAGCACGACGAGGTACTCGCCAATGAAGCGGTTGATGATGATCGTGGCTGCACAACGAGAACCGTTCAGTCGAGTCCGCAGCATTATTCCACGCACTCTCAGGATCGAAAATCTCACCACGTCGCCATGGTGAACAGAGCGTTGTAGGCAGTCTTGGGTAAACGGGACGGCGTGGTGCTCAACAATACCAGTAAGGCTCGCGCCGCGACACTAAACGTGTCGAAGCGGTCTCAACTGTGACTTGGTCCAAGGGTGAACCTGGAATGCCTGAAAAGGTGAGGGATCCGTAAATTCGGGCGATCATAAGATTAGCTCGCCCAATTTACACAGCGGTATATAGAACGCTACTATCCGGCTTAAGTTTACATTGTCGTCCGGGCAAGCGAAATGTAGATTTTAATTGTAAAACCAGTTTTGTATTGTTTTTTTTGCTACTTCTGGGTACACATGCCGAGAAAAAAATTACATACTTTCCTTGAGAAATATTTTTTAAACCGCAATAACTGACTAGTTTTCTAAAACTAAATCACTATCTCAAGCATTTTAGTTTTAGAAAACCAGCCAGCTTAAGTTATTATGTTAAAAAACAATATTCATACTCATGAGCACTTCTTGGGCATTGTAAGTAAATTTGAAAACTATATATCCTACCTGACCATTTAAACCTAATGTTAGGCATCATTATTGTGTAGCACTGATTCTTGCGTTAAAGGCAACGTTTCATCGGAACGATCGCGACTACATCCCCACCAATGTACTTTAAGTGCTGTTCTGTCTTAGTATATAGTTAACGCCGCCGATCGAAGACAGAAACTGCGCTGAGACCGCCGACAACACGGCGCACAACCTGACGACCCAAGGAAGCAACAGCACGGAGGGGAGGGAAGATGCCACCACGAACAATGACTAGTGAACACGAAAGGCAGTCGTAGTAGCAACGGTCAGGTGGTAGCAACCTTGCTTCTCGAGAGTTTTGTTCGCTTATGCTTGTCATAATCTAACGATTGGTACCCAACCTCCAATTTAGCACGCCGTATTAAGGAATAAAATACAACATAACAAACACGACCGAATTTAGCATTTTTGCCTATTTTCCCGCAAAATGACAAAATTAGAATTTGCCGACCACAACCATGGACTAATGTAATTACAGTAAAAATAAGAGGGTATCATAATAAATCGAATACAAACTCGACAATTTAAAGTGTCGAATCAACTTGGGCATTTCGAAGACTTTCTAAGATTAAATTTTAAAATTTTATGGCTTTTTGAGCCATGAAATGATTTCCCTTTCACTATGGAATACGCAACTTGTACCATACACGTTTCATTAAGAAAGCAAAATATGAGCATGTTTTTGAGTTAACTCAACAATTTAAACGTTTTGAATGAAGTTTGCTAAATTTCAAAAATCAACTATTTATCTTACGGAAAAGTCGTATTGATAGAGCACCAATTTTCTAATAAACATGCACATGGCTGTATCGTTTCTTGTTAAGGTGAATTTCTTTAAGCATCGTGAAGACTTGAAAATGATTTAGTGTACATTTTTTCAAATCTTCCCATACAAAAATCAAGTCATTTGCCTTTTTGGGCTAGCTGGGCAGACTAGAATAGCAAGTACACGTTCACTCCTGATGTGCTAGACGGAAAATCGACAAGTGCTCTACCATTCCGGGTGCTTTATCAATACGATTTTCCGGTAATTAGCTTAATCAGCTCGTGTGATCTCAATGTAAAAAAACGGTACACAAAGTGCTGACAATTCAGTTTTTTAGTTATCTCTTTATATCTTGTTTAACCCCCCATTCACCAATACAATAACTATACAACCTAATGGTTAAGAAAGGTTAACGGCTTATGAATGCATAATTTAACGATGATAAAACGGGTTTTCCGTGCTAAATTTATCTTGTAGATTCTTTATATTGTTAATAATATTACAAGAAGACAGCACTTTAGATTAAATTTGGAAACATATTATGTTTCCGTTAACTGCAGTTGGACTGGTTAAAATTACGTTGTAATTTCACAATGATTGCCTGAAAGTTCGAAATGGCATTCTAACCGTGAACCTATCTCTCTGTGAAATATTGTATATAAAATATAAAAGGACAACACGGGCGCGTGATGCCGTAAAGAGCCTGTTTAAGCCTTGTTTATAGGCGCAAGGAAATGGCCTGAAACGGCCTGTGGGCTGAGAAAAACGCAAAAAAAAAACAAATCCATGCAAATTTGGCTCGAGAGCCATGTGCTCTTGAGCCGGTAAATTCAACAATGAAGCGAGAGTTTTGCAGTCGTCCGGATAGTTGAAAAGATGCTGATAGCCAGTCATCCCTACGCACTCCTATTGGCTGTCCATCTACCAGTAAGAGCGTGTCACCTCTTCATCTCAGTTGATCAGTTGGCGCTTTCGTGGCTAAGCCCTCACTCCCTCTTTTTTCGACCCTACCGCGCGGACCTACCTCCTTCTGGCCGCCCAGACACAAGAGCCACCGAACCGTGCAACCCAGACGCGCCTCCGACCCCCCCCCCCTCCAACGATGTAGCTCAACTGGAAGAGCGCAGGGCTTCGGCCCTGAGGATGCCTGTTCAACTCGGGCCATCGTTATCGTGTACTACTGGGTTGGAGGCGTTGAAGGGACCCTGAAGCTGCGAGCACGCAGGTGTCAGCAGACAACGCGCAAGGTTCAAGTGAGGGCACTTGGTGCTCGAAGCGAGGGGTGGGCCGTACCGGCCAGCGCATCTGGGGTTTGCAAATGAGGTGTATGTATTTGAGCCTAACTACTGTGCCTACTTACCAGCAGCATCAAGCACGTCTTGTGTGTAACCAGGGGCCGGGTCTTGGATTGCCGGTGTCTGGAGCAATCGTTGGTGGCGCTGGATGATGGCGTCGAGCGTTCCGGCGCTATGAAGTCGCTGGAGATGCTTGAGGACAGCGCTGGAGCCGCGAGAGTTGATGCCGTGCTTTGTTTTCAGGTACGTGAGGATGGCATCCTCGGCGCGCTTCCCGAGCTCAAGCACGCGATCGCGATAATCTTCCGCCGCGGTGTCCAGGGCGAAGCCGTCCTCGATGAAAAGCTTCATGAAGGCGACAAGCAGCTTGGACCTTGAGCGCAGCTGCTTCGGCGCCGCTGCCTGCCAGCGCGGCTCCTGAGCGTACCACGTGAACCAAGTCGCGTGCAGGTGCGTTGCTGACCCTCTGCGTTGCTTCTTCTTTGGCGCCTCACTTACCTCATCTGTGTCGTCGTCTGCCTTGGTTCTCTTTCGTGCAGGAGGTTCTGGATCCCCATTCAGCTTAGCTTTGAGCCTATCCATGCGAGCGTCCTGCAGCTTCTGATTGTCGATAAGGTGTTTAATGACAGCGGCTTGATGGTCGATCACTTTCTGCTCGTAGCTTGGCTCGCTTGGCTTGGATTCGTGTTGGTGGGCTGGTATGTCGGTACGGGTGCTGTCTTTACAGGGAACCGAAGCTTCGGCGAGATGCGTGGGCCATGCGAGGAGATCCTCAAGCGAGCAGCTAGCATGAGCGACGCAGACCTCGATGCGCTTGACGGCAGGGCTCTCTGGATTCAAGTCCTTCAGCAGAGGGTAGTGTCGGAGGGCGCGCGCGGTCAGGACGTCGAGGACCTTCTTGCTGATGTTGAAGCTCTCCGTTTCGAGCTGGTAGCAGGAGGCGAACAGGATGCGCTGGACACCTTCAATCGACTCGAGCGTCTGGCTGTCGAAGCAGGACAGGTCTTAAAGCGGGACAGCAGTCTTGGGTTTGTATCCGCTGAGTACCTTGGCGATCTTGTGGTCCTCCCTGCCGGTGTTGAATATGTAATTAAACCCTTGTTTGTCGTAGTCAGGTTCCACGCCCCACGGTCGAAGATCCAGCGCGCAGTCTTCTTTTCGCAGCCGTTGTCGTGCTGGGCACCACCGCGTCTGAAGGAGTGCGACGTGAGGGCAGCTCCAACACCAGCGGCGGGTGCAACGCGGTCAAGGACACGGTTGACGTACGCGTAGATTGTCGGCGTCGTGTCAGCCCGGGGTGGAGCGGCTGGAGCGACTAGGCCGGCGGCGTCCGGTCGTGCGTTGAGAAGCTCAACAAGCGGCACGTCCGGAGACAGCGTGACGGCCGTCGGCTGCGCTTGGTCGGGCAGGTTGGCGATGAGGCTGGGCACGGCGCCGCTTGGACAACAAGAGCGAGAGCGACTGCGAGCAAGGGGCACGTGGCGAAGTCGGCGTCTGGGAAGAGCGACAGCCCTTGCTCTTCCGACGTCTTCACGCGGACCAAGCGCAGGAAGAAGACGCCGGCACCGTCGATGGAGAGGTTCCGTTTCTGGATCATCGATAGGTCAGATGCTCGCCCAAACAGGCACAAGAGACAGAGGAGGGCAGCATCTTGGTAGTCACTTTCCGAACATGCATAAGTATACAAATATACTATCATTTTTTCAAGTCTACTTTTGTGCATGGTGGAGCCTTCGATACAAAACCACCGCCATCGCGTTTCAGACAAAAATTATCGAGGGTTTTCCCCATTTTGAGCAGACGCGATTCTAGCGACGCTCTGTGCTGACGAAATTGGTCAAGAAGCCAGATTTTAGCTTGGCGATAGTACTGCATTGCAGTGTTTCGAGCTAGCACTTTACCCTTCTTGCCCTCGCTAAATGCAAGATACATCCCAAACTTATCCATGACACACACAAAACTCTTACCGCTCTCGTCTGTCTCAATACATTTTCTTACATACTCCTCATCAACTTCCTCACCCTTAAGAAACTTCGAGAACGCTGCAACTGCAGTCGCCTTGGCACGTAATGTATTGCCAGGCTGTAGTTCTTCCAAGCCCATGACGGCGGTCCGGTAAAGAGAAGTATGAAAGTGATACGCCTAACACTTGGTATTTGAATTGGCATACACATATTTTACGAATTTATCGGACTTGATACGTCCGATCGAATGGTTTAGGTGACTCACCTACCCCTAGATGATGTTATTGGTCAAAACCTAGATTAGTAGCCATAGTGATTGGGTAAAAAAATCACTCGCGTCTGATTGGCCTAAATCCACCATACAAACTATAAGTATGGTCCGATAAAACATGATATTCATCCATACCGTCAAAATCCCAACGGGGTTGGACTGCTTCCAACCAAAACCGATCTAGCAACGGTATTAGGTTTTTTGTTCAGCTGATATTTAACCTCACGACCGCCGATTGGATTCTCGGCCAACAGTCCAGAAGCTTCCAGGTTAGTGCTGCGAGTCGTGCAACGCTGCTTGTGCTACCTGTGCTGCCTGTGCTGCTGTTGTCTCTGCGTGTACACAGGCGCTGCTGGCCGCTGGGTCGTGTGTGCTGCTGGGCCGCTTGGTGCTGGGCCGTCTGCGCTGCGAGGCTGCGTGTGCTGCTGGGCCGTGTGTGCTGCTGGGCCATCTGTGCTGCTGGGCCGTCTGTGCTGCTGGGCCGTGTGTGTGCTGCTGAGCCGTGTGTGCTGCTGGGCCGTGTGTGCTGCTGGGCCGTGTGTGTTGCTGGGCCGTGTGTGTGCTGCTGGGCCGTGTGTGCTACTGAAACCGGGCCATTTGCTGCTGGGCTATGTGCGCTGCTGGGACGTGTGTTGGGTTGCGCCTGTGCGCTCTCGTGGCGTGTGGCTCAAGTGGCCGAGGGCTTGGACGAGTATGATGCTGTTGATGGATGCGACTTACCCGCGTCCATGGAGCTCGTGAGGTTGAGCGCCAGGCCTTCGGGCCTGGAGGATCGGGTTCAAACCCCGACATGGGCATCAAGTATTATGTGTTTTTGCTTTCTTTTTGGACAGGTCGGCTAAGAGAGTGCGTGCTACTCCTGTTGTACGTATTGTGTATCTTATTGACTGTTTAGTGTGCTGCGTGTGCATTTAGGTGAAGCGCAGGAATGGCGGAAGGGCAGAATTGGGTGTCGGGTCGACGACTACGCCTTCATAGTAGCGCTCGCGAAACTGGTCAAGGAGGACGGAAAGGTGGCCTACTTTGTGAAGCGCACGAGCCAACGGCTACAGCCTGTGAGCCTTGCGCAGCCAAGTATTCAAGCGTCTTCTTCTCGGCTTCGACTCCAACAGTGTGGACCTCCGCCTTGTATGCTGGCGAGGCCGGATCCAGCTTGAACCCAGAAGGTAAGCAGAGCATCATAAATGCAACTGCGTGTCGTGACTCGTGAAGGATGGCTTTGCTAACTGTTGTTGATTCGTACATGCGTGGTACAGCAGTGAACCACTCGAACCACACTGTCGATAGCGCTTTGGAGGCACGTTTGCGCGCGCGCTTTGGCTGCGACTGCTCAACGTCTTCGTGCTGCTGCTCGGTAGTGTTTTTTTCTTGTCAATAGATTCTGCGTTCGCCCCCAAAACAACCAGCCTTTCCTCTACGCGTGTTTGGCGGAGCAATAGCTCGTCGAGCTGCTGCTACAGCTTTTCGAGAACACGGATCATGTTTTGAGAGGACTCGGCCGCTGTTTCTTGTTTCTCTTCTGCAGGTGGATTGAATGCAGCTCGGAGGGTGATCGACCATGCCAACAGCTCGGAGGCCTGTATGTTGAGTACACCAAGGGCTTCATGAATGCGACGGACGTACGGGCTATCCAAGCGATGGCGTTCCATCTCGGGGAAGTGAAGGATCAAGGTCGCCATCAACACTTCGAGCACCTGAGGATTTAAGTTCCAAGACACTGTCGGGAAACCAGTGACAGCAGCGAAGAGGAGATCCTGCAGCTTCTCCACGCGCGCTCGGGCGACTCCGTCCAGAGCGGTAAGGTCTGGAAGTCGGGCGCCCGCTTGCGGGTTCCACCCGCTCAATTGGCGCGCAACTTGTTGATCTTCGTGTGTTGTGTTCGGCATGTAGGAAAACGCCTTGCTCACGCGCGACATATTCCAGCCCCCGTGTTCAACAACCCAGTTCGGGCTAATGCGACTGTCAGCGTTGGCGTGCATGGCCCCACCTCTTCTGAAGGAGTGCGAGGTAAGTCCCTTCGTGAGTCCACTCTCCTTTGCGGCTGGCAGTCCACTAACCGTGACTAATAGTCTATTGATATAAGTTTGGGCACCAGGGGCCGAGTTGGCTCGACGTGGCCGTGGAGTCTTGCATGTAGGTGCTTCCGCAAGCTCGCGGTCTAGCTGCGCAATCAGCCCCAGCTCGCCATCGTCGTCTTGGTCGTCGGACGCGGACAGTGCAGGTACGGCAGCAAATTGCGGGAAGGTGCGAGTTCCTGGAGCGGGTTGAAGGGCGAGAGCGACAGCTAGCACGTGTAACGGGCACGTGAAGGGATCGTTAGGATCCTTAAACAGGGAGGTTCCCTGTTGCGAAGCAGTCTTCACACGCTTAAAGCGGAGAAATATCATACCGCCTAGCATATACGCACAGAATTGTCAGCATAATTCGTGGGGTTAATTAATACAAAAATTCAAAATCCTGCACGATTCGTACCGGGGTATACACACAGCTGGGCTTTCTCCAATTGCTCAGCCTCAGAACCACGAATGTAGAGGTACCACATCAACGCCACTAGCGCCGCATCCAGGTAGTCGGAGTTGGCGGAAGCGTGCATGTAGAGAGCCGAGATGATAGTCTTTAGATCTTTCTTAGTACATGGTGGCGCTTGTTTCGTGACACCTTGCTCCGGCCTCTTTTCACAGTACCGATCTAGAGTTGATAGCATCTTTTGCAGCTTCTTAGCTACACATTGGCTCTGTTGCGGGTACAGATCCGCCAGCCAGTTCTTAACATCGCCAAAATAAGATAGCACAGTGTTCTTGGACAGAGCTACTCCTTGCCTTCCTATTTGTTTCACTAAGAACCACCCATACTTATCCAGAATGACAAACAAACTCTTACCTGTGCTGTCCTTAGAAATACGATCATGCACTTCTGTGAGCGTCACCTCCTTCCTCGCAAGGAAGTCTTCGAAAGACTTCACAGCCGTCGCTCTGCTTCTCTGGCTGTTCACAGGAACTAGCGATGCCACCGGCAGAATGGAGTCGGAGATGAGCTGGTAGGGGTTGGAAACCTATGAATATTTATTCTATTTGTAGTTCTCTTGATATTTGTATGGCATACTCGATATCAAATCGCGTTTCCAACCAGATATTGTTGGAATGTTCAGATCAGCGGTTGGCAGTCATTCCCTCGATTTAATTGGTCGAAATTTTAAGCAACGGTAGTGTTTATTGGTTGTAAATGCTAAGAATCGCAGATGACACACTCCTATTGGTCAGAAGCACCATACAAACTTTAAGGTATTTTTCAGGGGTTAGAATCGCAGCGATATGCTACCATACAAACCCTCGTTGAAACGAATTCTGCGGGCGGTTGAAGTCTGGGTGTCCGGTGCTAAGGGTCGGGGCATTGAGAGATGGCAGTCCGCTTCTGTCCTGTAGACGAACGATGGCGGCGAGGGCGCTGCTCTTGCTCCTGCCGCTGCTTTCTCTGAGCCCCGCGCAATGCGCCGACGTGCTGCAGCTGCGCACACTTGCACCCTCCACCTCGCAGCAGTTCCGCGTCACCGCGGCGTCCTTCGGCGCCGCTCTGCCGCGCGTGTCGTGGCCGTCGTCCTCGTACTCGCGCGCCTCGGGGCATCTCGTGGTTAATGAAGCTTCCGCCACGCCGGACCAGTCGCTGAGGCTGGTGCAGGCCCAGATGACGGCCGACTGCGCGCGCGTCAAGCCCGCGGACGACGACGTGGTCGCTCTACCGAAGAGCGCGGCGTTGCTGCTCACGCGCAGCGTCACGTGCTCGGTGGAGCAGCAGGCTGCAGCGGCGGAGGCGGCGGACGCCTCATTGGTCATCATTAGAGACTCGATCGCTGGTGCATTCGCTGCTACAAGTCTGGAGCTGCGGGACGGCGCGTACTACGACTGCGCCCTTGGGGAGGAGACGGTCACGACCAACAGCTCCCTGTTCCCGGAGCTGGCAGACCCGTTCTCGGCCTGGACGTGCTCGTCCAAGCCGGCCTGTGTTACTAGCACCTGTGTGCTGACGGGCAAGATGGATGCCATTGCGGCGGACCATTTCCAAGCGTGCTGCTTTACCAGCAACTGGCTGCAGATGCAGCCGCAGAAAGACGCGGAGGTGACAGAGGCGGTGGAGAAGATGTCGATCCCTGTACTGCTGGTTGCGTTTCAAGACGGCAATAGGATCGACGACGCGGCGAGTTTGATTGGGGATACGGACGTGCTGGTGTGGGCGTTCAACACGGAGGAATCGCCCTGGAACGTGTCGATGGCGTTCACGTGGCTGTTTGGCGTGCTGACAGTCATGGGCGCGGCCTATTATTCCTGCAGTGAGGAGAGGAAGCTGTCGTACGAGAAGGTGGCTCGTATTCTGGCTGGGAGAAATGATCGCAGCCCGTCCAGTAGCTCGATCTCCACGACTGTAGAGTCGACAGCAGCAGCGAACGAGTACGTGAGCATGGAGGATGACAGACTGGAGCTCAGCAGCAAACACGCTATTTACTTCCTGGTGGGGGCGTCTTGCGTGCTGGTGCTGCTGTACTACGTGCACCTGGCTCTCATGCTCAGCGTAATGTTTGCGGTCGGCGCAAGTGCAGCGCTGGCACACGTATTCACGTTACCGCTTGTGGCGCGGATGGCGTCTCCGAGCAGTAGCAACGTCCAAGCTGCTCTGCTGTTGCTTGTGACGCTGTCAGCTCCAGCATTGGGTTTGTATTGGTTCCTGGCACGTACTCAGCCGTGGGTTTGGCCGATCCAGGATTTAATGGCGCTGACCGTCTGCGTCGTCTTCGTCGACGTCGTGCGATTGCCGAATCTCCGTGTAGCCACGAGCTTGCTCACTGCAGCGTTTATCTACGACGTGTTTTTCGTCTACTTCTCCCCGATGATCTTCGGCTCCAACGTTATGGTGGATGTGGCGTCTGGGGGTGGGAGTACGCAACTAGAGAGCGAACCTGGAGCTGGCCCCGCTGATGGGAGTGAGGTCACCATTCAACCGACACCCATGGTGTTGAGTGTTCCGTTGGCGTTCTCGGTGTATGGAGGCGAAGCTCTGCTTGGGTTGGGAGATATCATCATTCCAGGTTTGCTGGTTGCGTTTTGCATTCGCTACGACTACTGCTGCGGCCAGCCACTCTCGCGCGGGTACTTTTGTGCAGCCACAAGCGCCTACGCAGCTGGTTTGATGGTCGCAAACATTATGGCTATCGAGCTTCGGCATGTCGTTGCGGGACAGCCAGCTCTGATGTACGTAGTCCCAACTATGCTGGTCACCGTGTTGACCCTTGCCAAGCTTAATGGCGAGCTCGGGATCATGTGGGATGATCCGATATGTTTCCGAGGAGCCAGTCGATGCCACGCCACGGCGGTCGAAGCAGCAGAACTGGAGGCTCAGCGACAAGAAGAGCAACGACCGCTTCTTGCAGACGAGTTATAGTTGAAGAAACTGAAAACATGTATTTCAAGTTGCTCATTTTTGATGCTGGTTAAAGATTTGGACTGCTTTTCCACTTGAGCACCAGATCACTCTTCCGACTTAAAGGGCCATGCTTTCTCGAGCCACTCGGGAAAGTTGGTGTCACTCATGGGAACGAAAGACTCGCCGAAGCTTTTTGGGTCGTTGAGCGCTGCACGAGCTGCGCCCGTGAGTTGCTCCCACATGATAAGGTCCTGGGAGCTGCCGAGAGCAAACTCGATGGACTTCATCTCAAAATCGCTGAACGAGGCGGCATCCAGCTGCAGGTACGGGGTCGTGGCGTTCGGGAGCGAAACAGGAGCAAGGTGGTTGTACTTAGTGTCGGACTTCGACAACGATAAGCCCAGAGCCTTTGGCGTTTCCAGCGCCGGGTTGTCGATCCACACGACAGCGCTGGCCCAGTTGTGGCGACGGTCGGCGTCCCAGAAGCCCTTGGGGAAGTACCAGGCGTACATGATGGCCCAGACGTCCTTGAACCATCGAGCGCGGCCATAGACCTGCGAGCCCAAAGGCGCACTTGTACACCCTTTGTTGTAGTTGGTTCCTTTCAGCCCACCGCTGGTCTCCCCAGCAGAGTTCACGGCTGGGAATGTGACACAACTAAACTTGTGAACAGCGAGGAGCGGCTTAAACTTGACTGCGGCCTTCTCCGAGATGGTAACAGGGTCAGCCTGGGGAATGGCTGCACTTTGTCGTGGTCGATGGAGACGGCCTCGACAGCGAAGAGTGCAGCAGCAAGCACGACAAAGAATCGCCCGATGTTCATCTTCAAACCTTGAGCAGTGGGACGACTTGTGACCGAAGGAAAGAATCCAAGAATGACCTGCCGACGATGGCACAGTAGGGTCGTCTTTCAACTGGTTTGCTACTCTCGCAGGATGCGATCAGTGCTCGTGTAGCAAACGTGAGTGCATCGGACCCCAGAAGCTGGGTCCATGGATAACGGTTTCAGTGATCACGTTGCCGTATGATACTGGGATAACGTGCAGGATAGGTAGGACTCAAGCGATTACTGCAGTTATCTTACCAAGTTAACTTGTCGTTCATCGAGGGCTGTCGTCCGACTCCGAACTGGATCATCTGGAGGAATCCACAGCAGTTACATAGGTTATAGACTGCTCGCTTCGCGCAAGGAGCTCCACCGAAGCGATCAGTTTCCTGTAAACGATCTAGTATGCACTTCATTCCCAATGATAAAATATTTAGTATATAAGCGTAGGACGACACACATGAAAAGCCGCACACTCATGCGCTCCCTTTGCCCGTTCAGGACTTCAGCAAGAGTTTCTCCCTTTCTGAATAGAGTCTGCGCACATGCAAAACAACAGGAAGAGGGGTCAGCATATTTAAACAAAAGTTGCTGAAGTGCAAGTCTCACCGTTGAAACTCGTCGTCTGAAATGGACAGCATCGATCCATCCATTACCATAATGAACTCGATCGCACTGCGCAGATTGACGAAGCAATACCCAGCCCTATGTCAAAACAGAAAGCACCAGTGAGATGAGCACCCAAACAATTCATTTGTACTTTGCTCGGACGCACTTTGACATCAGATCAGCTTGGTTCCGATATGCTGAAATGTACTCGCAGTTGGAGTGCAGTCGAGGAATCTGCGAGTGCAGCACGATGTAGATGAAGACTGGAAGAAAATCGTCTGCACCCGGTCGACTGCCCGAATCTCCCCGAGACAAGTTGAGAACGCTGAAAATGACGCTGCAGCATCGGACAATGCAATTAATCTTGTCTCCTGGCGAACGGAACGAGTTGATACGACGCAATTCATCCTCAGCCATCGACCAGACAACTTCGTTGCGCATGCAAGGCTTGATGTCCAACATCGCGGGTGTGATGAACTACAAATATCAGAGGGTAGTCAGTACCACGGCAACTGCCCGCACTATTCATCCCTTCATCCAGTGCTTGCTTACGTACCGATAAAAGCTGCATGCGACGAAGAAGGGCTTCATCTTCTTTCATCCACTGTTGGCACTCCTTCAGCTGATTGAATGCGATGTCAGATACCTTGTCCATGACGTACTTTTCAATACCGTCGCGCGCCTTGGCCAGTTTGCCTTCGGACGCATGGCGCCACGCCGGGTGGTTCAGCAAGATCTCCTCCATGGTCTCAAAAAAGCGGTTGCACCGGCGACGGAACTCGTGCTTCCCGTAGAAGTCGTACTCAACATAGTCCGTGGATCGGGGCGGTCGTCCGTCACCACGAGGTCCCAAAATCGACCCAACAAACATGCGAATCTTGTCCAAGATGTCTCTGGAGGCAGGCAGACTGATCCGCTGCAGGAACTCGCCGTAGGTTAAGCTGTCCTCGTCAGCTTTATCTCCACCAACTGGATCGGAATTTTTCTGTTTGGACTTGGCTTTAAGCGCCTCATCAATATCGGCAAAGAGGTTTCGCTGGCTCCGGCTTCTGGTCGACACCGTCGAGCTGCCACTATCCGCGAACCCGAGACAGTCGTCCTGGTCAATGCTAAAAGGCGCTACTTCAGAGGCTTGGTTACTCTCGAGATCTTCGTCGTCATCGTTGTGAAGGAGGCCAAGGTCGCTCACACTCAGCCGCCCGGACATGGTGCGGTTGGACTTGCGCAGGAAGCCCGCCGATCTCGCAAATACCTCCTCTGTAGGGCTGTTGTCGTGGCGTTCGAGCGACGGTCGCCGCTTGACAATCGAAACCGGACTCCTTGGAGAACTCCAGGACCGCGGTGGCTTTGACACAGGCTCGCCCACATCCCCAAACAGTGACGACGACGATGACGCGGTCGCCGTGCTGCTCGAACTGTACACGCTGGCCGTGGCACTAAAGTTGTTCGAGCTACTAGCAACTCGTGGCGTGTACGGCAGCTGGCCCAAATCGATATTCGCAACGTTTTCACTCAGTTTTTCCAGCTCCGTGGGCAGGTCCTCTCTGAGCGACTCGACCGCCTTCTCCACGCTGTCACCCTGGAACCCCATCGAGTCGAGGCGAGCTTCCAGCATCTTCTGCGCAGGCTCCGCCATCCCCACCGCACCCGGGTAGCTCTTCATGGAGCTGAACGTCGAACTCTGTTCATTCTGCTTCGACCCACTACTAAGTTTATCCTTAGAAGGCGCAAACCCACTCAGTGTACTCCCTGCTGCAGGCTCTGACAGCTCTCTGTCCGCTTCATTAGCCGCTGTAGCAGCGTAAATCTTAGCAATCACCTCGTCCTGCTGCTCCACCGCAGTGCTGAGGAACTGGCAGCGCTCGCGCAGCCCCGCGAGCTCCAGGTCGCGCGCCAGCAACGCGCTGGTCAAGTCCGCCACCTCCCGTCTCAGATGCTCATTGCTGCGCCGCAGCTGCTCCACATCGTCGCGACTCACGGCGCCGCCCTCCTCGCTCTGGTTGCTCATGCCGTTGGCGCTCTCCTCCGAGGCCGTGGACGACAGCTGCTCCTGCCGCAGTAACGCGCTGTCGATCTTGCACACAGAGTCCAGCAGCTCCTCTTGCCCCTCCTCTGCTGATGAAGAACTTGACGCCGGGGACTGCGGTATTAAATCTGCAGTATCTTCTGTAATAAAACGTAAAAAAAATTACACAAATAAATATGAGTGCATGTCCCTGTTGAACCCAACCAGCTATTAACTCCCTAACGGTTGCCCCCCCAGCAGCTCGTAAGCTGCAGTGGCGCTTAGAGCGTTAGAGCGTTAGCGCACCTGGTGTGGACACGGCGGCGTCGCGCATGACCTTCGCCCTTGCAAAGTCCCCCGCTCCGAGTGCGCTCTGCTCTGGGCCGCAAGTCGGCGAGTGGCTCCAGAGCGGGCGAGTTGTTCTTTACAGTTAGGACGGCGCCTGTTCTTTGGTACATGTAGATCCACCAGTCCCATCTCCCAAAGTACACTCGGGCGTTTTAGACCATGCTACTGTGACCGACTATATCTTTAGGGGATGCGCTAATCGTTTTCCGGCTTTGACGTGCATCACCCCTAATAAGATACCGGAGACCAGACCATGCGGGGCTTGGTGCTGGGGCTGCTGCTCTGGGGCTGCTGGCTGCTGCGATTGGAGGGGTTGGAGCTCGATGTGCGCGCGTCGTCGGCGCTGCAGGTGAACCACGTGCTCAGTACGCTGTACGCCAAGGGCGACATGGTGCAGCTCAAGGAGATCGCGCAGCTGGTGGTCAAGGAGAACAACACACAGGGCAAGTGCAGTACTTTACAGTGTTTTGTAGCGTCTGGAGTGCTATAATTGACTGTTGCATTGCAGTGCTGAGGGACTTGAGCGTCCCCAGTGTGTTCCAGTACCTGGGGGTGGCGCAGTACGCGCTGGGGGATCTGGAGGACGCGACGAAGACCTTTGAGCTGGCCGTGCAAGTGAATACCGACGATGTGCAGAGTTGGGTGCACTTGGGGAACTGCTATCTGTACCAGAAGCGACTACCTGAGGCGGTGGAAGCTCTGGAGGTGGCTGTGGAGCAGAAGGGGTCCGTGGAGAACACGTACGCGCTCGTGAAGGCGCGGAACTGGATGGCGAGCTGGAAGGGCCGAGACGACTCGGTGGCTCAAGTGCAGCAGTCGCTGGAGAGGGCCCTTAGAGAGGGGAAGGTGCCTGATGTGAATGCGTTTGATGTTGCTGACCTGCCGCCGAAGACGCTGGTGGAGCTGCGTCAACGAGCGTACGAGGAGTTTGACGCGGAGACGGAGCGACTTTGCTGTGACGAAGAGACGGACTTGAGACTGAGGGCCCCGGAGCTTCGGGTTGGATTCGTGTCTTCGGATTTTGGTGTGCACCCGGTCTCTTCGCTATTGCGAGGATTGCTAGCGTTGCTTTCAAGTCCGAAGCACCAGACAAAGGTGTACTGCTTCTCGCTGTCGGATGCGGCGTCTTGGTGGAGTCGCAACATTTCGCGGACGGTGGACTACATGATCTCTCTGAAGGGGAAGAACTCGCTGGATGCAGCGAAACTCATCCAGTCTCACGAAATTCACGTGCTCGTGGATCTCAACGGCCACACACTGCACTCTGGCATCAGCATCTTCACTCACCGCCCAGCCCCCGTTCAAGTGGCGTATCTCGGCTACCCGATGACGACTGGTAACCCGTCAATTGACTTTGTTGTGAGCGATTGTGTGGCAACTCCTGCCGAAACGAGCGCAGGAAGCTTCTCAGAGAAGCTGCTGCTTCTGCCGATGCACTACATCGTCAACGACCACCTCCAAATGCTTGGCCATACACTGGAAGGAGAAAGACCGACGCTTTTTGCGCTTACTGGACGAAGGGAAAACGCGTTTGTCTTCGCTACGTTCAGCAACTGGCAGGTAATGCTCTCTCAGCGTCGATTTATTATTTCCTTTTCTCTAATTTTTCGTGTGTGAATCGCAGAAAATGGACCCATCGGTGTTCAGCGCCTGGATGGAAATTCTCTCTCGCGTGCCGTCTAGCGTAATGTGGTTTATCGAGTACTTTGGACGTGAAGGGGCTATCGCGAACCTTCGAGCTGAAGCGAAAGCCCACGGCATCAATGGTGACCGGCTGATCTTCTCCCCGATGGACCCGTGGATCGACCACACGTACAGGAAACGCGCTGCAGACCTCATTCTAGACACATCGTTGAAAAATGGCCACACCACCATCCTCGACGCACTCTGTGCCGGTGTACCCGTCATTTCGCTGGAGGGGGATCGCATGAGCAACCGCGCGACGAGCTCCGCACTGAATTCGCTGGATTTGCACGACTTGACCGTGAACTCACTCAAGGAATACGTCGAGGTGGCGGTGTATCTAGCAACACACAAGTACGTGCTTCACAAACTCCGTCAAAAAGTCGAAGACCATCGCCTACACTACCCTCTATTCGACACGGCAAAGTACGCAACTAAGTTTGAGGAATCGATCAAGGTCGCGTGGCAGGTGAGGAAGTCGAAAATTCAGGCCGGCGGACCGACTCGAGACATGCACATCTTCCCGTCGTTGCAGTCGTCCGTCGTAACCCCGCGATATTTTCCCATGCTATCAGCCAAAGACGACACCAACACTGAAGACGAGTACGTGGTTCGAGTTCAAAGCGCGTTGGTGGCTCAAGACCCGATCCGACTGCACATCGGCGGCCACGTCAAGAGCCCCGACTGGTGGATCGTGGACGCGAACGACGGCGACATCGTGGACTTCGTCATGCGCATGGAAAATCTCTACGCGTTCCCGGACAGCTCAGTGGACGTAATCTACGGCTCGCACGTGCTCGAGCACTGCACGCACGGCGTCGGCCGCGAGCTGCAGAATACGCTGCGTGAGTGGCACCGCGTGCTGCGTCCCGGCGGGCAGTTGCTCGTGTCTGTGCCCAACCTCTTCGTGCTCGCCGCGCTCTTCATCGACGAGAGCATCCCGCACGACGACCGCCTGTGGTTCATGACCATCATCTTCGGGGGCCAGACCGACGCCTACGACGTGCACAAGGTCGGGTTCGACGAGGCTATACTACTGGCCTACCTCCGACAAGCGGGCTTCTGCGACTTCACAAGGCACGACGACTTCGGGCTCTTCAGTGACTCGAGCGTGCTCGTCGTGTACGGCAAACCCATCAGCATCAACGTGCAAGCCCACGCCTGCAAGTAAGTAAACGCAAAATAAAAATGATTACGATGGGCTCTTCAACTTCAACTTCATCATATATTCTACGTCCTTAACACCATAAACCTCTCATCCTGCCTAAAATATTCCGTTCCATAGAAAGGGGAAAATCTTGTGCTGAGCTGAGCAGTCAGTCGGCAGTTGAGCTCGTCCGAAAGTTGCGGAGAGGACACGCGCGCCTTCGCACAGGTATCTCTCGCTCTTGCAGCGCTCCATCGCCGTCGCTAGCTGGCTCACCCACTAACGCCGCGTCTTGTGCCTTATCCTCCCGCTTTTCCCGCCCCGATCCGCCCCCGCAGTCGCCCAAACGAGCCCCTCAAGTTAACTTCCGATACCCCTCGCCATGAGCGCGCGCTCGAGCCAGCGCTCGAGCTTCAACGGCTCGCCGCGCCACCTGACGGTGGAGGAGATGAACCAGCTGTCCATCCGCAGCCTGGAGGAGCTCAACCAGCTCTCGCAGGCCACGCGCGAGTTCGGGGAAGTGTACATGGGCAGCCCCGACGCCTCGCGGCGCAGCCCCAAGTTCCTGCAGCGGCTCTTCGACCCGCTCGAGAGCAAGAGCGACGCCGAGTGCCTCTTCCGCGTGCGCATCTCGGGCATCCAGTGCCGCAACCTGCAGGGCCGGCGCTTCAGCGGCAAGAGCGACCCCTTTGTGGAGTTCTACTGGGACGACCCGGACGAGAAGGCCCCGTACGCCACGCCCGTGATCAAGGCCGACCTGAACCCGAACTACAAGGGCGTGCTCATCGCCTTCGAGTACAAGGCGCCGCTGAACGCGCTGACCAAGAGGTTCCTGTCGGTCAAAGTGTTCTCGAACAGGAAGTTCCACGCCAAGAGTGTCATTGGACACACCAAGGTGGACTTGTGGAGCGTCGCGACGGGCCCCGTGCATCATGATCATCATCTGATTGGATGTGACAATGGCCGCGTGGTGTTTAACTGCTACATGGAGCAGTGCAGCGAGTGGAACATCTCGGTGAGTGACGTGGGCGTGATGATGCCCGCTATTGCCAATGAACTGGATCGACCGGAGGGACACGATTTCCAGGAGGACGCATCCTTGCCCCTGAAGAAGTTTGGAGTGAGCTACAAGTGCACGATCGGAACGAACGAGAAGTTTTACATGGGCAACAAGCTCAAGCACGCGATCAAGAGGGAGATTGGAGACATTCATGAAGTGAGCTTCCAGTCGCTGGCGCGTCTGGCGGTGCTGTCGTCGCGAGTGTCACGACCGAACACCCAGCCGAAGGGAGAGGCTGGCGCGGAGGACGAGGCGGCGGCGGATACGCTTGTGGCGCAGGACCCCATGGGGGTGGAGTGGGCAACTTCGTCGGACTATTTGCCGCCAATTACGCGGTACAGCACGTTTGATGAACTCATGTCGGCGACGCTGACGCTGGAGGTGAGTGGAATACTCACACAAGTGGTGGTGTTATTAATTGTCTCACGCTGCGGTTTGTTTTTTAATTCTTATTTTTTTAGGTTCGTCAATTGCTGGTTGGTCGTGGTCAAATGTCGACGGACCCCGACGGTGGCTTTTTGAACTTGCTGGAAAAATACAAGAAAGACACGTTGGTACGTCTTGCCTAGCTATTCCCGAATGAAGCCCGAGCTGGGCTAACAACGGCATTTTTTAATTTTGTTGTAGGCAACTCCGAACACGGACGTCCAGTTTGATGACGAGATCAAAAACACGATTCTGTTCGGCCAGACGTGGTTATCTCTGGAAAAGATTTTCGAAGACGCCCTGCAGGAACGGATGAAAAAGAAATACGACGCCGATCCGAATCAAGGCATGAATGGACTCGGCTTTTCCGAGCAGTTTGTCACGAGCAAATTTGAGCAGAGCTTGACACTGAAGGGACACCAGGTTGGAGTGATTTATGGCACGATTCTCTTCAAGCGTATTCCCGATGTTCGACAGCTTCGATGTGGTGTGAACAGCGAGAATGGCATTTCGTCTTCGAGTTCTGTGATCGTGGGGGCTGTGGCGGCAGGGTCTAAGAAGGCTCTTCGCAAGTCGAAGGTGGTGATCCCTGTCGAGGCTCAGCGCGTGTTGGAGAAGATGCAGGACCTCGTTGAACTAATGGCTAATCGACAAAAGGATGACAAAGAAGGCAAAGTGCGGAAGGCGACCAAAATCCTAAAAATGCTCCAGGTCTCGCACAAGGCATCGATGCTGTCGTGGGTTTACGTGTCGGCTGAAGCGCTGGAAGAAACGAAAAACATCCTACTGAGGTTATGGCAGTTCCTGCTTGAAAATATCCGCGTCCGGCACTACACGCTACGAAATGTTTTCTATGAGCTGCTCTTCTATTTAGTCAAGCGTGCGGAGCTGAGTGACTTGCCGCTGCTTGGATTCGACTCGACAGTGGCAACTACCGTGCTTGGGACGAAGCATACGCATAAAGTGTCGAAAAAGGATTTGGAATTCGGTCTGAAGCTGCGGGCGATGCTGGTGGAAACCAAGTTCTGCGTCCTTCAGACGGTCTCTGTGCGTGGTGTGATGAACAACAACCTCATGTTCTTCGTAGCGAGAATGCTGTCGGTGTTGTGTTTCCGATTACCAAGTTTCGGCGTGGAGCTGTATCAGCTGTGGTCGGAGTCTTACAACGAGCCCGTACCTGAGCTCGCTGCTGAGTTCCGCATGAATGCTGACGCAGACTTGTTTGCCATGGATGGTCTGGAGGCTCATTTGGACTGGCGGCGCTTCCACAAGGCGATCTTTGATGAGTACGGAGAGAAGGCTCTTCGACACCAAGAAGAAGAAGCCGAGGATAAGTACGAAGTAACATCAGAGGCTTGGAAGTCGCGATTCCGTCGTCTTAACGGGGAAGCGAACACACTCAACATCTTGCTGGTGGATCAGTGGCTGTGGTATGTGTTGGATACCTTGGCTGTTTTGAACCAGAAGATCGGTTGGGTACATCTGCCTGGCTACACCCAAGTACTTATGGTGTTCTTCTTAGAGTTGAAGACCCAGAAGTCAGGTTGGCTCCCCCCGACCCTGTACAAGCTGTCCTGTACAATGCTGTCGAATTCGAGCTTGATTAACCCCATGACCAAGTTTCTTCTTAGCAGCACCAGTGTACATGACGTCACTGCGGTCATCGGTGCTGTGGAGCTTCTCGGCGTGTGGATGTACATGATTCGAAGTTGGCGCGTTCGCTTGAGCTCGTACCGACTGTCGCATCTAGAGAATAACGATCGTTGGAACTTCCACCAAGACGATCAGTACTCGATTCCAGCAGGGGACGAGGTGTCGCTGCTGCCCCCGTCGTTCGACTTCCGGTTCCTGTGTGCGGCACTGCGCATTCTGCTGGATTCGGAGCACACGCAGGTGGTTTTGACAACTCTGGAGTTCCTCTACAACTGTTGGGATTGCTTCCCAGAGAGGCATGCAGACAAACTGCGTTTCGAGCTTCTCCGCTCTTTCATCCGGCTGTTCCTCCACTGGCATCGTGAAGTGCGTAGCTTCTTCCAGACGCTGATCGCCTTCCGCGCCATGAAGCCCCACGGATGGACTCAAAAGGGAGCGTCGTTTGTGAACACCCCTCCTCACAGCCGGCGTCAGATTGATGCTGTGGCTGCAGACTTCAACTCGTCCCTTGGAACGGAGGGACACACTGACGGTGGGCGACGCTCTCGATCTTACAGCGCGAGCAACCTGATGGACTCAGTACATAAACGACTAAGTTCATCGTCTCCACGCTCGTCTCCGCGAACATCGCCGTCACCGTCTCCACGGAATTCCGGTTCGAGCTTGTCGTTGACAATATCGTCGCCGAATAACCGCGGGTTTGGAAGTGGGCATAGCACTCCTACGTCGGATTACAAGAGTGGCGACAGTTTCCACTTGGATAGAACTAAAACGCGCAGCATCTCCGAGGACTACATGAAGCACCCGCTCCAGCCGCAGCCGAAGATGGACGCCAACATCCAGACCAAGTTCAATCGACTGCTGGAGTCAATCTACATCGCAGCGAAGAAATACATTGATCGTCAGAGCGAGAACGGAAACCTTCTTCGAAGACAGACCATGAAGGCGACGTGGAAGAAGAAGGGTATGCTGCTCAAGCAGGGCTTCATCTACAAAAACACTTGGAAAAACAAGTACTTTTCTCTCCAGAACAATAAGTTAGGGTACGCAGACTCTGAGCATGGCCCCATCAAGCGCGAGATCAACGTAATTGGCAGCGTGGTATCGGAGATGTCAAACCAGCTGGATCACTCACAGGGGACGCGCGTGGTGCTCTTCAACTGCTTCTCAGTCGATAGCGGCTACCAGAAGTTTGTGCTGTGCGCGCCTACGTTCGAGGATCAGCGCGAGTGGATAGAAGTGCTGACCCAGAACGCGACGGCGGAGACTGCCGAGCGAAAAGACAACGAGACGCTGTCCCAGTTGGATCTGGCGGAGGTCGCGGGTCAGTTGGAGTCGCTAGCAGGGAAAAACTCGACCGCGGACGAAGTCCCCGAGAACTTCTTGCCATACTCGGTGCTGGCCGTCAAAGAGTAAGTTCATGCTCCTCCACCTGCTTCCATGAGTTATGTACATATTTATCTAACACATTTGTTGTTGTTGTTATGTTTTCAGGTGGCTGAACTTGCGCGTGACTGCGATGGAGATCGAAGGCAAAATTGCTGCAGGGCAACCGTTCCAGATGCCGGTACTGCTGTCCAAGTCGTCTCTGTACGCGGATGACGATTAGATGGTCGAATGAAGGCACATCAGCTTCGTGTGGAAGATTGAGGTCTGAAGGGGAGCGCCAAACGATTCCTGACTGCTCTCTGGTGGGGGCCCCCACCACTCCCAACTTTTCTTTCTTCTCGTTAGTTAATACCAACCATACACCAATTCAACAGCGTACCAGTTCGAAACTCCGTGAGCTTTCTATCGATAGGATGCTGACGGGCGTGATCCAGGAGTATGGTGTACTGTGCGGCTTCCTCAGTTTGACTGACACTTGAAGCATGATCACTAAAACCGTTATTCCCATCGTGAACTCATCCTAGGCTAGGATTCCAAGCGCACTTGAGCACGCAAAACCCGATGACCGCCTTGCCAATCTTTCGGCTGGATTAATCTGGCGCCTTTAGTTCGCGTCGCCGCACTAGCTTCAGCGATGAACATCGGCCGATTCCTCATCGTCTTCGCCTCCGCGCTCTTCTGCGTCAACGCAGTGAGCATTGACCACAATATAGTGCAGCCGCTCGCCCAGCCAGAGCCCGCCACCGTCTCCGAGGAGGAGCCGAGAAGGCTGCGCTCAAGTTCAAGCCCCGACTGCGGATGCCTTTCATTCCCGGCTGTGAACGCAGCTGGAGAGACCAGCGAAGGACTGAAGGGGAACTGGGGCAGTGAAGGGTGTGAGTCTGCTCCGTTGGGGTCGCGGGTCTATGGCCGCGCTACCTGGCACAACGACGTCTGGGCCATCATGTACGCCTGGTACTTCCCCAAGGGCTTGTGGGACGGCGATACGTACTGGAGCGACGACTGGGGCAGCACCGTCGTGTGGATCGACAATCCCGCGGTCGACTCACCGAAGATCATGGGGCTCTACCACTTTCGACAAGGAGCTCTCTGTTTCCTTTGCTAACGGAACAACCCCAACTCTTTCTCGCGTGCTCCCGGGGCCCACCAGGACAAGGCTCCAGCTCAACGATGAGGCCCCTTTCGGTGACTTCCAAGACCTCATCACGTGGACGCAACTCACGGATGCAGCGCGAGAGGCGCTCAACAACCCGGAGAACTTTGGCCGCGCTGACGTCCCCATCAGCGACGCCAATTTTCCAGAGTGGCGTGGCCGTTTGAGGCTGAGCTGATAGTTCCATGGACGGTAAATTGTTGGGGTTCTTTGAAATTTACAACAGCGTCTACAGTAGAATAATCAATCCCAAACGTCTTGGTACGAACTACTGTAAAATGTAGCAACATTGAATACACTTCGGTAGGGCCTACTACCTTAGAGCGGCCACGCTTTCTCCAGCCACGTGGGGAAGTTGTTGTCGCTGAAGGGAACGTCAGCGCGACCAAAGTTCTCCGCGTTGTTTAGAGCCTCCCGTGCCACGTCCGTGAGTTGTTCCCACATGATGAGATCCTGGAAATCTCCACCAGGCTTATCGATGGTTATCAACGCCGCACTGCTCATTCCAGGGAGGTACCGCAGCAGGAATGGGGCCGTGCCGTTGACGAACGAAGCCGGCGCTCGGTTCTTGTATGAGTCCTTGGAAGTCGACAGCGAGAGCCTCACAACCTTCGGAGCTTCCAACGCCGGGTTGTCGATCCACACGACGGCGCTGGCCCAGTCGTGGCGCCAGAACGCAGAGCCGTCCCAGAAGCCCTGGGGAAGTACCAGGCGTACATGATGGCCCAGACGTCGTTGTGCCACGAAGATCGGCCGTAGACCTGCGCCCCCAATGGAGCAACCTCGCAGCCGTCGTTGCCGCCATTCCCCTTGAGCCCACCGCCAGTCTCGCCTGCAGCGTTCACGACGAGGAACGGAACGCATGAAACCTCGTCGGCGATAAGCAGTCGTGGTTTGAATTTGACCGCGGCCTTCTCGGAAACGGTGACCGGGCTTGGTTGAGGGAACGGCTCCACCTTGTCGTAGTCGATGGAGACGGCCTCGGCGGAGGAGGTGGCTGCAGCAGCGACGAGAAGTACTCGGACGAGGTTCATCGGTTTGGTGCGGCGAATTCGGGGGTGCGTTGCGAACCAAAAGCAGCTCGAACCGCTTCTCCGCGTGCTTCAAGGCTGGGATAACGTTTTTGGGGTCACTCTGCAGTGTGAAGCATCATCCTCTGGGGCCGAGAGTCGTGTCCGTGTCACCACAGCAAACGCACATCTGGAAGTAAACGGGCATACATGTATGATCATCCGAAGATAACCGTGCCGAATTCCTTTTGTCGAGGCATACAGCCTGATTCGGTGATATAGGCGGCGATTTTCGTGTCCTGGTTAACTGAGTCGGCACAACGCCGCGTCCCTCGCGAGCTGGAACGGCGTCGCACGTCACGTGGATTTTGCCATGCAGCATTATCCTAAAGGTCTCAGCACAGGGGCACTGAAGGAATTTAGGGCCGCTGAAACCAAGAGATTCCTAGACTTCACTCTGTTCGGGAAGGTGGACAAGAAGAATCCTGCCGGACTGCTCCGACCGATGGAAGGTGTTGATCCCTCCAAGGTTGCTCCGAAACTGGAATCCCTGGTGGGTCGCGAAAACCAAGTGCTTGACGAAGTGGAGGGTGTCGGGCGTAGGGTGGTATGCAATGTGGTCATGAGGCCCGAGAGCGAAGGTGGCGGCATTCTCCTGATTTCGAGCTCAAAACTTGACAAGCAAGACTTTATTCTGCCCAAGGGGGGCGTGGAACAAGGTGAAAGAGGCCGTGATGCGGCGGTGCGTGATGTCCTGGAAGAAGGAGGGGTACGGTTTAGTTAGGGGTGCGGATTAAAATCTAGTGTGAAAAGGCTGAAGTCCTAGTGCGGACCTTCAAACAGTGGTGTTTTTTATGAAGAGGGATGACTTGCTTAGTGTTTTTTACGTGTATTTTATTGAACGCGTAGTGATGAAGCCAAAATGGGCCTTGGGGCACGCGAAATGCAAGCGAGTGTCATGGCATTTTCTTCTGATAAGCCCATTTCCTTCTCAGAAGAGCTAATAGCCTTTTCCTCTAGCTGGTTTTAGCGTTTAGCTCGATAATTACGTCCTACGAGATTCCACAGGTGAAAGCCTGCTAGGGGAGGCCACCACCGTGATAAATGGGTTCGGTGGAACCCCTGCGAGTTACAATGAAGTTTTACACAAGGGGCGAGCCTAATATCTCCCAAAGCCTTCGTAGCTAAATGCCTCAGTGAGCACAGCTTGCTCCCACACGAGACATTCATCCTTTGCTTGATTTGCACTAGGTTCCCATCCGTTTTTGTATCATACACGGTCGTCATCCCTTTTACACTAGCTTTTAATTTAGTTAGGACAGTTCTTTTTATTTTTTAGTGGTCAGTATTAACGCTTGCGATGGCTCTGCAGGTTCATGTCAAGCACTTCGAGACCCTGGGGAACCGGATTGTGGGAGAAAAGTCTTATAGGTCCTAATTGATGGAGAGTACAAACATGTACAAGCAGTGGTCGGAGAGCAGACGCTTGCGCGTCTGGGTACGTGACTATCAATGCGAACGAGGTTACAGGGAGGACGCAGCTAACACTATGATCGTTGTATGATTGCTCTATTAGTCTTCCTGGGATGATGCCATCCTATTGCTCAAAGCCAACGGGCACCACGAAATGGCCGAGATTGTAAAACAAGCTCGCGCGGCTGCTGCTGCTAAAGCGGCGTAATTTGTTTTCTCGCCGCTGCACTCCGCTAGAAGACATAATTACATTTTGTGCCGGATGCTGTATGATCTGTATATATTTTTGTCGATCGAGCATGATCCGCTCTCGTTGTGCCCGTTTTGCATTGCTTGTGGATATGCTTCAAGGTTTACAGTTCTGGCAGGAGTTACACTTTTCGGAACCCCCACAGAAATCCTATTGATATGTAGAACCACAGGCTGTATGGACAAAAATTTCAAAGCCAGCCGCGTACGTAGCTGACTCAAATACTGTAAAAACTGCACACCTGTATCGATCATTATACGGTCTTAGTACAGTTCACAGGGACCAATCGCACCACTCGTGCCGGTCCATATCAATGTGGGTGTGCTTCATCATCAAACTCCGTTTGAGACCCCCACGGATGCATTGATTCACTATCTGGCTATCCGTGATATCCGTAATGCATTCCAAGTTTTACGGGTCGGTCTACAGAAAGCTTCCGGATCCTGCCGAGCGATAACATTCTGGACCGCAAGTTGAAAGTGAAGCGCTTACCTTTCTTGCTGCCCATCAAAACTAACGAGTTCATTCCCCACGAGACTGGGAGATGGAAGAAATCTGTAGAACGCGAACAAGCACCAAGAATGAAGTGTAAACAAGTTGAGATATATAATAATTGAAGAATAGAATCGAGCTCCCACAACTACCAATTTCCAAAGATGCCCTGAGTATCATACTTTTATGAGGATGTCTCGTTATACGGCTTATATCGATATGCATTCCTGTGGTGGTCTCGATCCGACACTTGCCGTGGTCGTTTACGGGGTTGCCGTGGACGCTGGCACAACGGATGAGGGCAGTGAATGCCGCCTCCAATTCTTCAAACGACACTTCAGCTGACTCCGTCGTGTTCGGAGTTGTGCTCGCCGCCTTCGTAGCTGCATCTCTCGGGAAATCTTGGCCACCAAACAAATTTTGCATATAAAGAATACCAATACTTTTTTTTCATTTTGTACTAAAAGTCACTCGTATGAAAAAAGGGTTTTGCATTTTGTGAAAACGAAAACTGCGGACAAACGACAGGTTGAAATGGAGGCCGCGGTGCGAACACCGCCAGTAGTACAAGAACTGCAGCAGCAGCTCCAGGATCAGCAAGGGGAAGCCGCCGCTCAACCGAGAGAAATCCAAGAACTGAAGCGCCTTGAGCAAAGCCAAAAGCAAACCAAGGCACATTTGTGGAACGTTCGAGCCGCGAGCTACAACGCGCGTTGTGTCTCGGTATCCCTGGAATCTGAGCCTCCTTTTCGACCCTTTCAAAAGGCCAACGCGGGACTTGGGACGCCTCTGCCCAACGCGCCGCTGCCTCGTCAAGAACTCCCTGAGCTCGAAGTCGGAGAGGTGATTCCGGCAGAGTTCTTCCCTGAGAACCAGACCGCGTTGATGGGGTGGAGCCATGAACAAATCAACGCGCTTAGTATCCTCGCGAACGATGATTTTAGCATCATTACGAGCGATCGAGTTCTTCAACGCCGGTTGAAAGTGGAGCGTTACCTGACCGGCTATCCCATTCACGTAGACTACTGAGTCTGCTCACGGGAACTTGGGGGATGTGGAGAGCGAAATCAACTTGAGGATCAAGGCTTGGACGAAGAATAAGTCGCTGAAGGTGGGTCAAGTCGGTTCTACGAGCTCCCACTATTCGCAAAGGAGAACTGCCACCGGTGCTGCTAAGAATAATACCGTAGTAAGTTAAACCACGAAATGGTGCTGACTGCGCGTAATGACATTCCCCCTGTCAGTTGAATGTGCTCGAAACTTGTGCTCACCCAACACAGGGCCTTCTGAAGCGTTTTCTTCTTTTTTTTTAATCAAAAGTTGATGCGCGCAGCTTTGAACCAATTCGACTCCTCGACTGCTGTCTTAAACCAACTTATTGTGGTCACATCAACCGACAATTCTCGGTCTGACGGGCCTGGTTGAGGGTACGACTCCACCTTACCGTGGGGCATTGAGTACTACATGCAGTCAATGAAAGCAGCGTCGCTCGCAATTGATCCCAAACTCATCGTTCAGGAGGATACTGAGCGCGCAACGACAACTGTTCAACTAGGTTCTCAAAAAAGAACTTCAACGGAATCAAATCACCGACTGGAAGGTCTTCACAAGACAGCGGCGCGAGATCCGCGTTGGCCGTTTTGAAGGGTGGAAAAAGGAGGTTCCTGCTTCACCCGTTGTAGTTCGCAGCTACACTACTTTGCTCGATGTTCAGGCTGTCCGTGTCAGAGCTTGCACGGCAATATCTGAGAAATTACCATTAGGGGATCGTCAGGGCCAACGACAGAAAGTGATTCAACAGTTGTGAGAATTTCCGTGATAGCTTTGTTGTAGTTTCTGAATTGCGCGCTCCCGCGCACACAGGGGCCGTGGTCTATCCTGCAGAACCTTTCCACTCAAGGTATGGGGATTGGGAGTATATTCCCGGTGGTTCTAGAACTCGCCTGGAACGCGAGCTAAGTCAACGGGTGGAGCTTGAAGCCGCGACACGCAAGAGGAAAATACAAGAACTGCAACAGCAACTCCAGGAGCAGCAGAACCAATTGATGGAACAAATCCGAAAGGAAGCTGCAGTTCAACACCGCGAACTCGTATGTTTGGCGCTGTGTGCCGAACGCCTCGAGCGGAGACAGAAGCAAATTGATTCGCACTTGTGGAACATCCGAGCTGCGAACTACAACGCGCATTGCGAGTCGGTCTCGGTGCCGCCAGTGTCAGAGCCCCCACTCCACCCCTTCAAGAAGAGCAAGAGGGGATTCGGGACGCCTCTGCCCAATACCCCGCAGCCTCGCCACGCAATCCATGGGATCGACGTCGGAGATGTGATTCCGTCAGAGTTCTTCTCTGAGAACCTCACGGCGTTGATGAAGTGGGCCCACGAACAAATCAACGCGCTCAACATCCTCCTGAACTTACCATCTACCCCATCCGTCAAAACTAATGAGTGCATTTCCCAAGAAATCGGGGGGAGGGGGGGGGGATGTGAGAAATTTGGTGAAAGGGAGAAAATTGAAGTGTTGAAACGAGCTACTAGTACAAGCTCCCAGAACTACCAACTCTCAAAGTTGTCCGCTGTTGCCAAGATGGATTCAGAACGAGAAAGCTATCATGGATTTCCTAAATGAAGTTTTGTTTTCATTATGCGATTTATACCTTTCCTGTGGTGGCCTCAGCTCGACACTTATCGTGATAGTAATCTACTGGGTTGCATTGTACGCTGGCACAGCGGTAGCGCTCTCCGCTGGGATGAGAGCGGTGGCTCCTTTCTCCAAGTCTTCATACGAAACCTCAGCTGACTCGGTCGAATTAGCAGTCGACGTTTCGTTGTACTCGGCGTCTTCGTAGCTGCATCTCTCGGTGCTGCCCTTGCCAAAGTCCTGCGTCCAGTAGTGACGGTACCTGCTGCCGCTGTTGTAGGCGTACGCGGTGCCGAACATGGTGTAGTCCCCCAAGATGTTGGCCCGGTGGCCCGCCGAATTCATCCACGACGTCATGACGGAGCTGATGGTCGTCTGGCCGGCCGCGACGTTCTCCGCTGCCCTGGTCCACATGTACCCAGCATCATCGATCCTGGACGACATCGTGGATCCGTCGGAGCCCGTGTGGCTCATGAAGTTGTAGGCAGCCATGTCCTTCGAGTGGCGCATTGCAGCGGCCATGAGCTTGGTGTTCAAGCAGAGAGGCGAGAGACCATAAGCAGCTCGTTGCGCGTTCACGAGCGACAGCATTCCAGAGGCGTACTGACTCGTCATAGTGTAGGTTGCTGCAAGTTGACGCGATTCGTGACGAAGGTTGTCCGCGTCCGAAGAAACCGTGGCAGTAGCGAAGAGTAGAAGTGCTAGCGAAGCCTTGGAGAAGGTCAGCATTGTTTTTGGTCTTGGTTTGGTTGGGTTGAGTTGAGCTGGGTGGAGCTCAGGAAGTTGAGGAGTGAAGAATGTTGACAACCAACCTAGCACTTCAGCAGATCCATCGCGAGATGGCGAGAACTGGGAGAGAAACTCACTCAATCGCATCTGTACGTTGTAGTTGTATGCCGTCGTCTACATTTTTAGACAAGGCTTTCAAAGAGGTTAAGAGGCGTGTCAACGGATAGCTTCCTTCAGAATCTTCCTGCGACTGGCAAACTGAAGTTATCTACTGAATTCTTCAACGTGCACCTGAGTCCTGATCTCTGTTCAACTTCAACTTGTAAAAGTAGACGTAGACGACAGTAGCGCGCCTCGAGTCCTCTGTCGAGGGCCCTTCGCGCACGAGATCTTTCAGCCTACTAAAAACTAAACAAGTGCAAACAGAAAAAAAACTTTTTAGATTTTCTTGAAACTCACATTGATCTCACTTAAGTTATCGAACATGCAAAGAAGCGGGCTGGAGTTGCTACTGCGAATACGCCGCATGCAAGTCACGCATGGCTGCTCGAATTTTGCTGCAGAGCGCTTGAAAATCCTCGTGTGGAATGCTAATCGCATTAGTTCCAGTGTAGTCGTGGCATAGCTGGTTCCGCTGCTGCGAGAAGTTGTAGATGTCTGCGTCGAGCTCGATACCTCGGGCATTTTGAATTCTCTTCATCATGTTCACCGTAAAAACGCGCTGCTTGAATCTTGAGGAAATGTCATCTACAAGTGTGTTAATGACATAGAGTAGACGTAGAAGTCGTGAGCAATGATCTGAAGGTAAATAGATGTGTGTCTTACCGTGAGGAGGGACTGCAAAACGTTTTGCAAAAAGCTCGATGTCGTGCTCCGCCGCCGCTCCTGCTACGTAGGACGCTAGGCGTAACTTCAGCTCGGTGATTGCGTTCCGAAAATCAGCTGCCTCACGAAGCGCTTCCTCCAGCGCGGCCTGTGCAGCTCTCTTGACCTCCTGCTCGACAGCGAATCTCTGTTTCCACCCGTCACTGTTAGGCGCGTATCCATTACTCTTCTTCTGTTCTTCAAGACACTGAACGAGCCGCTGTAGCTCTTTCTGAATAGCGGATTGTTCCTGCTTCCACGCGTCGTTCAGGTCTTGCTGTTGCTGCATGGCGTCTCGGCAGCGCCGCTCTTGCTTGCGCTTTTCGTTAGTCTCGTCTTCCAGGCGCCGGCGATCTTCCTCCAGCTTTTGAACGCCGGCGATCTTCCTCCAGCTTTTGAACTTGACGTCGAAAATCATTCACGTTTTCGTCATGGCAGGCCGATTGAGCTGCAACCTCGTCTTCTTTCCGTTTGAGCTCCTCCTCTTTGTCGTGTAGATGCTCTTCACGAGCGTTGATAGCTGGTGCACGAAGTTCCAGTTCTTGGGCACTTCGGGGCGAGCCAACGCCTTGCTTGAGGGTGCGGATCTCTTCCTCGAGCTGGGATACGCGCGACGATCCTCCGCAAGCTTCCGAGCACTGGTAAGCATATCCACACAGCTCGCCGTATACACTTCGATGTCAGCAATTTGCTGATGATGAAGACTTTGGAGTCTTGCAAACTCCTCCTGCCATTGTGTCACAGTGGTTGGTCGTCCCACGGACGCAAATCGACGCTCCTCCTCTGGCGCCGCGTGTAGCTCAGAAACGATAAAAGGCTCCATGGCCTCTAAGATAGCTTCGTTTCCAGCAAAGGTTGTGAAGTGACAGCTCTTTGACATGCGCAGGTAGTCGACTGGCCTTCCGTCACTGCGAGCCGATCTGTAACTAGTACTTTCTGGTGATCGGATAGTCGATACTTGTCCATTTTCGTGCGTTTTCCGTATTGGCGCTTGCCACCCTTAGCACACTTGAGCGTCGAATGGAGCGCCTCGCAAGCTTCAGCAAGCTCCGTCGAGGTGAAACCGTCGGGATGAGGGTCGCCCATTGCTTGCACTGCTGGCCCCGTTGGCTCACCATGCATCCGTAGAGAAGATGGCGGTGCTGGCGTCGGCTCTGCATTGCGCCCTGAGCCTCCGGACGTTCTGCGTCGCTTCGTCGTCGCAGTGGGGCTGATGCCGGTTGCGCTTGCTAGCGCCACGTGTTTCCGCTTCGCCATGACGGCAGCTCGACGGCCACAGCACGGATGAGCTGCTGCGGGTGCTGGAAGAAATGAACTTGAAGCGAGTAAAAATAAACCGATAGAGAATGGATACATCACTTGTAGAGGGTTCTGTAAAGTTAGTGTTCATGAATAATAATTCGATAGAGGATCGATATATCACTTTCAGAAGGTTTATGCGTCCCGGAATAAAATGCTGGATGAAGGCCCTAAAATGGATATCACATGGGTTCAGCGAGTTAAGGAGGATTTGGTATGCGAATAAGTGAATTGTGTAGAAGGTATTGCCGCTTGCAAATACTTTGCCCTCTAAAATAGACCTCTAAAATAGACCACGCCTGTCTCTTAATATGAGTGGACACGAGATAGGCGAGGGATGACTTAGCTTTATGCTTTGGTGGGGGCCGCTTTTAGGCCTAGAAACTCGGTTTGGCCCGTCTAGAATGGCATTTCTGCGTTTCCAAGTCGTAGCAAAGCGTGAAACAGACCCCAACCTACCTGTACTGGCGAGATATATAAATCAGACCTAGGTCTCAATTAAGAGCTTGCTAGACTAAAATCGAGATTATTAACGAGATAATAAGCATGTGTTGGCCAAAATATCTGCAAACGGCAATATGTGTAGGATCAGAGCCGACTTTAAAGTTATGAAGCGATATTCCATCAAGTCGTTGCGTGAGGCCGCAGTCTCTGCTGCATCTTCGCGCGTCCGCGCCGCAGCCAGTATCCGAAGCCGTCACTATCGTCCAAGCCGGACCCAGATCCCGAAGTCTCTGCTGCACTCTGCGCGCGCGAGCCGCAGCCAGTGCACGAAGCCGTCGCTGTTGTCAGCCGGTGCCCGACGTGCCGTTACCGTCCGAGGTGCTGCCTGCGACCGACGTTGCTGGTGCCATCCGAGCTGCAGCGAATTCCCGAAGTTGCCGCAGCCGCCCAAGCCGCGGCTAGTGCCCTCCGTTCGCCTGCAGCCGCCACGAGTGGCCGAAGTCGCAGTCCCCTCCGCGCACACGAGCCGCAGCCAGTGCCAGAAGTTGCTGCTTCTCTCCGCGCGACCGAGTCACAGCCTGTGCCTGAAGTCGTCGCTGCCGCAAGTAGTGCCCCAGTTCGCGTGAAGCCGCTGGCAGTGATTGAAGTTGTCGCTGTCTTACGTGCGCCTGACGTTGAGACTAGGACCGTGTCGAAGCTCCCCCTTCAGGTGGAGACGACGCCACAGAAGGTGGTGCGTAGAGCTCTATCTGATCCGACTCTCTCCTATCTTACTGTTTGTTTAACCTACTATTCTTCTTGTTCCCATGTGTGCAGAAGACTAAGCTGCCGACGAAGGAAGAGTATGGCATCAACGGAGCTGAAGCGGATGCCCTACGAGCGCGCCATACAATGGCGGAACGCGGCATTGGGTATTGTTGATGACTTTACGGGGGGAACGTGGGGTCATGATAAGTGCATGGTGGTGTTACGTGGATTGCCTGGGTGTGGTAAGAGCACGTTCGGGGACATTCTCGCGAGGGAATTCCGGGAGGAATTTCATTTTTCGGCCAACTCAGATATGAATGACCGCAAGGTGCGAGTGTGTTCGGGCGCGCTACATCAGATTCAAGAAGGCCGTGACGATCCGCATGCTGGAAGCCTTTTCCAGCAAGACGTGGCAAATTCACTGCGGATGTCAGATGTAGTGATTGTTGACGATCTGAATGTGGCGATGGATGCGTGCGAATAGCTGGCACAAGAAGCAGAAAGGTTTTGGAGAAGTGCAAGTCGCTATGGCAAGATTTACACCGTTACCTTTGCGTGCAGAAATCTGGGTCATGCTGTAGCGTTGAACGGTCGAACATGGCGTCCATTGTCTGCCGATACCATTTGTGATCTGTATCGAACGTTCGAGGCTCTTGAAGTCCAAGCAGCCGCCCTACCAAACTGCGTAGTGATTGATTCTAATATTTAGGAAGTTAAAGGTGACGATAAATCAAGTAAACGCGTTGAATGAAAACAGTTAGTTCATTTGGGTATGTTGTACTTGTAGTAACGATATTCTGTGGTGTTTGGCAGGTGTAGTAAGGATGTACATGGGTGAAACGTGGCCATCTGCACATTGCTGCTTTTAGTTTAATGCGGTGACAGGATCGTACTGCGTAGTAGTTGTTAGGGTAGGATCGAGTTGATGTTAAACATCGTGGGGCATAATTTCGCTCTGTCGTGGACTCTCCTCTTCATAGGAAAGTTGAAGTGGAACGAACCCAAACTGTAAAGCATGCTCAAAACACACAAATAAATTCTTGAAGTAAAACAAAGTAAAAACGGATATATATATATATGATAACCCCTCATGAGGATTTTTTTAATATGTAATTACTTGTGAAGTGCAAAAACGATCAGGATAATCATTGCGGCAGCAATGTGAGTTAATGGTGAGATACTGTATGGTGTTTTGAAAGAGCGTACCATGGATTAAAATCGTGATGTTACTAAAGTATGAGAAATAACGTGTGTCTTCATGTGAAGAGACAACAACGCATACCGCCTCCTTCTCATTGGTCCTATGGGTGCTAGTTTCTCTTCCACGCTCTAAACTCAGCGATATGTGCCTCGGATGCGTAAGGCGGAAACCGCACGAGATCAATAAGACGCAACATTTCATCGACAGTCTCTTCACCTGGAACAAAGTTTAGTAGGTACGAGCGAGTGATCTTTTCCGTAAGTGTCAGGCCAGCTAAGCTTGTTGCTCTCGATAATGCCGCATAACATGACTGCGTGGGACATCCCCTGGAGCGGACGAGGGGCGTGACAACAACTCCATCATGACAAGTTTGGCCCTGCAATTTTTCGGTAGTGCAAAAGCCGGTACCACAGCGAATTGATCGACAGTGATGCTAGATTGCGACAAGTTCGGAATGTGTTTAAGTCGGAGACTTGCGTGGAGCGGCGGCAATCCAATCACTCCCTCCGGGAAGTCAGTGACGAATGTTTCGGTAGAACCGAGAAGTTTAATTAGAAGTAGATCTGGTTGCTGTTGTAGTCGGTGGATGAGGGATCCCTCAACGGTATATCTCGTGGATTCAAGCTGGGCGAGCGGGGGAAACGCACCTACGATTGACCCGATAACCCCATTTGCAATTATGTCGGATTGAAGAAGTGCAGGATGTTTCCAAGTGACCATCACAGGCATTCCTACGTAAAATAATAGTTTCATCGGGACTCGGTTGGTCATGTCATCATTAGCGTTGGCGAGGTTGTCAACAATAGTTTATGACCTTGACGACGGTCGAGTCAGGCATTCATAAACCGCGACGTTGTGTTTTGCTTCGACCTTGAGAAGCATCAGGTGGTTTATAGCGCATCTAAGTTTGTTGGTAGATACAACAATAGGCCGGTAAAATGTGTTGCTAAGTTGTGGCCTCGACACTTCGACTTCGTTCACTGGCTGCACGCGAGAGTTTAATAAATCAAGTTGCTCATCCGATAGTCTGCCCGAGCGAAGATTATCCAAAATATCAGCGTATACAGGATCGGACCGCGCGCGCATGTTTTCGGTTAAGAAGACGACAAAGTTGATAGCGGCGTATAGAGCGTAGCCTGCGTGACACGCGTGACACATACGATTGGCTGTAGGAGATGGTGTGTTGAAACCTATGAATTCGTTAATTCAGTAAGTCATAAGACCCTTTGTGTACTAGATAAAAAGAAAAAAACTTACAAGGATGACCTTCAACTGGAGGTAGCTGGAGGAAGTCACCTATAAGCAGTACGTGCCTGCCCCCCATGAATTTATCGGGCGTGCGTGACATCGATCGCGAGACAGTGTCTGTGCCACCTAACAGCGCTTGGTAGGTGATCGAAATCTCATCAATGATGACTAGAACCACTCGACCGAATCGTGCCTTCATCTCTGCTGATGGGGCTGAATTTGGTTCAGCTCCGTTAATCTTAAGATTACGAGCGCTATGCATCGTTTTCCCGTGAATATTGATTGCAGCAGATCCAGTGAAAGCTAGGGTCTCGACACTTCCTTTGCGGCCCCAATATTTAGCCATTGCCAACAGTGCCTCGACGACAGTTGATTTTCCTGTTCCAGCCTCACCACCGAGGTAAGCGATCATCTGCGGCTTAATGTCATAAGGATCAGGTCTGCCCAAGTTGACGTCGTCAACTGTATCTTCAATATCGCGACTGTAAGCGTAGAGAAGATGGCGAGTGGAAAACACAAAAATGACGTGCTGCCAGAAATTTAGTTTGAACGCCTGGGAAATCCTGGTAATTGTCGGAAAAGGAGGCAGCGTAGCTAGCGTCCACTGCGGCTCCATTGGTGGGGGCTGATACGGCACGGGTCCAAAACACTCTTGTAAACGTTCAAGCCGGGTGCGACTTGTGGTAAACGTTTCAATGAACTCTTGAGTACCAAACCGCACGCCTCCGTCAAATGGCTTAACTAATCGAGTTGCGTACGAAGAAATCGTAAAATCAGGTGGCAAAGAAACTCCACCAGAAGCACTGTACTGTTTGCTGGCCGCTGATAAAGCTGTAGCGATGTTACCAAAAGCGCTCACGGTGGACATAGCATCTTCAACGAGTTTCGTTGTTGATGAATTGTGTGTAATTGTATGCGCGACATCAATGAAGTCATCAGGGATAGGATCGAGGGAAAGATCATCTTCGGTGCTTCGATTATCCATATCTTCGTTTTCGGTCGGCATCCAGGATGATGTAGCAGGAGGCCTAGTCCTTAGCATCAGCTCTTCAGGGGTCTCCTCTGTGTCGTCTGCAGTTCGTTGCGAGTGATAGTAGTCTTGCCACTGCATTTCGTAATTGCGTAGCATCTGCACGTTTTCTTCGTCACCGGTTTCCAGAAACGAGCGATAGCTTTGTAGCAACGTCTGGTTGTTCGCCAGGAGCGTTGAATGTCGATGAGGTTTAAACAGAGTCAAAAGTGCTGTATAGTAGTACTCGTGATATTCAGTGTCGAGGTGAGAAGAGATGTCTGGAATCTCGTTCCCACACAGAACAAACACTTTCCGATAACTATGTTTCACATATTGGCACTGAGTTCTGGTGGAGGCCGATTGAGCTTGTTGGCTGCCGGTGTACTCGTAGCGCTCGCAAATTTCCATAAACGAAATATTTTCAAGAGTTGCATCGCGCTTCCAGTATCGCTCCAAAGCGTTCTCGCGGGAAACGCTAGACTCATCTGACTGACCATCTCGAGTATCATTCTGCGAAATTGTGACTTCCACAAAATCAGTGGTCTTCCGTAGCATCATTCGTAGATTTATATGAACGAATTCGTGTGAGAACGACATGGGTAAATGCAGCGATCTCATTCTGCAAGGCTCCCGCGCGGCGCTGGTTAATCTGATCCACCATGACTCCGAATACCCAGTCTATTGCGAAAACCAAAACTAGCAGTGAATGATACCAAGAGACTAACGATAGCTATTGACAAGTACAATGTGAAAGCAACAGACAACTAGGTCCGCCACGTCGTTGTGTATTACACATAAACAGTCGCCGCAGTCGAGACAGATTGGCGATCGGCGCAGAGCGCTGGCACAGTGCATTGTTAAATAGAAATATTATGGACAGTGTACAGCTAATACAGCTCTTACACTGTTTTACGTGGGTAGCTACATCTTCACACAGCCATACACTACGAGCGTGCTGCACCAAGCACTACCCAGCCGCCTCTACAGCGGGTGACCACTATGTTATGTGTAATACACAACAGTGATGTGGCCCACCTTAGAAAGGCTTTAGATTTTAGAAACCTACCGGTAAGGTTCAATTGAAGTTGAAGATAACGGTTGAAGTTCATACAAAACTCATACTGAACTCAAGTGACTCGAGCGACCCCGCAACCGCAAGTTGAGCTGCAAGCGCTGCAAAGGCCCCCGTAAATGGACCTCTGACTCCATTGGCGCAAAAGGCGCATGGTGTCAACTTGAACAGACGCACAGTGGATACTTCGCGACCCTTCGCGAAAAATCGCAGTACCGTCACTTTGCGTGTATTTTCATTTCTAATAGCTTCTTGACACAATATTGTTTCAGCCCTAAACTTACTCGAGAGAAATACCGTGGATTGCTGGAAAATTATACCTAAGTTAATGGCTACACATGAGGAATTAACTGAGATCTGGGAGGCTAAATTTGGCCACATTCACAAACCCGACGCTGTCCCTTGTGAGTTTTACGGACCTGTTCCGCCGAGCCCCTTCTTACAAAACCCAAATGAGCTGTACACCAACTACACATAATACGGTGTAGCCACTACCCGTTTTGTTGATAAACGTTTTAATGACCAAAAAAACTCTAAATATACGTTTCTACAGCCCGGAAAAGCGCTTGTGCTTTCAGCTTAAGGCTGAAAGAACACTCCAGCCGTGAGCTGTTTCCACTCGATCTTGGAGAGATAATCGTGGCACTATGATAGACGCATCGATGACCGCCTGCGAGGCGCCTCCAGAGATTCGACCAGTATTCTCTGATTCTGCTTCAGCTCGTTGGCGTCACCGTTGTCCGAGCCGAGATTGCTGCTTCGAGGCCAATTGCGAACAAAACCAGCGCTGTTATCAGGGAGATACAGACGCTCATGGCGAATTTTAGAACCTTAAGAGCGAGTTTATAGTACCAGTGATCAAAACCCGATTCTGAAAGTCTCAGGCAAAGTGCGCGATGATAGTTTTCGTGTTCTTCTCGCACCAATACAAGTCTCTACAGTGAAAAACAAGACAAAAATCGTAAGGCCCAACACTGAAAAGGAATCGGATCCATGAATTCTCACTTGGAACCCACCGCGATGCCGTCGAGCCTCGTCATTGAAGGTCACGTCACGATCCGGCGGATGTTTAAGGTCAGATCAACAATCGATGCATCATCGGGTAGAACACTGGCCTTTTGGCGCACTGCCATCGTCTTGTCAGCCCAACCAAGAAAATGCGGCCAGTCTTTTTCGGTGAAGAAGAGCGTTTGCATGACACAATCGACGGCCAAACCGCGAGGAGACCTCAGGCCTCTCATAGCCATTCGAAAAGGCGGTGGGGAGACGACCGACGTGTTTGACGGAGGCAGTTCGAGCTTGGAGATGATTCTCTTGGACTCAGCGACAATTTGTCAGTTGTTTAACTCCAGCCCCTACACGCTCCAAGACCCGAGCTGCAGCACTTCGAGGATGGAAAAGAGCGGCGGTTGTTGACGTTTCGCCACTACAGTCGAGCTATTTATCACATGAATAACTTAGCGTCAGAACGATCCCCTGGAGCGGATAGCACTCGTCTGCGAGGAAATCGACCGAGCGGTGAAGGCGTATTATGAGCCTGCTGACTCCCGACATTCGCCCGAGGACTTGAACGTGTACGTGATTTGAGTAAAGAGTGCTTCATTCACTTTGGGTTGCTGTCGATTATCGAGCTGACTTTCGTGTGTTGGTATTTATTGCGCTTTTCAGAACGACTGAGGATCTGTGCGCGCTACTAAGTTTTATCCTCATATCGGCACCGTCTTCATGTTTACACGTATTCACGCAGTTTGGGCTGTTGGGCAGCTTTATCTCACCGTCGAATGCCAACGGACGGGAAGGGTTTGCTCTGGCTGCCTACAGTACAGCACCTCATGCAGCTGCGGTGACTAAATTTGAAGTGCGATTCAAAAGAGTTTAGTTGACTACGGAAGCCTATCCACTACTGTAGTAGTTCTCTATATACGTACCCAATATCGGGCCAAATGGCAACGAAAGCAAAGGTTACTTCAAGTAGATTAGCAGCCCGAAGATTGCACGGGTAGAAATGATTAGAAACCAAATGAACTGGATTATCGTACACTCCGCTGGCTTCAAGCAACCACTAGGTTGTTACAATTCACGTATTTTTATTTTTTAATTCAGTTGAGCGGATGCTTGAAATTTTGCGTCAGTGCGCTTGGCTAGACTTGCGTGGAAGATGCGCATTTTTTCATTCAGCGACATCCCGTCCGTCCAAAAGTCTTTAAAAGTGTCTTCTTCACGCTGAATCCATTTTCTGTCGATCGCTCGCATTCGCGCTAGGTGGGCGTGCAGGTTTAAGCAGCGGTTGTAGGGACGCTCAAGAACCTAGAAGTGCAGTGATCGACCGTCGATATCTCCGAAGGTAGTCTGGATATCAAAGTTCCATTCCGGTGCCTATTCACTTTGGAGTAGAAGTTCCTGCTGCTCCTCGTCTAGTTTGTCGAATAACCGCTGTACCAGCAGCGATTTATCGAAAACTTTCAAGTGGAGCTGGCCAGTGCTCTCGCGGTAGATAAAGCTAACTTTACGCTGCTCAAACGCATCCTTCAGAGGCTTAAACAGCAGCAGTCCATTCAGGACATCGTCAATGTCGTCGATATCGACCACGCTCTCAGCAAGGTGCTCCACGCTTCGAGGAAACAAGTGAACCGCCAAGCCGGCAATGCAACGTTCAGCAGCATACACCGCAGCATCCCGTCTTCCTCGCCGCACTTGTATGTCCTCACCAGACTCGTCTTAAATTGTCTATCCTCCTCAGGTGGCGATGAAGTCCGACAGTGCCACAGCTCGCGCAAGACGTCGCCCACATACCTCTCCAATAGAATATCGTCAAGTGATCGCTTTGGGAAATCCACCAAGGCGTGGATTTGATCCCAAGTTGGAGCTAGCTCCCCGATCATACCTAAAGACGTGAGCCACTCGCCAATGGGGGCGACGCCATCCAGCTCCAGATCTTCCTTCAGCATTTCTTCGACTTCAGGCGTTCTTTCCCCATTTTCCAGTAGCTTCACTAGTTCGTCATTAGCTCCCAGCCAGCGTCCGTTCTTGATGGCGGGATAGATTCGCAGCTCGTCGGCTCCCGCCAAGATAACGTCGGGCTTGCCTTCCTTGAGTGCATTCTTCACATCACCCCCCAGCCAGCTAAATGGTATTGAAACTACAATGGGCTCGGATTTGACCCCGAGGAGCATGCATGCGAGAAATGGCATGTCGTCTGCCGCGACCTGTCTAGTTGTTCAAAAGGATACTGCTGACTAGCTAAGAAATAAGCATTGAGATTGATGTACTCAGACAAAGGAGGAATGAATTCAACATGATAGGCATTGCAGCGAGCTTCGTTCCAGCCGAAGATGTTACATCGGCTTGCACACGTGATAGACTCTTCGAATTATGCAGTGGTTAAAGCCACGAGATTGGCCGTACCGGTAGCTCGGCGCTGCGGAACAAAGGGTACCGGTCGTGATATTAATAATCCCCCAACAGGTTGAAGGTCTAGCAACTGTTATTTCTGTACATGTACTAAAAATTAGGGTCACTTATCCTACGTACTTAACGATTTGATCATTTGATTACAATATTTGGTCATTTGCTCCACTCGGATCAAAGTATGATAATCACAGCTTTAGTCCACTAGGATCAAAATTTGACCTCCTCAATTTTAGTCCGGTGCTCACCATTCCGGACCAATTTCCGCATCATGGCGCTCGCCGATGACGATGAGCGCGGCGTCGCGTCCTTCTCGCTGCCCGCGAGCCCCACAGGCTCCGAGCCCATGTCCATGTGGGTAGAGGACGCGGACGGCGAGCCGCGCGTGCACCTGTCGCCTTCGTCATCTCCTTCCTCGCCCCCCGCCGTCTCCAGCCACGCGCCCGACTTCCCGCTCGTGCTCTGGGGCAGCCATGACCATCACTCTGAGCTGCCGCGCACGTCGTCGGCCATCGTCCCGTTCCAGAAGCTGCGGCTGGACACGAACCTGAACCAGACGACGCTCCCGTTTAGGCTGCAGGACGGCTCTCCGCGCTCCGGGACGAGCTCGGCCAGTCTAGGATCGCCAGGATCCTCCGCAGGCTCGGAGAGTCCCGGCTCGTCCTCCAGGAAGTCGGCGACGCAGCAGTTGGCCAGCGGATTTCTAGGCCTGGAGACGGACTCGCAGGCCAGGACGGCGCAGATGTCGCAGGACTTCATGAACGCGCTCAGGCTCGGAGACCTCACGCAGCAGGACGAGCCGCAGCTGTCCGTCCGCCTGCGCGGCAGTCGCGTGGAGCTGGCGTCGGCCTCTGAAGAGGAGCAGGTGGATTTTTTAGGCCCCGCGGAGAACATCAAAAGGCTGTTCAAGCTGCCGTACTCGCAGTCCAGAGTGTCTTTGGCGGTGCATCGTGTGGGCAGCACGCTGGTGGTGGATGGGGAGCTGGACGAGAACGACCTGCCCGCGGGCTTCGAGGACATGCCTCAGGACACGCTGCAGCTGGCGCAGCAGTCCGAGGAGACGACGCAGAGATTATTGTACGAGAAGTTCATCTATGAGAGCACGGTGAACAGCCAGCTGCCGCCCTCGGAGAGTGAAGCTGTGGGGGAGAAGGAGGAGGAGGTGGTGGAGCGGAGGACGGAGGCGAAGAAACAGGGAAAGAATGCCAAGAAGGCGAAGAAAGCGAAGCAGAAGAAAGCAGCAGCGAAGAAGGCGGGCGATAAGATGGAGTTACTGCCAGCAGCCGAGCGGAAGGAGGTTCGTGAGGATGTTGGGGTGCCACCGTCGATTGTTGGTCTGGATTCGACGTGGACGACAGTTGCGGGATCTAACACTGGGGAAGTGAAGGAGGGCGCTGAGGTTGCAGCTGCTCAGGAAAGAAGTGATCATTCGAGTGATACGTCGTCGAGCAGCCAGCAGAAACCTGCGCCCTCGTTCGTCCCGACCGAAACCAATTGGTTTACCTCTACTGCGCAGCACCCTCCAGCATATGGAGGAGACTCACAAACATTCCAGCGTATTCTGAAATGGAAGTTTAATGACCTCAAAATGGTACGTGCAGCCTGCCCGAGTTGAATATTGGCCCTGCAAGCTAACAGTAACTAATTATGCTGCTTCCAGATTCTAGGCAGTCAAGTCCTTTTGTTTAGCAACCAGGAACACCCCGCTGTTTCGCTCAAGCTTCACGATATGGACAAGGAGTTGTCTCTGTGTACTGTGCTCGACTATTACTTAGACAATGTTATCGCCAACATCCCGGAGCTGGCAATCTGTATGCATTCAAAGGGACTCGTCCGTGGGTACAAGCTTGTGGAAACCCGGCAAATCCCGTACATGTCTGGCACGGGTCGACCATTGTTTGATGTCCAAGATGTTAGCATGAACGCGTCGATGCTGCTGAAGTTCCTGCAAGAGAATTGTTCCAGACCCAATGGCACGTATTGGCTTCATCGAAAGGAAGGCGAAAGTTCTCTGCGGCTCTACGATGTGGATGTTCTATCGCAAGGAAATCAACTCAAGTGGAAGTATATGATGGCGATGCTGTGCTATCGGTTCGCAGCTCGAGCATCGAGACTGGCGAACTCTCTCGCAGCAGGGACGCCGCACCTGCAACAGCAGTTGCAGCAACGTCAGCGTGAGCTGTTGCGCACGTGCATGAATTTACTTGGAGAAATTGCTCAAAAGGGTGGAACGGCGCATAGCTCCATCTGTTCTTCGGTCAGCGAGCAGCTCGCAGACACGTATCTTCGCGAGTGCAACCAATTTCACTCCACCGACTCAGGGTCTGGGGATTCAAATCGAGAAGCAGCCATCGAATCTCTGGAGAAGGCTAAACAGTATTTGCAGGCAAGCATTCGACTGTTCGAGGAGTGCATACCGAAGGAGTCGGCTGCAGTATTGACCCATAGTGACGATGGCAACAACGACGCAATCGAAGGGGAAGGAGAGCTAGCCCCAGGGGATGAAGAAGATGATGGCGAAATGGGCAGCTTCATGGACGAAGAATTAAACCGGCTGCAGCTGAAGTTTAGTTCTGCGTGCCTTGAACTGGGACAGCTTTATGCTGGTAGCCAGAAATGGGTTGATGCTGTGAAGTGCATTTTGGAGGCATGCCAATTCTTGCCTCTGAGCTCGACTCCCGACGACGTACAGCCACTTGATTTATCTTCCTCGAAGCAGGACTCACCGGTTGACGCTTTACTTGGAAAGTTGGACTTTGATGGCGTTGGACGGGGAGGATTTTCACAAGGCAAGATTCCAATTTGCGTTTCAGGAGCAGAACTTCGTTGCTCGTTACTGGGTCTGATCGGCGATATTTGCGCCCAGAAACCTCTGGAAGTGTACGGAGCGTTGACAGCTCTGTACGACATCATTTCGGGTGTAAAGAGGGATCTGCTGTCTAGCTTATCGGGCAACGAATCCGACATCTTGGAGACATTGAGAGATAATGACGAACGTTTGGACCCTGAGGCGATTACTAGCAGAGGGGAAGGCCTAATGACGCTGTCCTTCCTGGCTTATTTGCGGGCGCTGTCGCCACCAGCGGATTCCGAGCTCTACTTGTACGTACTTCATCGCCCATCTGCTACGTAAAATGGTGTGGACTAACGGTATGATTTGTTATGCTTTGTGTAGCCTGCTGATGAAAAAGCTTGGTAATGCAAGCAACGAGCTGGGGAAATATTTCCTTGCGGCAAAGAGGGACTATCAAGAAGCCTTTAGATGGTTTGACCGCGGCTGCAAAATCTTTAGCGATATCGAAGGTACAGCAGTTGAGTGTTATCCAGGCGGATTTTCTTTAGCCGCGGCTTTAATGCTTCCAACCTTTTTTGTCTGTGATGCAGATACAGTGAATGTGGCGCTTCTTCGAGCGAATCTGGCGCACCTTCACAAAATTTTCGCACAAGGCAAACCTGCTGACTCAAGAGAAGAGCACTACAAAACAGCTATCCAGCTTTGTACAGACGCTCTGCAACTTCTCAAGCAAAATAAAGCGGACGTGGACCTGCGCAGAAAAGTGAAAGGTGAATTGGCCCTGACCTATCTGGTGTGGGCGGTGGATATGGCAAGCCACATATCGTCCAAGAACCCAGCGAAGTATTCCTCTTCGAAGACTCAGGAAAACGAAGCACTGAAGATTTTCAACAAGGCGCTGACGCTGTACGCAGAGCTGGGTGACCAGAAACAGGTTGCTTCGACCCACTACCAGATTGCTTCGTTCTACAGTCGCATGATCTCGAATACGCTGCAAGCCCGTGCAGAGAGTTCGTCTGCGAACGAGGTTGATGGGTCCTCGACGACGCTGGCAAACCGAATGGAGATTGCGAGGCGTCACTATGAAAAAGCTTTGGACTATTTCGCTGCGTTGGAGCTGGGCAAAACGTTCGTGCTGATCCACCAAGAGCTGGCAGATCTGCACATCCTTGGGGGTCGCGTGGAAGGTGTCGAACATGCGCTGCTGATCTTGTTGAGCACATACGAGGCGTTCAATCACGCATCTGCCAGGGACTCGAAGCTCGAGAAGGAGGAGATGGCGGCTTTAGCTCGCGAAATTGTGTCCAAGGTCAAGACGGTGCTGCACCAACTGATCAGACTGAGCTCTGGTGGACGCTCCAACAACGTGCACACCAAGACCAAGAAGCTGGAGATGTTCAAGAAGATGTACAAAGAGGTGATCTACTACGATGGCTACAGCGCGGGCAGTATTGTTCCGATCTTAGGCACTCTCAGGGGTATGTATATATAACAAAGATGCGATTTACTGGGATAGGCTAGTGCTGCTATCGCAGCTCTAAATTGAATAGGGTAAAGATCGACTGGGTGACGTAACCCCCCCTAGTGGTAAGCAGGTATGCTTCAAAACGGTGTTGATCCACATCAGGTAGATATCATACGGCATTTTCTCTTGTTGATTCAATTTCGAGAATAGAGCGGCGTGCTTTTTGATAACCTTCGTATCGTCGCGTGAAAACGTAAAAACTTTAGCCAGGGATTGCCCAGTTGACTCTCTCTTCGCTGTCCTCATCGACGGTTCGAAGCAGTCTCGAGCCTTCAGGTATCGCTGCATCGGCCGACTGCGCCGCCGCGAGATGGGAGATTTTCGTCTGGTAAAAGCCTGTCGCCGTGGCACCACCCCCGCAGGCTAGAAGAGCGACAACAGCCACAAATAAAACGCTCGATAGACGCATTCTTGGTTTTCTTGTTGCAGAGCAGCCTTGAATAACGGAGAACTGAGGACTGCGTGCAGAAATGGCAAATTACACGCGTGATCGCCGACGCTGTCTGGCTCACCATCCATAGATTGTTAGGCAGTGCTCTATTAACGTTTCAGGTACCGTAATCCGAAATATGCAATCGAAGGGGAAGGAGAGCTAGCCTCAGGGGATGCAGACGATGAAGGCGAAAGGAGCAGCTTGACGGTCGAAGGCCTAAACGGTTTAGGCCAGCTGCAGACGGTTGAGACTAAACCGTCTGCAGCTGAAGTTTAGCTCTACCTTATGTGGCGAAGCGTCGTAATTTCTAGATGCCATTTTTCTAGGATATTTCTAAGAATCACATTTTAGGATTCAAATACTGTATGCTCCAAAATTTCGCTGAGTGCTATTATGGCGAGATAATACAAAAAAGCAATGCAATGAATGCTTCACGCCAGGGACTGAGTCGACGCCTTTCTTGATGGCCTTGGCTAGTGTAGCAGCATGGCCGTGGATGGAGTAGTAGATGATAGCGACGTTCGTCATGGCCCTGGTGTTTTGCCGAATGGAGCGAAATTGCTGAGTGAGCGTGGCGTCACTGGACAAGTTTGGAATGCCTACGTGGCTTACGCTTGCTGTCATTTTACGGATCACTGTTTCCGTCGTGTAGATTATGGGAATTCCAAGTTGACGTTGCAACACCTGGCAGCATACATTTTTTTAAATTAAATCGCGGACTCCGGTTTCGGTACTGTACCAAACACGTTTTTTTTTGTTTGCGCCCATGTGACTCTGGTCTCTAAACTGTATTCGTATTTGTTTGCGCCCATGTGACTGTAGCAATGTGTATCCTATAGTGCGCCCCTACCGACGTTAGAGTCCTCTGTGGCCGTGTACACCAGAGTCTACGTGATCGGAGAGCTGGAGAAGACCTTTTCTTCGAACCACCTCATTCTTCAAGCCTTTAAGACCAACAAACCCACCAAGCAACTCAAGTCTATCAACATGACCGCCAACGTCGCCATCGTCTACTACTCCACCTACGGCCACACGGCCACGCTAGCGGAGTCGATCAAGGAGGGTGTCGAGGCTGTACCTGGTGTGACGGCCACGATCTACCAGATCGCCGAGGCGCTGTCGGACGAGATTCTGGCCAAGATGCACGCGCCGTCCAACAGGGACAACCCGGTTGCCACCCCCGCAACGCTCAAGGAGGCCGACGGCATCCTCGTCGGCTTCCCCACGCGTTTTGGCGTGTTCCCTCAGCAGGCGAAGGCTCTGATAGACGCGACCGGCCAGCTGTGGTTTGGCGGTGCGTTGGTGGGCAAGCCCGCCGGCACCTTCTTCAGCACGTCGCTGCTGGGCGCTGGCCAGGAAACGACGGCCCTGTCGGCGGTGACCTTCATGGTCTCGCATGGTATGACGTACGTCCCGCTCGGATACCGCGCGAAGGAGCTTTTCAACGTGGAGGAGATCCACGGCGGCTTTCCCTGGGGTGCTGGCGCGATCGCCGGTCCTCAGAGCGACCGTCAGGTGTCGAAGCTTGAGAAGGACATCGCGGTGACTCAGGGCAAGTCGTTCGCCGAGGTGGTGAAGAAGATGTCGGCTTAGACTCGTGGAGTGGAAACCGTGATGACATTGACCTCGCTCTGAGAGATAGTAGATAATGACAATAGATCGGCCATGCATTAATCACAGTAACACAGCTGTGAGAAATCTGTAGGTAAGAGGGACCTGGGTTGGCCAGCTCCTCCGCTGCGGTACTCGAACCTGATCCACACCAATGATGGCAAATAGGCGTCGTTTGTCAACAGCTACTAAACTTTGCACCAAATACTACAACGAGTGCAATTCGTTATCCCAAACGTACACGACACATGTCGAACGCCTTCATCAATACTATGTTTAGGACTTTGAAAGTGTACTCTGTCTTGCAAGAGCATGCCCTTTAGGGTGTGCAACGCCAACATTCGGCATGGATACAATCGGAGATCTGAATTGGCGGCGGTTCAGTCAGTCAGCGGTGATGAAACTTACGTCTGGTCGACCGAGGTTGCCATGCTTAAGCTCCATGTACCGAGTGCCCGAGGTCTTACTAACGTGGTTGACATTGCAGTCCCGTTCGAACGGTAGAACGCGGCGTAACATGTCGTACAGTACTTGCTAGCAGCGGGAAGGCGGAGTAGCCCGTCATAGTGCCGTTATTTAACACAGATGCGTAAGGCGCCAAGCTTCGTACTCGTTCGTGCACAGTGCAGTGAGTGCTCGTGCAGTAGGGGCGCGACCCATTCTCGAAGAGTTGACCCTTTCTAGATTGTTTCTAGAACCATGGTAGGAGTCAGAATCTGTATGATCCAAATTCTCGCTGCGCGTTCGCCCCTTCTATTCGACAACATTCCAGACGGCCCGTCCATCACCGCTTAAGTTGAAGTGGAAGATCGCCAGGCGCCAACTGCCAGCCAACGACCATCGGCCGGCGCAGTTCACGCCCCCAACAGGACACTCACTTACAAATTTGCCAACGCGCACACACGCACAACCCAAGGCCACAACACACAACCAAGCCAAACCATGTTCAGCTCGTGGGACCTCGTCCGACCGCGCTTCTGGTACCCCATGTCGTCGCTGGAGCAGTCCATGATGGAGCTAGAGCATATGGCCGACGTCATGACGCGCTCGCGCTTCCCCTTCGATGCGGGCAGCGAGATGCTGGCGGCGCCCAGCAACCTGGACGACGACGACTTCTTCCGAGACCTGCCCGTGCTGGCGCGCGAGCAGCGGCCGGCGACGCAGCACCGCCGAGTCGCAGCAGCGCAGCCACAGACGCAGGCACAGACGCAGACGCAGCCCAAGACCCAGTCCGATACGACGTCTGCCCGTGACAACGACCCCAATAAGGCCAACAGCGCCAAGCCCACGGTCGATGTGAAGACCACGCCCAGCAGCTCAGCCCGCGGTGCCAGCGGTGAACAACAGGCACAGCACGCGACGGAGCGCGCCGGCAGCAACGACGCAGACAACCAGCAGCACCACCACCACCACCAACGCGCCTTCTCGTCCTACTCGTTCAGCAACTCGTCCATCGTGGACGACAAAGGCCGGCGTGTGACGAGCACGCGCCGCCGCTACGAAGACTCGACGGGGCGTCTCAAAGCCGTGCACGAGCGCCAGATCGAAGGCAACAAGCTGCGCACCACGTGGAACCGCATGGGCCCGGACGACGACGGCCGCACCGAGGCCGTGTGCTCGACCGGCACGCCCGAGGAGTTCGAGGCGCTCTGGCAGCAGACCCCGTTCGGCGAGGCGCAGAAGAAGACCATCAAGCAGCAGCAGCAGCACCAGCACCAGCAGCTGGAACAAGGACAGCAAAAGCAGGAGCACGCGCCCCAGGCCAATTCCAAGTCGAAGGCCGATGCTGAGGCCGAGCCGACGCCGACGCCGATGGAGGAGTAAGGGGAACAGTCCAACAGGCCTGTGCAGCCGAAGCGATTGCGAACCAAACTGACAACGGGCACACAGTTCGGTGTGCAAACCTCGTCAACTACGAGTCGAAGTCAAGGTGGAGTTTGATGTTGCTATCCACAGCAGTAGGTTGTATGTAGATCCAGGCCGGCCGGCACCACTCTATCGTAAGAAGCTACTAAAATAATACCAACTACAGTTTATGTTGAAAGTGTCCTCTGTCTTGCAAGAGCATGTCCTTTAGGGTGTGCAACGCCAACATTCGGCATGGATACAATCGGAGATCTGAATTGGCGGCGGTTCAGTCAGTCAGCGGTGATGAAACTTACGTCTGGTCGACCGAGGTTGTCATGCTTAAGCTCCATGTACCGAGTGCCCGAAGTTTTGTTAACGTCATCGCTGTTGTTTGGCGTTCGAACAGTACTATGCGGTGACAGGGCGTAGCATGTCGTATATGCTCAGGATAAACAAATGCAAACATTGGACACATCAGCCTTTGATGTAAGGTTATGCGCTAGTGTTAAAAGATTTCTCTTACCCATAGGTGGTGTGCGTCAGGTGCGAGTTTTCGCGACGATGGAGCTGCACATGCAGCTCTGCTTGCGTGGTAAGTGCATGGCCCATCTATTGTCGTTATCTACTATCTCTCAGAGCGAGGTCAATGTCATCACGGTTTCCACTCCACGAGTCTAAGCCGTCATCTTCTTCACCACCTCGGCGAACGACTTGCCCTGAGTCACCGCGATGTCCTTCTCAAGCTTCGACACCTGACGGTCGCTCTGAGGACCGGCGATCGCGCCAGCACCCCAGGGAAAGCCGCCGTGGATCTCCTCCACGTTGAAAAGCTCCTTCGCGCGGTATCCGAGCGGGACGTACGTCATACCATGCGAGGCCATGAAGGTCACCGCCGACAGGGCCGTCGTTTCCTGGCCAGCGCCCAGCAGCGACGTGCTGAAGAAGGTGCCGGCGGGCTTGCCCACCAACGCACCGCCAAACCACAGCTGGCCGGTCGCGTCTATCAGAGCCTTCGCCTGCTGAGGGAACACGCCAAAACGCGTGGGGAAGCCGACGAGGATGCCGTCGGCCTCCTTGAGCGTTGCGGGGGTGGCAACCGGGTTGTCCCTGTTGGACGGCGCGTGCATCTTGGCCAGAATCTCGTCCGACAGCGCCTCGGCGATCTGGTAGATCGTGGCCGTCACACCAGGTACAGCCTCGACACCCTCCTTGATCGACTCCGCTAGCGTGGCCGTGTGGCCGTAGGTGGAGTAGTAGACGATGGCGACGTTGGCGTTCATGTTGATATGCTTGAGTTGCTTGGTGGGTTTGTTGGTCTCGAGGGCAATTGAAGAATGAGACCAACTGAAGTGAAGGTCTTGGCCAGCTCTCCGACCTTGTAAACGCTGGTGTACGTGGTCAGGGGCGTACTACCTGTACATGTATGTACCTTCACACGTAAACGAACCCGATTATGGAGACCAGTACCCGGTGCTGCCGCGTAAACTTGCAATCCCCATCACCTTTCTTTGATAGTATGCAGCACACGGGAGCGGAACCGTAATACGACGGCAACCGTAAGCCACTTACGTATTCTTTAGCTAATAGACCAGTGACGCCACTCTCACTCAGCAATTTCACTCCATTCGGCAAAATACCAGGGCCGTGACGAACGTCGCTATCATCTACTACTCCATCCACGGCCATGCTGCTACACTAGCCAAGGCCATCAAGAAAGGCGTCGACTCAGTCCCCGGCGTGAAGGGCACCATTTACCAGGTCGCCGAAACTCTGAGTGAGGACATCCTCGCCAAGATGCACGCGCCGCCCAAACTGGACCACCCCATCGCCACGCCTCAGACACTCAAAGAGGCTGACGGAATTTTGTTCGGATACCCCACGCGCTTTGGCGACTTCCCCGCTCAGGCCAAGACTCTTTTCGACTCGACCGGCCAGCTTTGGGCTGCCGGAGACCTCATCGGCAAGCTCGGAGGCGCCTTTGTCAGCACGTCGCTCCTAGGAGCTGGTCAGGAGACCACGCAGCTCATGACAATGGCCTTCATGGTCTCACACGGAATGACCTTTGTCCCGCCCGGCTACCGTGCCAAGCAGCTTTTCAACGTGGACGAGGTCCACGGTGGATCTCCGTGGGGCGCGGGCACTATTGCAGGGCCCGACAACTCTCGCCAGGTGTCGGCGCTCGAGAAGGAGGTTGCTGTGGAGCAGGGCAAGTCGTTCGCTGAGGTCACGAAGAAACTGTCAGCTTAAGAGTTTACTCTCAACAAGTGAGGACAGCACAATATTACGTTACATTTCCATCTTGCTGCGTGCCCCGAATTGGAAATCGTTGTATTATGTCGGGCCGATGGGTCATGCTGCTAGGCGGGTTAATTCGCGCCTCGGTAACTGAAGCCGGTAACTGAGGCCGGTATCCGTGGTCCCGTGTCACTATCTGTCTTTCTCTTGGTGACCCGGTTACTGATGCTGGTAACTGAGGCATTATCACCGTTGCGCCCGTGATGAACTGAGCATGACTTCCGCATTTCGAATTCGGCCTACCCGCTCAGATGGGTGATGCCGTACCTACCTATCTACACGCTTCCTGCCTCGCGAGCTACAACGATTGCCGTAATAGCACCACCAAGGCCCCCTGGCGACTAGGACAGCGCAAATGTTGCTGCAAACCTTTTCCTGTCTCCTTGCCAAGATATGAACTGCTGCACGTGCGAAACTAATGCATTGAAAGATAAGTGCGGACAAGTTTTTTTTTTACTGAAAAGTGTAAATGCAGCTATAAGATAGAAGCGACACTCAATCTATGTAGTATTGTGCGTTTCATGCATTGGCGGAGACGACTTATATAATATATATCGTCGATATATATATAATATATTGACGATTTAGAGGACGACATGTACGGGATTACGTTTCAGTGATATGAAAGAAGAATTGCCAGAAGCGCAACGAGCTAATGGTGAAAAGCAACGAATGAATGGTTGGTTGAATCATCCACCATACGTTTTCGCAACTCGCCAAACTGCAAGTTACTTGTTAGATAGTTTCTCAAAGCAGTATTTGTATACAGCAACGGAAAAATCATGTGCTATGAACCGTACTATGGGGAATAGTTTCCTCTCGAAGCGCCAAGTACTTGTAAGTACAGCAGAATGCTAAAGACACTCTGCTGTTTCTTCAACCCATGGCATTAATGCAATGATCTCAAACCAAATTCGTGGAGACTGACTGTTCTACACATTAGAATATCCCCCAACCAGCGAGGCGTTCATAGTGTCCCTCTGTGGCGTAGATCAGCACTTTGACGTGGTAAGTTCTGGCCGTGACAACTAATTTGTGCTTTGCCACCGGAACGACTGGCGAGGACGAGATGACGCTCGAATCCTATGGCTAATGGTGCTGACACAAAAAGGCAGCCGCACGGCTAGCGCGGCAACATCAACTCCAGCACGCAAGACCACTCTAACGCCACGACCGCTGCGAACGACTAGTTTTCAAGTTGGTAGGAGTGTCTGTGACGCGCGTCTCGTCGACTAGAAGACGTGGCCACGCTACCAAGTGTAGCATATCGACGTAAGTATGTAGGATATCAACATATTGACAGATATGATAGCAGTGTTGCACATCTTGCGACGCCAACAACTTCAGGGCCCGAAAATGACAAGACATGCTAAAATGCTGCATTTACTAAGAACTTATATAATCCGCCAGAATTTTCATAAAGGTATCACTCACGAAGCCGTCTGGGTTCATAGCGCTTCTTATCACTTGCTAGGCATCACTTGCTAGGCAAACGAAGCGGTGGATAGTTAAACTTCCAGCGATCGTAGTAGCGGTCGGATTCCTCTTTGATTGTCGTGATTTGCCCCCGGATGTTGGCGAAGTATGTCGTTGGTAGTCGTGAGACGAAACCAATTTGATCAGACTACCGTGCCCCTCCAGATAGAGCATACTATTTGGTGCCAAAAACCTTGGTTGCTCCCGTAAAATTGCTATCCCAGCCTAAGCGTAGCCCTAGTCTCTAAAATGTTGAAGCCTCAACCTCAACCTAACTCTTAGTTGATCCCGAAAAGCTTCATCACCCACTGGCGGAATTTCCAATACGCTCTCTTGACGCTCTCTGGTATCTTGGGCGGGTTTCTGAAGCGAAATGGCTGGCTCTCGGCGCTGGTGCCTGGTGATCCGTAAGCGTGAGTTGTTCCCGATACCCCTCCTCGTCTCCCTCTTTCCTCTTCTGAAGCTACGATGTCAGATAGTTTCCGTTGCTCAAGCTTGGTAATATCCGTCGTAATTATCGTAGACGTGTCATTAGCAACGACATTGGTGGCGGCCGCGTCCGAGACACAAATTGCTACCAGAGCGAGCATTATGGCCAACACGAAGAGGCCCTGGCGCATCGTTTCTTGGTTCCAGCTGGAGAGGTGAGATAAGTTATTGGGTGCAAATTACGAAGTGATGAGACGATTACACGGAGGCTGATGATCAAAAGTTTGCTGCGGCCAAATACCAAAGGCACTGAGTCAGCATCCACCACCCAGTGCACAAGACACTGTAACCATTTGGTTTCTAATCATTCATACCCGTGCAATCTTCTGGCCTGTAATCTACTTGAAGTAACTGTTGTTGTCGTTGCCATTTGGCTCGTATTGAGAGTACCAAGATGCACATTCACTTAATGGTTAAGGGATTATGGATCGGCTATCGTAGTCAACTAAACTCTTTTGAATCGCACTTCAAATTTAGTCACCGCAGCTGCATGAGGTGCTGCACTGCAGTCGTGCAGGCAGCCAGAGCAAACCCTTCCCGTCCGTTGGCATTCGACGGTGAGATAAAGCTGCCCAGCAGCGCTAACTGCGTGAATACGTGTAAACATGACGACGGTGCCGATACCAAGATAAAACTTAGTAGCGCGCACAGATCCTCAGTCGTTCTGACAAGCGTAATACATATCAATGCATGAACGTCAGCTCGATAATTCACAGCAACACAAAGTGAATGAAGCACTCTTTACACAATCCACGTACATGTTCAATTCCTTGGGCGAAGGTCGGGAGTCAACAGGTTGTAGTTTGTAGTACGCCTTCACAGCTCGGTCAACTTCCTCGCAAACGAGCGCTACCCGCTCCAGCTTGGTGATCGGGGATCGTTCGGACGCTAAGTTGCTCATGTGGTAAATGGCGGCATTGTAGTGGCGCAACGTCAACAACCGCCGCTCGTTTCCATCCGCTAGTCGATCTTGCTGCTGCCAACTCCCATCAAGTCGGAACACGGGCTTCACCTCGAAGTACTCGAGTGCATTTGTGCGGCATAATTCAGCGACGTCCTCCACTAGCGCGTCTTCTCGCTGGAAAGAGGCGACGTACAGACCATGAAGTGCCGGCTGCAGCGCATCAAAGAGCGCGGCGAGAACGCTCTTCTGAACGACCTTGCGTTGCATCTCCCCGGGCTGCACGAATGGGTACTTGAACATAACAACCTGCGCCAGAATCGCCGCAAACTGGGTCACGTCCGCGGCCACCAGAGGCAACGCGCACGTGACTCTGTCCACCGAGACCCCTGCGCGCACTCCGGACCCCTGCCCTCCGTACTGCAGCAAGCCCGCATAACAGCCTCGGAAAATGTTGGCGAAGGCCTGCAGCAAGTGCCGGAGCGAGTGGTGCACGGGCGTCTTGGCCACCGTCTGGCCGTTGCGCTGCGGCGCAGTCAGCACCAAGATGCCGTGCAGGTGGCGCTGGATCGCCGCGTCTCTCTCGCCCTCCCGCGGGCCCGTCAAGTACTTCATCTGCTCCTCGAACTGCTCGTCGGCCGCGCGACTCAAATAGTCCCGCTCCTGCACCGGCAGCTCCTCCAGCAGCCTCGTCCACTGGACGCTGGCGTCGACCCCAAGTTGAAGTTGCCGCGCGCTCTGCTCCACCACAAACTGCAGCTTGGTCGTCATCTGAGACGTGGCAATAAGCTCTCCCGCTCTTCGTCTACAACTTCAGCTTCGGCTTCGTCAGCATTGACACTCTGCTGTTGTTGCTGCTGCTGTTGTTGTTGCAGCTGCTCGAACTGCAGCACCAAGGCGTCGAGACTGTAAGCGACTGCGGCTTGTCTGGCGGCCGTGAGCTCCCTCACCAGGGCGTTGCGTCTCTCCAGCCGCGCGTCTTCCTCTGCTAGGAACTGCAGCTGCTCGGGGCTCAGCAGCTCCTCGTCGCTGCTGCTGGAGAGCGGTCTTGGTGCCGCTGGGATCTGATTCTGCTGCTGCTGATTCTGCTCTCGCTTCAACGTGAGACTCTGTGTCGCCTGGGCCAGCAACTGCTCCGCCACTTGCAGCGTCAATTGGTCGGTGGGCGACGGGGCTGTGGAGAGACTCAGAGACCGTCGGGAGGGCGTGTCAGAGGCGCTGGGCGGCAGGTAGGCGAGCTCATCAAGTCCACGAGCTTCTCCTCCAGGTCCATGGCGAAAGGTGATTGGAGGAGGCAGAATTAACCCTGACCTGTCAAAAAGTCGGCTACAGCAACAGGGAGAAGGGTTAAAGCGAAATGGCGGCGAGCTTGAAGCCCCGCGGGCGCCCGCCTGCGGACGGCAACTTCATCGCGTGGACGGAGCCACTGACGGCGAGTTTGCTGCGGCTGCGCTTCGAGAAGTACGCGGAGGCGATGGCGGCCGCGACCGGCACCAAGGCGCTCCGAGTGGCGTGGGCCGAGTTGGCAGCGGAGCTCACGCAGCAGAACGGCGGGGAAGTCATCAAGGTGGAGCAGTGCCGCAACAAGGTGGGGATGTAGTAGCCATTCTAGCTATTGCCGTGTGTTGGTAGTGCGAGTCGTCAAAGAGAAGTTAACCTCTCTTTCGTTATGGTTAACCTGGCATTCGAGAGCAGCTCAAGGCCCTGAGGAACAAGTGGCTCGCGTATCATGCGGGGCTGGCGTCGGAGCCTGTTTGTCTCGCTCTGATGGACAGCTTATGGGCGAGTGAGAAGAAAGAGATAGCGGCGAACAAGTCGCCTGGCCAGTCGAGACCGAGTTTGGAGGGGAGAAGGCAAGCCAAGCGGGCGAGACTGGCGTCGACGTCTTCAGGTTCAGCGGCAGAAGTGAAGATGGACGGAAATTCACTGGCCCTCATTGCTCCAGCCTCAGCAGCAGTTGCGTCAAGCTCTTTATCACCAGAAACGACGATGACAAACCAAGCTGGCACTGCTGCGTCATTGGCGACCCCAGCCCAACTATTTGATGTGGGAATGCAGGCCATCTCCCAGGGTTTCGCCGATGTTGCATCTGCTGCAGTGGAGGCTGCGAGGCCCAAAACTAGCAGCCAGTCGGTGAGTGGTAGCGATTCAACAAAGCTGGAGAAACTCATCGACGACCGCTTCGCTAAGGTGCTGGAGGCTCAAGAGAAGCAATTGCGGCTCACTGAGGTTCAGAACCAACTCTTGGCGCAGCTACTTGCGACGATGCAACGGAATCAGCACGACCAACCAAACAGTAGCGAATAAGCTTTGACTTTGAGCGCGGGCTGTTGTTCGCAGCTCAAGCCAGCAGTCCGCTACTTTGCTGTCGGTTTAATTCATTGTCAACGGGTCCGCCCCGTCAGACCACGACTCCTACATGTAAGAGAACGTTAATGGTGACAATAACGAGGCGTCCACCCTTAACAGCCCGTTAAGTTGCAGGCACAATAAACTTGCGTTAAAAAAGTTGAATCATCTCCGAAGTACTGCTGCATACTACTGTAGAATTTGCCGCACCGCTCAGCATTCTGGGTAGTGGGCATCGATCCACTGTTCTACATGACGGTACAAATGGCGTTTCTTACCCAACGAACGGGAAAGTTCCGACCGCAGGTCACCTAGAAATTGCTCGGTGAACACGTAACAGTAGCGCTGCTGAAGAAGCAGCAGCATTTCGAACGTATTCAAGGTATCCTCCATGTAGTCCGCTGACACGTGTGGAACATTCCCCCTCTGGCCGCTACGAATCTTGTACTCAGGAAAGCGCGAATGCAACCAATACACAGTGTGGGAAGTGACCAAATTTCATCGCTGCATCGATTGCCATGCCGGTGCGCGAGTCTGGAATGTTCCCGTACAGCCACTTGACCACCTCGAAATGGCCATTCGCGGCTGCCCAGCGCATTGCAATCTCCCCGCAACCCCCAGAGCGATTAGCGTGCAGCCATTGCACCACTTCCAGGTGGCCACGGCGCGCGGCGTCAATCATGGCGTCCTTTGTACAGCCCTAGGACCGATTCAGGTGAAGCCACTTGACTACATCCACGTGTCCTTCGCTCGCGGCGACATTCATTGCGTCCCCCCCCAGTTTTGCCAGGGTAAATCTCCCCCAGTAGCGGCGGCCTCAAGGGATCTCGAGAACTGCCAATGGTGGTAGTACCGGTCCGACCGCAAGAAGTTGGTCAAAGACCACCAGGGTGTCCTGTCAGCAACGCTAGTGCAGCAAGCACTCCAGATCCAGTCGAGCAATGCAATGGATCCAAACTGTCACGCTTCGTGAAGCGGCAGGTTCGGTGGAGGTCCCAAAAAGCTGGAAATGGCGTTGGTACTCTGCTCCAGCGCCTCTACAGCAGGGGTGAGGCGAAGAACGAGGTCCAGGGTCGTAAGCATGGTTTGCAGCGAGGAGAAAGAACGAGTGTGGAGAGGAAGAATGAGGAAACTCAACGCCCGTCCCAGAACTTGACGGAAAGACCAACTGGCACGTTGGGGAAGGCATTCACTAACGCCGTGCACGCTAGCGTTTCTCAAACAAATTCCTCAACTTATCCGCTCTTGCCTGTGGAAGGTCGCGATCGTTTGGATCCGAGCAATGTCAATGAGCGCTGTACGCAGGATCCGGTCGTGGAGGGTGCTGGACATCATCGCGTGGTGCCTGCTGCTGTGTGACGTGGCGCTCAGTGTAAGAACCAGTGTGTATAGCATCGCACTCCCGCTTACTTAATCTCTGACATGGTTGTTCATGTCCATCCAGACGACGACTTCCACGGTGTATTTCCACCAGCAGAGCGGTGGGTCGATCTTCGCTATCGACGGAAGAGATGGCAGCCAGACCGAACTCGAAGGCTCCAGCGACTACGCGCGCTTTGTGGGCATGGCCATCCACCGACGCAACGACCTCATCTTCTGGAGCGATGGGAGGGCTGTCAAGAGTGCAAGTGCCTTGGATGGATCGAATGAAAAGGTGGTGGTCGGAGCCCTCGTGCGAGCTGTGTGGGTGGGCACCAACTTCGGCCAGACACGAGCTGATCTGATGGAGCTCACAGTGAAAGGAACGCGATGCGTTAGTATCGTTTCCTGGTCATCCGAGCGCGTCGAATGCCTCGTCGGGCTCCCGCTACGCTACTCGCAACAGCAGACTCCGTTCGTAAGCCCAGAAGACTGCAGCATTCAGACCACCCAGGGATCCATGACAGGTTACATGCCGAGCTACAACGAGATGGTGGCTTCAGGTACCTCTGCGCCCATCGTCGAGAGGATTGACATCGATTCAAGCTACGTCCTCCCGCACGCGTTGACTATTGACGATCGTGTGGGTGAGGATTGGCTCTATTGGTCCAACTCGGTGGACGGCGCCATCTACCGCAGCAGTTTGCGGTCCACTGCCATTGAAGTACTTCAGCGCGGGTGTTGGAGCGTGCGGGGGCTGGCGTTAAACTTCCCCCAGGACGCGTCGACGGACAAATTGTCGCTCTTCTTCTCGCTTGAGTCCAAGGGCACCATCTCCAAGCTTAAACTGCCTCCTTCAAACACGTCGGTCGTCTCCGCACCGCCTGCTCGAGTGGTTTTAAGAGGCCTGAGGTCTCCGCGTGGTTTGGTCGTCGACTCTACCATGCAAATGCTCTTCTTCACCGAAAAGACTGGCCGGATTTACCTGGTTGAGCTGGACAAGACGATGACAGCGCGTCAAAAGGCCAGTGTTCTACCCGACGATGCGTCAATTGATGCGCTAGGGGTAAATGTCCGCCGGGTCGTGACGCAACCATCAATGACGAGGCTCGACGGCATTGCAGTCGACACCAAGTGAGGATTTTGTCATTGCTCATCACCTCTGCTACTGTCGAGTCTGACGATTTCTTTGTATTTCACTGTAGATACTTGTACTGGTGTGAGACGAACACGAACGTCGTCGCGCGCGCTTCGCGTCGAGATTTTCAGCGCCAGGTTTTGGTCGGTGGCACTGCGAACTCGCTCCTCAGGTGAATTGGTTCGTCCTCAGGCCCTGTCTTCCCTCTCTAATGGTCATGGCTTTGTTTGTAGCTGGCCCCGCAGCATCGTTCTCGGCTCGGACGACGGCGACGTCAACGAGCAGACACAGAGCAACTACTACTCAGAGTATACGGGTCGGATCTCCAGAGGCGCTTCGCAGTCGGTCGTTGTCAATGCACTGAGCGCACCATCAATGCACTATCTCGACAACCTAGTGCAGCAATCCACTCTCCAAGGTGGAGACAACCACATCTACTTCTACGCGCTGGAGTAGAACAGAGCTCAGAACTCAAGTGTGTGTGGAAGTTGGTGGACGGCTTCAATTAGCAGCTAATTATTAGCTAGACGCAGGCAAGATCCTGAAGAAAGTTATCCGTTGACACGTCTCTAAACCTGTTCGTGTTTTCAAAGCAATGTATGCCGCATTTAACCACAGCGCATGCATGCGATCCTGCTCCTCCTGATCGCATGATGGATCAACCTTGCTGCCAAAGCCTGTCAATCAGTGTTCACTTTTCAATTTGCAAACATCCCAACTCATCCAGACCAAACCCAACCCAAGCAAGATGCTGACCGTCTCCAAGGCTTCGCTGGCGCTTTTGCTTGTTGCTGCTGCCACGGTTTCTTCGGACGCGGACAACCTTCGACACGACTCGCGGCAACTCGCGGCGACCTATTCAACGACGAGCCAGTATGCGTCTGGAATGCTGGCGCTGGTGAACGCGCAACGAGCTGCTTATGGTCTCTCGCCTCTCTGCTTGAACACCAAGCTTATGGCCGCTGCAATGCGCCACTCGAAGGACATGGCTGCCTACAACTTCATGAGCCACACGGGCTCCGACGGATCCACGATGTCGTCCAGGATCGATGATGCTGGGTACATGTGGACCAGGGCAGCGGAGAACGTCGCGGCCGGCCAGACGACCATCAGCTCCGTCATGACGTCGTGGATGAATTCGGCGGGCCACCGCGCTAACATTTTGGGGGACTACACCATGTTCGGTACCGCGTACGCCTACAACAGCGGCAGCAGGTACCGTCACTACTGGACGCAGGACTTTGGCAAGGGCAGCACCGAGAGATGCAGCCACGAGGACGCCGAGTACAACGAAACTTCGACAGCGAATATGACCGAGTCAGCTGAAGTCTCGTTCGAAGACGTGAAGCAAGGATCCACCGCTCTCATCCCAGCGGAGAGCGCTACCGCTGTGCCAGCGAACAACGCAACCCTATAAAACGCTACGACCAAGTCAATGAAAGGGTATCTACTGTACATTGATCTTCCAAACCTCGTTCTGTATCTGCATACGCTAGATCCAGAAGCACCAGCATCCGGTGCAAGTGACGACTCTCACCGTTATCTCCTTTTCATCTCTACGCCGGTGGTGGCCCATTTCAGGTTCACTCCACGAATCTTCCTCAGTTGACTCGGGACTGAAGTCGTGCCCCGTACTCGTCCACGGGATGTCGTTGTCGTCGTCGATGTCGTCGTTGCCCCCGCGCCCGAAAACTTGCGTCCACGAGTGCTTGTACTTGCTGGCGCGGTTGTACGCGTACGCTGCGCCGAACACCGTGTAGTTGCCCAGAATGTTGCGGCGGTGGCCTGGAGACTTCATCCAGGAATCTACGACAGCGTTCACGTTCTTCTGCCCCGCAGCCACGTTCTCAGCGACAGCACCACCCGTGAATCCAGCTTCAGCAGCGCGTTGGGCCATCCTGGACCCATCGGAGCCTTGGTGGCCCATGAAATTGTTCGCAGCCATGTCGTCCGCCTGGCGCTGGGCTGCCGCTTGTAACTTGCTGTGCATACGCAGAGGCGGGAGGTTCTTCGTTGCGCGCTCTTGGTTCACGCGCTCCAGCATGGAAGCGAGGTAGTCCTTGGGCTGCATTCTTGGATGAAATAGGCTGGTACGTACACTAACTGGATCGTTATCTGGTTAACAGCGGAAATGCGCGAATAAAAGCTAGCAAGTACAACGACTAGGGGCCTTCTGCTCTAAGCGTGGGCGGAATGGCTTTGGGTGGCGCGAGAAGTAATGTCACACACACGCTTCATCTCCGAACTGTTCGGCACGCTTTTGAGCCCCGGCAAGGGGGTCTTTTAGGCGGATCGGCTCAGTCTTCCGCTGCCCACGATCACCGCAGAAATGCTTCGGTGCAGCAGTACAGGTCGGATCTGCCAATACCGTAATGCCTAGGTCGAAGATACGCGCATTACAGACGTGATATCTGCCTCGAACATGGCTCCACCCCGATACAAACCTTTGATCTGTGACCACTACGCTGGGGGTGCTCATAGTTCTGGAGATGCTGTACACAGGAGCAGCAAAGGAAAGGAAAAGAAGTCTCAGGACAGGCATACCGTCATTATTCCCGGGATCTGGGGCGCCGACAGCCTGGCCGAAAGCGACAGACAGCAACACACGAACACCAGTCTGAGTGACAGAGACCCGGGGCTTTCCTCGCACCGAGAGCTCACCGTCATCCTCTCAAATATTGCCATGCAAAATTGCGCCTCCATTCTTCTCCACTCGTTACGCCTTTCCCCTGCTCTGCCGTTGGCGCTCGACCTCCTGCGCCTCGAAGCGCTCCTTGACGTCCGGCTGCATGACTGACTTGATCCCCTCCATTAGCGACTTGTTCTTGTCCAGCTCCGCCTGCACACACATATTCACACAATACCCCCAGTCAGGCCCTTCGTCCATCACTGCCGACACCATCCACTGTCGTGACGCACCATGTAGCAGCGCGTGTAGGCCTCGTACTCCTTCTGGCAGCCCACTTTGCCGTGCGCCTTCTGCTGGAGGAAGACGTCCGTGTACCACTTGTCGAAGCACTGCTCGTAGGCCGCCTTCTTGCGCCAGCAGCCGGGCTCCTCCTCCTCCTTGTCCGCCATGGCGTCTCAATCGAAGGAGCAGCTCTGTTTGTTGTATTTGCGGCAATCAATCGGCGCCAATTGACTGGGACAAGGTATTACAATCCTTCAATCGGAATTAAGGCTCTGCTGCTACACTTTGAACTGGAGGACCCATGGGATACCAATACACACACACGTCGCATGAAATGCCCCGCCCGCCATCTACCGGGCGTGCTGGAACTGCATTTGATACTGCTGCGACGTCTGGAACGGGTGCTGCTCGTGCTGGAGCTGTGCCGGCAGCGACTGATTGGAGCTAGCGATGGACGGCGTGCTTGTCTGACCAGGCACCGCGATGTGGTGGCCGCTCAGGAAGCACTGGTCGCACACGCGCTGCGGCTCGGACAGCGCGAACTTGGGCAGCGACACGCGGTTGGTCGAGTGCTGGTTGCACACGCTCTGGCCGCAGTTGCGGCAGTGGTGGCGCCGCTTCACCAGCGTGAAGCCGCACGCGCACACGTGGCACATGCGCGACTGCTTCCAGCGCGGCGGGAACGCCGTCTTGCTGCGGGTGCCGCCTCCCAGACTCCGCGAGCTCATATTGACGTTGTTGGTGCGCGTGGCCTTGACGTCTTCCTGCTGCGCCTTGAAATTGGACATGAGCGACATATCCGGCGGGCCCTTGGACGGGTCGAACAGGCCCAGCGGGATCGAGTCGTCCGCTGTCCCGATGGAGATCAGGTCGTTCTCGCGCTCGCGGAGACGCTGCTCCGTCAGCAGCGACTTGACGTGCGGGTCGCTCCTGGACAGGCTGTCGATGCGGTTGCGGTCGGGGCCTAGACTGAAGCCTCCGTACATGCTGCCACCGCCGCCGTAGTTGCCCTGCGGTTGGCCGTAGTACGGGTCGTGGTCCGACACGCTTCGCTCGAGTTTGGCCTGGCGCGTCGGCTGCGGCTGCGACTGCTGGAAGGGCTGCATCTGGTAGTGTCGGTGGTGCTGCTGGTACTCGAGCTCGTCCTCGTCCACGTCGTCGTCCATGTCTCCGTAGTACATGCGGTTGTAGTCCGAGCCGTCGCGGATGTCGTCGTCGTGCAGGATGGTGTGGTTGTTGTACGGGAGCTGGTAGTCGATGGTCTCGGTGGCGGGCTCGCCGTCGTCCTTGCCCATGAGGTCGTGCTGGTGCAGCTCGCCGTCCGTCTCGTCGTCGTCGTCCTCGCCGGGCCGGCGGCTGCCGTGCGCGGCGGCGCGCAGCACCTCGAGGATGCGCTCGCCGCACTCGGCCTGCACGGCCAGGTCGATGGGCAGGTGGCCCGCGTCGTTGCGCATGTGCACGGCGTACGGGTTGGCGAAGACCACCTTGACCACGATGTCCGTGGGCGCGTCCTGGTGCAGGCAGACCCAGTGCAGCACCGTCATGCCGCTGGCGTCGGTGCGCTGCGCCACCTGGCGGTTCTCGCGCATGACCGTGAGCAGCGAGTCCCAGTCGCCGTTGATCGCGTGCAGGAAGTCGCCGTCCATGGTGGGGGAATGCTGTCCTTCACGTAGGGAGGAGGAGAGGGGGTGGTGTTCTGTAAGGCGTAGAGCGCCTTCGCTTCCGGACGCCCCGCGCTGCGCTCTGTGACGTTAGGGCCGCGAGTGCCTTTGACCGGCGGCGGCGGGCAGCGACGTTGACGGACTGTCTCGGAGCTGCTCGACCGGCGATGTGGCGATTTCGGCACTTCTGCGCGCGAATGGCAGAAAAGGGGTGAGTGCACCTTTTCAGCCAATGAGTAATGCGCGGGATAGCCCTCCACTCATTAACTTAGCCTCGCACTCACTAACTTTGTCTAAAGTGTAGCCACACAACCTAATGTCCTGCAGAATATGACTTTATATCCACGAATTCGCTATTACGGGTCATGAGCATTGCTGTATAGAGATGTATTCAATTCGCAAACTGTGAAAGGTGATCAGCATCTCGGGCGATCTCGGACAAGGTACACGTTGCGCCGATCTTGCCGCGCGTTGTGTCGGTCCGCCTCGGACTCGGCTCCAGCGTGGAGCTTAGCGCCCGGCCACGGCTCCCGCTCTTTGGGGACGAAGCTCCATCAAGCCAAGAGAGCAGATCCCCTCCAGGAAGGAGGGACTTCACTCTTGGGCGCGGCGGATAGGGTGCTTGCCTCCGTACACCGGCTGATAACGTTACAGCATGCGTTCGCCTCCCCGAAAACCCCTTCGACCCAAGTCCGCATAACAGAGGACATCGACGCAAAAGAGAGCTTGCGGACGACAGAGGGGTCTGTCCGTAAGCCTGTTGAGCAGCAACGCACCTGGAGGATGGCAATAAGCAATCTTTGTGAGCTTGCAGACGGTGTCTCCAGGTGGCTCTACAACACGATGTTGCATCAACTCCCGTACCGCAAAATCAGAATAAAACAGCGCCAAAACAGCAGCAAAGGAATCAAAAACCGAGACGTTGGAGCCAACCACTGCCAAACCTTCCTCCGCAGAGAGCCCGACTGCACCGAGCGCCGGAGCCACGCCATTTCAATCACGCCTTTGGGGCAGGCCTATCCACCTCAAGCTCATTTTCACCAATCCGCACTTCATGGTACAGTCGGTGGCTCACTCCACCCAAATGCACCATGCCGTTTGTGGCTCTAGCCACTTGGCTTGAAATGAGGTGGCTCACACCAGCAGCAGCTGACGTGGCGTGGCGTACACAACTTTCGCCAGCACCAGCATGGTGATGTTGGGGCCGCCAGCCCCAACATCTCCGACATTTGCACCCGAACTCCGACAATCTCCGCCGCCGGCGGAAGCACGTGGAAGGCTGTCAGGACACTATCAGACTGTAATTTGACGTAGTTAGGAGTATCTGCACAAATGTATTACTTGCGAGGTATCGTGAACGCAGAGTAGGCTTGGATGTTCAGGTTCATTGGTATCTCCGACGACCTGAACGATGGGAGCGAGCGGCGTATACGTCCAGGCCCTTTGCCTAGTAGTATTCACCTGTAGTAGGAATGAAGTCCGCGCTATCCGATGATCTACATGCAAACAAGGAGACATATACATGTATGAATCATACATATTATGTGAACGCAAAGCGACTGCTGCGTGATAGCGCTAGTTGCACGTCCTCTAGGCCCGCTACGCAATGCATTCTTCAGTAGTACATAGTAGCAATAGAGGAAAGAGCACGAATGCATCCTCCTGACACTAAATTGAAGCCGTAGGCCCTCGCAACAGAGCCCTTAACGCAGTTATTCACTGTATTGAAGATGCACTATGTAAGGGTGACTCCCACACTAAAGTAGGGTTTCTAAACTACATACCATGCTCCGTGTAGATCGAGCGCGCCCTACGAAGGTTGTCAAGAAGCTTTGAGCCGCCCAAAGCGTGCTACAGCAGCTTCACGGTGTTGAAGGGGACACATTCGGTGGCAAACGGTCACATTAGGTCCGATCCGGTGCAAATCGGTGGTACGACATCCCCTAGCATTTATAATACCCCCCCCTCCCAAGCATGGCGTCCGACGTCAGCGCCCGCGTGCATCTCGACGCCGAGAAACTCACGCAGAAGAGTGCGGACGCGCAGCGCAAGGGCAACGAGAACGCCGCGCGCGCCCTGGCCACGTCCGTGGCCGACCTGCGCGAGGCCGTGGCGCTTCTGGCCGAGCAGCGGTACATCTACTGGCGCGTCGCCGCGGCGAGGACGACGACGACGACGCCGAGGCACGTCTGGCGCGCATGGAGACTGTGCTGGGGCAGAAAGTTGGGATGGCATGAAGCTCCGGAGCAACAGGGTGGCGCGGCGGTGCTGCTACAATTGTGGATACTGTCGTTGTTCAGACGAAGAAGGGGGCCAGATGACCTTCAAATATATTTGGCCAGAACGATGGGGGCTTGGTCGATGAAGGCAGACGAGATCGTGGAAGGCGATGCGAATCAATCCCACGCATTGCAAAAGGTGCTGGATGAGGACGAGGAGCTGGAGGGACCAGTCAAGTCTGCGGATGAACTGCACACTCCGATCTAGGAAGACCAGCAATTTCTTGTTCTACTACATCGGAGGATGATGCAGTGCTTAATGCTCTTATTGAGCTGGACACGGGTGACGTTGAAGACGCAGGTAGCGGCATTGAGCATGTCCGGTTGCTGCAAGTCATTGTGTATGGTACATCGTCGATATGGGAAAGGTCCCAAGATTATATTTTGCTGAAGAATCATCAAGAAGCATTCTTCCTTCTTCATCCTCCTGTCGCCTTCGCGTTCTCCCCTGCTGCCCAACGTCTCCGATTTCTCCTGGCTCCAAGTCGAAGTTTCATCCTGTAAAGGTCAATGAGTGGTGAGGAGTGGAGAAAGATTATCATGAAGGGCGATCTCAAAGAGGTTGTCCGCTTCTACGAAGACAATCGCGAGGATTGCCCGATGTGGGCGGTGAATTGGGCCGCTTGCCAGGGTAATCTAAAGGTCGTGGAGTTCCTCTGCGATAAATCGGCCCCTTACTCAACAGATGCGATGGACTTAGCTGCGGAACAAGGCAAGCTAGAGGTCGTCCAATATCTGCATGGTCGGGAGAAGCATCGGAGAGACGAGGACAAGGTGGGGTGCACAACGGATGCTATGGACGAAGCTGCTGCCAACGGCCACTACAAGGTTGTGAAGTTTCTTCAAGAAGAGCGCACCGAAGGATGCACCTCAAGGGCTCTGGACAGAGCTGCTGCTAATGGTCATTATGATGTGGTGGACTATCTTGTTCAAGTTGGAAAGCCGTGTACGACAGATGCGGTGGATGATGCTGCCGCCGAGGGTCATCTGCGCATCGTGGAATATCTTCTTCATCGCGAAAAACCATACACGCAAGCTGCTCTAGATTGGTCTGCCGCCATCGGTCATCGGTTAGTGGCGAAGTTGGTTTTGGATCGAGGATTGCAGTACTCGCAAGATGCGATCGACAGAGCTGCCATTTTTGGTAGGGCGGGCATTGTGCAAGATTTTCTTTCGCAAGGTCTACGCTGTACGCAGTATGCAATTGACAAAGCTGCCGCCCACGGCCATGAGGAGGTAGTCAGAGCTCTTCATCGGAAAAATGCAAGTTTTTCGCCTGAAGCGATGGACAAAGCTGCCACCAGAGGTCATGTTGGAGTAGTGAAATTTCTTCTTCGCCACAAGCAACCTTGCACTGAGAAGGCGATAGACGAAGCTGCTGCTAATGGTTGCGTGGAGGTGGTGAGGTGGAGAATAAACCACATACGCAGTCTGCGGTTGACAGAGTGGCCGCTGATGGTTACAAGGTGTGGATGATGTTTACGAAGCGAGAAAAACGAATTTCAAAGGAAGCGCTGGAGCTAGCAGCTGCAAACGGCAAAAAGGTGGTGGTGAAACATCTTTTATGCTGCGGAGTCGAATGCACTACCGACGCGATGAATAATGCTGCTGCCAATGGACGTCTGAGTATAGTGAAGCTTCTTAACTAAAAAGGAAAACCCTGCTCTTTTCAAGCTGTGAGTCGGGCTGCGTCCAATGAACACTCCGCTACAGTGCGATTTCGGATGAAGAACCGCAGCGAGGGATTTACACGCGATGCTTTGGATGTCGCTGCAGCGAAAGGATACCTTGATATTGCGAAGTTCTTGTACAACCATTCATCCAACAATGTGAACAATTATGGAGACTCCACGCTCAACAACCAAGCATCCAACAAAAAAATAATATTTTCTCAGGACGCAATGGATTATGCTGCTGCGAACGGAGTGCTGGATGTTATGAAGTGGCTGTTGGAGCACGATGTAGGCTGCATCTGCACCAACAAAACCATGGCAAATGCTGCTCAGACAGGCAAACTCCACGTTGTGAAGTGGCTCGTCGAGAACAACAAGCCCTGTGGACGATCCGCAATGGTCAAGGCTGCTGAAAATGGGCACATCGAAGTTGTGCAGTATCTCGTTGAGCAGGGGAAAGAGTACACGACGGATGCAATGGATTACGCCGCTGGAAATGGTATGCTGGGAACTATACAGTGGTTTCACAAGATGGGGATGTCGTGTACAACCAAGGCGTTGGATAAGGCCGCGGAGTGCAATCATCTGAACGTCATTGAATGGCTCGTTGGCGGCAAAGGCATTAAGGGAACGAGTGCCGCGCTTGGAATCGCCCGCGACAATAGTTGGTATGCGGTTGAAGAGTGGCTGACGATTCACCCAGAACACAAAGTTGTCGAAGAGATAGAAAGCTCGGACTCCAAGGAAGATGAAGGCAGTGGCGGTGATGATGCTGAGGATGGGGGTGACGCTGACGAGGATCGGTACCGGTACGAGAGAAAATTTATATTGGCGGAAAATTCTGTTTTTTATCCCAAAGGATACGTATCGGCTCCTGAAGACACCACTGGAGCTGTCACAGACGATGAAGGTGATCCCCCTGACACTGCTATGCCGTTTGCTGAAGTGATTACTGGGCGTCATGGGGAAGACGCTAGTACAATTGTAGCCGACTGGGATACCGAGCGCAACGAAGCTGTTAATTCTACCTGTGCCATTTACGCGGCGGAAGTCGATGACAATGCGTCTTGTGGTAGCGATGGCACTAGCGCTGGCGATTATAATGCGTCTTCTGTTCCGGTTGGCGGTGGCAGTGGCGCTGGAGATGACCATGGTGGTAGCGATGACGATGGCAATGGCAATACTTCTCCTGTTAGCAGTGGCGCTGCCGATGGCAATGTTTCGTCTGGTGATCGTGATGATAGCAGCCGTGGTGGCGACGATATCACCGATAGCAATGGCGGAAGCGCTCGAAGTGGACGATGTAATGATGAAGGCTGGGGTCACGACTTTAATGATGAGAACACGGAAGATTCTACTGCCAACGAACCGGTTACTGAGCCAGCTCCTGAGAACACCGTGGGGGATGTTGATATGGAGGAAGTTGGAGAAAATATGGCACACATGAGTCTCGACCCCAAGGACGACCAGCTTGAAGAGAATGGGGCGGATGGGGACAAGAGCGCGCACATGAGTCTCGACCCCAACATAGACCAGCTTGAAGAAAATGGAGCGGTTGGTGACAATAGGGAACCCATGCGTCTCGACTACAACGACGACCAACTTGAAGAAAATGAAGCGTATGCGCGTATCGACGAGGAGCAGGATGCTGGTGTTGCGGAAGTTATGCAAGTATGTATGTCTAGAAGGCTTGAAGAAGGTTCTGCATACGTCGTGCGCTGCGCGTCAAGAAGAATCAAGGAAACGACAGCGTGAGGCGGATGAACGTGTAGCTGAGGCTCGACACGAGGCTCAAGCCCAACGACTTTGTCACGAGGCGTCAAACCAGAGGTTGAAACAGACCATTATCAAATGCGCCGCGGAAATACTCAATGCTGCTCAAGAGATGTTAGTGGCTCGAAGGCAGTAGGTAAGGTGATTTCGTGATACCATTCCATTCTGTTACCGGTATGATCAACATCGTTCAATTTATGTACAATCGGTGGCTCATTCATTCGGCTCGTGACGCTAGCCTGCTGACGTGGCGTGGCGCACACAACTTCCGCCAGATCAATTGCGCACTCGCATCAGCATGGCGGCCGACGTCAGCGCCCGCGTGCATCTCGTCGCCGAGAAGCTCGCGCAGAAGAGCGCGGACGCGCAGCGCAAGGGCAACGAGAACGCCGCGCGCGCCCTGGCCATGTCCGTGGCCGATCTTCGCGAGGCCATGGCGCTTCTAGCCGAGCAGCGGCATCTACTGGCGCGTCGCCGCGGCGAGGGCGACGAGGAGGACGACGACGCCGACGCGCACGTGCAGGAGCTGGCGACGCGGCTGGCGCGCGTGGAGGCCATGCTGGGCAAGAAGTCGGAGGACATGAAGCTCAAGGGGAACAAGGGCGCGGCCGCGTCGCTGCAGCAGTCGGCGGGCGACGTGGACAAGGGCCGCGCGCTGCTTCTGGAGCAGCAGCAGACGATCTTCGGGCTGCTGGGCCGCTGGGAGACGCTGGAGGACGTTGTGGACGGCAAGAAGAGGCGGCGAACCAGCGACGGGGAGGAGGAGAAGAAGGAGAACGAGAAGGAGACGCCCCACGGCCGCCTGATGGGTCAAGTGCAGCGCCTCGTAGAGCTGAAGGGCGTGCTGGCCGAGGCTTTCCCGGAGTGTAAAGACGCGGAGGAGGTGAAGGACGAGGTGGAGAGACTGAGACGAGAGGTGGAGAATGCCAAGGAGGAGACGGCTGAGGTGAATGAGATGCTGAAGCAGGAGAGCTTGGCGCTGGAGGAAGCCAAGAAGGAGGTGGAGAGGGTGAAGCAGAGGGAGATCCAGAGACAGGAGGAAGACACAGCGTTGCTGGAACAACAGCGAGAAGCCTGTCTGGCCATGGAGGAATTGGTGCGGGAAAGTGACCAGGAGATCCAGAAGATGACGCAGGCTGCGGCTGCGCGGGCGGAGGAATTGCAGTCGCTGAGAGTGGAAATGGAGAGCTTGGCCTCGGAGAAGGAGAGGCTGGTGAGGGCTCATGCAGATGAAGTTAATGAGCTGCAAGCGCAGTTGGCGAGTGCGATGGATGCTCTGACGACGAAGGCGGACGAGAGCGCGGAAATTGAAGCGGAGGAATTCCAAGCGCTGCAAGCGAAGCTGGATGAGTCAATCTCGGAGAAGGAGGAGCTGATCAAGTTACACGCGGCTGAGATGGAAGAGCTCCGTCAACAACTTGAAAGCGTAAGTGCATCTCTCTCTGCCAAGTCGGAGGAAAATGCAGCATCTGATGTCGATGAACTGGAGTCGTTACAGACTCAGGTCGAGAAGTTGACCTCGGAGAAAGAGGACCTGGTCCTGTTGCACGCAAGTGAGCTGGAGGAACTTCACAAGGCACACACAGTCGAGCTTGAAGAGCTTCGTCAACAACTAGAGCGGGCAACAGGGTCGCTTGTTGCCACACCGGGTGATGCAGTTCTGGATGCGGATACAATGGAATTGTTGCAGAACCAGGTAGATAGCCTGACCAAGGAGAAGATGGACCTGATCAAGGCTCACTCGGATGAAGTTGAAGAGCTCAACGAGTCTCACGCAACCGAGATTGAAGAGCTTCGTCAACAACTGCAAAGCGCAGAAGTATCGTTTACTGGTAAATCCGAGAATGATGCAGCGCTCAGCGCTGATGAAGTGGAGTCGTTGCAAGCCCAAGTCGACAGTCTGGCCTCGGAGAAGGAGGGCCTGGTCAGGGCGCATTTGGATGAAGTTGAAGAGCTGCGCCAAGCGCACGCCATTGAAATTGAAGAGCTTCGTCAGCAACTCGAGAGCGCAACAGCGTCGCTTGCTGCTAAGGTGGAAGACCATGCAGATAATGCCGCTTTCAATGCTGATGAACTGGAATCGTTGCAACAGCGTGTAGATACCCTGGCCTCAGAGAAGGAAGAGCTGGTTAAGGCTCATGCGGGTGAAGTTGAAGAACTGCAGAAATCGCATGCAGTCGAGATTGAGGAGCTCCGACAACAATTGGAGAGCACAGAAGCGTCTGATGCACTAGAATCTTTGCAAAAGCAGCTGGATACCCTGACCTCAGAGAAGGAAGAGCTGGTCACGACTCATGAGTATGAGGTTGAAGAACTGCAGAAGTCGCATGCAGTCGAGATTGAGGAGATACGGCAACAACTGGAGAGCGCAACAGCTTCCCTTGCTGCTAAGACGGAAGCTATTGCAGCGTCTGATACCGATGAGCTTGAATCCTTGCAGACCCAAGTGGATAATCTGGTCTCAGAGCAAGAGAACCTCATCAAGTCTCATGCGGATGAAGTTGAAGAGCTACGCCAAGCTCACGCAGATGAAATTCAAGAGCTACGTCAACAACTAGAGGGTGCAACAGAATGTCTTGCTGCTAAAGACGAGGACAATGCGGCATTTGATGCCGACGAGCTGGAATCGTTACAGAATCATGTCGATGGTTTGACCTCGGAAAAGGAGGGCCTGATTAAGTCGCATGCAGATGAAATCGGAGAACTCCAGAAGTCGCACAAGGTCGAGATTGAAGCGATTCGTCAACAACTCGATGACGCGATAAACGCTCTGGAAACGAAGACAGAAGAGATGGCTTCGCTGGATGCTGAAGAAGTGCAGTGCTTGCAAGCTAAGGTGAACGGCTTGATGATGGAGAAGGAGGATATTTTACAATCACACGCAGGCGAAACTGAAGAGCTGCGCCGCCAGCTTCAGGATGCTACGAATTCTCTTGCTTCTCAGGCTGAAAAGAGCGCTGCGACCGATGATGACGAGTTACAGTCCTTGAAGGAAGAGATATCTACGTTGGTCACGGAAAAGAGGAACCTTGCAGGTATCCACGCAAGCGAGCTTGACAAACTTCGTGCGACGCATCAAGATGAGATCGAGGAACTTCGTGAGCAGCTTGATAATGCCACCGCTGCCCTTTCAGCGAATCGAGAAGAGCAGATCGTGTCGAATGCTGATGAGCTACAACAGTTGCGAGCCGAAGTGGGTGCCCTGACCATTGAGAAGGACCACCTCGTAAAAGAGCAGGCTGATAAAATTGAAAAGCTTAAGCATCAAGCGGAAGACGCGGCATCCGACGAAGTGAGCGTCTGCGATGATGATGTGAAAGAGGAAGATCGTGATGACAACGAGGCGGCTGGAGATGTACCAGTGTTAGAGCTAGATGAAGACGAGTCACAGTCAACAGTTTTTGCTGCTGAAGATGAGGTTGAAGCAAGCTCAAGCGGTGGCGATGTTGGTGGTGATGAAAAGAAGACAGCGGAGTGCAGGCCGCCCTTGATGATCTACACGCCCAACTCGCTGGATATGACGAACGCTCGCAAGTTCAGCAAGATACTATCTCGACGCTGGAGCGGGAACAAGAAGAACTTCAGCGACAAATTGAGCTTCTTGCGAATGAGAAAACACAAGCAGCTGAGGCAGCTGCTGAACTGCAGCGTACACACGATGCGGAAGTGTCGACAATGCAGACTGACCTAGACACAATTCAAACCCAAGTCGACGAATACGAGGAGCGCCACCAAGCGTTGCAGAACACTATCTCGACACTGGAGCGGGAACAAAAAACGCTTCAGGAGCAGATTGAACTTCTTACGAATGAGAAAACCCAAGCAGGTGAGGCAGCTGCTGAACTACAGCGTACACACGATGCGGAAGTGTCGACAATGCAGACTAACCTCGACACTCTTCAAGCACAAATTACTGAATACGAGGATCGTCACCAAATGTTGCAAAATACTATTTCGACGCTTGAAACGGATCAAACCGAGCTTCAGGAGCGAATTGGTCAACTTCGTAGCGAGAAGGACGAAGCTGTGGACGCATTACAAAATACGCATGGAGAGGAGACGACACGTTTGGCTCAACGCGTTGCTGATAGTGAAGGTGTGATTGAGTCACTGTCTTCGCAACTCTCGGAGATGAATGATGCATTATCAGCCAAACTAGCAGAACTGAACGAAACTGCAGGTGCGTTAGAGCGATGTGAGGCGGAGCTTCGTACGTGCCGCTCTGAACTGGACGCCCAGATTCACGAATGCAGTCAAGTGAAGAGTGACTTGGAGGCCGTGCAAGATGCGGAGAGTACGAAGAGCGACGAGACCAACAAACGCTTGTCGCAACTTGTTGCTGACCTGGGTGAGTTGGCGACTTGTTTAGCTAGTACTGACAAGGTTGATGTCGAGCCAGTAAAGGCTTTCACAGGAAAAGTGTGGGAATCCCCTGAAGTGACAGAAGTTTGCAGCAGAGTAGCATCTCTGCTGACAGATCTGATTTCGGCTCAAGACCGACTTCGTACGACAGAGGAACAGCAGGAGTCGCTGCGTAAGAAGTGTGGCACTCTGAAGCTGCTTCTTGACCAGTTTGTTAAACAAGCCGATTGGCGCTTGTTCGCCAAGGAAGGAGAGAACGAAGAGGATGTCGTGGGATCTCTGAAGTCTGTCAAGATTGTAAGTGAGCGTCTGAATACCGCGAAGACAAACGCTACGCGATGGCTTGACGAGCTTCAACAGCTGCGAGACCGCATTCAGTCTGACACAACGAAGCTCAATGACCTGGAGGAAGAGAAACTGCGGGAACAAGAACGCTTGCTGGCACTGGAAGAATCGAAGCGTGGTTTCGATTCGCTGGTGGAATCCCTGAAAGAGCAGTTGGCAGCTGTGCGCAGTGAGAAGGAGGACGTGATGAAAACGGCTGAAAAGCTGAAGGCTCAGAATCAGTCCGCCAGTGTGCAGGAACAGCAACAGCAGGTCGCTCAGCAAGAAGAGGTGGCTGAACTACAGCAGCAACTGGCTTCTGTTCGTAGTGATTTCGAGCGATACCGTGTCCGATCACACACTGCTCTTAAGAAGATGGAGAAGCGCGCAGAGCTTCTGAATGGGATGAGGAAGGAGAACGAAGTGCTGCTGAAACAAGTTCAGGAGAGTGACCAGCAACGTGAGCAGGCTGAAGCTACCCGTCAGGAGAGCGAGGCCCGCCTGCAGGAGGTGTTACGTACGCAGGAGATGATGCAGGCGGACTTTGATCAGATTGCAGCCGAAAAGGCGAGAGTAATTGCTGAGCTGGAGGAAGAGGGAGAGCGGTTGGTATCGGAGCGTGAGCAAACAGACAAGCAAATTCAAGATTTGACCCTCAAAATTCAGGAACTGGAGAAGGAGAAAACGCAGATTGAAGAAGAGAGCGAGCGCATCAAGGAAGCGGAACACGAAGCTTTCCAAGCGCGTTTGGCCACTGCAACTGCCGCGGTGCAAACCGCGAAGCAAGACTTGCAAATGGTGCATGATGCCCTGGAAGCTAGCAAAGCGGAAAACGACAAGCGACAGAAACGTATCGAGTCTCTGGAATTGGAGCTCGAGCAACAACGAGCAAGCATCTCATCGACCATTGTTACAAACAGCTCGTCGCCGGATATTCCATTCCCCGCTGCATCTGCACCACCCCTCTCCTCATCTTCAGCGGATGTAAACCGGAATGTGGCTGGGCTTGAAAAGGAATTGTCAACTTTCAGAGCTTCGGAGACTTCTTTGAGAAAACAGCTTGATGACGCCCGCGCGGAGTTAATTGCTCTTCAGGAGCGTTTTGCTACGACTAAAGCAGCAAACGCTGAAAAGGTCTTCGCGTTGGAAGAGCAAAGCAATCACTGGAAGATTGAATTGGCAGCTGCGACCGAAGAAGTCCGCCGGCTGAATGCCATGATCGAAGAGCAGAAGCTTTCGGCGAACCAGTCGGCGCTGTCGAACGGTACACCCTCGGCGCCGTCCCCAGTGAACCAGCAGTCGCAAGAGAAGCATTCAGGGGATGGTGAACTTAAGACGGAGCTAGCGGATGCCAACACGGAAATCACATTACTCACGAGGGCGTCGGATGCGTGTCGAGAGGAGTTGCAGAGTGCTCGGGATCAGATCGACCTGCTTACTCCGTCATCATCCGAGCCGGAAAGCGGTGAGGACCCAAGTGGAGCCGCTAAGGCATCTGTAGTGCTAGCTGCCAAGGACGAAGCTTTCAAGAAGCTACGCGTACAGGTTCTCGAGTTGCAGGAAGAAATGCAAACGCTCCGTGACGAGAAGGCAGCGCTTGAGTTGGAGCTGGAGAAGGAAGAGCTGGACGAGCTGCAAGCTAGTCGTAAGAATTTGCAGTCCGAGAAGGAGCGCGCTATGCAGCTACAGAGGCGGCAGACGCTGGTATCAGGCTTCGAAAAGCAAGTGACGACGCTTGTTAATGAACTGCAGCAGCGGCTGGAAGACCACTCGAGTGCGTTCCGTGAAGTTTGCGACTTCCGTGACGAACATCGCGCGGCACTTTTTGCCAACGGTGGTGGGATTGACAGAGCTACGGGGCGTGCTGGTGAACCTGAGTTTGAAGAGTGTCTTGTGATGCGCAGCGGAGTAGTGATCAAGGCTGGCGCGAGCTTCCAGCTGCCGGTGATCTGTGAAAAGCGTGGTTGGCGTGTGGTGTGGAGCTTCTCAGTGAAGGAGGATTCGGCGGATGTATCGTTCAAGTTGGCTGCGACCGTAGCGGACGCGACCTCAACAGAGGTTGAAGTGGTGTCGCCCGAGCGAATGAACGAGAAGTCAGGTGTGTTCCAGGTGCAGAATGACAACACGACGCTCGTGTTCGAGTGGGATAACTCGTTCTCCTGGCTGAATGAGAAGACCCTGGACTACCATGTCTCCATCCAGGAGCCGCTGACCCCGCAGGCGCAGAAGGTCCGACGTAGTGAGCGTGACCTGCAGGCCAAGGCGAAGCTGCTAGATAACGGCTTGGCGCTGATCCAGGCCGAGGCCCAACGGCGCTCGGAGCTGTCGGCCACACTGGAGCGGCTCAGTGAACGCGAGTCTGCCAAGAACAAGCACCTCGAGGAGTTTGGGGCCCGTAAGGCTGAGGTGTTGGAGCAGAAGACCAGCTTCCAGGAAGAAATGGAGGCGCAGAAGGCTGCCTTCTCGGCCATGCTCAGAGAGCAGGATGAGCTGGAGGACGTCGAGCGCAGCATCATGCGAGCATGGGAGGCTGCGGTGGCCGAGCGCGAGGACGTCGAGATGACGCTGCAGCTTGCTGGCAATGGTGCGCAGTTGGAGACGTTAGCCCAAGAGATGAAGAAGCAGGCTGAGAGTGTGGCCGAGCAACTGAAGAATCCTATCCGTCCCGAGGAGAAGGAAGAAAGCAGTCCAAGCGAGGAGCAGCAGGTAGAGAAGGGTGATAACGAGCTCGTAGATGGTCACGCTGACGGTGAAGCTTCCGCGCAACAGGAAGACGAGGAAGCCACGGCGGTGGAGTAAGCCCACTGGCTCACTCGTAGCGTTGATATCCGTGTACAGGACGTGTGAGGGAGGGCAAAGCCACCTTGTAGCAAGTGAACTAACTAACCCCAAATGTCAAGAACCCACTAGACCAGACAATTGCTGTCGATAACATGGTTAAAACATCAGAAGCCAGCGGGACGACGCTCAGTCTTCCTTGACCGCGTCGAAGGCCTTGATGATGTGGTCCGGGGCCTGCACGAGCTCGATGAGCACGCCCTCTCCGGACAGCGGGGCCGCCTCGTTGCCCTTGGGGTGGATGAAGGCCACGTCGAAGCCCGCGGCGCCCTTGCGGATGCCGCCGGGCGTGAAGCGCACGCCCTTGTGCGTGAGCGCGTCCACGCACGCGGGCAGGTCGTCGACCCAGAGCCCGATGTGGTTGAGCGGCGGCACGTGCACCTTGGGCGCCTTGGCCGCGTCGATGGGCTGCATAATGTCCACCTCGACGGCGAACGGCCCGCGGCCGCACTGCAGAATGTCCTCGTCCACGTTCTCGCGCTCGCTGCGGAAGGACCCCTTCTTGGCCAGCCCGAACGTGTCCACCCACAGCCGGCTCAGCGCGCTCTTGCTGGGACCCCCCACGGCCACCTGCTGCAGCCCCAGCACGCGGAACGTCGAGCTCTGCGGCGAGCAAAAGCAGCAACGTCAGCCAGCACAACGAGAGCGAGAGAGATGGAGACTGACAGGCTACGGTGTCGTACGTTGGCGATATGCTGGTGGCGCGCCGCGGCGGCGCGCAGCAGGCGAGGCGTCTTGGTCGTCCACATAGCGGCGCAGGAAGCGGATGCAGACGCAATCTTTGAATTGTCAACTGCGACTTCAACATCGCGTCGTTCTTTGCATTAGTCGAATATCGTCCAATCAGCGCTGCCCGACACATTTCCATATAAAGACTTTCTACCCAAACGGACGATCGCCCCTCCCCAGATGGTGTCTTCTCCTTCGTCCTCGCACGTGCACGCCGGCGCCAACAGCAGCAGCAGCAGCAGCAGCGGGGCGACCGGCCGCTCGTCAGCAAGCAGAGACGCAGACGCCAGCTCCAGCTCCGCCACCGCTTCCGCCTCAGGCAGCGGCGCCAAGCGACAGCTGCCCGAGCCCGAGGTCATCGCGCTGAACGAGCTGCTGGACACGTTCCCTAACGAGATGGGCGACGCGCAGCACGAGGGCGGAGGCGCCGACGCCCAGAAGCGCCGCAAGTTACGCGCCGGGGCCGGCGCGGAGGCGGCCGCCTCCTACCAGCGCTACCAGCTGCGCCGCGAGAGCCCCAAGACGCAGCAGAACGAGGACGACGACACGGAGTCCGACAGCGAGAGGGGCAACAGCAAGCACAGCAGCAACAACAATGAAGACGACGAGGACGACGAGGGGGGCAACGACAAGGAGCCCAAGGACAAGGCGCTAGCCGTGCGCAGCGGCAGCGGGCCGGGCTCCAACTCGGGCTCGGCCGCCGGCAGACACACGAAGCTCACGGACCTGGAGCAGCACGTGCGCAGCCTGGAGAGAGACAACCTGCACCTCAAGCAGGCCTTGCTGCTGGGCAAGAACGCCGCCGGCCGCAACGCCGCGTTGGGCGGAGCCGCTGCGGCCTTGGGCAACCTCGGCAGTCTGGCCAGTCTTAGCAGTGTGGCTGGACTCAGAGGCATGGGCGCACTCGGCGCGCCTGTTGAGAACCGGGCCAATATTCAGAGGATGCTGGCCGAGAGGACCAAGGTCGTGACCGAGATGGTGGAGCAGCTCAACGCCGCGTACCTGAGTCTGGGAGACGCCTCCCGCGTGTGGCACGAAGACTGCCGCATTGGCGTCGGCGTGCGCGAGTGGGACGCGTTCGGCCGCCTGCAGACCATCAGCCTGTGGAACATGATCCGCTCCGTGTTCACGAGCATCGTCGTGGACATCGTGGAGCTGCGCCCGCACCTGCCCGACGGCGAGATGATCCTCACCAAGTGGCGCATTCAGGGCGAGATCGCCTCCGCGCAGCACCTGGAGCGTGTGTGCGCGTCCGAGGACTGCCCTGCCACCATGCGCGTGGCGCTCATGGCCATCAAGTCGTCGGACTTGACGTTCACGGTCACGACGTACGTCGTCTTCCAGGAACTGCGGATCGCCGAGCAGCACCACTGCTGGGACCAAGTCGGCGTGTTCAAGCGGCTCTTTGGCGGCGAGATCCCGCCCACGGTGCAGAACATGCTGGCCATCGACGAAGAGACTGCCGCTGGCCGCAAACAACCGCTCGAAGTGTGAATGAGCTTGTATTTATCTCTTGAAGTTGTTGCTCCCATTCGCCCAGCGTAGGTTGATAGTCTCACTACAGGTTTTGACTTGAAATGAAAGCCGCGTTACTCCTTTGTTGTGACAACCTTCGAAGTAGAAGGAGTGTCATGCGTGCGTCATGCTTCATCATGCCTTACGCGTGGATTGGCATTTGGCAATGAACTCACGAGGGATAATGCTCACTGCACAAATGATGATTTCTTTCAGTTGATAGTGTATTTGGCTTTTCATAGGAACTTTTATCTACATCTCGACGAGGGTGAACAGTATTCACGGCACTGCGTAAGGTATCAGTTGTGCGTTTGGGTTGGGTGGACTGCGGATCGTCCAGCCATCCTGTCACTGGTAGTGGATGCCCTCGCCGATGACGTCGAGCTTGTGCTTCTTGTACTGCTTCATCTGCTTGTCCCACATGCTGCGCGTGAGCGGCACGCTGCGGCCGGACACGCGGCTGGTCACGAGGTTCTTCTTGCGGAGCTCGGCCGGGATCTCCACGGGGGACTGGGCCACGACGTGGCGCATGCGGCTCATGCTGAAGCGCAGCAGCGGCTGCGGGTGGGCCTGCAGGATGTGCGTCTTGAGCTTCTGGGCCTCCAGCGGCAGCGGCGTCGCAACGAGCGGGTCCTCCTCGGGCCGCTTGTGCGCGCTCGAGCGCTGCTTGAAGAGCAGGTTGGACTTCTTGCGCGGGGGCAGCAGTCCCATCGCGGGTTGTTTGTTAAAGGGGGTGGAGGTGGAGGTGGTGGCGGGCCAGGCAGCCAGACAGCTAGGAAGGCAGGCGACTTGGGCTCAGCGTAGCCAATTCAATTGTGAGGCCGGCCCCGCCGTCGGCGTCGCGGTCTCCGTCGCCGTTCGTCCGCCACCACAAGGAAAAGTGGCTCCGTCTCTAGGTGTCATCCAAACATTCTTGCTGATGTCAAGCGGGCAAACATGGCGAAAGGCGTGCAACGCAATGGACACATCCAATCGCCTCCAGCTGATGAGCTCGGTCGATGATCAGGGGTCTCACTCTCGAGTCGACTCGCGCGTGCCGGTGCAGTGGCGCATCCCCCTCATGGGCCCTCCCTTGCTATGGAGATGCACCATGTGGAGGCCGAGTTTGGGAGGTGTTCTGGGATAACTTGGTCGCATTTTGAGAGGAAGGCTGTGAAGTAGCCGACCGTGGCGTCGATGAATGGAGTCGAAGGAGCTTCGTTTGGGCACGTTAAATGACGCTGCAGGAAGGAAGGCAGGAGGGGGGCGGACGTCGGCGAGGCAGCTCCGGCCTTTTTCGTCTACAGCACGACGGCTCCGACTCGAAGCTCGAGACACCAAGCCCTCTGAATCTGAAGAAGCGGCACGGAGATCTGCACTTGTCTGTTGGCGTGGAGGATATGTTTATGGTTGCTGCTGTGGCTGGTGGGGGGCGCTAGGCTGTTGCTGTTGCTTGCTGTGAGGAAGTGGCGTCTGCTACAGGTATTGGCGTGGTTAAACACTGGCTGCATCGGAACGACGACTTGGCCGAGTGGATACTGAATAAATACTGTATTGCATTGCATTGCGTCGCGTTCAAGCCCAAGCTTCCTGGCACTCTATCAAGTCTGAACGAGCTGGTTGCGCGTAGAAACTAGTTTTGGCGGGGCGGCTGAAAGGTTCTCGGCGCTGTACTCGTCGTCTCCGAAGGACGGCGGCGAGGGGGAGGGATATCTGACTGGAACGAAGGCGAGGCGAGGCGAGTGTCGGCCATCACCGGTACGTCACGTACTCGTCGATCATGTCCAGGTGCTTGGCTCTCCGCTTGCAGTTCGCCCACATGCCCATCGTCAGCGGGACGCTGTGGCCGGCCACGAGCGTGCGCACGGCGCGGCGGTCGTTGAGCGAGTCCGGAATGAGCACGGGCGGGATGGCCTTGTGCCGCATGTGGCTCAGGCTGAAGCGCGTGAGCTTGGCCGGGTGCGAGGCGAGGATCTTCTGCTTGAGCGTGCGCACGTCCTCGGGCAGCTCGATGGGCTCGGCGGACGACTGGCGGCGGAAGCTCGCGCGCTTCGAGAGGCCGCGCGGGGACTTGGCGGCGCGCGGCTGCGAGCGCTGGAGGCGCAGTGGCAGGATCTCCGGTCGCACTCCCATGGCTGCGGTGCAGGCGAGTTTGCTGGCTGGCTGGCTGGCTGGCTGGCTGGCTGGCTGGCGGATTCGAGGCAAGTTGGTGAATGCCAAGCTGCCGGGGCCGGAAAAAAGTGACGAGGCAGACCGGTTGAACCGATGGCCGGGCGAAGTTCCGAGCTCGGCTCTGCAAGCGTGCGCCAGCGGTCAGAACCGACCCGCGGACGGTGCCGGTGCAGCGCTACACTTGCCGAGAGTATGGGGGCGGGATCTGCCTGCTTGAATCTGTCCGTATTCCGCGTGGCCTTGGGGCGTGGCAGCGTGCGAGGCCTTGATTGGATGCCGGCGCATGGCTATGTCATTCTGAAGCGGCGATCGCTGCCGCAGCGCACGCGCGGTTTCACGGTGAATTCATCGCCCAGAAACCAGCCCAGCGCCGCCGCCTGGCTCCTTGGATGCTCGCCGTCGGCGTCGACGCGGCAACTGAACGCGCAGGCAGCGGAGCTTGGAGCTTCCGAGCTGAGCACCACGTCACGTTAGCCTGCAGTCTCTAACGTGAGTTGCGCCAGCGGAGACTTGTGTTAAACCAGCGCCTCGGAATCTGTCCGCATCTGTTGCCGGCAGCGAGCTCGCCGAGAATCTCGAGATCCGAGAGAGCGCTGCGCACGCGAGGCATTCGTTCGAATGGCTTCCGGCAGTGCGCTATCCTCTCCTGAATCTTTGCGTTACAAGACTCGCTCGCGCGCGCACAGGCACGCCAGCCAGCAGGACTCGGCCGCGATGGCGCCTTCATGGCGAGCGTCCGGCGACTCCATTCGTCTACGCCCGTTTCTATCTCTAGGGCTCGGGCTGCCTCGTCACATTGCTTCGTCGCATGTGGCGACCACGATGCTCCGGCATCGATGCCGGCCCAGCCGCGCGGGCCAATCCGAGGCCGATCCAGCATGGGCGCCGTCCTTTGCCGCGTTGAACCTGGCTGCTTGGGTTCGTCCGCCCGACGCGCGACGTGAGCGAGCGATTTGGCGCGCTTTGCGTCGCGCATTCCTGAAGATCCGTCGCCACGACGGCAGCAGTACGGGGCCGTCTGTCTGCCTGCCTGCCTGCCTGCCTGCCTGCCTGCCTGCCGCGGCGCCGCCGTAGACGCATCGCGGATAAGACGGGAGCTCGGTGTTGTGGCGCCACTACGCTCGATGCTTTCCCGCTGGGACGTTTTGCCTGGTGCGGCGTCGCGTGTGCTTGAACATCCACCACGAGGACCACCAAAACCGCCGAGAAATGCTGGATACGGCCTGAAAAAAATGAGGTCTCGGGCCTAGAACATCAAAGATACAACCGCCCGGTAGGGCGTCAACTGCAAGCAGAATCGAACTGCAGGGTCCGCCAAAAAGGCTTACGATGAATTATCTCCCTCGCGGGTTACTGCACTGTAGCTCTACGACTCGCAGACTGTTGGTTCTGTGAGGGCGCCGAGTCTCACGTAGCAAGAGTGCACGGGGCGTACCAAGCGAACCAACACTGCATCTCAGCAAACGAGCGCGCGGGGGGGGCTCGCCACCCTCACGCACTCGTGTGCTGAATTACGGTATTGGTACGCTTGGTAGGCTACGCGAACTCTCGCGCCAGTGGGCAGTCGCTGCGATTCATCTTCGAGTCGAGTGCGTATAGTACTTCATCGTTGCTTGGTCGAGAATCGATGCTCTTCTTCGTGGACCTTGGGATGCCTGACTCAGGCGGCGTGACGGGCTTCTGGTGTTGACTTCATGACGGCAAGTCCTGAAGTGAGGTTAGTCTGAATCATTCGCTTGGGTGGCTGATGGCAGGCACGGCTCATCCTATCACCGAGTTTACCAACCAGGTGGTGTACATCCAAACACGGTGATTGCCACTGTGCATGCTTTCCGTTGACCTGCTTTGCGCAACATGCTGGCCGAAAACCTAGGACGGCCAAGACCAGCGTAGCGCGCTAGGACCTGGTCCAGGTCGAAGCTTCGAGCAATCCAAAGGCTCGCAGCTTGAAGCTGCAAGGGCAACTTTCACAAAATACATGTGCGTCATTTTGCGCCGGAATGGTGCAACTGCAACGGCAAGCACCGGACTGCTTTTCGAAGCAGCAACACGCGCCACCGAGAATGGCTTCGGAGTGGCTTGAGGCCATCCTACGAACTTCAGCTGCGGTAATGACCGGTAACGTCAGCTACTGTACCAGTACCAGTACATGACGGGCAACATGAACGCTTGAAAACGCCCAGCCGATCAGTTAACTAATAACTCGGATACAATGGATCGGATTGCTGTGAAGCTTTTCTTGGTATTGTGGTTAAATATTGTATATACGGCCGGCGGCGGAACCGCTGCCGTGGGGGGTTGCTAGTCTATAGGCTGTGTCGCTCTGTGGATGTGTTGCTGCTTGCTTGCTTGTGTTGCTGGTTAGGCAGCTCGCGGACTGCCGCGAGTCTCACCGGAAGAGCGTGCAGTGCAGCGGGTAGGACTCGGAGATCTGCTCCATGTGGTGCGTCTTGCGCTTGGTGTTGTCCCACATGCAGCGCGTAAGCGGCACGCTGCGACCGGCGACGGTCGTGCACAGCGCGCGCTGGCTGTTCATCTCGCGCGGGATCTCGACGGGCGGCACCACGCGCTTGCGCATGTGGCTCAGGCTGAAGCGCGTGAGCTTGACCTTGTTGGTGCGCAGGATCTTCTCCTTGAGCTGCTGGGCCTCGGCCGGCAGCTCCACGACGGCCACGGGCTGCTCGTGGTGGCGGTGCCAGCGCGAGACGTGCTTGCCGACGGGCGAGCCCTGGCGCGGCTTGGTCACCTGCTCCTGCACGTGCGGCAGGTTGAGCTGAGGCTGCACTCCCATGGTGGCGGTGGGGTGGGGTAGCTGGGTAGCTGTGGGGCTTGCTGTGGTGCTGGGATGTTGCGGAATGGCCCCTCGCCGCCGAAAAGTGACGGGGCTTGAAGCCGAAGCGCGCGCGGCCAGTGTTGCCTTGACTGGCGGGCGGGCCAAGTGCAAGCGTGCCGCATAGACGTGCGAGGCGCCACGCACCACTGCGGTTTAGTATGCCGCGGGAATCCCAGGGGATTCGGGCCCTTGCGATCGTCTTGCGATACAGACAGCCCACCCCTCTCATACGCAGGATTGGAGCCGAGGGCCCAAATCTCACGATTTCCAGACCGCGCCTCGGCTTTGGGCGCGTGCGTAGTGCTCCGGAGCCGGGCGCCGGGGCTCGGCGAAGCGGGGCGAGCGTCGGCGACGTCGACGGCCAGCGCTCGGGCCGCAGAGCCGGCCGACTGTCGCACGCAGCCTTCCAATCAAGCCGACCGAAGACGCGCGCTGGCCGATGGCCAAACAGCTCAGCGGAGGGCGGCGAGCGTTCTCGTGGCCTGCGCACCAGCACGGCAGCACATCGCACCGGAACCAGCCAAACCTACCGTAACGTCAGCGCGGGCCGAGAAGAAGAAAAAGAGAAGTCATCGCAACAGCTTTTCCCGCATCACCGCTGCCGGCACCACCGATGCCAATGCACTGGCATGAATCATGGGCATGCTGCAGTTGCCTCGACTAACAGGGAGTGGAATCGACGTGGTGCTGGGCCAACGCTGCCGGGGAGGAAACGCAGGAGCTTTCCTCCTTGTCCGAAGCAAGCTGCGTTGCACAGCGTAACTCGTCCATCCGCCTAGAGGCAGACAGCGTGGGCGGCATGCTGGAGCATGACCACCAGGGTCGACACCTATGGCATTCCTAGCAGGCCCCTTCCCCCCACCCCCCGTAGATCTCTCTCCATGGGGCTGTATAATTGCCGAAGTAGACGCTAGTCTTCAACGGCTGCGGTGCTCCACGGCATGGCCGCCATGTGAGACCAGCTCCGAGCGGTCCATGCCCATGAGGCGTCACGAAAAGTACTCGCTAATTTCCCGCCTTATTCGTACTTATCCACTTGTTGGTAAAAAAAGAGGGTAGTACCAACCCGATAATCGGGCAGATTCACAACCAGGATGCAGATGTCGGCCGCTACGACGACGGACTTCTCGCCTGCTCCACATCCTGCACGTACCCCATGGGGCCCGGGCGTGGGTGTAGGCGGCGCGCTCTCCGCCACCTTTGCGCTGAGCTTCACCGAGAGCTGCCTCGAGGTTGAGCGGCGCCCGATCCCTCTGCGGTTCGCGTTGCGCTTCGCCGCTGCCAACGTACTGCCCAGCGCTGTGTGGAGCTCCGTCCCAGCACGTCACGTGGCCGCCGCGTCAGGCGTGCCATTGTCCACTCTTATCAGCGAAGCGGAGGTCTCGGGCCCGCGCTCTGTAGCTGTAGGCAAGCGCCTGGTGCTCATTAAGTCGGTGCGCGCGCTGCGGATGGCCGTGGGCAGCTACGGACTCGCTTGGAGTCTATGGCGCGTGCATGCGCACAGTGCTGATGGCAGTAATAATACTACAACGCACGTCGGGGAGAGCGTGGTGCGTCTCGCGCCCGTGAATTCGACGCTGTCCCGAACTTCGAGGCGTACGCACGGGGAGCAGCATTTCGTGACGGTCCCGGTGACGAAAGAAAGCTGGAAGCGGCAGGCGGTGAACGGGGCACTGGAGAGTGTGGACTGGGAGAAGGTCGGCATTGAGGCGCAAGTGGGCGATGAGGACGCGGAGAGGCTCAAGGTGAAGGTGATTGAGGTTGAGCTCAGTGATGCAGAGGCGACGATGGCGCTGGCTGGCAAGCTGAAGGCCAAGGCTGCGAAAGACGACGGCAGCTCGTTGTGCTCCGTGGCGGTGTTGCCGCCGTGTGGTCCGTCGCTACCAGCATCGATCACAGATTCGTTCGACGTATGCTTCAACCCGTTGTCGGCGGTGTTGACGTTTATCGCTACAGTGTGCCGGGCTCGAGGCGTTAGTCGCGTGATCCTCGTTGCGGATGAACAGGAAGGGAGCGAGGCTGGTGATGAAGTTTGCTCGCTTCATGTATCGACGTCGCAATTGGCGGCTGGACTGCTGTACCGGCATGGGATTTCCGCGAGTGTTTTAAAGCCGCAGCAGGCGGATCCGGTCGGCGAGCAAGTGGAAGGTCAGGAGGCAGCGGATTATCAAGAGGACAGTGAGTCGGCAGCAGTCTTCTTCGTCTCTGACCGCCTGACAACGGGACGCTCCACAGCACGAAGGCTGGCCGAGCAGGGTAAGTGTTGTTTGCTGGAGCTGCAGGGCGTAAGGCGGAGGTCTAAACCACTTTTGAACGTGTTTTACAGGCCTTCTCACACAGCAAAATGCCTGTTTCATTGTCGAAGAGAGCTTCTGTGGACAAAACGTACCAAATAACGATGTTCAAGCTCAATCTGCGCTACTACAGCGGGCTGTTTCAATGGAGGATGAGGGGTGCGATGCCGCGGAAGAGCAAGGAGAGATTGAAGTGATTGAGCAGGTGCCTACGGCAACGTACTTATCCATTGCCGATGTCAGCGACCAGACACTTCAAGGGATCCGCATGCTACTGCGACAAGATCAGAAGCCCGAGGCGATCCAGGCAGCATTGTATCAAGCGTACGGAACCCAGCGCGTGGTGGCGCCGCCCCGCTGCGATCAATTTTCAGACATGAACGTTTAGAGCTGTTTATTTAAACGCGAGCTTCTACTTGAAATCGACCCACTAGGAAATTGTGAACGGATAGATGTCTTGGTCTACTGTATTCCCGCCGCACCTGTATCTCATCACTTGGCTGGCAACGTGAATCGCCGGCGATGGCTCTGAAAATACAGTTGTGGTAAGTAGTACCAGTAAGTAGTTTGGTTGGCTGTGGGTTTTCAGCACTGAGACGCATCAAAATTTGTACTTGCACTGTCACCAACGTGCTATGGTGACAGTGCCCCGAAAGTTGGAGCTACCAAGAGCAAACGAAGTCTACTCACTCGATCGCCGGCACCACCAATCGAGTGAGTAAACTTGGTTTGCTCATGGTGCAAATGTTGGTTGATGCTACCACACTGGGGTCGTTGTACATGTAGTATAGCAGGCTTGGGCGATACGTTACTGTTTACCCGACGCTGCATTGTTGCCAACGTGAAGCAATAAAACCAGACACAAAAAAACGCTCCGTACTCACCCAAACAATACCGAAACACTCACTCGAAACGAAGAGGGACCGTAGCGACTGCCCACTGGCGCGAGAGTTCGCGTAGCCTACCAAGCGTACCAATACCGTAATTCAGCACACGAGTGCGTGAGGGTGGCGAGCCCCCCCCCCGCGCGCTCGTTTGCTGAGATGCAGTGTTGGTTCGCTTGGTACGCCCCGTGCACTCTTGCTACGTGAGACTCGGCGCCCTCACAGAACCAACAGTCTGCGAGTCGTAGAGCTACAGTGCAAGTAACCCGCGAGGGAGATAATTCATCGTAAGCCTTTTTGGCGGACCCTGCAGTTCGATTCTGCTTGCAGTTGACGCCCTACCGGGCGGTTGTATCTTTGATGTTCTAGGCCCGAGACCTCATTTTTTTCAGGCCGTATCCAGCATTTCTCGGCGGTTTTGGTGGTCCTCGTGGTGGATGTTCAAGCACACGCGACGCCGCACCAGGCAAAACGTCCCAGCGGGAAAGCATCGAGCGTAGTGGCGCCACAACACCGAGCTCCCGTCTTATCCGCGATGCGTCTACGGCGGCGCCGCGGCAGGCAGGCAGGCAGGCAGGCAGACAGACGGCCCCGTACTGCTGCCGTCGTGGCGACGGATCTTCAGGAATGCGCGACGCAAAGCGCGCCAAATCGCTCGCTCACGTCGCGCGTCGGGCGGACGAACCCAAGCAGCCAGGTTCAACGCGGCAAAGGACGGCGCCCATGCTGGATCGGCCTCGGATTGGCCCGCGCGGCTGGGCCGGCATCGATGCCGGAGCATCGTGGTCGCCACATGCGACGAAGCAATGTGACGAGGCAGCCCGAGCCCTAGAGATAGAAACGGGCGTAGACGAATGGAGTCGCCGGACGCTCGCCATGAAGGCGCCATCGCGGCCGAGTCCTGCTGGCTGGCGTGCCTGTGCGCGCGCGAGCGAGTCTTGTAACGCAAAGATTCAGGAGAGGATAGCGCACTGCCGGAAGCCATTCGAACGAATGCCTCGCGTGCGCAGCGCTCTCTCGGATCTCGAGATTCTCGGCGAGCTCGCTGCCGGCAACAGATGCGGACAGATTCCGAGGCGCTGGTTTAACACAAGTCTCCGCTGGCGCAACTCACGTTAGAGACTGCAGGCTAACGTGACGTGGTGCTCAGCTCGGAAGCTCCAAGCTCCGCTGCCTGCGCGTTCAGTTGCCGCGTCGACGCCGACGGCGAGCATCCAAGGAGCCAGGCGGCGGCGCTGGGCTGGTTTCTGGGCGATGAATTCACCGTGAAACCGCGCGTGCGCTGCGGCAGCGATCGCCGCTTCAGAATGACATAGCCATGCGCCGGCATCCAATCAAGGCCTCGCACGCTGCCACGCCCCAAGGCCACGCGGAATACGGACAGATTCAAGCAGGCAGATCCCGCCCCCATACTCTCGGCAAGTGTAGCGCTGCACCGGCACCGTCCGCGGGTCGGTTCTGACCGCTGGCGCACGCTTGCAGAGCCGAGCTCGGAACTTCGCCCGGCCATCGGTTCAACCGGTCTGCCTCGTCACTTTTTTCCGGCCCCGGCAGCTTGGCATTCACCAACTTGCCTCGAATCCGCCAGCCAGCCAGCCAGCCAGCCAGCCAGCCAGCCAGCAAACTCGCCTGCACCGCAGCCATGGGAGTGCGACCGGAGATCCTGCCACTGCGCCTCCAGCGCTCGCAGCCGCGCGCCGCCAAGTCCCCGCGCGGCCTTTCGAAGCGCGCGAGCTTCCGCCGCCAGTCGTCCGCCGAGCCCATCGAGCTGCCCGAGGACGTGCGCACGCTCAAGCAGAAGATCCTCGCCTCGCACCCGGCCAAGCTCACGCGCTTCAGCCTGAGCCACATGCGGCACAAGGCCATCCCGCCCGTGCTCATTCCGGACTCGCTCAACGACCGCCGCGCCGTGCGCACGCTCGTGGCCGGCCACAGCGTCCCGCTGACGATGGGCATGTGGGCGAACTGCAAGCGGAGAGCCAAGCACCTGGACATGATCGACGAGTACGTGACGTACCGGTGATGGCCGACACTCGCCTCGCCTCGCCTTCGTTCCAGTCAGATATCCCTCCCCCTCGCCGCCGTCCTTCGGAGACGACGAGTACAGCGCCGAGAACCTTTCAGCCGCCCCGCCAAAACTAGTTTCTACGCGCAACCAGCTCGTTCAGACTTGATAGAGTGCCAGGAAGCTTGGGCTTGAACGCGACGCAATGCAATGCAATACAGTATTTATTCAGTATCCACTCGGCCAAGTCGTCGTTCCGATGCAGCCAGTGTTTAACCACGCCAATACCTGTAGCAGACGCCACTTCCTCACAGCAAGCAACAGCAACAGCCTAGCGCCCCTCACCAGCCACAGCAGCAACCATAAACATATCCTCCACGCCAACAGACAAGTGCAGATCTCCGTGCCGCTTCTTCAGATTCAGAGGGCTTGGTGTCTCGAGCTTCGAGTCGGAGCCGTCGTGCTGTAGACGAAAAAGGCCGGAGCTGCCTCGCCGACGTCCGCCCCCCTCCTGCCTTCCTTCCTGCAGCGTCATTTAACGTGCCCAAACGAAGCTCCTTCGACTCCATTCATCGACGCCACGGTCGGCTACTTCACAGCCTTCCTCTCAAAATGCGACCAAGTTATCCCAGAACACCTCCCAAACTCGGCCTCCACATGGTGCATCTCCATAGCAAGGGAGGGCCCATGAGGGGGATGCGCCACTGCACCGGCACGCGCGAGTCGACTCGAGAGTGAGACCCCTGATCATCGACCGAGCTCATCAGCTGGAGGCGATTGGATGTGTCCATTGCGTTGCACGCCTTTCGCCATGTTTGCCCGCTTGACATCAGCAAGAATGTTTGGATGACACCTAGAGACGGAGCCACTTTTCCTTGTGGTGGCGGACGAACGGCGACGGAGACCGCGACGCCGACGGCGGGGCCGGCCTCACAATTGAATTGGCTACGCTGAGCCCAAGTCGCCTGCCTTCCTAGCTGTCTGGCTGCCTGGCCCGCCACCACCTCCACCTCCACCCCCTTTAACAAACAACCCGCGATGGGACTGCTGCCCCCGCGCAAGAAGTCCAACCTGCTCTTCAAGCAGCGCTCGAGCGCGCACAAGCGGCCCGAGGAGGACCCGCTCGTTGCGACGCCGCTGCCGCTGGAGGCCCAGAAGCTCAAGACGCACATCCTGCAGGCCCACCCGCAGCCGCTGCTGCGCTTCAGCATGAGCCGCATGCGCCACGTCGTGGCCCAGTCCCCCGTGGAGATCCCGGCCGAGCTCCGCAAGAAGAACCTCGTGACCAGCCGCGTGTCCGGCCGCAGCGTGCCGCTCACGCGCAGCATGTGGGACAAGCAGATGAAGCAGTACAAGAAGCACAAGCTCGACGTCATCGGCGAGGGCATCCACTACCAGTGACAGGATGGCTGGACGATCCGCAGTCCACCCAACCCAAACGCACAACTGATACCTTACGCAGTGCCGTGAATACTGTTCACCCTCGTCGAGATGTAGATTAATTAAAGTCCCTATGAAAAGCCAAATACACTACTTTATCCACTGAAAGCTATCACCCCTCGCCTGTGCAGTGAATTCATTCCGAAATGTCAACCCACGCGTAAGGCATGACCACGGGATTAAAGTGACTTTTTTTTAAACCAAGCGGCAATGCGACGCTAGCGTGAAGTGTTTGGGTAGTGTTCGTCCAACCAGGCCTGAACATGACAGATCAAGTGGTAATTCTCATCCTTCTCATAGCTGCGCAACGTTTCCCTGGAAGGCACATCACGGATGTTCTCCAGAAATTGCGGCGTGAACACATAGCTGCAGCGATCGTGGAGAAACAGCAGCGTCTCGAAGCTTTCCGCAGCGTCCTCGCTATCTAGGACGATGCCAATCTTGTGTCCAGGAAAGAGCGACTGCAGCCAGCACGCCACGTGGAATTGCTCACACTCCACAGCTCTATCGATTGCCACGACAGTGCAAGACTCCGGAATGTTTTTATACAGCCACTTGACAGTCTCCAGATGCCCATTCTCAGCTGCCAGGATCATCGCTTGGTCCGAGCACCCCTCGGAACGGTTGGAATGCAGCCACTTCACCACGGCCAGGTGACCAGAAGCCGCAGCTTTATCAATGGCGTCCTTCGTGCAATCATTCGGCCGGTTATGATGCAACCACTTCATGACATCCAGGCGGCCTCCGCTCGCAGCAGTGTCTATAGTACGAGCGTTGCCTTCCTGTCTGCAATTTTCTTGAAGCCACTTGAGTACGTTGAGATGGCCGCCTTCTGCAGACCAGCACATCAGCTTACCGGTACCAATATCCATAGGTTGACACCACTTCGCTCCTGCAGCCGGCGGCTTATCCAGCTCGTGGAAAAGCCTCAGGATCTCGACATACCCACTCTGGACAGTTGAATTGATTGCATTGGTCCATGCGTCGAGCCCGTACGAATGATGTTCCAGCAACCACTTGATCGAGCTTACTTGGCGTTTAGAGGTAAAAGCTGATAAAACTTCGTCCATAGCTCGACGAAATTGCTTCGCCCGAGACCAGATGAGTCCCTCATAGTGCCCTCCTTTGGCTGCAGCAGACAGGAGACAGTTGAATTCGCTTCCGTTCCTTATACGTTGGATTGCTTTATTGCCCAACGAGTGTGCCAGCAGCCACTGCAATACGGATAGATATCCATGTCGACATGCCTTCTTTAAAGCGCTGACCCAAGCTTTAACCCAGCACTTGTCCCTCTTTGGAAGAGGAGAATGCAGCTGCACAACGCTCTGCATGAGGTCCAGGCGTCCACTGTGGGCCAAGCTGCGCACCGTTAACGCAGCGCGGCGGCTATCAAATTGCAGACAATACCCGTGCTCCAGCATCTTCTCAGTCACTTTAGTATGCGGACAGTAATCAGCAAAGTCAAACATGCTTTGGCCAGTGGGTACTAGCCGCTCCGCGAGCTCAAGATTCCCAATACGCAGAGCGTGAGTGATGGCGGTCGCCTTCTCCAGTTGATTAAAGTGCATACCCGCGTCCAGACACTGAGTGAGTTGTCCATTCTCGCAGGCCCTCTCGATCGTCTTACCGTCCCACAAGGCGTCATCAGGATCAAAGCGCACTGAACATCCGACGTTCGAACCTGCGTCGTGACTTTTATCTCCACACCGATTTTCCCACAAGAATCGAAGCACGCACAAGTTTCCGTCCCATTTGGCTTCGTCGGCTACAGTAGCGGGAATCTCGCAACCCGAAAAATGCTCAAAGAGCCACTCCACCATCGGTAAATCCCCCCGACCAGCAGCTACTTCCAGCGACCTCGAGAACTGCCACCTGTGGTTGTGCGGGTTCGACCGTAAAAAGTTGCTCACGGACCACTCGACCGTTCTGTCAGCAGCGCGAGTAGCGCTATCACTCCAAATCCAGTCGAGTAGGACAGTAGACCCAAGCCGGCAGGCTTCATGGAATGAGAGGTGCCGAGGAGGCCCCAAGAAGCGAGTGATGACATTGGTGCTCTGCTCCAGCGCCATCATGGCTGGAGCGCATCGTAATACGAGGTACAGAGCAGTTAGCATAGCTCAAGTACGGGAAAGGGGGGAATGAATTGATAACCGTTGAAAGCCCGACAAGGATTGATCCAGTGGGTCAAGTTCAATCAATCCGATGAGATTCCTGAGAATTCTGGCGCTCTCCTCTCAAAACTCCCCTAATGGAGGAGATGGCCGCACCTGAGCCCGCAACCTGGGAGCACCACGACTCCATGGAGTTTCCAAAGGAGCTGCCAATGGAGCACAGCTACAAGAAGCAGTCGTTCTACGTGCGTCCGTGCTACCTCAAGTATTACGACATGGTCCTGGAGTTCCTAAGCAGAGATGCGGACGCAGTCACGATCACGGGGACAGCAGGTAAGTGGCCGATGATGTTTTCTTTAAATTGAACTCGATAGTACCTAACTAGGCTCTGCTCGTAGGCATTGGCAAGTCGGTCTTCTATGCGTACTTCTTCAAGCGCTACAGCTTCGAGAACAAGGACGCCACGGTCATCACCGCCTCGTTCGAGAAGGACAGGGGCAAGTCCAAGATGAAGTAGGTGGTGGTGTGGATCAATGGCCAAGTGGTGGCCCAGGCCTCGGGTGACAAAGCGCAGATGAAGGAGGTCATCCGACAAGCCGAGAAGGCGGCGAGTGAGGCCAAGACCAAAGTGATTCATTTGTACGACGGACCACCCACTTCGTGCCCTGCGGACGCTCCAATGGTGTGCTTTACGAACCCGGACGAGACGTGGTTCGCCAAGCTGGATATGTACCCCGACCGTCCGAAGCTGTTCATGCCGGTGTGGGATCGTGACGAGCTCCAAAATACCGTTGAGGAGCTGGAGCTTGAGATGGACCCTCCTGTCGCGGGGGTTGAGACCAAAGACGACGAAGAAGGACCCAAAGACGATGCTGTTATGATTGGCGAGCTACTCGACCAGCGTTTCCATCTCTTCGGCGGCGTGGCACGTGACTGTCTGTCCACGGACGCGAGCTTCGTCCAGGAGCGGGAGGCATGGCTGGAGAACACTATCGGGAGTCTGGTCGACGTGAGCGAGATGCTAGATCCCAACTTGCTGCGGCTCGGCCTCGTCCACTACATCCCGGACCCAAGCAACCCGAGAAAGTATACGACCGACAACGCGAGCTTGTTCGTGCGGCGCTCGATGGTGCAACACCTGGGGCAAATGTTTCACAATTGGAAGTAGATCTACTGCAAAGGATGAAGCCTCCACAGGCCTGGAGACGAGCGAGTTTTTTTCTTATCTTTTTTTATTTGGCGAACTAATGACAATGAAGTGGATGGCTGACTCGGTTTGTATCCTTCTCCCTCTATCTCGTGGTGGGAACGTTTATCTTTTTTTACGTGAATGCGATTATTTATCTTGCTTTCTTTTGCGCAAGAAACGCAATCAGGATTCAACATTATCTAGCGTGGCACATTCGGGTAGTGCTCGTCCAGCCAATTCTTCACATGGCCGATCAAGTGATAGTCCTTCCCCACCCAGCTTCGAAATCCCCCATCGGAAAGTTCCCTACGTAGGGTTTCCACAAACTGCGGCGTGAAGACGTAATTGCAGCACTCGTGAAGAAAGAGGATCCTCTCAAACAAACTCTCCGCAGGTCTGCGGAACATGCTCACAGAAGTGAGTCTTCCGTCACTGCTCACAACGCTGGTCTGAACCCTGTAGTCAGGAAACTTCCGCTGTAGCCAGCACGCCACACGAAAATGACCACCGCGCAGTGCCCTATCAATCGCATCGGACGTCCAAATCTCCAGCATGTTCACATACAACCACTGGACCATTCGGAGCTGACCTTCCTCAGCTGCCAAGCACATCGCGTCTTCCGAGCATCTCTCAGAGCAATTAGCGTACAGCCACTTTACCACCTCCAGGCGGCAACGAAGCTCTGCATTCTTCATTGCGTCCTTCGTGCTGCCCTCGGAGCGGTTCTGATGGAGCCACTTGACCACCTCCAGGTGGCCATTCGCTGCTGCTTCTCGAATGGCGTCCCCTGTGCAGCCCTCTGAGCGATTCTGGTGCAGCCACTTGACCACATCGAGGTGGCCTTCAGCAGCAGCAACATCCATAGCACTAGGCCCGCACTTTTGAATACGATTCGCTTGAAACCACCTGAGTACTTCGAGGTGCCCACCTTCCGCAGCCCAGTACATAAGATCCGAGCCCGGGTACGCCGGCCACGAATATGCTTCATTAATGCGTCTTCTCTTCGACTCCGCCCTCGTGTAAGGCGTCGACGAGTCCAGCTCATGTAAAAGCTTCAAAACCTCCAGGTGTCCATTCTGGACACTGGAAAAGATCGCGTGGTTCCATACTTCGAAGTCGTACATACTGTACGCATGGTGTTCCAACAACCATTTGATCGATCCCGCTTGGCCGTTGCTGATAGCAGTGTCCATAGGCTCCAGAAATTCAACGACGAGTCCTTGAGAGTACAGGAATTTCATCACGTCTGTGTTTCCTCCTTCAGCTGCAGCAGATAGAAGACAGACCCTCTCGTTCTTTATGCACTCACACACTTTCCACAACGGATGCCCTACGAGCAGCTGCACAACTGGAAGTTGTCCATGTCGACAAGCCATCTCCAAAGCGTCGATCCAGAGAGACACGCAGTACTCATGATGTCGTGGGAATCGAGAGTACAGCTTGGTAATGCTCTGCAGGAGGTCCAAGCGCCCCGCGCAAGCTAGAGGTGGCATCATTGACATAGCGAGACGTTTATCCCGCTGCAGATACCCACACTCGAGTAGCCACTCGATCACTTCAACGCGCGTGCAGCCAGAAACATAGTCAAATATGCTTCGATCTGGGGGTACAAGCTGCTGCGCCAACTCAAGTTTCCCAATATTCAGAGCGTGTTTGATAGCGACTTCCTCTTCTGCTGCCTTGAGACGCAAGCCTTCGTCCAGACACTGAGCGAGTTGCCCATTCTCGCATGCCATCCGGATCGTTTCATCCGTCCAACAGGAAGCACCGTCGTAGAAGCGTACAGAGCAACTTTGGCGATCAGTGTCTTGGCTTTCGGCTCCAGACTTGTGCTCCCGCAGGAAGCGCAGCACCCGCAAATATCCCTTCTTTTTGGCTCCGTCGGTGACGGTAGCGGGGGCCTCACAACCAGAGAAATGAGTAAAAAAACACTGCACCATGAGTAAATCTCCTCGATCAGCGGCTACTTGCAGCGATTTGGAGAACTGCCACTTGTGGTAGTGCGGGTCGAATCGTAAGAAGTTGGTCAAAGCCAATCCGGGTGTTCTGTCAACGGCGCGGGTACAACTGGCACTCCAGATCCAGTCAAGCAGCGCAATAGATCCGAACTGACAGGCTTTATGGAGTGGGAGGTTTGGCGGGGGTCCCAGGAACCGAGAGATGGCGTAGCTAGGGTCTCCATGGCCGCATTGAGACGTAGCACGAGGCGCACGATGGTGAGCATATTTCACGCCGGAGCTTCCTAACGACGGAGTAAGAGGTGAAGTGAAGAAAACCCTTTCCCGGAATTTGCTGGTTTTGAGTTTTGATCTAGCGGGAGTAATTTGATGTAAACTGCTGGTTAGAATCTGTTCAACTAATTGCCCAGCTATCCTAGAATTGATTCGTTCGGTCTTTGGGTAGTGTTCGTTCATCTAGTTTGTAGGCCGATGATCCTTTGGCTGAATGCCTTTCAGCAACAGCAACAAAACCGGTGGAAAACAAATAAAATAATACAAAAAACTGAAGAGGTGGGTGATCAGCACGTAACATCGATTGAGGCGCCTGGGAGATGGTTGATGGAGTACAGGCAGCCTTGGAGCACCAGACCAGCGCAGTCGGCAAACATGACACCGACCGTGTCGCCCACAGACACCGCTGCAAGTGCCAGCTCAACGTGACTCGGTGCGATCTCCTTCGACAGCAGCGTGTAGGCGTTCACGTAGACGCCGCCGCCGAGCAGTCCGATCACGAAACACACGACCAGCAACCCCCAGTTGTACCAAAAGTGCGTGGCCGCCACGAGAGTGAAGAACCCGAGCAGCAGCACCTGCAGCGCCGGCATGAGATACAGAATGGGCCGCGTAGCTTGGAACAGCACGCCGGAGGACCTCGAGAAGAACACTCCGGCTTGGTAGGCTAAGCCCGCGGCCGAGTAGAAGCTCGCGCGCGCGTCCTTGCTTTCAACAGGGAACCCGATGGCCGACCACACTCCCGTCTGCATGGTATACTCGGCCAAGTAGACTGTTGCCAGCGGGATAATGTATGGCCCCAGTGTCAAAATGAACTTCATCTTGGCTCGGAAGCTCATCGTGGACGCGTCCGTCAGCGTCGGCGTCGCCTGGTCCTCGGTCGCCACCTCCGCGTCCTTCCTCCTGAGCTTCAACTGGTCTTTCGTGGTGTCCAAGGCCACGGCCATGACCGTGACGGCCACGCCCGCGTCCTGCCCCGACGCCGCATCGGGGATCGGCATGTAGTGGCACGTCCTGGCCGGGGGCAGCCTGGACCTGTCCAGCACAAAGAGGAACACGAGCACATAGAGCAGCGGGAAGACGCAGGCGAGCTCGAGCGTGGCCTGGAAGCTGAGCCCGCCCCAGAGGTGCAGCAGCGCGACCCAGGCGTAACCGCCCACCCCGGCGAGCCCCGTGCCGCTGGACCAGCACGTGAGGCACTGCACGGGGCTGGCGTAGAAGGAGGTCATGGCCAGGAAGCTCGCCTCCATCATGCCGGACTGCAGCCCCGAGAAGGCCACGCCCAGCAGCTGCAGCCCCAGCGAGTGGCGGCCGCGCGCGACGACCAGGAAGCTCAGCAGCATCCACACGGCGCCCGCCACTGTGCGCTGGCGGTAGGACACAAGCTGGAACCAGTACGGGCCCGAGAGCTTGACCAGCAGCGCCGGGAAGATGTCGAACAGGTAGACGAGCCCCACGCCGCCCGCCGCGATCTCCTGCGCGCCCGCGATCATGACGACGTAGCCGAGGTTGTTGACGAAGCCCAGCACCCAGAACGCCACCAGGTTGCGCAGCGCCTCGCCGCCCTGGGGCTTCGCGTCGGCGGCCGCATCCATTTTCGACACACGACAACGTCCACTTCAACTGAGGTGTCGAATCGCAGGCTTTGACCAGCACACGCTGTCGATATCCGTGTATTACCTACCTTATTTAGTTATAATGGGGTTTTAGTTATAATGGGGAGCCAATCAGTGATCTTAATTCGTACAGCGCGATTGCCCCAACGCGATGTCGTGATTGAAGTACCGCATGTAATTTACGGCCACACCTCCCCCCGCACAAGTCAAAATGCCGAAAGGCAGAACGAGGATCACAGGCCCCGGGCGAAAACCGCCTAAGTCAGCCGTTCAAAATGAGAGCCCCAGATCGTGTATTGATGGCTCGGTGGATGAACGAGACGTGGAATGACATGGCAACGTCTACCATTTGCAACGGGTTCCGTAAAGCAGGGATTATTGACAAGCCCACGATTGATCGGCAGTGTGAGCTGCCTTCTCTACTAGAGGACGACGAGGGGGGAAGACGTGTTTGCATTGCTCCAGGCTGCAGGACTTCTCGATACGGAAGTTGGCATCATCGATCCAGACAATGACTTTGATCCGTAGGCAGAAATAAATTTCGTAATATATGTAGGTGAGTGAAAAGTTGGTAGTAATTTACTGGAGTGCCTGAGTTGTTGAACTTGGGTCGTCTGCTGCACACCTTCTACGAGCCCGAGCCCGTCAACTTCAAAAGTGGGCTCCCCCTAATACGAGAGCCAAAAGTCGCACAAAACGGGCTCCCTCATGATAAGTACGAGATCAAGGAGCCCTGGTTCGGGCTCTCCATCCAAATTTAGCTTCAAATCTATGACGGGCTCTTCATAGTAATATCTGATTGGCCAATTTTACCTAGACTTAAGGCGAGCAACTTCGCGTGATCGATGCGCCACGCTAGAAGATCGAGCTCAAAGATCACCACACTAGAAGATCTCGCGCCGCTCATATGTGTACAGCCGCTCCGAGGCCACCCCAGCGTCGCCGATCGTCCTTCCTTCCCCTCAAGGAGAAGCCCTCTTTCCTATGCCTTTTCAGGTTAGAACCTGGAGATACTTCAATGACGGCCAATCATCAGCGAGATATTTAACACAGGTGAGGGGGGAGCCCTTAACGAGGGCTCAAACAGTTCTGGAGGGCTCCTTTCACTTAACTTATTGAACTCAAGAGCCCAGGAGCCCGAGCTCGCGACTTTTTGGGTTCACCCAAGAGCCCAGGAGCCCGGCTCTCCCCAGGGCTCGTAGAAGGTGTGGTCTGCTGCAGGAAGCACTCACCCAAAATTGTACCACCCCCCATTATAACTAAATAAAGTCGGTAATAAATGGGGAAATTGCAATTTGGTCAGGAGTTTGACTTGGAATTTGCAATTTGGTCAGGCGTTTGCTAATCAGTCATGACTTCTGAAATTTAGAATTAAGACGGTCCTAAACATTAGATTTAGAATGTTTTAGATTGCTGATGAGCAATATGCTGGACTGCACCTGGTCTCGGCTAGCAAGCATTACAACATAAAGTAACTTTGGGTCTTACTCTCCATTACCCAGCATCTACCAAAATGGTAGGGCAGTAGGACGATCAGTGCTTGCTCGTGGGTCCTCAGAGAGACCCTGTAAATTGCAAGTAGCGACTCGTAGGCCACAAAGGCCGCCTGTCATTTGTCTCAGTATAGCTTAGCAGGAGGACTACCTCCTTGAGTCGGGAGATGGCTGGAGAGTCCTGAGCTAACAGCTCACGACACGAAACAACAGACGTACTAGCACATTATTGGAAGAATTGGTTCTAGTAGTGTATTCCAGATCTGGCGTGCCAATTCTAACTTTCAGAAGTCCTGACTGATTAGCAAACTCCTGACCAAATTGCAAATTCCAAGTCAAACTCCTGACCAAATTGCAATTTCCCCTTAATAAATCCGACGTCAACAAAAGTCTATTCTTGACAATTAGTGTGATCACCATACAAACATCAAGGTAACTCGCTATCAGCCAGGCCAGCATGAGCCGACACAGCAAGAATGGGACGGCCACGACGCACTTCACGTACCACGAGCGGGCGGCCGCGGGCCACGGCACGCTGAAGCGGCGCTTCGGGCGCGACGCGCAGCTGTCCTTCGGCGCGTGCTGCCTGTGCCTGGCCTCCACGCGCGGGCGCAGTCCGCTGGCGTCGCCCGCGGGCTTCGTCTACTGCAAGGAGTGCATCTACGCCAACCTGCTGGCGCAGAAGCGCGCCATCCAGGAGAACGCGGCGAACTACGTGCGCTTCGTGGAGGCGCAGGAGCGCAAGACGCAGGACGCGGCGCTGCAGCAGGAGCGCGACACGCTGCGCAAGGCGCTGGACGCGACCGAGGGCCACCACGCGACGACGGCTGTGTCCTCCTCCTCGCTAGAGCCGCAGGAGCGCGCCGCGCTGGCCACGCGCAAGCTGCAGGAGAAGGTGGACGCGGCCACGGACGACGAGCGGCGCGAGGCCATGAGGCGCACGAGCTTCTGGATCCCGGACTGCACGCCGTCGCAGGAGACGACGGTGGCCAAGCCCGACGCCAAGACGAGGGACCCCATGAGTCTCGACGAGATGAAGCTCAAGCACCTCCTGCCGCTCAAGTTCGAGTGGGACACATCTGACGACACGAAGGCCAAAGAGGCCCACGTGCTCTGCGCCGTGACCAAGAAGGAGGTCTCCCACCGCCGCGCCGTGCTGCTGAGACCGTCCGGCCAGGTGGTGCTGGAGAGCTGCCTCAAGGACATGGTGCTGCCAAGCATGACGTGCCCCGTCACGGGCCTCAAGCTGCGCAAGAAGGACATCGTGCACCTGCAGGCGGGCGGCACGGGCTACAGCGCGCACAGCACAGTGGAGGCCAAGAAGTACAGACCCACCATGACATAAAGATACAAATACGCTCGGGTTGGATGTAGTACGTGGTGGTCGGTTTGTTTGTTGGTTGGTTGGTGTTTCCCAAACGGTAACTCAATCGGAGGGGGAATTGTCGCTCGACTACGGTTCGTGTCCACGGTGGGGTTGCTCACGCTAGAGAATTTGGTTCGTGCCCACGTAGGGCGAGTGAACGCCCCCTAGAAGAAGTTGGCGGGTCCAGCGTGGGCAGCCAGGGATCGGAAAATAAAAATTGATATTGTAAAATTGTAATATTGTTGGGCAACAATATTGTATTGTAGCGATGTCATCAATATCCACTATTTATTGTCAATATTGTTCAGGAAGAAAAACTGCCCCTACCTTTTCTTACGATATTAAAGAGCACCATAAGCTAGTTGTCCTCTCCTTTTTCCGTGGCTGTTGCCTATTGAATACTTCTGGCAGCCTTAATAGCACTTCGCTGGTCATCAGACCCCAATCCATCGTCAGTACTTAATCGAGTCTCAGTTTTTTTCACGTTTCGCGTCGAGGGGTCGATGGCGCTGAACAACCGAATTAAGTATACGTAGACTTGCTCTCTTATCGAGCTATGGTTTTCTCCATGAGAATAGCCTTGAGGTCCGCAGGGCTGCACTTCTGTTTTCTTTACAGCCACGTAATGGCACCAACGTGTATACGTAATAAATTTGAGCAGATACTGCGACTACGTGCGAAAAGACTTCGTATGCGTGGGAGGGGAGACACTTAGACCTCAGAGCTGCAGCGTTACTGCGGTACCTACGTCGGTGATAATAACTTGGCTTGTGTCCTTGGCAACAGACGTCATGAAAGAGGGAGAGGTACCCCAACCGAGTCTCCAACATTGCTCGTCGATGCTTCTGTCTGGTCACTTTCGCTTTAGACACTAGGAAGACCGTCAATCATGTTCGGACACGTACAGTTAGAGGGTAAAGACTCGCTAACCATTGGGGATAAGTGCCATGACGATTCATGCTAACATTACTCAACGTACTCAAATACTCTAGTACAGTACAATATATCGCCATACTAAAGGTAAGTATGGCAATATATTGGGGCAAATATTGATATTGGTACAATATTGATTCATGCTCTTTCGTGAGACGATATTGGTTAGAGAGCATACCGTAAGACAAAGCGTCTTACGTTTTGCAATCAACGCATTTTGATTACATCTTGATTTTAGTATACCAGTGGCAACATTGTATTTTGTCACTCAAAACGTAAGACAGTTTGTCGGACACCAGTTTGCGCCATATTATTGGTCAAAAGCTCTACTTGACGTGCAGAGCTGCATGCACATGCTCGGGTCCACTCAACCACGACAGCGGTGCGGATGCAGGCTGTGTTGGTGCATCTTTGTTCGCCAAGACGACGCAGTTGCATGGCGCGTAGGTCCGTCAACAACAGGATGATATTATAGCTGCAGCCACGGCGGCCGCGCCAGGCCTTGCGTGAAGCCTTAGCGCTAAGGCTGTTGTGATCTGTTGCTCTTAAAATGCCACGCCCAGAGCTTTTCAGTGCCCGGATGGTAAGGAATTGTAAGGATTGCGCCGCACTCCTTGCGTTTTCGCAGCTTGCCACAGGCAAGCGAATCTCTCTTTGTGAACAAAATGCCTCCGTCCGAACGGAGAAGCTGGATGCGTTGACCGAACACTCGAATCTGATGCGGCCGGCACGGGATTACTCGCACCGCCGAAGTACAAGATTCAGAGGTGCGCTGTAGGCGCTCTAGATCTATTACTTGTAGTGTATGGGGCCCGAGATTCGACAGCAGAGCTCCTCTGCTGCCAGCCAGTCTCGCAGTGATAGCAGTCTTTACCTCTAAGTCTCAATCTCACTTTTCAATTTGCCTCGAACCCCAAGCATCACCTCAACGACACTACACTATACCAGCTTCGCCCCCTCAACTGCTTTCAACCTCCACCCTTCCTCGCCGCGCCGTGCCCAAACACAACAGGAATAGTGTCAGGAGGGAAATATTGTAGGAGTTTTCGTACTGTCAGGTTGCATTGTACGTATCATGATGCGGGCAAGCCCTCCTTCAATAACGGGGTTAGTTACGTAGCATAAGAGGCAACGATTCTGAAATCTAGAGCGCTTATAACCGCGCCAGTCTATTGCTGTCTGCTAAGCTTGAATCTACGTAGTGTTTCCGTTTCGGCTTTGTTGACAAGTTTCTAGAGAGTGCTCGAGCGTACATTCTACTCGTTTGCTATTCAATGTACGCTCAAGCACAATTCAGTTCTCCGTGTACCAACCGCGTCGTGTCCTCCGAAGGGCATCTCCCTACTTACGCTGACTACGCGGCTTCATGGAAGAGCTCCTCGGACCTCATAAAATATGTATAATACACACTTTCATTTGAAGGACCTGGCATTTAGTAGGTCGCTAGTTAGACCAAATAACTGTGATGCACTTCACATTACTACGAAATCGAAAACGAAACAAATACACGTTCATGCTGCCGATTCTGCTCGTCAGCACGGCTATCCGTTGCTGGTGCATGCCACGACGGCGACGCAGACGGCCGGCCAAGGGCATACACGGACAACACCACGCATAATATTAGCCAATCACACGGCTAAATTTGATTTGTCGTCAAACTGTCTTACGAATGCTCGACACAAGTGAATAACTTGAGCCAACAGAAAGAACCTGTGTTTGATGATTTTCGCTGAAAGGCTTTCGGTTCGATAGGGAGGGATAGTAATCTTCGAATGGTTGAAATACAGACTACTACTAATACAAATAATAATTAAATAACTACTACTCCGAGTAGTACTGTAAATCTAGGATTGATACTATACTTGTAGTGGAGCATCTCAGTCGCGTTGCTCCGTTGAGTTGCTTAGGTGGCCGACACCCTGCAGTGGAATCTCCACTGCAGGCCGACGTCCCCGCCCTCCTAATGGATCTAATGAAGTTATTGATTAATTGGGTCTAAGCCATTACGTGCAGATCGGTGCAGCTTCCGATCCGGCATCACATCTTCGATTAGGAACACTATTATCATAGAACTGCATGAAGAACTCGTCATTGCATGTAAGAAGTGCATTGCGAGCTTTACATGCTGGGGGTTGCACCCCCAGACCCCGCAATAGAAAACTAACTCCGAGTTGGGGCAACGGGTCCGTTCGCTGGAATGCTCGTCGCTGGCCCCCCCTACGCAAATACCGCGGCCCTGCTTCGCGGGCACCCCGCGCGGGTTTGCTGCGGCTACGCTCCTCGCAACCGCTCACTACCGCTTCTAGTACTGCAGTCAATGATGGGGCACGAGCTTGAAGCGAGAGTCTGTCCAATCTTATTTTCTTAAATAAACTGTAGGAGACTGAGTCTGACGCTCCCGTATATAAGCTTGCTGACCGTGTTCCCTCCACTCTAAATCAGGGTACGAACGTATGCGACGAGGCGTCTAGTCACATCATCAGAGCAAATAAAATATACAGTCACACCTCTATAAATGACACCCAGTTCGCTCGGTCTAATGCGCCGTTTCAGTTAAAGAATTGATCAGATAAAGAAAGGGCTACACTTCTAATGGGTACATTTTCATATATTAGGTGCACAGTACAAGGTCTTTCTTTACCTGGTACCCTTCCAGCATTTTCGTACTCTTGTTTTGTTTCGTCATCACACAGACAGAACTTTACCAATAACGGTAGGCGCGGTATTGTCTGTTCCTACTCCTTCTTCTCATTGGTATTAGCAGAATCGCATCCCCTCAGGTTGTACGTGAGTTTCAATACAGTGAGGTTATGGGAATATTTTTTGTCCCGATATCCTGCCACCATGCCTGCAGTTTTATCTTTTGCTTGGTATCTACTGCATAGCCCCTAGTTGTCTCGACATAATAATATTTTAGTTTTTCGTAATATATATATGTACGCTGCGCTGATTGTAAAATATTGTGACTAGCTTATTTATCAGTATTTACAAGCTTGCAGTTACTGCAAACTCTTTGTTCCAACTTAGCATCCCAAATACAATTTCTCTCTTCGCATGATTTCTTGTGGCGGGAGTAGTGGTAGCAATGGCATACATGGGAGGAGGCAGGCAAGTGATTGATAAAATATATGAGTTTGGATCTATTACTACGGCGACCATTGAGAGGGTTGAGGCGCCAACAATGGCGACCATTTAGAGAATAAAGAGGTTTTTGATCAGTTATTGAACACCTATAGTGAAATCCATATAATCCCGTTTGCAGTCGAGGAATCCTAACCAGATAGGGAACACATAGTCAGTTAGAGGGGTTCACTAGAGCTCAGCGCGCCGCTTCGCAGGCGCTTCGCCTGGGTATGAGGGGTTTAGGCAATGATAGGGCGACCCCGTTCCGCTCGCGGAGCTCGCTGCACTACTCGCAGCGTGGGGCCGAGTATTTGATACAGTCGGTCCCTGCGGTCCCTCCGAGATTCTAGTTGGGAGCGGGCCAAGATAATCACGCTCGCTCAAGTGCGATTTTTAGCGTGATTGCGGCTATTTTTGTAATTGAGACCTATAGTGTAGATAACTGCGTGTTGTGGCTCTCCTATATGCTCGTCAACCGCGTCAAAAGCTCAGAGAGCCAGAATACTCTGTAGAGCTGTAGAGTGTTGGTGCTCATGCACAGCGGTCGTATTCAGCGTGATAGTATACTCTATTTTGGGAGCCAACGATTTTCAGCGAGTGACTGGTGAGGTGAATACTAAGATTGAAGTGATCAAGGGTTGATCGCTTCCGATTCCAGAACCGAACGGTGGCTCTCTGATCTTTTGACGCGGTTGACGAACAAATAGGAGAGCCACAATACGCAGTTATCTACACTGTAGGTCTCCCTCCACGAAGCACATGCGTGAGGCCGGCACGCTTTCTGAATCGGAGCCTTCGCCAGTTTAGCAAGTGTACGCGATCGTTGAGCTCCAAACAGCAAACGACGTTTTCCTATTACGCCGCTGAAGACTTCACCGTGACGGTACAGTAAACTGTACTTGTGTTACCATATCTGTGCGCACACCGCGTCGATCCTTCTTCTTCCGCACACCGTGAAATTCACTATAAATAGTATCAATCCTAGATTTACAGTACTACTCGGAGTAGTAGTTATTTAATTATTTGTAGTAGTAGTCTGTATTTCAACCATTCGAAGATTACTATCCCTCCCTATCGAACCGAAAGCCTTTCAGCGAAAATCATCAAACACAGGTCCTTTCTGTTGGCTCAAGTTATTCATTATTGTATATCGGTCTAGTCTGCATCTTGAGATCGCACTCAATCTACGCAGTTACATATAGCTCTATGTGGTGGTGGTGGTTTGATAGTGGTGGGTTCCCTGCAACCGGGATCCGGACATGGAAGACGCTTAGAAGTTGGACTGGCAGTCCGCGGCCGGGGCCACAGTCGTCGGCGCGGGCGTCACAGGCGACTCCACCTGCTCCACGTTCTGGGTCGCGTCCTCCAGCGTCGTCTCCGCCTCACCCTGCACCTCCTCGCCGGTGGTCGGGGCCGGCGTGGACGGGATCTCCTGCTGCTCAGGCGTCGTCGGGGCCTCCGTGGCCGGGGCCACCGTCGTCGGCGCGGGCGTCACAACCGTCTCCTGCTTCGTCGGTGTGGCGCTGTCGCACTCCTCCGCGTCGCCCGAGCCGAAGTCCTGCGTCCAGTAGTGCTGGTACGTGCCGTCCTTGTTGAACGCGTACGCAGAGCCGAACATCGTGTAGTCGCCCATGATGTTCTCCAGGTGCTCCGGCGAGTTGATCCACGCCACCATCACGTCGGCCACGTCGATCTGGCCGGCGGCCACGTTCTCGGCCACACTCTCCCAGTCGTAGCCGGCCTGCGTGATGCGCTCCGACATGGTCGAGCCGTCCGAGCCGTCGTGGGCCATGAAGTCCTTGGCGGCCATGTCGTCCGAGTGGCGCTGCGCGGCGGCGTGCAGCTTCTTGTTGAGGCACAGGGGCTTGAGGCCGCCCGTGGCGCGCTGCTTGTTCACGGCCGCCAGCATGGCGGACGCGTAGTCGTCGTACGCCGTGTACGTCTTGACGTTGGTGGCAATGGTGGTGCCGCCCAGGTTGCGCGAGCGGAGGTTGGCGGCGTCTGCGAAGCCGTTGGACGCGGCCGCCACAACGAACAGAAGGGCAAGCGAGGACTGAGCGATGGCCATCAGTGTTGTTTGGGGTAGTTTATGTGTGGGTGTGGGTGGAAGATGGCAAGTTCGAAAGTGAGCGCTTGGTTAGCCGGCACGCCGTGTAAAGTCGAGCAAATCGAGCCCAAGAGTTTGGCCGCGCGTTGTGACCTGATGTCGTGTCGGAAGTTGCACGTAGTGCCCCTTGCTGCGATCGCATATTTGCGAAGCCAAGATTGCAACGCTGGCGACCGAGTTTGTTCGGTCGGCAAGGCATTTCAGCCACGAGACGGAGGCCATGTGCCGCTGCGGAAGATTGCAATGGGCCACCGCGCCGCCAGTAACTGGTCCAGTTGGCTCGGTGCGAAGATTGGTCGAACAGTTGTGTATCACTCAAAACGCGACCTCAACGATTGAGTCAATGACCCACGCGCGAGGACGCGAAATCGCCGTGTCGGACTTTACATTGCCCCCCCCCCCGAGGCAAACGTATTTTACATGTACAGTACATGTAGATGTTACCGCGCCACTGGTTGGTATTCGTCGATGATTGACCTCCGTGCATAATGATCGAGTCTTGTCAGGTTTTGATCGGAAGCCTCGTGCATTATGATGTGGCTTCGTGCAATGATGATCGAGCTCCGTGCAATGTGATCTCATTACGACGGTCTCCGTTGAATCAGAGACTCTCCGATACCGAGTTCGAAGATCTCGAATGTATCTACACTTCAAGTATTTATAGTATAGTTTCTGTCTCCTCCTCACGGCAATATCGAATGAAGTTTAGCTGGCAGAGCACGGTCGCCAGGGTCTTTCAGCCTATCATATATGTTGTATTCGCACCAACAGAGTTAAAGGCGAGCTTACAGCAGTCCTCACTCGACCGGTTGTCTCTTTTTGGTGCTGGCGCAACGATGGAAGTTGACAGGTGAGTTCAGGTACAGTGCGACTCTCGCAACCAATAAAGGTGTCGATCGATGTTTTATCAAGCGGGGTGGTATTAATACAAGACAACGAAACCCAGCCTCGACAAGCGATGCAGTTTCCGTCATGGCCGGACCTACGCTGAAGGCGCGCCCGGGCGTTCAGTACGGACGTGGTCCCCAGCGAACTTTCTCCTATGTCCTAAATCTACAAGACCAGCAAAACCTTTTGCTGCAGTACATGCAATAGCACTTGGTGTGCAGGCTGAGATTTCGCCATTGGAGGAAAGACGAGAGGAGGCTAGCTTGTCTCGTTGCAAGTTGCCTTTCACCCCGCGTCGTATCCGTGCCTGTTCAAGGCAGGTATAGTGTAATACTTGGCGGTGCTCGTAGTTCTTTTAACGAGGCTTCGTGCATCACGGTGTGCAAGATGCAAACAATGCAGTACAATATGCTTCCATACTACTTGTAGTGAAAGGCATGATGCAACCACTGCATTTGGACGATACCTTCACTAACAACTTCACACCCGCCGTTCACTCTTACATTAGATCAATGGTACGCAGTGGTCTTCGATTATCGACTTAGCTCACCTTGAGTCGCTGCGCGGCCACGCTTGGCTCAACCAGACAGCAATTGTGCTCTCTATCAGTCGCAGCAGACAACTGTTTTCACCGCCTACGGCGGAATACCACAAGGAGGCGCCCGACAAAGCACCACCGATAGAGTCCACAAGCTTCGCGCCAGACGGCACAACGTGCCACGAAGTCACGGGAGGGCTCTGTTACTTTGACCGTATGCGTGCCGCCATTACAGAGGGTACCCGTTGGGGTCTCGGAGTCGAACAATGAGGACAATCAGTTTTCGACGTCGACGCGCTCGTGTTTTACACCGCTAACCAAGCGCTCACTTTCGAACTTGCCATCTTCCACCCACACCCACACATAAACTACCCCAAACAACACTGATGGCCATCGCTCAGTCCTCGCTTGCCCTTCTGTTCGTTGTGGCGGCCGCGTCCAACGGCTTCGCAGACGCCGCCAACCTCCGCTCGCGCAACCTGGGCGGCACCACCATTGCCACCAACGTCAAGACGTACACGGCGTACGGCGACTACGCGTCCGCCATGCTGGCGGCCGTGAACAAGCAGCGCGCCACGGGCGGCCTCAAGCCCCTGTGCCTCAACAAGAAGCTGCACGCCGCCGCGCAGCGCCACTCGGACGACATGGCCGCCAAGGACTTCATGGCCCACGACGGCTCGGACGGCTCGACCATGTCGGAGCGCATCACGCAGGCCGGCTACGACTGGGAGAGTGTGGCCGAGAACGTGGCCGCCGGCCAGATCGACGTGGCCGACGTGATGGTGGCGTGGATCAACTCGCCGGAGCACCTGGAGAACATCATGGGCGACTACACGATGTTCGGCTCTGCGTACGCGTTCAACAAGGACGGCACGTACCAGCACTACTGGACGCAGGACTTCGGCTCGGGCGACGCGGAGGAGTGCGACAGCGCCACACCGACGAAGCAGGAGACGGTTGTGACGCCCGCGCCGACGACGGTGGCCCCGGCCACGGAGGCCCCGACGACGCCTGAGCAGCAGGAGATCCCGTCCACGCCGGCCCCGACCACCGGCGAGGAGGTGCAGGGTGAGGCGGAGACGACGCTGGAGGACGCGACCCAGAACGTGGAGCAGGTGGAGTCGCCTGTGACGCCCGCGCCGACGACTGTGGCCCCGGCCGCGGACTGCCAGTCCAACTTCTAAGCGTCTTCCATGTCCGGATCCCGGTTGCAGGGAACCCACCACTATCAAACCACCACCACCACATAGAGCTATATGTAACTGCGTAGATTGAGTGCGATCTCAAGATGCAGACTAGACCGATATACAATAATGAATAACTTGAGCCAACAGAAAGGACCTGTGTTTGATGATTTTCGCTGAAAGGCTTTCGGTTCGATAGGGAGGGATAGTAATCTTCGAATGGTTGAAATACAGACTACTACTACAAATAATTAAATAACTACTACTCCGAGTAGTACTGTAAATCTAGGATTGATACTATTTATAGTGAATTTCACGGTGTGCGGAAGAAGAAGGATCGACGCGGTGTGCGCACAGATATGGTAACACAAGTACAGTTTACTGTACCGTCACGGTGAAGTCTTCAGCGGCGTAATAGGAAAACGTCGTTTGCTGTTTGGAGCTCAACGATCGCGTACACTTGCTAAACTGGCGAAGGCTCCGATTCAGAAAGCGTGCCGGCCTCACGCATGTGCTTCGTGGAGGGAGACCTACAGTGTAGATAACTGCGTATTGTGGCTCTCCTATTTGTTCGTCAACCGCGTCAAAAGATCAGAGAGCCACCGTTCGGTTCTGGAATCGGAAGCGATCAACCCTTGATCACTTCAATCTTAGTATTCACCTCACCAGTCACTCGCTGAAAATCGTTGGCTCCCAAAATAGAGTATACTATCACGCTGAATACGACCGCTGTGCATGAGCACCAACACTCTACAGCTCTACAGCGTAGACTAAGCAATAAAAAAATACAAAGTATGTACATCGAAAGAGACTTGATCTTCTTGATTGAGTTCCTCTCGGCGTTTCACAGTATTTAGGCCGTAGTGTCACTATGGGCGAGCGCTTAATCTAGCCTGCGCTTTAAAAAGCGCAGTTCAGATTTTTTGTATTACTTGAAGTAAGAAATACTTGAAGTAAGAAAGATTGTCGATACTTTTTCTCGCCCGTTAGTATACAGTAGTCACCGCAAATTACGCGGCACCTGAAACCCTTCCTTTCCTATGATTGCGAGTTCTTGTGACAATATATGATACCGGTACTAAACTCTGCCTCGCCACTTAAGCATAGTGCTCAACTATGCATACGGTTGTCATTCCATCCAAAGGCACACACTCTATTACACTTGGTCTATGGGGTTTCAAATAGTGTGCAGCTTGCTAGAACTGAATTGAATTTTCCAGTCTATGAAGAAGTAGTCGGTGCTGCCGAACTCACTTTTTCAGCCTCTACATGTACTTCACGTAGCACTTGTCGGGCCACTGCCTCCCAGCTCTTGGCATGAGAAAACTTGTAGTGCAGCAGGTAGCTGAAGCCTCGCAGCAGCAAGGAGCAGCGGAAAGCCATAACGTACTCGTCTGGAATGTACTCGATACGGTCGATCCTGGTAAACGAAGGAAATACAACATAGAACGATTAGCGTGGCGTAACCAAACCAAGTCGACTGCACAGCTACGTTTGCCACTTACGTGTGTAAGTGCTCGACGAAAAGTTGAGCGTTCATGCCTTCCGTGACGGTTCGATCGTCGTTGTCGATCATCAATCGAGCCTGCTTTTCCAGGAAGTACGGGTCCATATTCGTCGTCCGGATGCGCATGTCCTTCGTCAGTACGTCGATAATATCATCGCGCGACCCACCCGCAAGTGCAACAACCAGCTTGGCCAGGTGAACTCGGTGCTCTCGCGAAATGTGCTTCACTTGGCCGTAATCGATGAGGCCGAGACGGCCGTCCTCGAGCAGCAGGATGTTGCCCGGATGGGGGTCTCCGTTAAACGATCCATCCACGAAAATCTCGTACCCGTGCACGTCCATAATGAGCTTCAAGATGTCTGGCAGGTTCAGCAACTGGTGCTGCTCGTCCTCCCGCGGCGCCCACTTCTTCGGCGCGATAAACCCCAGCGTGTAGTCGTAGGACGCCCTCCCGATGTGGCGCGCAAGGCGCTTCGCACCGAGCGTCAAGCCATACAAACGGAGCTGGAGCGACGTCGGGCCGGTCTCGATGTCCAGTCCTTGGGCCTCGCGCTCCTTGTCCTTGCGCTCCTGGTCCTGCTTCAGAAACTCCACGGTGACGCCCTTGTCCGCGGCGATGGCCTCGAAGTGGTCCTGGATCCCATCCAGCAGCTTGCGTCCTTTGAGGAACTCCATGACCAGCACTTCCTTGGTGCACAGCTCCATCTTTGGTTCCGGGATGGCCACCTTGGCGGCGTACGGGCTCTTGGAGATGTTGCTCCGCACCGTGGCCAGGTTCTTGGCCTCTTCCACGTAGTTGAACTCGGTCATGAACTGCTTCTCGACCTCCACGAGGTACGGCAGGTGCGCCGGCTGGAAGTACCGGCAGAAGTCCTGGATGGTCTTGATGTCCCAGCGGAAGAAGGTCTCCGCGTCCGGGTGCTGCACCTTGACGGCCACCTCCTGGCCGTCCAGCAGCTCGGCCCGGTGGGCTTGGCCGATGGAGGCCGCCCCGAGCGGCTTGGGGTCGATGGCCCGGAACACCTGGCCCACGGGTTTGCCGTAGCTCTGCTCGATGATGGCGCAGATCTCGCTCACGGGCTTGGACGGCGCGTCGTCCTGCAGCTGGGCTGCCCGGTCCAGGTACTGCTTGGGCAGCACGTCGGGCCGCGTGGAGCCCGTCTGGGCCAGCTTGACGTAGAAGCCCTTGAGCTCCAGCACGATGTCGAAGACCTCGGGCGCGTACTTGTCGTGTAGCTTCTCGTACTCGACGCTCTGCTCCTCGTCGCTCAGCTGCAGGTGCTCCATGTAGAGCTGCGCCGCGCGGTAGTGCAGGTAGATGGGGAAGGCCTTGCGCCAGAAGTACAGCGAGCGGTTGAAGCCCTCGTCCGAGTGCGCCGCGAGCGTCACGCCGCCCGCGCCCACGGCCGTCGAGCCCAGCAGCAGCCGCGCGCCATGGCGAAACACCAACTGCCACATCGACGTCAGAGCTAGGAATGTGGGGTCGGAACGGTTTTGTACGACATTTGTAGTATTGTAAAAATAACATTTTGATGTGTTAGTACTATAAATTCAGGTTATTAAATAGAAATACAGAAGGAAGTCGATGTCAATTTAATATTAAGCGGTAAATATATGTTAATATATTAGCATATGTTTGATACTATGCAGCAATAGACAAGTACATTTCCTAATAGAAATCCCCGCTAAACCCACCCAGTCTGCGTCGCGCACACAGCTGGCTGTTCGCTACATAGTAACGACGACCGCGGACCAAGGCGTTCATCCATCGAGCTCTCAACACTGAAGATCAGTGTTGTTGTTAATCAAAAGTAATATCTCAAAACTATTATCTATACTACTAACCTAGTATACTACCATACTAAGTTCAAATAGCATTATGATACCACGCACTGTAGTACTATTACCAGTGAATAATACTTACGTTTCCAACCCTGCTTGGTCATGAGCTCCGTCGTCGGCGCGAGCGTGCTGGCGCGTGTGGCGCAGGAGGTGAAGCAGAGCAAGGAGCGGCAGTTCACGGACGTGCACGGGGAGCTGCTGGCAACGCTGCCAGCCGACGACCTCCGCCTGCTGCAGGCGGCCAGCGAGTTGGTGGCGCGCGACCTGGTGGTCAAGGTCACGGCGACGCCCTCGCAGCGCTGCTTCTACCGCGTCGAGTCGCTCAACAAGTACCGGCGGCGCGACCGAGACGCCGACACGAGCCTGGACAGCGTCACACAGCCGTTCGACGAGTCCATGGTGAGCGGCGGGGGCGCCAACTACTACAACTGCTTCAGCCACTACTGCACGTGCGCCGCCTTCCACGAGACGACGGTGGCCACGAGCGCCACGGCCATGGTACATCGCGGTTGGCTAGGTGATAAATGTTGGGGGAGGATGCTGCAATGCGAGGCTAACGCTGTTGTTTGTGTGTGGTGTTGCGACTCTCATACAGTGCAAGCACATGGTTGCGCGGTTGCTGGCGGACGCCACCGGCCAGTTCCAGACCATGCAGGTCGAGGACGCCCACTTCGCGCAGATGCTCTGTCCCCCTCCGTCCACCGACGCAGACGCCATGCTCTTCTCACCCGGTCGGTGATACTAGGAACATGAAGGATAAGACTATAAAGCTAGAATGGCAATGATAGCTCTCCGTCGACCCACTTCAACTTCAGCTTTTGGGTTACGCCTCACGTGTACCCCAATACTGTACCCCCTGGTTATCAACATGAAGCCATTTCGAAAGTTGGCGCCAATAATGACCACGCAGGACGAAGGGCCGTCGCTGGCTGCGGCCTCGCAGAGCTGGAACTGGCTGGCGCTGTCGCAGAAGAATGGCGGGTCCAGTGGAGGCAGCGGCGCGTCGTCCGCGCGCTCGAGCTCGGCGCAGTCCAAGGCCCAGAGCAAGCGGCCGATGCTGCTGCACCGGACGCCAAGCAGCGCGCAGGTGGAGCCCAAGCCCAAGACGATCTCGACGGCGGAGGAACGAGCAAAACCTGTGAAAGTTAATGCCGAAGCGGTGGAAGAGTTTTCATGGTTGCGTATCGCCGAGAGGACCGTCCCGGCGGAGGCGCTGCGACAGGAGATGGAGGGCCGCAAGTTCATCAAGCTGCAGCAGATGGACCGGGTCCCCAAGGACACGTTCACCAACGGAGAGGTACGGTCTGTTAGAGATTTTTTTTAGTTTAGTTTTATTATTTCTCACGAGTTTTTTTTTGTTTCAGGTGGACTGGGTGACGATCGGTGTGCTGACCCGGAAGACGTTGTCCAAGCCAGCGGCCAATGGGTCGACGTTCATGGTCTGGGGGCTGTCGGATCTGGACGGGACTGAGCTGGGCGTCTTTCTCTTCGGAGACGCCTACGCGGCCCACTGGAAGGAGCTGACGGGGTCAATCGTTGCGGTGCTGAACGCCACGCTGCTGCCTGCCACGGAGAGGAACAAGTTCGCGTTCAAGGCGACGCAGCCGTCTGAGGTGGTGAAGCTCGGCAAGGCCGTGGACTTTGGGATCTGCAAGGGAACGACGTCGGGAGAAGCGCGGTGCCGTCTTGCAGTGAACACGTCCAAGGTGGGGTGTTGAAATTTTGTTGATTGAAGTTGCTACCAGAGTGCTAACGTTTGGTGTGTTTTTCCCATCCGGTGGTACAGTCGCAGTACTGCTTGCACCACATTGAGGCGAGCTTCATGCAGGCGGGACGTGGCCGACAGCAGCTCAACAACTCGACGGGTAGCTTGCGTAAGGCGTTGTTCGCTGGACTGGCGAAGCCGAAGAACCTATCAGCAGGTGTGTACACGTCTGCCCCATCGAAGTCCAGCAATTCAGGATGGAACCCGATCTTCAACAAGAAGCGCAAGCGGAATGATACCACAGCTGGAGTGTTGGGTGTGCCCACCGTGCTGGCCGCATCCGGCGCTGTTGTCCAGCGCGGTAGAACTGCACGCCCAACGCAGTCGACCATGGGTGGCAGCGCCCCAGGTGAAAAGCGGCGAGGCATGAGCCTCATGGATCAACTCCGGGAACCTGCCGCGTCGATGATTCCTGCGCCTAATCGAGGAGGGGGTGGATCAGCGAGTGCACCACACTTCTCCAGCCGCGCGCAAAAGATTGTGTACGTTGCCTGCTTGCGAGCTGTCTGTTATTGAGTGTCCTAATTCTTTGTTGTTGCTGCTGCTGTTGTTGTTTGCATGTTTGTCCTCAGGTCTGCGGTTCTCGCTGGAGACGGGAAGCCAATCAAGCGCCCAAAGACCAAGAAGGTGAACATGATTCACTTCATGAGCACGGGGTCGAAGGTGAAGAAATAGTACGGTAGCACGCTGTGTAGATCACGGTAACTCGTCGACTTTTTCATACTGTTGACGAAAAACCTTGTTTTATCCTTGTGTTGGATCTCATCTCTTTCGGGTTTCGTTTCGTTGTCGAGTAATTTTAGGGTGGCGCAGAACTTCTTTTTTTGCAACAGAGAGTGATGAAGGAGCTCGACCGAAGTGGAGAGCTCCTTGCGTTGTGCTACCGCGAGCAATGGGCGAAAGCCTCCAAGCTGCTAAGCGATGAGGACTTGACGGTGAGAAATATTCACCTTGCTGCAATCTGACGAAATACTTTGCTCAAAACGCTTTGCATTGCCCTTGTTAGGCTAGTACAGTCGCTTCAGCACTGCACCAAGCGGTTGTGGATTCGCGTGAGGTAGTTGAAAATCAGTGATCGACTACCACAGTGTAATCTCACCTATAATGCCTCACCTGTATAGGAGGTTTTGATGTTCCTGCTAAACACTGCGCGCCGCGACTTCCTGAAAATCAACACATCGGTGCAAAAGGTGACTGATCTCAGCTCTATATCGTATTGATAGTGCATTCTTCTAATCCATTTGTATCCTGAACTGAATTGCTCCGAGTAGGATGGAAAGACGTTGCTGCATCTTGCCCTCGAGAGCCACAACCTTGTCAGTGAACATTACTGTGTCAGTCCCGTTCGATGCTGCAACAACTGACGCAGCTCCTTGTACGATAATGTGTGAAACAGCGCTTTGTCCACGCGCTACTGAATGCCGGTGCAGATGTGTCCGTGGCGGACAAGAAGGGCGTGAGACCCATGGACCTCATGACTTGGACGGCGATCGTGCACCCCACTATTATGGTGCCTCTGCAGGACGACATCCTTCACCTCCAACAGCGGAATAAGCTGCAGCGCCAGCGTACTAGCGCGCTCAACGAGACCACCGCCTCGATGGAGCGTGACGAGCAAAACCTCATCGCACGCGCTCAAGAAATCCAAGAGGACGTGGCTGCAGCACGCGCTTTCCGAGCAGAGGTGGAGGAGCAAATTCGACGCGCCCAAGATACGGACAGGGAGTTGGCGACGCAAATTGAAGCGGAGGACGTCAAGCTCCAGTGGATCCGCGGGGAAGTTGCGCGGTTGCACACTCAAAACGGGTCTGCAGACATGGAAGTAGCTCGGATCAACGATGAGACCCAGCGACTGACTGCTGCCAGTGCAGCGCTGCGCGTGAAGCACCAGCGCCAGGAGCAGGGCAGGAGCAACGTGGCAGCACAACGCGCCATCAAGTGCGAGGCGATTGGTTTGCTTCGACAATTCCCAGGCAACGAGGCGTTACAGACTCGAGCCTTGCGGGCTTTGCTGGTGATGTGCAAAAAGCCTAGTGTTCGACGCCAATTGATGATCTATGGGCTTCAGGACGCGATAGTCGAAGTGCTGCAGCAGTTTCCTCGCCATGCAAGTGTTCATATCGGTGTGTGTGAGTTGGTTAAGCTGCTGTTAAGCAGTCCAAACGGCTCAGAGTTTGTGAGAACATGGCGAACAAAGGAGTTGGTGGAGGCTTTGCTGTCTGCTTGCACGTCGGTCGAAGCGGAGTCACCCACAATCTTGTCACAGGCTCACCGCTGTACTGCAGACGTCTTAACGCGGCTGAAGGCGACCCCACACGCTCATGATTGTGGTGGGAAGGGTAAGTGTAGTTTGCAGTTTGGTACCATGTTGCTAAATCTCGGTAACGTTTCCGCTCTTCGCTGTGATGTAGAACTTCACGAGATTCTGAACGATGCAACCCAAAAGGTTGCTAAAAACCAAATAACCTGTGAGGGCGTTGTGAAGAAAACGTAACCAAGATGATTATACTTCGCTGCTACGGCTCATTTGAAGCATAAACTTGAAAACAGTTATTAACCGCACTAAGCATTCTTCCGATGCATCCACCCAGGATTTGATAGGAAGAATCAAGTCGTAATTCTTGCGGGGTACCGGGGATCCTTCCTTCACAAATTCCGGGGTGAAGACATAACTGCAGCGCTCGTGAAGAAAGAGCAGCGTCTCGAAATTGCTGTCCGCACGGCCGTAGAATATGTAACCAGAGGCAGATTCGCCTATTCTGTGATCAGGAAAGCGTGGCTGAAGCCATCATACCACGTGAAAACGACCACGACTCACTGCTCGATCAATCGCCCGCGATGAACGAGACTCTGGAATGTTCGTATACAGCCACTTGACCATCTCTAGATGGCCATAGTGAGCTGCAAGGCACATTGCTTGGTCCGAGCGTCCCTCAGTACGATTAACGTGCAGCCATTGCACCACATCCAGATGACCGTGTGCTGCCGCCCTATCCATGGCGGCCATTGTACAGCCTTCTGGCCGGTTGTGGTGCAGCCACTTTACCTCATCCAGGTGCCCTTCCCTCGCTGCGATATCCATAATGTCAGTCCCCCATTGCTGTCGCACACAATTGACTTACTTCCACCACGAACCAGTTTGACAGTCCAATTTTCGCTGTGATCTTGACTCCTCGCGCAACCTCGACGTGTCCAGCTCGTGAAAAAGCTTAACGATCTCCAGATGCCCATTCTCGACACTTGTCTGTATCGCATAGACCCATATATTGACGTCAGCTCGCAGCCGTGGCCGACTCGTCACCAGTGTCGTTGTCAACACTAAAGCGCAAAGTCGCCGCGCGCATCGAAGGTCGATCTATTGAGCGCCAACGGCCCGGACCTGCCCCCATACTGCCTCCCGAGTGTGAAGCCGATCTAATGACATGGATCGCTGCAATGCAGCGTCGTCTGGTCCCCGTGCAGCCATGGGAAGTTCTCGAGGCTGCTAACGAGCTTCACCACATGATCCACGGGAATCTGCGCTCCGTCAAGGACCTTACTACTGGCTGGTATAACCGCTTCGTCGGCCGCCATCCCGAGCTGTCTTTGCGTCGAGCTCACGTGCGTAACGATCAAGCAACCACTTAACCGAGCTCGTCTGACCTTTCTTGATAGCGATTAGCATAGCGTGATAAACCTGGTCGGAGAGTTCATTGCAGTATAAAAATTCCATGACCTCTACATGTCCTCCTTCAGCTGCATCTGGGAGGAGGAAGGCGAGGTTTCTGCCATACTCTGTGCTTTCACACACTTCAGTCCACAATGGGTGCGCCATCAGCCACTGCAACATCGGTACATGCCCATTTCGACAAGCTGTCTCCGCGGCAATGACCCAATTGTCGACCCAACGCTTGTGATCCTTGGGAAGTGGGGAGTGCAGCTGAACAACGCTGCAGACGAGATCCATACGCCCCCAGTGAGCCGAAGCTGACAGTAATGGCGCCGCTCGATGGTCGTTAAACTGCAGATATCCACACTCGAGCATCTTTTCAATCACTTCAGCGCGTGGCCAAGCAACAGCATAGTCAAATACGCATCTGTCTGTCGATAGCAGCCACTCCGCAAGCTCAAGGTTACCGATGCTTAGAACGTGTGTGATGGCGCTCTCAACGTCTGATTCGGACAGACCCATACCTTCATCCAGACATTGAACAAGTTGCCCATTTTCGCAAGCCTTCCAGATTGTTTCAGGTGGCAAAATGATAGTTGCATCATCAAACCGCACCGAACATTCGCTTTTGGTAGGGCGTTTGCCATCTGCATCTTGCCGCCCATTTTCAGACTGGTGTTCCATCAAAAATCGCAATACGCTCAGGTTTCCCTATTTTTTGACTCCGGTTGCCACGCTGACCGGGGCCGGGGCCTCGCAACCCGAGAAATGCTCAAAGAGCCACTTCACCATCGGTAGATCGCCCCGATCAGCGGCGCCTTTAAGCGACTTCGAGAACTGCCAGTTGTGGTAGTGCGGATCCGACCGCAAAAAGTTGGTAAAATACAACCCGGGCGTTCTGTCAGCTGCGCTACTGCAGCTAGCACTCCAAATCCAATCGAGTAACGCGACTCGCAGGCTTCATGGAATAGGAGGCTCTGCGGAGGACCCAAGAAGTTAGAGATGGCGTTGGTAGTCTGCTCCAGCGCGGCAGTAGCTGGGGCGAGACGCAGTACAAACCCCACGATAGTTAGCATAGCTCGCAGTGCAAGTGTTGGAGAAAGAAATCAACTACGAGTAAACCATGTAAGCGCCACCTTTGGCTCTTTCTGTCAATCGTCCTGAAAATTGTCATGTGAATACAAAAAAGATTCGAGCATTGCAAAGATTTTAGAAAGTGCTGGTGCTGGGGAGAGTTTGGCAATTGCTACACAGAACACATCGAACGGCTAGCGCGCCATCGTGTTGCTTCGCCGGACTTGTGTGGTTTAAGCGAATCGCGTGCAAAACTGCACGCGTGAAACGAGGAAATGGCTGAAAGTCATATGCATCTGGATATGGCTGCATCGTATTGGCCCAGAAGCTTTCGGAAAGAGCCCACCAACCAATACAGTCAACTTCTGCGGCACAGTAAACAGTACATTGGATCATCAAGGGCACTGCCACTGCAATTGGTCTGCCAGGTTGCGAAGAAATGTCATGATCATGATTGTTTTTTTCTTCTTCTTTCTTCTACTAATACCTGAATCAAAAACTTGACATATTCACTCCTTTCGTGAAAATTGGTGGTGCACTAGCGTCAATTGTTCGGATAGTGTTCGTCCAGCCAAGCCGTGACTTGCGAGAAGTGGTTAAACTCTTTGCGAAGGCCTTTCAGAAACTCGGACGTGAAGACATAGTTGTGGTGCTCCCGAAGAAAGAGCAGACTCTCGAAACTGTCCGTGAAATTCTGCACCACGACGGATCCGCCAATTCTGTGGTCGGGAAAGCGCGACAGCAGCCATCGCACCACGCGGAAACGCCCATAACTCACAGCTCGATCGATTGCCGCGGGTGTGCGGGACTCTGGGATATTCGAGTACAGCCACTTGGCCATTTCTAGATGGCCATTCTGAGCAGCAAGGCACATCGCTCGGTCTGAAGACCCCTCGGAACGATTCGTGTGTAGCCATTGCGCCACGTCCAGATGGCCATTTGCCGCCGCGCTATCCATGGCGGCCATTGTACAGCCTTCTGGCCGGTTGTGGTACAGCCACTTTACCACATCCAGGTACCCTTCCCTCGCTGCGATATCCATTATGTCAGTCCCCCATTGCTGTCGCACACAATTGACTTGGAGCCATTCGAGAATATCGAGATTGCCGCCCTTAGCAGCCCAATACATAGGCTTACGAGCGTACTTCCACCACGAATCCGTTGAACAGTCCAAATGTCGCTGTGATCTCGACGCGTCCAGCTGGTGAAAAAGCTTAACGATCTCCAGATGCCCATCTTGATACTTGTTTGGATCGTTTCGACCCATAGCTCGCGCTTGTCGAATGAATCATGATCAAGGAACCACTTAACCGAGCTCGCATGGCCATTCTGAACTGCGGCCTTCATAGCATCACGACTATAAAATCCTGCGACGAGTTCATTGGAGTACAGGAATTCCATCACCTCTGCATGCCCTCGTTCAGCCGCATCCGGGAAAAGGCAAGTGATATCATAGATACCCCTCCACCATCAAGTACTTCCCCCACAATAGCTGAGCCACAAGCCACCGCATGTCCATTTCGACTCGCCATCGTCACAGCACTCCTCCAATTTTTGACCCAACGCTGGCGATCACTGCAATGCGCGGAATACAATTAGCGACGCTCTGAACGAGGTCCAAACGCCCAGAGCGAGCCGAAGCTGGCAGCATTGATGCAGCTCGATCATTGTCCAAGCGCAGATATCCACACCCCAGCATCTTCTCAATCACTTCAGCTCGTGAGTGGTTATCCGCACAGTCAAATATGCACCCGCCTCCGGGTACCAACGATAGCAACCACTCCGCAAGCTCGACGTTATTGATACTTAGAGCGTGTACGATGGCCGTCGCTATGTCTCGTCCGTAGAGAGCCATCCCTTCGTCCAGACATTGAACAAGCTGTCCATTCTCGCAGGCCTTCTTGACTGTGTCAGCTGGTAGAAACCTTGTAAGCGTACCAGAGCGCACTGCAGTGCAGGCAAGTACATACAGCCAACTCTAGCTAGCAGCAGCAGCAGCACAATGCTGGCTGGTCTCTGGCATTGAGCTGCGAGTAGCAAGCAGCTATCATATCGACAATGCTGTTGACACTGAATATCTGCATAACGACCACTAGGTTGACGCACACAGTATAACGACAATCGTGTTGACACGCATGGTGTCCACTCAAGTGCTTGGGGTGGCCCTGCCGCCTCCGCCCCCAGCCACTAGTAGACTTTAAGGATAGAGTCTCACTTTGCAATTTACCTTCCTTAATAAACTACGGCCAACTATCTGGGAGCATCGCCGGCTCCTCCCGCAGTGTCTTCGTTTCGTGACGACACCACACGCACCGAGCATTCGCTCCTCATGGCTTTTTGTCCGTTTGCCTCTTGACATCCACTCTCAGCCTCGTGTTCCATCAGAAACCGTAGGTGCGCTACATTATGAGGGGCCTCGCAGCCTGAAAAATGCGCGAACAACCATTCCACCAACGGTAACTCCCCCCGACCTGCGGCCACTTCCAGTGATTTCGAGAACTGCCACTTGTGGTAATGCGGGTCCGACCGCAGGAAGTTGTTCAAAGACCAACTGGGTGTTCTGTCAGCAGCGGTAGCGCAGCTAGCACTCCAGATCCAGTCGAGAAGCGTGACCGAGCCGAACTCGCAGGCTTTGTGGAATAGGAGGTTCGGCGGAGGACCCAGAAAATTAGAGATGACATTGGTAGTCTGCTCCAGCGCGGCATTAGCTGGAGCGACCTGTAGTACAAACCTCACGATAGTTAGCATGACCTGGAACGGTGTTGTTAGCGAACGGAGAGAAAAGACAAGTGAGAGAAATCTACAAGGAGAGGGAAAGGCCGCGATTTTCGTACTACAGCCTTAGACCACATCATACCCAGATAGATAGACAGACAGAAACACCAAACCAGGAGACTGACAGGATTTCTATAATCATTTGACCTGATCATACATTTCGGACGGTTCGAGTGTAACTGGTCGCTTGCTTGGAGGCGGCTTCAACTACGTACCAACAGGCGATACAACCGGGTTTGTGAGCGATTGTGCGGCAGCTTTCACCGTCGTCCTGCTAAAACTATTGCTTTACTGAGTACATGGTGTGCAGCACCATCACATCCGACTACACTAAAATGAAGTGGACGGGTAGTGTTGGACGAAATCCCGGCGCGGGAAATCAGCTACCTCGCACTCGCCACAGGCGCCCGCTGCCCCAAGCCATCCAGGTGAACGCGTTGGTTGACGTGGACGAGTTCCCGGCAAACTACGAAGTCCTGATGGGCTGGACGAACGAGATGATCAGCCGTCTCAGCATCCTGCTGAACGATGACTTCGGAATTCGCAGAGGTGATTCGGTGGTTCGCCGCCGACTACTCCTGCTAAATCATCTGACAAACTGACCGAGGCAGGCGGCTGAAGAAACGAACGAATTGACCGAGAGGCACATGAGCTACGACAACAACGACGGACCAGATTTAGACCAGGTTTATTCCGTGTGATCGGGCGAGATTACTTATGTAGCAAGTTAATAGCTTCATCGAGAAGCATACCGAGCCCAATCGCTATTTAACTTGAGCGATAGAGAACAATACAATCCCATGATAGTGCCCCGCATTGGCTGCTTCTCTTGTTCTTACGGACATCACTTGCTCGTCCCCGTGCCCCTCGTCAAATCTTCGTTCTCTCCTTTAATCGTCGACACGAAAGTTGCATCTTGTACCAGCTCCAGGGAGGTAGCGAACCCAATGCTCGGTCAAGTGAGGCGCTCAACCGATTCGTTCGATCGCCACTTGTGCGTGCGGCGCTAAGAAATGCATGTGCCAATGAAGGAAACAAAAGCAGAGTTGCTTATTTGCTTCACGCGACTACACGTAGACAGGATAATGTGCCTCCAGCCACTCAGCAAGATAGCGAAGTCTATCTCGCGTTGCCTTCGCTCGCTGCTCGCTCCTACCGGTAGCCAATCGCGAGCGAACGCAGCTCAGAAATTTCGAGGTGAAGACGTAGTCGTAGAATTCACGAAGACATAGCAGTGTCTCGAAAGTGTTCGCTGAGTCATTCGAGCTGTCCACAAAGAGCAGTGGTTGACCGCTTGTACTTCCAATCTTGTAATCAGGAAAGCGCGGCTGTAGCCAGCACGCCACACGAAAACGACGAAATAGCACAGCTCGATCCACTGCCGTTTCAGTGCGAGACTCGGGAATGTTCATATACAGCCACTTGACCATTTCGAGATCGCCATTCTCAGCTGCCCTGAGCATTGCGAGGTCCGAGCACCCCTCGGGGCGATTCGCGTGCAGCCATTTCACCACGTCCAGGCGGCCGCTTCCTGCTGCACTATCGAAGGCTTCTTCTGTGCAGCCCTCCGACCGATTCTGATGAAGCCACTTCACGACGTCCAGGTATCCGTTGCCCGCCGCAATGTCCATCGTGTCAGTTGTGCCTTTATGCACGGGGTTGGCTTGAAACCACTCGAGGATGTTGAGATGGCCCTCGCTGGCGGCGATGAACATCGGATTTTTTTACGTAGTGCCACCACGACTTTGTTTGACCAGCCCGTCTTCGCTTCACCCCCGACTGCGCATAAGGCGTCGACGCGTCCAGTTCATTGAAAAGCTCCAGGAGCTCCAGATACCCCTTCCCGACACTCGTATACATCGCTTTAACCCATAATTTACGAAGCTCGCTCTCGTCGAATGAATGGTGATCGAGCAACCATTTGGCCGAACTTGCTCGACCTTTCTTGATAGCAGCCTTCATAGCACGGCAATACTGTATGGCCAGCCCCTGGGAATACAGGAACTCCATCACCTCTACGTATCCTCCTTTAGCTGCAGCAGGTAGCAGGCAGTTGATATCGTCGTCGTTCCGTGCACGTTCGAGCGCTTCACGCCCCGATGGATGCCCAGCGAGCCACTGCAAGACCGCCAAATGTCCGTGTCGACATCCCATTTCCATAGCGTTGATCCAAGTAGCTACCCAATTTTCGTTTTCCTCCGAACCAGAACAAGCTAATTGAACAATGCACTCCACGAGATCCAAACGCCCACTGCGAGCCACAGTCGGTATCATTGACGCAGCGAGACGTATGTCGCGTTGCAAATACTCAATCTCCACCATCATCTCAATCACTTCGATCCGCGTGCATCCAGCTGCGTAGTCAAAAATGCTTTGGCCTGCGGGTACCAGTCGCTCCGCAAGCGCGAGGTTTCCAACGCGTAGAGCGTGCTTGATAGCGATTTCTGCGTCTGGTTCACTAAACTGCATACCTTCATCCAGACACTGCGCGAGTTGCCCATTCTCGCACGCCTTCTCAATGGTGGCGACCGTCCAAAACACATCACGAGGACCATAGCGAACCGAGCACGACGTCTGCATGACAGCGTGGGCATTGGTGCCTTGATCTTCAGTCTTGTGTCTCCACAGAAACAATAGCACGAGCAGGTATCCTTTCTTTTGGGCTTCATCAGCAACACTGGACGGGGCCTCACAACCCGAAAAATGCGCAAAGAGCCACTTCATCATGGGCAAATCACCCCGATCAGCGGCGACTTTGAGCGATCTCGAGAACTGCCACTTGTGGTAATGAGGGTCGGACCGCAGCGAGTTGCTCAGAAACCACCCAGGAGTTCTGTCACCAGCGCGAGTACAGCTAGCGCTCCACATCCAGTCAAGTAGCTCAATGGATCCAAACTTGCAGGCTTCATGGAACGGGAGGCTCTGTGGAGGTCCCAAGAACCAAGAGATCGCATTGATAGTTTGCTCCAGGACTTCGATAGCTGGTTGGAGATGTAGAACCAGGCGCACTGCAGTGAGCATCATACTTCACGCGGGTGTTCACCAACGACGGGGTAAGAAGAGAAGTGAAGAAGAAAGCTACTCGACCCATTTTCTCCGATTTTGCTGCCGATAGATTCTGACAAATGAAAGTGCCAACCAACCGTTTACCGTTGGAACCCCGGTACAGCACAAGAAAATCAAACGGAGTTCCATCGCGTGACCTGGGGAAGAGTATCCCGCGTCACTAAGAACCACTCCTAGTCTAGCTAATACCGCAGCAATTCAAGACACCGACCGACAAACAACCACCGCGTAACACATCCAACCAACTTCTGCGGCACAGTAATATATTGGAGCATCAACACACTGCAAGTACAAATTCACGCTTGCGTTGCGAAGAAAACTATGATTTTTTACTACTACCTCGACTATACAATTGGATGTTTACCCCTCTTGGTGAAAATTTGTGCACTAGCGTTCAATTACTACTTTTAAGTACTTTAACCCTTTCACTACCCAGCCCAGCCCGCACAAAATTCGAGTGACACACCTTCCCTGCACGAGCAGCAACTAGGACATCATCGCGGGCTACACGAACAGCAACTAACGACATGTTCATGAGCTGCATGAGCAGCAGCTACGACATGAACGGAAGCTACACGAGCGGTTTCTTGTACGACATCAACACAAATGGCACGAGCAGCTACTGCGATTTTCGACATCAACGCGCGCTGTACGAGCTTCTTCTACCACGTCATTAACGCCGGCCGCACGAGCTGCTCCTACGATTCAACCTACTGGAGCAGCGACTACGACATCATCGCGAGCTGAACGAGCAGAGGATACGACATGAACGGCAGCAACAAAGACCTCGACTACGACATTGTCTGCTACGACTACGACGCCAGCAACGCCATCTCCGAAGACAGAACCACCAGAGACGCCGAAGGCACCGTCTGAACGCCAGAAGCGCCAACGTCATCGACAGCTAACCCGAACCGACTGCCTCCGACTCCAGGGTCATCTTTACGACGATTTGGATCTCCACCACGGCCACATCTCCAATGCGTTGAACTTTCAAATCTGCGCTCTATAGCTGCCCACCAGGGATCGGACAATATATATTGGATATTGATTGTCGGCGAGGCAGTCATCACAATCACTTGTGTCGAGCATTCGTAAGACAGTTTGACGACAAATCAAATTTAGCCATGTGATTGGCTAATATTATGCGTGGTGTTGTCCGTGTATGCCCTTGGCCGGCCGTCTGCGTCGCCGTCGTGGCATGCACCAGCAACGGATAGCCGTGCTGACGAGCAGAATCGGCAGCATGAACGTGTATTTGTTTCGTTTTCGATTTCGTAGTAATGTGAAGTGCATCACAGTTATTTGGTCTAACTAGCGACCTACTAAATGCCAGGTCCTTCAAATGAAAGTGTGTATTATACATATTTTATGAGGTCCGAGGAGCTCTTCCATGAAGCCGCGTAGTCAGCGTAAGTAGGGAGATGCCCTTCGGAGGACACGACGCGGTTGGTACACGGAGAACTGAATTGTGCTTGAGCGTACATTGAATAGCAAACGAGTAGAATGTACGCTCGAGCACTCTCTAGAAACTTGTCAACAAAGCCGAAACGGAAACACTACGTAGATTCAAGCTTAGCAGACAGCAATAGACTGGCGCGGTTATAAGCGCTCTAGATTTCAGAATCGTTGCCTCTTATGCTACGTAACTAACCCCGTTATTGAAGGAGGGCTTGCCCGCATCATGATACGTACAATGCAACCTGACAGTACGAAAACTCCTACAATATTTCCCTCCTGACACTATTCCTGTTGTGTTTGGGCACGGCGCGGCGAGGAAGGGTGGAGGTTGAAAGCAGTTGAGGGGGCGAAGCTGGTGTAGTGTAGTGTCGTTGAGGTGATGCTTGGGGTTCGAGGCAAATTGAAAAGTGAGATTGAGACTTAGAGGTAAAGACTGCTATCACTGCGAGACTGGCTGGCAGCAGAGGAGCTCTGCTGTCGAATCTCGGGCCCCATACACTACAAGTAATAGATCTAGAGCGCCTACAGCGCACCTCTGAATCTTGTACTTCGGCGGTGCGAGTAATCCCGTGCCGGCCGCATCAGATTCGAGTGTTCGGTCAACGCATCCAGCTTCTCCGTTCGGACGGAGGCATTTTGTTCACAAAGAGAGATTCGCTTGCCTGTGGCAAGCTGCGAAAACGCAAGGAGTGCGGCGCAATCCTTACAATTCCTTACCATCCGGGCACTGAAAAGCTCTGGGCGTGGCATTTTAAGAGCAACAGATCACAACAGCCTTAGCGCTAAGGCTTCACGCAAGGCCTGGCGCGGCCGCCGTGGCTGCAGCTATAATATCATCCTGTTGTTGACGGACCTACGCGCCATGCAACTGCGTCGTCTTGGCGAACAAAGGTGCACCAACACAGCCTGCATCCGCACCGCTGTCGTGGTTGAGTGGACCCGAGCATGTGCATGCAGCTCTGCACGTCAAGTAGAGCTTTTGACCAATAATATGGCGCAAACTGGTGTCCGACAAACTGTCTTATGTTTTGAGTGACAAAATACAATGTAGCCACTGGTATACTAAAATCAAGATGTAATCAAAATGCGTTGATTGCAAAACGTAAAACGCTTTGTCTTACGGTATGCTCTCTAGGGACCAGTATCGTCTTACGAAAGAGCATGAATCATTATTGTATACTTCTCTGGCCCACTTAAGAAACAACATTCGGCATTAAACCTCAATTTGATGTGGACCACATGTCACATATGATTGGGTATAATCAACTGCTTCAGCTTACTATTGGCCAAAATAAATGGGTCCGCGCATGTCGAGATAATCGCGAAGAAAAACCTCAAAACTGTAGCCCTTCTAACTCGTCTCCAACAGGCTACAACATCGACAACCGAACATAAGGGTAAAGCAGTCACTCGCGATTACGGTGATATTTTATTTTCTAATATCGCTAATTTTTGACGGCACTTCGCTAAAAAACCTAATGTTGCCTAAACCGGACTTCAGATAAAAGGCTGTTTCTCTTTTCTTTCTGCTGATAGATTTTTTTAAATCATAGCGTGAAACGGAGCAAATACGCAGCTTTCGGTTGAGGTGTTGCGAGTCGCCAAACGATTTTTTTGTAAATAGTTATGTCCAGAAAACCGAAGTGTTGTTTCTTATGTGGGCCAGAGAAGTATCGGTCTAGTCTCCATCTTGAGATCGCACTCAATCTACGCAGTTACATTTAGCTCTATGTGGTGGTGGTGGTTTGATAGTGGTGGGTTCCCTGCAACCGGGATCCGGACATGGAAGACGCTTAGAAATTGGACTGGCAGTCCGCGGCCGGGGCCACAGTCGTCGGCGCGGGCGTCACAGGCGACTCCACCTGTTCCACGTTCTGGGTCGCGTCCTCCAGCGTCGTCTCCGCCTCACCCTGCACCTCCTCGCCGGTGGTCGGGGCCGGCGTGGACGGGATCTCCTGCTGCTCAGGCGTCGTCGGGGCCTCGGTGGCCGGGGCCACCGTCGTCGGCGCGGGCGTCACAACCGTCTCCTGCTTCGTCGGCGTGGCGCTGTCGCACTGCTCTGCGTCGCCCGAGCCGAAGTCCTGCGTCCAGTAGTGCTGGTACGTGCCGTCCTTGTTGAACGCGTACGCAGAGCCGAACATCGTGTAGTCGCCCATGATGTTCTCCAGGTGCTCCGGCGAGTTGATCCACGCCACCATCACGTCGGCCACGTCGATCTGGCCGGCGGCCACGTTCTCGGCCACACTCTCCCAGTCGTAGCCGGCCTGCGTGATGCGCTCCGACATGGTCGAGCCGTCCGAGCCGTCGTGGGCCATGAAGTCCTTGGCGGCCATGTCGTCCGAGTGGCGCTGCGCGGCGGCGTGCAGCTTCTTGTTGAGGCACAGGGGCTTGAGGCCGCCCGTGGCGCGCTGCTTGTTCACGGCCGCCAGCATGGCGGACGCGTAGTCGCCGTACGCCGTGTACGTCTTGACGTTGGTGGCAATGGTGGTGCCGCCCAGGTTGCGGAGGTAAGAGGCATCGGAAAGGCCGTTGGAGGCGACCGCCACAACGAACAGAAGGGCAAGCGAGGACTGAGCGATGGCCATCAGTGTTGTTTGGGGTAGTTTATGTGTGGGTGTGGGTGGAAGATGGCAAGTTCGAAAGTGAGCGCTTGGTTAGCCGGCACGCCGTGTAAAGTCGAGCAAATCGAGCCCAAGAGTTTGGCCGCGCGTTATGACCTGATGTCGTGTCGGAAGTTGCACGTAGTGCCCCTTGCTGCGATCGCATATTTGCGAAGCTAAGATTGCAACGCTGGCGACCGAGTTTGTTCGGTCGGCAAGGCATTTCAGCCACGAGACAGAGGCCATGTGCCGCTGCGGAAGATTGCAATGGGCCACCGCGCCGCCAGTAACTGGTCCAGTTGGCTCGGTGCGAAGATTGGTCGAACAGTTGTGTATCACTCAAAACGCGACCTCAACGATTGAGTCAATGACCCACGCGCGAGGACGCGAAATCGCCGTGTCGGACTTTACATTGCCCCCCCCCCCCGAGGCAAACGTATTTTACATGTACAATACATGTAGATGTTACCGCGCCACTGGTTGGTATTCGTCGATGATTGACCTCCGTGCATAATGATCGAGTCTTGTCAGGTTTTGATCGGAAGCCTCGTGCATTATGATGTGGCTTCGTGCAATGATGATCGAGCTCCGTGCAATGTGATCTCATTACGACGGTCTCCGTTGAATCAGAGACTCTCCGATACCGAGTTCGAAGATCTCGAATGTATCTACACTTCAAAGTATTTATAGTATAGTTTCTGTCTCCTCCTCACGGCAATATCGAATGAAGTTTAGCTGGCAGAGCACGGTCGCCAGGGTCTTTTAGCCTATCATATATGTTGTATTCGCACCAACAGAGTTAAAGGCGAGCTTACAGCAGTCCTCACTCGGCCGGTTGTCTCTTTTTGGTGCTGGCGCAACGATGGAAGTTGACAGGTGAGTTCAGGTACAGTGCGACTCTCGCAACCAATAAAGGTGTCGATCGATGTTTTATCAAGCGGGGTGGTATTAATACAAGACAACGAAACCCAGCCTCGACAAGCGATGCAGTTTCCGTCATGGCCGGACCTACGCTGAAGGCGCGCCCGGGCGTTCAGTACGGACGTGGTCCCCAGCGAACTTTCTCCTATGTCCTAAATCTACAAGACCAGCAAAACCTTTTGCTGCAGTACATGCAATAGCACTTGGTGTGCAGGCTGAGATTTCGCCATTGGAGGAAAGACGAGAGGAGGCTAGCTTGTCTCGTTGCAAGTTGCCTTTCACCCCGCGTCGTATCCGTGCCTGTTCAAGGCAGGTATAGTGTAATACTTGGCGGTGCTCGTAGTTCTTTTAACGAGGCTTCGTGCATCACGGTGTGCCAGATGCAAACAATGCAGTACAATATGCTTCCATACTACTTGTAGTGAAAGGCATGATGCAACCACTGCATTTGGACGATACCTTCACTAACAACTTCACACCCGCCGTTCACTCTTACATTAGATCAATGGTACGCAGTGGTCTTCGATTATCGACTTAGCTCACCTTGAGTCGCTGCGTGGCCACGCTTGGCTCAACCAGACAGCAATTGTGCTCTCTATCAGTCGCAGCAGACAACTGTTTTCACCGCCTACGGCGGAATACCACAAGGAGGCGCCCGACAAAGCACCACCGATAGAGTCCACAAGCTTCGCGCCAGACGGCACAACGTGCCACGAAGTCACGGGAGGGCTCTGTTACTTTGACCGTATGCGTGCCGCCATTACAGAGGGTACCCGTTGGGGTCTCGGAGTCGAACAATGAGGACGATCAGTTTTCGACGTCGACGCGCTCGTGTTTTACACCGCTAACCAAGCGCTCACTTTCGAACTTGCCATCTTCCACCCACACCCACACATAAACTACCCCAAACAACACTGATGGCCATCGCTCAGTCCTCGCTTGCCCTTCTGTTCGTTGTGGCGGCCGCGTCCAACGGCTTCGCAGACGCCGCCAACCTCCGCTCGCGCAACCTGGGCGGCACCACCATTGCCACCAACGTCAAGACGTACACGGCGTACGGCGACTACGCGTCCGCCATGCTGGCGGCCGTGAACAAGCAGCGCGCCACGGGCGGCCTCAAGCCCCTGTGCCTCAACAAGAAGCTGCACGCCGCCGCGCAGCGCCACTCGGACGACATGGCCGCCAAGGACTTCATGGCCCACGACGGCTCGGACGGCTCGACCATGTCGGAGCGCATCACGCAGGCCGGCTACGACTGGGAGAGTGTGGCCGAGAACGTGGCCGCCGGCCAGATCGACGTGGCCGACGTGATGGTGGCGTGGATCAACTCGCCGGAGCACCTGGAGAACATCATGGGCGACTACACGATGTTCGGCTCTGCGTACGCGTTCAACAAGGACGGCACGTACCAGCACTACTGGACGCAGGACTTCGGCTCGGGCGACGCGGAGGAGTGCGACAGCGCCACACCGACGAAGCAGGAGACGGTTGTGACGCCCGCGCCGACGACGGAGGCCCCTACGTCGGCCCCGACGACGCCTGAGCAGCAGGAGATCCCGTCCACGCCGGCCCCGACCACCGGCGAGGAGGTGCAGGGTGAGGCGGAGACGACGCTGGAGGACGCGACCCAGAACGTGGAGCAGGTGGAGTCGCCTGTGACGCCCGCGCCGACGACTGTGGCCCCGGCCGCGGACTGCCAGTCCAATTTCTAAGCGTCTTCCATGTCCGGATCCCGGTTGCAGGGAACCCACCACTATCAAACCACCACCACCACATAGAGCTATATGTAACTGCGTAGATTGAGTGCGATCTCAAGATGCAGACTAGACCGATATACAATAATGAATAACTTGAGCCAACAGAAAGAACCTGTGTTTGATGCTTTTCGCTGAAAGGCTTTTTAAACCTTCCCTGTGTACACGTTTGGGGCAAGAGGCAACGTCCTTAGATTACCGAAGGCATGCCTCGCAGCGGGTTCGCATTGAATCCGTGCGAGGCAGCCCCGGGAGTGGTGTGGTGGGTCTTATAGTCGGTCAGCTACTGTAGTTGGCCTGCATGCAAGCTAGGTAGCTGAGGAACGCCGCCCCCTAAAACTAAAACTAAGCTGCCTACAGGTACACTGCTGGCCAGGCAAAGCCTAGTGCAAAGCCGTGGTCTGTTGTGGTGTCGAGTTCGGGCTTGAAAACGTGGCTCACTTCTTCTCTCGAAAAATGGGTTTCCAGTGGAGACGAGTACAAGCGTAGCGGTGGACCACCGAAACAACATTTCTATCTGGCCGCCATAAAAAAATCAAAAAATATCAGTTGGGGGTGAACAATACCTAAAAAAAAGGTGAGATTCGGTGTTTTCGCGTCAGCTCATTGGCTGCTTGAAAACAGCAGGATTCAAGGAAACAGAGCAAGTTTTGTAAACCCGGATTTGGGTATCATTAGGGTTTTTTGCGTAATGGCTACAAATTTTAGCGATTTTCAAAATGATAGGTATCATTGGGTAGATCACTTAACTGCCGATGCGGAGAACCATCGTAGAGTATGATAGCGCTCCTGTGGGCGTCGTGGTGCTCGTATATATTTTGAGGTTTTACTAAGCGATTTCGTCGATTTGCCGTCCAGTCGAACTTTATGTCCAATCATTTGGCTTAAGTAGAGAACAAAGTACTACATAGCAATATAGTAACACCAGTAGTATTGGGGGGGGGGGGGTTCGCACCGGCAAATCTTCAGTAGGCTACTCAAGATTATTTTTGAGTTTTCTCTCAAGATCGTCGTCAAAATGTTGAGATAGATTCCCACTGGTAAACGCGACCTTTCGGATTGGTCGAACGCGTGACGTATTCCTTCGTATACGCGGCTTCGCTGCGGTTCCGTTCTGATGGCGAGCAAGAGCGAGCTTGTGCTTCCTGTGCTGCTGCCGCCGCAGCTCCGTCGTTATGGCCTCGCCGATCTTGAGTTGCCTACTGAAGACTTTTGCAGTAGCGATTTTGCTACTGCAACTTTGCCATATTTAGCGTCTAAAATGGGGCAAAATAACTGCAAAGCACAATAATAGATTTTATGCTAATAAATCTGCGAGGGAAGTTAACTTTACTGAGAGAAGAGATCAATGTGTAAGTATTGATCAATTTGCGAACAACGCAGTGCCCGGTAACCACATACTGCTGCGCCGATCATATAATACTTCGGAAGTACGCTTTACAAGTTGTCACATCGAGTACAACGACGTATCGGGCTCCACGGATGTCATGACGGAAAGGCTTTTGTTCGATAGGGAGGGATAGTAATCTTCATAAAGTGGTAGAAATATCTGTAGTATAGTACTACTAGTTCAGCGCAATGATAAGACTTGTACTGCTATGTGATAATAGATACTTAATACTGCAACTCCTCGAGTAGTAACTTAGTGTAAGTGAATTTCGCTGATTCTGTTTTATTGTGAAGCTCACTAAGAAGAGAGAGAGCATATGTGACTCGTTCACAGCTGCGGTGAGCGCTCAGGTACCAAAATACTTCGGAGGTACACTATTGCATTGCCAAAAGTTTGTTACATCGAGTACAGCGACGTATCGTGCTCTACGGATGTCTTGACGCGAAGCATAGACTGTGACTCGGACAGAAATGCGCAATAATCTACGCCTCCGTGCTTCGTCTCCTTCGCCAATTGGCGGAAGTACGAGAGGAAGTTGACTTGGATGCCCAAAACTCGCTGCAATGTCGCCTTCCATTCCAGCTTCGTGATGCACCCACGTCTCGCCGGGTCGCACTGCCTGAAAGAAAACATCAATGCGTGTTGGTTTTCGCAGATGATCTTCAACAGCGACAGCAGAGTCCGCTGCTCCAAATGGCGAGCTTTCTCCCGCCACTCGTTCCTCCCAGCGGCCTTCAGTGTCTGGAGTGGTTGTGATGAAAACTGCATCACCCGTGGCTGAATCTCGTTGTCTTCGCCCCTTTCTAGCAGCACATAGGCCCCCTTGTTGATTTGAGAACCACAGTAGCTTGATGCTGAAAATACCGTCAGGAGGAGGCCGTCATGAACTATGTCATAGCCTTCCTGTCGGCACTCGTGCGACCGGATAATCAAACTGATTCCGTTTCTCTTGCAGAATGCTTTCGTGATGTCAGGACCAAACTCCACTCCAGCCCCTCGGCTGGATGGCTGCCAGCCGTCTTCACCACAAGGGTCACTCCACAAGAGATGCATCAGCAGCTCGTCTGCGCGGCTTGTTCCCTGTGTTGGTTCGCCCCGATGATCTAACTGGAGCAGCTCCTCAATCATTACGTTCTCGTGGTTGCTTAACCCTCCGTGAACAACAAAGACCCGCCTGTTAACCAGTGCAAAGATCGGGAACAAGTCAAAGACAGCCTCGAACAACTGAAAGAGCTTCGTCGCGGAGTAATTGGCTGATGTACTCAGCCCACTCCACCCGCCACTGGCATCGCTTTCGCTGCCGTACTTCGAGTACACTTCTACTTTGAACCCGAAGATCTCGTTGATCATGCGCTCTTCATGGTTGCCACGGTTCAGGAATACAAAGTCGGGATACAGCAGCTTGAAAGCAAGCAGCAACAGCATGATTTCAACTCCGTGAGCGCCGCGGTCCACGAAATCGCCGTTGAAAAGGTACCAAGTCTTGCTGCTGGGCACTCTGCAGTCTTCCATAATCATCAGTAGATCTTCTAACTGTCCATGGAGGTCCCCCATGACAACAAGTTTCACACTGGAGGGAGCTGAATCGAATTCATCGGAGATCTGTGCGTACTGCGAAACAGTTTCTCGGATTCATCCAAAATTCGACGCACGAAGACGGGATGCAGCAGAATTCCGTTGCGGAATTGGTTGATCAATCTTTTTACTGTGTTTAGTCGCAACGGGAACAGCACGCGGACGCCTCGGTAGTGAGCAAGAGAGGCTTTAATGTGTTCCTTCTCTGGGAGGGCGCTGTAGGGAACTTGCATCGAGTTAAATGAGCTGAGCAACGGAACCATGGAGGGCAAGTCGTTGATACTTGTCGACTGCTTGACGAAGCGCATCATCATTATCGTTCGCTGCTCCTGCAGCGCTTCCAGCAAGTTCCACGTGTTGAAATTCAGTCGTGCTCGGAACACGGAGTATGAAAGGTGCCGGCGAATGGTGTTCTTGATGCGGTTCGCTGATAAAACTGCGTCAGAGAAGAGCTCCACATACTCCAGAGCAAACTCCTGGAGCAAGTTGAACTTGGTCAGTTCCACTTTGACGGTCGTTCTTCCATCCCCCGAGTCTTGATCAGTTGGAATTTGCACCACGCGGCCGACTACAATGCCGTACACTAACACGCTAGTACCCGGCTTCAGCGATGAAACTTGGATTTTTATCGGTAGACAGTCTCGGCAGATACGCACTTCGTCATAATAGCCTTGTAAAGGCAGTCGCGGCGCGAACAATGAACACTCATCACACATGCAAGTCCGCACTTGCTAAATAGCAGAAAAACCATAACAGCGTGTTAGTGAGGCTGGTATTCCACGTCATACGTCTTCACAACGTACCGGCAGTGGTGTGGCCGAGTGAAAAAGCTGAAGTCAGTTTTGCAGACCATGCAATGCGTCGAGTTTTGCACCCAGACTGGCCGCAGGGCAAGACGAAGCGCACGTTCCCACTTTAGATACACGACATCCTTGCTGGCCCGTAATTTCCACGACAGTAGCTGTCCTGCGGGTGAGTATCCCGTTAGTTGCAGCTCAAGTTTCTTGCGATTGAACACGAGGCCACGCCTGAGGAGGTCGGCCTCGTATTCTTCTTCATTCCGGGCGGTGTTCTTGGCGTTTATCGATACCGTGAGCATCATGACGCCGCGCAGATGCTTGGGCGTAAGGTGGATTTTCCGTACTCCTTCCGCTGTCACGGCGGGCACTGGCAGTTCGTAGTAACAAAAGCGACCATTGCGAAAGAGCTGGAAGTACCGGTAGTGTGCGTAGTCCCCAAGCTTTATGAGCGTACCCTCCATGAGTTTCTGCCCCCCCATAATAGTTGTTCTCGATCTCCCCGTCACTCGGAGTCCAGCCTGTATGTGCCGCGAATCCATCGCTGCCCATGGGCCGGAGAGCGCAGCAAAGCCTTCCGAACATTTTCCTTTGGCCAGGTGAATCAGCGAGTAATACAACGTATAAGATTGCTTGTTGTTGGAGGCCTTAGGCCTAATATAGTCAGGTCATGCAGTGAGATGCTATTCAGCGTCGTCATCTTATCGAGGAGCGAGTGACAAATGGGCGCTCCCTTTGGTGCTTGACCACCTTTAGTATAAATTCCACGCGCCAGCGTGGAGTTGTTCATTTGGTTTTGCTGTTCGGGCGAATTTGAACTCATTATGTCTCCAGCCGCGTGGAACACCAACAACATCATTGGAAGAAGCGATCCATAGATTGACATTCTCGGGCCACCATCGTGGAATCCTCAGTGTTCATGAATACAATTTCTTCGACATAGCAATTTCTCTAGTTATTTCATTATTGTATATCGTTTAGTCTGCGCGTTGAAGGTGCAGCAACCTGCGCAGATCGTACTTTGAAGTATCGTTCTATGTGTGAGGTGGGTAGCTGTAGATTGACATCAATGGCAATCCTTGCGCTCAGCAGCTTAAAAGTTGGACTCGCAGTCCTTCTGGGCAGGGCTCTCCTCAGTCGGGGTCGTCGGGGCGGGGGTCACAACCTCCTGCTGCTGGGGGATCTCGGCCTCACCCTGCACCTCCTCGCCGGTGGTCGGGGCCGGCGTGGCCGGGATCTCCTGTTGCACAGGCGTCGTCGGGGCCGGCGTAGGGGCCTCCGTCGTCGGCGCGGGCGTCACAGGCGTCTTCTGCGCCACCGGGGCGCCGTCGCACTGCTCCGCGTCGCCCGAGCCGAAGTCCTGCGTCCAGTAGTGCTGGTACGTGCCGTCCTTGTTGAACGCGTACGCAGAGCCGAACATCGTGTAGTCGCCCATGATGTTCTCCAGGTGCTCCGGCGAGTTGATCCACGCCACCATCACGTCGGCCACGTCGATCTGGCCGGCGGCCACGTTCTCGGCCACACTCTCCCAGTCGTAGCCGGCCTGCGTGATGCGCTCCGACATGGTCGAGCCGTCCGAGCCGTCGTGGGCCATGAAGTCCTTGGCGGCCATGTCGTCCGAGTGGCGCTGCGCGGCGGCGTGCAGCTTCTTGTTGAGGCACAGGGGCTTGAGGCCGCCCGTGGCGCGCTGCTTGTTCACGGCCGCCAGCATGGCGGACGCGTAGTCGCCGTACGCCGTGTACGTCTTGACGTTGGTGGCGATGGTGGTGCCGCCCAGGTTGCGGAGGTAAGAGGCATCGGAAAGGCCGTTGGAGGCGGCCGCCACAATGAGCAGAAGAGCAAGCGAGGACTGAGAAATGGCCATTGTTCTACGGTAGTTGAGTGAGTTGAGCTGGTTACGCTGATGTCGGCCGAAGGAGTAAATTGAGAACTGGGCGCTGAGCAAAGAGGGTGTTAGCAGTCGATGCTTCGGTGACGAGCACTGCTCGTCGAGCAGAGCTCCGGACCAGCGTCGTGACCTGATGTTTGCTTGGAAGGGCGTCGCCGGGCCAAAGTGCCCCTTGCTTCGGTCGCACATTGCGACGCCAACATTGCACACCGACCCGACCGGTTTGTTCGGTCGACAAGGCATTGCGGCCACGAGACGGAGCCCAGGTGCCGCTGCGGAAGATTGCAACGGGCCACCCTCGGGCTCGGGCGGCGCAGATTGGGCGAACAGTTGGGCTCACACTCGGAAGGTGAGGTCAGCGACCTGAACGACTGTGCGCGAAGACGCGAAATCTCCGTGTCGGGTGTTGCATTGTTGTTTTGTGCCACCTGCTGGCCAGCGACGCGCGGTTCACAAATCTACAGCTGCTCCAGATCTGTGTCGCCTCACCAAATTGGGTCTTTCTGCGCCGCATCGGCATAAAAGGTCTGCCCAAAACACCCAACGCATTCTGATGCTACTTAAGTATGCTGTGGGTGGGTTGTTGCTCGTCGTTATCGTGGGGTGGCTTCTGAACAGGCACAAATTTTGGCCCTATGCATTTGGCTCGCATTACCAAATTACTCGACGATCTCCGGTACCGAATGTTCGGACACCGGACACTGCCAGTAACAAAAGGTATCAATACTGCTTGTTGGTTGCCGCCGACACCACCCAAACGATAGCGCGGGGAAAGTCTGCTTGCACGTGCCAGCGGCTGGCACGCACGAAGCGCTGAAGGCGCCGAGCTCCATCAGCGCGCGCACCGGATGTTGAACGCCCTCGGCTTTGTGCGTCGATCTTGATGGTCTCGAGTCACACAACTCGGCGATGCACTGGCGCCAAATCTCCGCCTCGGGCGCTTTGAGAGACGCGCTGCAAGGCGCAACGCGGCCACCGCGAGCGCGGTCTCTGTCCAATTCGATTGACGCGGGCGGCTGTTTTCAACACTGCGGCGGAATACCACATGGGGGCGTCCGACGAAGCACCGCCAATGCAGCCCACAAGCTCCTTGCCAGACGGAAGCAACGTGCCACGAAGCCGCGGGAGGGCTCTGTTAATACTGTATCCGTATGCGTGCCGCTACTGTACATGTATTGCAGAGGGTACCCGTGGGGGTTGCCCAGCCTTGCATTGGGGGCCAGTCCCGACGTCGAACTTCAGTACACGGCGTCAGACGCTCACTTTCGAACTTGCCATCTTCCACCCTGACATATAAACCACCAACCCCATAATCATGATGGCCATCGCTCAGTCTTCGCTTGCCCTTCTGTTCGTTGTGGCGGCCGCCTCCAACGGCCTTTCCGATGCCTCTTACCTCCGCAACCTGGGCGGCACCACCATCGCCACCAACGTCAAGACGTACACGGCGTACGGCGACTACGCGTCCGCCATGCTGGCGGCCGTGAACAAGCAGCGCGCCACGGGCGGCCTCAAGCCCCTGTGCCTCAACAAGAAGCTGCACGCCGCCGCGCAGCGCCACTCGGACGACATGGCCGCCAAGGACTTCATGGCCCACGACGGCTCGGACGGCTCGACCATGTCGGAGCGCATCACGCAGGCCAGCTACTACCATGTCAAGTACTCTCGAATCCCATCAAAAACGCAGGTTGCTCCAGTTTATTCATTATTGTATATCGGTCTAGTCTGCATCTTGAGATCGCACTCAATCTACGCAGTTACATATAGCTCTATGTGGTGGTGGTGGTTTGATAGTGGTGGGTTCCCTGCAACCGGGATCCGGACATGGAAGACGCTTAGAAATTGGACTGGCAGTCCGCGGCCGGGGTCACAGTCGTCGGGGCGGGGGTCACAACCTCCTGCTGCTGGGGGATCTCGGCCTCACCCTGCACCTCCTCGCCGGTGGTCGGGGCCGGCGTGGCCGGGATCTCCTGTTGCACAGGCGTCGTCGGGGCCGGCGTAGGGGCCTCCGTCGTCGGCGCGGGCGTCACAGGCGTCTTCTGCGCCACCGGGGCGCCGTCGCACTGCTCCGCGTCGCCCGAGCCGAAGTCCTGCGTCCAGTAGTGCTGGTACGTGCCGTCCTTGTTGAACGCGTACGCAGAGCCGAACATCGTGTAGTCGCCCATGATGTTCTCCAGGTGCTCCGGCGAGTTGATCCACGCCACCATCACGTCGGCCACGTCGATCTGGCCGGCGGCCACGTTCTCGGCCACACTCTCCCAGTCGTAGCTGGCCTGCGTGATGCGCTCCGACATGGTCGAGCCGTCCGAGCCGTCGTGGGCCATGAAGTCCTTGGCGGCCATGTCGTCCGAGTGGCGCTGCGCGGCGGCGTGCAGCTTCTTGTTGAGGCACAGGGGCTTGAGGCCGCCCGTGGCGCGCTGCTTGTTCACGGCCGCCAGCATGGCGGACGCGTAGTCGCCGTACGCCGTGTACGTCTTGACGTTGGTGGCGATGGTGGTGCCGCCCAGGTTGCGGAGGTAAGAGGCATCGGAAAGGCCGTTGGAGGCGGCCGCCACAACGAACAGAAGGGCAAGCGAAGACTGAGCGATGGCCATCATGATTATGGGGTTGGTGGTTTATATGTCAGGGTGGAAGATGGCAAGTTCGAAAGTGAGCGTCTGACGCCGTGTACTGAAGTTCGACGTCGGGACTGGCCCCCAATGCAAGGCTGGGCAACCCCCACGGGTACCCTCTGCAATACATGTACAGTAGCGGCACGCATACGGATACAGTATTAACAGAGCCCTCCCGCGGCTTCGTGGCACGTTGCTTCCGTCTGGCAAGGAGCTTGTGGGCTGCATTGGCGGTGCTTCGTCGGACGCCCCCATGTGGTATTCCGCCGCAGTGTTGAAAACAGCCGCCCGCGTCAATCGAATTGGACAGAGACCGCGCTCGCGGTGGCCGCGTTGCGCCTTGCAGCGCGTCTCTCAAAGCGCCCGAGGCGGAGATTTGGCGCCAGTGCATCGCCGAGTTGTGTGACTCGAGACCATCAAGATCGACGCACAAAGCCGAGGGCGTTCAACATCCGGTGCGCGCGCTGATGGAGCTCGGCGCCTTCAGCGCTTCGTGCGTGCCAGCCGCTGGCACGTGCAAGCAGACTTTCCCCGCGCTATCGTTTGGGTGGTGTCGGCGGCAACCAACAAGCAGTATTGATACCTTTTGTTACTGGCAGTGTCCGGTGTCCGAACATTCGGTACCGGAGATCGTCGAGTAATTTGGTAATGCGAGCCAAATGCATAGGGCCAAAATTTGTGCCTGTTCAGAAGCCACCCCACGATAACGACGAGCAACAACCCACCCACAGCATACTTAAGTAGCATCAGAATGCGTTGGGTGTTTTGGGCAGACCTTTTATGCCGATGCGGCGCAGAAAGACCCAATTTGGTGAGGCGACACAGATCTGGAGCAGCTGTAGATTTGTGAACCGCGCGTCGCTGGCCAGCAGGTGGCACAAAACAACAATGCAACACCCGACACGGAGATTTCGCGTCTTCGCGCACAGTCGTTCAGGTCGCTGACCTCACCTTCCGAGTGTGAGCCCAACTGTTCGCCCAATCTGCGCCGCCCGAGCCCGAGGGTGGCCCGTTGCAATCTTCCGCAGCGGCACCTGGGCTCCGTCTCGTGGCCGCAATGCCTTGTCGACCGAACAAACCGGTCGGGTCGGTGTGCAATGTTGGCGTCGCAATGTGCGACCGAAGCAAGGGGCACTTTGGCCCGGCGACGCCCTTCCAAGCAAACATCAGGTCACGACGCTGGTCCGGAGCTCTGCTCGACGAGCAGTGCTCGTCACCGAAGCATCGACTGCTAACACCCTCTTTGCTCAGCGCCCAGTTCTCAATTTACTCCTTCGGCCGACATCAGCGTAACCAGCTCAACTCACTCAACTACCGTAGAACAATGGCCATTTCTCAGTCCTCGCTTGCTCTTCTGCTCATTGTGGCGGCCGCCTCCAACGGCCTTTCCGATGCCTCTTACCTCCGCAACCTGGGCGGCACCACCATCGCCACCAACGTCAAGACGTACACGGCGTACGGCGACTACGCGTCCGCCATGCTGGCGGCCGTGAACAAGCAGCGCGCCACGGGCGGCCTCAAGCCCCTGTGCCTCAACAAGAAGCTGCACGCCGCCGCGCAGCGCCACTCGGACGACATGGCCGCCAAGGACTTCATGGCCCACGACGGCTCGGACGGCTCGACCATGTCGGAGCGCATCACGCAGGCCAGCTACGACTGGGAGAGTGTGGCCGAGAACGTGGCCGCCGGCCAGATCGACGTGGCCGACGTGATGGTGGCGTGGATCAACTCGCCGGAGCACCTGGAGAACATCATGGGCGACTACACGATGTTCGGCTCTGCGTACGCGTTCAACAAGGACGGCACGTACCAGCACTACTGGACGCAGGACTTCGGCTCGGGCGACGCGGAGCAGTGCGACGGCGCCCCGGTGGCGCAGAAGACGCCTGTGACGCCCGCGCCGACGACGGAGGCCCCTACGCCGGCCCCGACGACGCCTGTGCAACAGGAGATCCCGGCCACGCCGGCCCCGACCACCGGCGAGGAGGTGCAGGGTGAGGCCGAGATCCCCCAGCAGCAGGAGGTTGTGACCCCCGCCCCGACGACCCCGACTGAGGAGAGCCCTGCCCAGAAGGACTGCGAGTCCAACTTCTAAGTGGCTAAGGCGCGTTCTTAAGTTCCCGGGAGCTGGGACCGGGACGAACGGGACGATACCCCTCGTACGTCAAACTTGATAATTGTAAGCATTTTTTAAGCCCCTAACTCTCGGTAACTACCGCGAACTACGGTGAAAGAAGAACATGGTCAGATAGCCCTTTCGAAACGTAACAAAGTGGTGCACACTTGGCGCGCATTAGTGAAGAAATGAAGTAGCTAAGGTCTTCTGCCAGTTTCGTGCCGTCCTTCGAACTTGCGGACTTGCTGTGGCATAACTTTTCATTGAATTGTCCATTCTGAAATCTGATTGCACCCGCTAAATCTGCGCGATTGGGCTGAATTTATGACTTCACGCTGGTCCGTGTAAACTTTGCAGAACTTCTTGTTATTGTTTTGAAAAGCTTGTTGATTTGGAGTGAGCTGCCAGTTTCCTGCCTCTTTTTGATAGCATGTTTGTATGCTATGCAAATCCTAGAGGCTCATCACCGGAAATTGCATGTGACGCTGGAAAAATCTACCAATAGACTACGAGAGTTTAACAAGGAGAAGATGCTAATTGGCTAAAACAAGTAGGCACGGAACTGGTTGTAGGCACGCAACTGGCGCCTTACCTTAGGGCGAAAGTCCCACGTCCCGACCACGCGAAAATGATGCGGGACCGGGACAAAATGAGCTCGGAAATAAACCTAGCCCGCTTCTGAAAGCCAATCAAATCGCTCTATTTCGTCCCGGGACTTGGGACCGGGAACTTAAGAACGGCCCTAATCTACTTTCTGTAATTGAGCTAGCCCCATGCGGGTATATGAAGTAAATGGACAGGTGCTCAGCGGTACTAATACATAGGTGTGAAACCCAAATAGACGCTTTCATGAATAACCCACGTAACGGTGGCGTATCGCCCTCATCGTGACGACGTTCATGTCGATGTAGCATTCGCGCAGCGAAACATTGAGGCTTCTCCGATCGACGGGCGTCGCGCTCGATTTGGCGAGGTGGACCGTTAGGTATCTTGTCTTGCCATGTTCAAGCGTGCTGGTTAGCGCTACATTGCTCCACCAGCCTATCCATCCAATATTTATTGTGCGCTGGCAACGTCTTTCTGTTAGGCCACAGTGCTCTATACATGTAGCGCGCGAAAGGGTTCTGGTTTAGCGCTCCAGGAGCAAGAAGCAATCCCCACAGTTTGGGTTTACACCAGCGAGTGTGGCATGTATAATAGCGACCAGTTTCCCTTTCCATCCCACGATGGTGATCCCGTGCATTGCCATGCAAATTGAAGCAATTCCTCGCGCCAGAGCATCCTCTCGCCTTGAGGAGAGCAGGCCTCGTCCACAATCCGGACGGCGCTGGCAACGCGCTGCAATCCTGGTCCACAGTTCGCAATTTTTCCCCTTGGAAGCAGCAGTGCCCACTCCAGCCCGCCCACTTCAGCCGCTTGAAGATGCTTTCTGTGCCCCAGTACTCGCTCGCCCTCCTGTTGATCGCCGCCGCGGCCTCCAGCAGCATCTCCGAGGCGGCCCCCACCGGTGACTACTTTGCGGCCATGCTCGCTCGTGTCAACAAGGAGCGCGCGGCCAACGGAGTCTCGAAGCTCTGCATGAACAAGAAGCTGCAGGCCGCGGCTCAGCGCCACTCGAACGACATGGCCAAGAACAACTACATGGCTCACGACGGTGCGGACGGCTCTACGATGTCGCAACGCGTGACCCAGGCCGGCTACGAATGGGAGAGCGTCGCCGAGAACGTCGCGGCCGGCCAGGAGGACGTCGAGTCCGTCATGAACGAGTGGATGCAGTCTACGGGCCACCGAGAAAACATCTTGTGCGCCGACTACACCATGTTCGGCACGGCGTACGCGTACAGCAAGGACTCCACGTACGGCTACTACTGGACGCAGGACTTCGGCAGCGGTCCGACGGAGTCGTGCGATGGTGGCAACTCGAGCACTCCAGCGACTCCGGCCCCTGCGACAGAGGCGCCTGTGGTGACTCCGGCCCCGACGACCGTGGCTCCGGCCACTGAGGCACCGGTGACCCCCGCACCGACGACGGTGGCTCCGGCCACTGAGGCACCGGTGACCCCCGCACCGACGACGGTGGCTCCGGCGACTGAGGCCCCGGTGACCCCTGGACCGACCACGCCTGCTGCGGAGATTCCGGCCACCAAGGGCCCCGTTGTTACGACTCCTCCCGCTCCGATCGCTACGCCTGCCGTGACGACGCCGGCTCCGATTGCTACGCCCGCCGCGACGACGCCGGCTCCGGCCACGCCGTCGACTTCCCAGAAGGACTGCGAATCGAACTTCTAAAGGTCTTGATATTGTTCATAAGCAAACGACGCAGCGTGGGTTGGAATGAGGAGGCGATAGACAGCTTCCACAGTCAAACGCATCAGTCAATGCACAAGTAAAATCCGAGAAATGAAAAGCAGAGCATTAGATACTGCGATTTCCCTGCACATGTTTTGGTAACCAGATTTCTCGGTGCGGCATTAACATACTTTCATAGCGTCCGTTTGCGACGTTATGCTGTTCGTAGCGATTAAAGATTAAAGCGATCAGCGATCTCTAGGCTCTTCTGGCGCAATCTACGTGTGCATGTACATACCAACATACCAACGGGCGAAGTTTCTTCGACCAACATGTACGCGAGCTGAAGCTGTCCGGCCACATCGCTCGAGTCCAGCTAGCTGTCGCTACTACGCGAAGGCGCCAAGCGTTGTCGACAGGTAGTAACACCGAGAGGGAGCACTTGTTTGTGGGGGAACACGCTACTTTCGCTGATTTCGCCCCACCGAGCAGATCAAGTTACGGTCTGGAAAATGTTAGGAACACCCCGAGTTGGGTGCACTGCGGTGACTGCGGTGACGATCGTGCGGACAGGCCTTCGGTCTCAGTTTGCGTGGGTGGCCTGAAGCCCATCATGACTAGCCTGCAAGCAACCTCACCTCGCCTCGCGTTGCTTCACCTCACAACTCGATTCAGCGTCGGGTCCACAAGTGCAGTCCGCTCAGCTCAACCAAGAACCGGTACCTGCGTCATCGCGCCATGCTCGTCCTCCGACCTTCGATTGCAAGCCTTCTCGTTGTCGCCGCCGTCGCGGAGGCTGCCAACTTGCGGCAGGGCCAACGCAAGTTGCAGACGTACACGTCGTCCGACGACTATTTCTCTCTCATGCTTGACCGAGTCAACCAAGCACGAGCTTCCGAGGGTCTACCCGCGCTGTGCACCAACAAGAAGCTCCAAGCGGCAGCCCAACGGCACTCCGACGACCAAGCCGCCAACGACTACATGGACCACACGGGCACGGACGGGTCCAACATCGAGCAGCGTATCGCCGGTGAAGGCTTTGACTGGAGCGCTGTGGCCGAGAATGTTGCCGCGGGCCAACCCGACGTGGATGCTGTCATGGAGGCGTGGATGGCCTCTCCTGGTCACCGCGAAAACATCCTCGGCGACTACACCATGCTCGGCACTGCCTACGCGTACAACCCCGACACCACGTACCAGCACTATTGGACGCAGGACTTCGGAACGGGGGACGCGGAGGAGTGCGAAGGTGGCGACGTTGCTATCGACGCCGACACCATCGCGACTTCCATCGAGAGCACTGAGGCGGCTCAAACTCAGGGTGACCACGTGAAATACAACAGCAAGACCTACACCAAGCAAGGCGAAACCGAGGACAGTTGCTCCGGGTCGGAGGAGAAGGACACCGAGGCTCCCTGCACTGACGCCCCGATCGTGGTGGTGGACCCGCCTCCGACAACTGAGACTCCGTACGAAGACAGCAAAACCGAGGCCAGTTGCTCCGGCTCACACGAGAACGAGACCGAGGGTCCATACACAGACACCCCGATCGTGGTGGTGGACCCACCCGTGTACGAAGGCAGCAAAACTGAGGAAAGCTGTTCCGGTTCACAAGAGAAGGAGACCGAAGCTCCGTGCACGGACACCCCGATCGTGGTGGTGGACCCGCCTGTGTATGAAGACAGCAAAACCGAGGCCAGTTGCTCCGGCTCACACGAGAACGAGACCGAGGGTCCATACACGGACACCCCGATCGTGGTGGTGGACCCACCCGTGTACGAAGGCAGCAAAACTGAGGAAAGCTGTTCCGGTTCACAAGAGAAGGAGACCGAAGCTCCGTGCACGGACACCCCGATCGTGGTGGTGGACCCGCCTGTGTATGAAGGCAGCAACACCGTGGACAGTTGCTCCGGCTCGCAGGAGAACGAGACTGAGGCTCCTTGCACGGACGCTCCAATTGTCGTTGTCGACCCTCCTCCGAGCGACTACCCTTCACAGGAAACGGATGCGCCCGTTGTCGTGGTCGACCCGCCCATCGATACTATTACGGAGGGTACCAAGCAAACGACTCCGTACACCGAGGCTCCGACTACTGAGCTGCCGGAAGGGACCCCGGCAGCGAAGGTGGACTCTCCTGATGTAGACCTTCTCCGGCGCAGGCGTTACGATCTCGCTGCTGCCAACGACAAAGACGACTGCACGCCAGGCTGGTAGGCATCGAAACGAGGGGAGGTTGCAACCCCACATGCATATTTCTCTTTATACTTTAGCCGTCCACGTAAAATGAATGTCCAGCCTTCTCGATTTCATATCTAAATTGCCTCGTTAGCTGTCATTGAGCAGAAGCAGTAGCCGTGTGGTAGTCTCCTCGCACCATTGGTCTCGGTTGTGCCAGCTTGGTGGGGCTTCCAGCACCGCACGATTGTGTTGGTCGAGTGGGCACTTGTTCTCTCAATTCCGGGCGATAAGAAATGCCAACTGGCCGAAGCTGCATATGACCAGCGTTAACTCATGATAACTCTCGTAGCAGACCCCCAAGTTGTTTCGACTGGTAGGGGTGCTCTAGCATGTGAACGTGGGGGGGGGGGGGCACGAAAGGATCCGTGGGAGATACTCGCGTTATGAGGCGCTAGTCGCCACATCTGGAAGCGGCTTTTGTGGGCTTGCTCTCGTTGGGGCACCCCACGCTCCCGAAAACCAGACAAACGAATGCGAACGACGATCCCCATGTGGTCGACGCCTGTGTCCATACCAAGCCGCCGCTATACGCACTTGCACTACGCAGACTGACGGCCCCACCGTCAAAGTCACTCTTCAATTGTCCTCCTCCCACAACAACCTCCGCCTCCATAATGACAATCACACAAACTTCGCTCGCTCTCCTGGTCATTGCCGCTGCCGCTTCCAATGGCCTCTCCGACGCCGCAAACCTGCGCCAGGCGCAGCGCAACCTCGCCGCCACCTACAGACAGCCAAGCGACTACCTCCCCGCCATGGTGGCCCGAGTCAACAAGGAGCGAGCTGCTGTCGGTCTTCCTCCGGTCTGCGCGAACCTGAAGCTGCAGTCTTCCTCCCAGCGTCACTCGGACGACATGGCCGACCACGACTACATGGCCCACGGCGGAACGGACGGCTCCACGATGGAGAAGCGCGTGACGGACACTGGTTATGCTTGGGACAGGGTCGGAGAGAACGTTGCTGCTGGCCAGGAAGACGTCGATGCGGTCATGGACGCCTGGATGAGGTCGCCGGAGCACCGTGCCAACATCTTGGGCGACTACAACATGCTCGGCGCCTCGTACGCTTTCAACGAACGCGGCACGTACCAGCACTATTGGACGCAGGACTTCGGCAAGAGCAACCGCGAGTCGTGCAGCAATCCAGGCAGCATGGCCCCGAACTCGAGTCCTAACACTCCTGGCCGTGTCCCTCCAAGCAACAGCGTACCTCAAAACAACGGCGTACCTCAAAACAACGGTGGCGCCCCCAACAACCAGACCCCCAAGCAGCAGGACCAAGAGCAGGGCGAAGCTGACCCCGCAGTGCAGGAGAACATTATGCATTATCCTGAAGCCCGGAGCGCTCTGAGTGCGAAGGAGCTGGAGGCCGACCTGGGCGTTGCCGTCTCGCCGGTGCCAAAGACTGACGTGCACGTTGTGAACGCGAAGACTCCGTGCCCCGCGGGTGAGCGGTCAATCGAGGAGCCGGTCGTCCAATCCGACGCGGAGAAGGACTGCGATCCCAAGTTCTAAGACGATAGGAAAGAAGTGCTCTGTGTTCCTCAACGTATAATATAGCTGTTGTTCAACATACTCTACCTTGGCAATAGTACTTGCACCTCTAATCACTACCATGATGGCTGTCGTAGCCTACGAATCTACCGGTAGTTCGACTCGCAGGCAACGCAAGTCAAACTGCTTGCCGGACGATCGCAATTTGGCTGCAACTCAAAAAGTTATCTGACGCACTTATTAATATAATAATACATACTGTAAAACCTCTAATTGTGCCCCTGGGGTACTAAGTTAGTACCCCACCCACGCAAGGGGGGTGGGGCACTATTTGAGGGTAGTGCCCAGCTAAATGCCCCCACAAAGACCGAACACGCTGCTACTACATAAACTACACAGTAGGCAAATACTACTTTCTGTGCTATTTGGTGCAGTTTTGGGGATAGTCAATATATCCAGAGTAAACAAATCAGCGGCTGCTATCGCGCAGCTGCGTAAGATAAACTTACCTTCGGACTGGCTGGTAAGATAAATTCGTTTTTAGAAAAAAAATCAGTGGCCTCCTGTCGCCAGTCCAAAACCCTCCCTCCTCCCCCGCAGGCCGCAAGCGATCAGGTCCTGACCCCGTGGCATGGTGCGTACGCGTGAGTTAGTTCATGTATTCCCTGCTTAAGGCTAACCTGTACGTATCCATACCCTATGTCAGGCCCCGGACGACGACATAGCTGCCGATGGAGCTCGCGATGTGAATCCAGAAGCTCCTCTCGAGATGGTCACTGTGAATGCAACACCCAGCCAAGCAAGCTCAGCCCAAGCTCCTCCCACCACCGATCCACCCCCACTCACGCCACTAGAAGAAGCAGAAGCAGAGCGGATACGGCTTCGGGCGAAGAAGCGACAGCAGCAAGAAAACACAGTGCCGAAGTCTAGACGCTCCCCCACGCTGCCAAACTGACGAGGATCGGCCCCGAAACGCTGAAGCGGACCCGGCAGACAGTCAATCCCGTGCCGACCAAGCTGAGCGTTGGGAGTCCCGCCTGGCCCGTCATCTGGCAGCTGACAACGAGGACGAAAGTGAAGGTGAAGCAGCGCTAGCGGAAGTATTGGCGCAGCTTGAGGAAGAGGATGAAGATGAGTCTCCGGACAACAGTGGCGATTCGGACTACAACGACGATCGACGAACACCTGAGGGCGATGACGATGGAGACTCCTGTGACGGTATTGGACGCGCTACTGACATCGATTCCGCTGCGAATAGTGTGCCGACACCGCACCAAACACCGAAGAAGCACCAAAACCCGAAGGCGAACCAAAAGTCTGTCCAGTGCGAGGACGAAGAATCGGAAAGTCAAGGTGGTGTGGAAGATGTACCAGTCGTCGGTGACTACTTGGAAGGATTTCCTATGTACTGGTCGTCGTGGAAAGTTTCTACGAAGCTTTCGACGAGCTCCAAGAGGCTACGTACCAGCGCTTCTCATCCCGCACAAGTACCTCAATTAAGTCCAGGAACAAGCAAATTGCTGCCGCGCAGAAAGAGGTCAAAAAGAAACAAAGTAAGCCGAAGACGAGAAAGGTTCGCGCCCACCGACAGAGCACAGGTGGCACACTATTGCCAGAGTCATGGGAGAAATACGGCAGGGACGTTCGTGTGCACTCATGCTATTCCGTACGAGAGTCGTGGAGAAGGCTTGCGGCAGCATGACGCCGTCCGTTTTGTGGCGTGTACTGCTCGTGTCAACGCACGGGTTTGTAGTCGACCGAGTGGTGTTGGATTTCATATCGTTGTGAATGCAACGGGAATGCACAGCCATTCTCTCACCGAACATCAGTGGTATAACTACGCTGAGAACAGACGCGTCTTGGGTCCGTCCTACGCCGCGATGTGGCAGTCATGAGCAAGGCGGGGGCCAAGCCACGAGGGATATTAGCGTATCTTCGAGCCAAAACAGGTTGGTGGTTTTGGTGTGTATTCTGTATATTGCACGAAACACTAATAAAATTTGGTTTGGTGTTCTATAAAGGCAAGCGAACGATTCTACGAGACGTGCACAACATGATCCAGGACGCTAAGAAGTGCTTTAATGGAGGTCGACCGGATGCGGAGCGCGCTGTCTCCGTGCTGGACGAATTCTGCGAGATGAACACTGGAAATGTGGCGGAGTTCGTCATTGACAAGGAGACCAACGTGGTGCAAGTGATAACGTTCCAGTCAGCGCGGCAGAAGCGTCTCTTTGCAGCCTTCCCCGAGGTTGTTCTGGTCGACTCGACTCATAACAGCAACGCGAACCGTTATAAGCTGTTTAGCTTCGCAGTCCACAACGTCTTCGGCCGGGTGGGTAAATGCTTTCAGGCTCTAACAAAAATGTACTGAACATTTGTATAATTTTCTGTGTGGTTTATTTTCTTAGGGTCAATTCGTGCAACACGCATTGGTGCGGACGGAAGAGAAACCGAACTTGGCTCTTGTTGTCGCAGCATTCAAAAGGCACAACCCTGAGTGGTCCAAGATCCGTGTTGTGATGTCGGATAAGGCACTGCATGAGAAGGAGGTGCTGTTGGAAGGATGGCCGAATGCGCGCCAGCTACTATGTCGTTGGCACGTCGAAACGTGGTTGAAGAAACAGTGCTCCAGACTGGGAGACGTCGGGCCTACAGAAACGAAGGAACTCAAGTCAATTATGAAAGGATTGGTGAATGCGGCATCTCAGGAGCACTATGACGACCTGAAGAAGGCTCTGCTCGAGACAGTCGGGAATAACGACGAAAACCTGCTCTACAAAAGTTTTATGAAGCACTGGGATACGACTGCTGACGAGTGGGTGATGTTCAAGCGTGGTGACGTCCCACACCTGATGAACAACACGAACAACCGTCTGGAATCGGAATGGGCCGCCTCAAATAGGTTATTGACGGTAGTTTCACTGTTGATGAGCTCCTCTCCATGCTGATAACAATGCAAGATTACACTGAAGAACGCTACCTGGCTGATTTCCATCGTGTCAGCAGTCGCCCTCCCATTGCTGAAGATCCAGAGTTAACTGCAGTGGCCATGCATCTCAGCAACTACGCCTTCGAGATGGTGGCCCATCAGTACACATTGGCTGTCGGACCTCAGGCCTGTTACGACATGGAGACGACACCAGATGGCAAGGCGAGAGTGACAAACCTAGCGACAGGCAATTCGCACGTTGTAGATGCTCGGGTGATATTTTGGTTCAATTTTGGTGGTTTGGTAAATTTTCGGGTGCTGTGACTAACGCTGGGTTTTGTTCTACCAACAGCTTGCTGCATGCGACTGTATATTCAGGCAGACCTGTTTGCTCCCGTGCCGCCATGTCATGTACGTCCGTGCCAAGTCTAACTACGAGACGGTAGTTCCGCCAATGGTTCGTTTCGCTACCCGTTGGATCGTCCAAAGTCCAGCTAACAACATCGATGAGGGGCCTGTACTGACGGGGGGATTAAACCGCATCAACTGCCCACCCCGCCGTGCCCCACGAGCACTATCCAGCGACGCGAAGTACAGCCAAGGCAAACATATTACAGAGAAGATCATCGATGTCCTCTCGATCCAGCCGTCTACCACACACAAACTGGCAATGCAGTGGCTTACGGGTTTCTACGACGCGCTACATACTGGCAAACTGGAGGAGTTCACTGGCCAAGATCTGTGTGCAACAAGCGGCTTCAACTCGCTGTCTCTAGTCTCTTCGGTTGCTGGTGTGACAGCATCGCAGCTTTCTTTTGCTGAGATGAGCAGCGCGCCCGAAGACGAGTCGAAGTGCGATGTGACGGCAGGGACGGACCTTGAAGAAAAAGCGCCCGTCCCAGTAGCCGCACCACCGGAATCGACTAATCACCAGACGACTATCACACCGTCTCAGCATGAGAATACTGTAGGTCGAAGTCCAGCGGATCCTATCACCTTAGCATCGCCACCGAAGCGTAAGGGATTGACGCGGCGTGCGGAGAAGCACGAAGCGTCGACCGGAGAGCTGCAAGTTGCAAACAAGATTCGGTTGCGCATCTCAGAAGGGAGAAAGGCGCGTGCCGTTAAGCTCTCGGACATGGCGATTCTTAAAGGCCCGTACAGCAGACGCACCACCATGTCGTTCATCGAAAGGTTGAGCTTGCCATCCGTGGAAGTGGCTGGGAAGCTCGACGTTCGTAGCTTCAACATTGGGCAGCCCGTCCCAGTGATTAAGGCGATTCCTCAACTGGAAAAGATCGAGGAGGCCATAGAAGCAATCGAAAACAAGAGCAACAAGGCGCTGCTTGCTCGGTGGGAGGACTATGGGTTTGCCACGTACGGGTAATTGACGCTCATGGCTCGAGTGATCAAGGCACGAAACAACTTCAAGTTAGTCGAAGATACGATGAAGTGGATTGACTCCTTGGCGTTTCGAGTTGCCAGTATTGTGTGCCGTTCAAAGACATGGAGGACGTGACTAAGGTAAGATTTCCTTGCACCGAAAGTATACCAAAAGTATACTAAATCACCAAACTTACTGATGTGCTTTGTGTTTAGGTGGACCATAAGCAAGCAGTAGACGAGCTGAACCTGGGGCGGTGGTACGTTGGCCGACATGAACAAAATGGCTGTGAATTCCTGGCTTTTCGAGAGAAGCTCTGGCTGCACTCGGGGTCTATCATCGGTGGTCTTTTGGCACTCCAATCCGAGTATTTGGATGTTGCCATTGTCAACCCTCGCTTTCACGACTTTGATGATGCTGATCAGAAGATGTGCACAGCAAAAGGATATGGCGCTGCGAATGCCAGGGCCAAGTTCGTGTAATGGGCCTACCTTAGCTCACTACTACGGCTTACACGTATGCCACGTGTATGAGGAAGCGTAGGTTTCTTTTACTTGAGTAAGTATACTCGAGATCCACGAGTATACTTTAAACAAGATAAAGACTCCAAGTAGCGAGTTTTGGTAAAAGATGAGAACTGCTATTTGTGTTTTATGTTTCTGACTTCCTCTAAATGTAATATTCTAAACTAGGAATCTGCCAACGGCTGGTTGGCAGGATTCTGCTAACATGCAAGTCACTCATTGGCTAAAAGATGCTGCTTTCAGCCAATAGGAATCCTAAATGTGTATGGACCACCCGTCGTGGTGGTTGTAAATGTATGTAGTCATTGGTGTACCTTACACCAAGGTCGAGGAAGTGTTCAAACCTCTAACAGACATCGCATCTGTTAGAGTAACAAGTGACTGTAGCCACTTGTGCGTGTAACCCCGTTACAGTTCGTCATCAGCGTGATTAACTTGGGGCACCACGGGGGTGCATTTTTCGTGGAGACGGAGACGAAGATCTGCTACCTGTTTGACCCCATGCAGCTGACTAGCAATTTGTCCGCGCTGAAGGAAGCAGTTCTCACTGTGGTTGAGAAGATGCTGGACATGACCGACCAACTGGACTACCACGTCATTGCCCACTACCAACAGAGGGATGGTACGTCGTGTGGCATTTGGTGCTTGGTGGTGTTGGAACTACTACTGTTTGGTGCAACTCCTGAAACCTGGTCTGACTACTGGAAGGACTCTCTGTACGAAGTGGTGGGCTACTTGAGGTTGCGCTACCTACGGAAGGTGATTAGCTTGCAGCTTCAGCAGCCCCAGCAGGTTTAGTAGGCACCCTAACTTCAATACATATCTTTGGTAGATGATTTTTGTGCCAGATCAAAACACCAAAGTCATACCGAAACTAAGGGACTTTGTTAGCGTTTGTGGTAGTTGAAAGTAGACGCCACTCCAAATTTTTGAATATTAATGTACCTTGTATTTTCCAATACTATAATTAAGTGCTCCTATAGGTACTCATCCTCATCTGTCACAGATGTTGCTGTGAAAGAGAGCATTGGCTAGGATGAATGACCACTATAACCTATGCTGATACAACGCACAGGAATACGTAAATTACTGGCTCCCCGTAATATATTCTTGTAGACGACAAGCCTCGCACCCATTATTTGAAGCTATCATTTAATAACACTTTCTGTAGCAGCAACACGATCCCACCTAAAATTGTCGATCAACAACTGGGTGCATCCTGAAATCACATTTTAGATTTGTGACGCACATTTGTCCAGGTTATGATACATTTACTACGTGATTATACTCGACGTTGCTGCCTCTACGGAGAAAAATAGTACTGAAAGTACCATTATTTTGAGGCTACTTGAGGGTATCCAATGGGTTTTTGTATAGGATGGTCACCCCTCTTGGCAACCCCTTTTGACAACCTCATTTTATTGTGCCTTTTGTTTAATTTGCCGACAGCAAAATCGGACTTCAAGTCCGATTTTCATTTACTAAAACAAGGGAGATAGTAATTCGTTATAGTATAGCTTCCCCGAATATCGGAGTTCGGTTTTCCGTGCTTTGCTCCTTCGGTTTTGCTCTCGTTTTCATTCGAGGTCCCGAATGGCGGTGATTTGTTCGCCATCTGGGACTTCGGCTCGAAAAGCGCTATCGCTTTCCCTCGCTTTCGATTGGAAAGCGGAGTCGGATCACCATCCCTCCGATTTTTCAAATCGGGGGTAGGTCCCCTTTATTTTAACTCGTAACCCTACCTCAATAGTAAAAGTGATAGTTTTTGAGGTCCGTTTAGCCAAAAAGATGAAAGGCACAATACGTCACAAATTTACTCCACTGCTTGTTTTCTTTCACTTTTGATACGAGACCAATTTGTGATTTCTGGATTTTTTTTAGCTGTAAGTGGGTGCATCCTTTTAACATTCCTTCCAAAATCAGTTTTCATCCCTGTTTTACATCCTAATCACTCATTACTTTAATTTAATTTAAGTTACATGTAGCTGTGCGGTATGAGTGAGAGCAACGATGGTAGCTGTAAGAATAGAAAAGTGTGGCATCCCAACAGACAACGCATACATCACCCTTCTCATGTTAGACAAGTATTTGAATTTGAATTTGTTGCGGTTTAATCGGCTACCTACTCCCGGAGACGCATCTCCGCGTACGGTGATCGTGTCGCTAGATCTCTAGGATATGAGCCCGCGGTAGGCGCCCAATATGTTAGACAAGCAACAAGAAACTTCACGCTGCCAATAATTCCAATACTAAGGTTGGGAGGGGTACTGTACTAAATTTTCAGTGGAGAGTGGGGTACTTTAAGAGGGTGGGGTACTATTAGAGGGTGGAGTATTACTTGTAAGTCCCCACCCAAAGTAATCAAAAATGAGAGGTGGGGTACTAATTGAGGGTGGGGCACAATTAGAGGTTTTACAGTATTTAGTCCAACATACCAAAAATGGTCCAGGATGGACAAATTTTCCTGTAGCCATCTGTTACTTTTGCTCAGACCATTCGTCCAACGCCGGTGATGGAGGTAGGGCGCCGCCGGGATTGAACTCACAACATACCTGTAGAACATAGCTCGTTAGACCGTTACACCATACAGGCGCCCCGGTCATCGTCTCTTCGGGCTGGGACTTGACACTGTCTGATTGCATATTCCAACACTCCCCCTCAATCGAGAGTGTCAGGACCTCCTGATTGCGACCTATCCTGCAGCTTGTTGGTCCGACTCCAACGCCGTTGCTGCAATGACCTCCCTGGGTTTAAGGCCACCCGTGTCTCCCCCTGGAAACACATTCCGTTCACAGACACCTCGTGTTGTGACACGAACCACACAACCATCACTACGATCCACATTCCAGCAACCATTGACCATCTGCGTTCTACGCGCTTGGGAAACGTATTCCTTCTCCATGTTGTAGGTCGGCTAGCCGTGCACGTTTTGCAGAGTGTGGAAGACACTCCGCTTGGTCGAAATGTGCCGCAGGACCATTTTTCTGGCATCTACTGCACCCATTCGCACTCCTCGTCCAGCACAACGTTCGTTTTGCGTACGCTGCGGTTCATTACCGTCCTCGCGAACCCGATTTACGCCGAGTCCTCTACGATGCGCTTAGTCAACATTTGCCACACGGCCTTCTTCGTTACGAGGATCGACGATAGCGATCTCCGCTAGGATGACGATGACGCACAAGTGGCGCCAAGTTTGAAAGTGCAACTTGAAGTTGCGCCTCGTCACAGGGTCTTGATTTGTGAGTGACCATCACTCTGTGGATCTTCGATGTTTGGTGTTATAGCGAAACGGCGCAGTGCAAAATGGCGCCAAGTTTGAAAGTGCAACTTGAAGTTACGTCTCGTCACAGGGTATTGATTGGTTTGAGTCGCGGGAGACCATCACTCAGAACACGCATTAGCCCCGGTGCTCCATGTTGCACTTCACTTAAAGCGACAGGGGAATGGGCGATACCGCGTTTGGAGGCGTTTGGTACCGAAGCCGCCTAGCACAGGTGGGTCTCATTCCGCAATTTGCAAGATACCGGGTAAGCGCAAGAAGCCCCCCCCCCCCCGCCGACTCAACCCCCGTCTACACGTATCAAAGCGTCAAGATGAAGTTCAATCAGCTCTGCGACCTCGACTTCCTGACCGCCGAGATCCGCACGATGGCATCGGAGCTCAAGCTGGTCGGCTTGCTGGGATGGAAGATTGCTGGCAAGCACGTCCTGCGGTGTCTACAAGAGGGCGCTTCCCTGCCGGCCCTCGACTCCAACTTCTTCTACCAGGATGAAACGGAGAAGAGGACGAGGAACAGCCCAGAGTATCCGGACCTCCACCCGACCTTCGTGAGATACTGGGAGCTGTGCGAACGACTTCCCGAATACCTCCCCCCAAGCAGCGTCAATTCGGGTCCCATGAGGCGCGCGATGGCCGATACGATGGAGACGAACACCATCAACATGCTGGGTCTTCACTTTCGAAGGAGGCTTCACCAGTACATCCGGTTCCGCTACGCGACGACGGGCAAGCTCCAACTCGGCTATAAGGCGACGCGGAAGCTCGTTGCTGGCTGATATCGTGTCAAGGAAGTCCCCCACCTCGATGTCGACGGCGTGGACACCGGCAACGTGGTCTATGTATGGGACGAACCAAGATCCACTGCGGAGCGTGAGCTCCACGACTGGCTTGGCTTCGTGCCCTGGGAGTGGCGCATTCGCCAAAACCCGACCCACTTTTTCGTGAAGCTATACGACATGCTCCAGTGGATGGAGGCATTTGTCGAGAAGCACCCAAAGACAAAGGGCGCGCGTCTCTACTCCCTGCCTCCTTACTCCAGCTCATTCATCCCCGCACACGTGACGCTAAACATTACGTCGCTGCATCAAGTGTTCTGCCGACTTTTCACGGACCCTGAGCGTCAGGCAGAAGTCAAGACGTATGTGAAGGACGAGCTTGGCGTGGAATGCGGATCTACAGAGCAAGTTCGCCGCCAGTTTAGCGAAAACAAGGATGCTGTTTTTCGGAAGATGTTTCGGCTAAATGGACTTGAGACCAGCACACGAGAGTTCGCGTACCAAATCACAACGGATGGCTATGCAGCTTCCGTTTTGCTGCGCCGCCAGACGCTTTGCCGCGAGGATGACGACAACGCGGACCAGCCTCGCAAGCGCCAAAAGAATAATAAAGGTGAAGTAGTCAAGGCTCCGGAAGCGGTCGAGGAAGACGCCCTCGAAGCGGCGATGAAGAAGTTGCCGCCCGGATATGCTCCTGACGTCATGATCGGCATCGACCCCGGCGTGAGGACTGTGTGCACCGCGGCATGTGAAGGTAGCCTTCCAACTCGGCAGTCGCGACGCCGACGGAATCGACAAGGGAAGCGAAAGCACAAGATCCGACGGGCGAAGCACAAGCGCAAGAACCGACACAGGCAGCGGACCGTCGCCATCAACACCCGCGAGTACTACCACATGTCCAAGGCTGGCAAGCATCGCTTCTGGAACAACGGTCTGCGGGAGAAGGAGGCTTCCTACGCCAAGATCCTTGACGGTATGCCGACGTTCAAGACAGCAAGATATCAAGTCTACTTGGATGAACTGCGGTATTTTGTGAAGCACGCAAAGTACCTGGTGCTGTTCTCGGCACGGCACTTCTTCCGGAAGTGGCGCTTTTTACTGTACTGCATGAAAATGAAGGCAATCGACACTCTGGCCAAGCGGCTTGTGCCGACACCAAGTCCACAGGTGTGCGTCGCATTCGGGGGCTGGAGCTGCCAAGACGGACTCCGGGGCAACCCTCGCGATCCGGTGAAGGCGTTCAGGAAGGCGCTGGAGCGGCGCGCTACTGTGCTGCCGATGGACGAGTTTCGGAACAGTAAGCTGTGCTCCTGCTGCCACCAGAGTCTTCGCAGAGCCCGACTGCTGACCAAGGTCAAGGACAAAGACACCAAGGAGGACAAGATCGTTTTGAAGGGCAACAGAAACGTCCTGCACTGTAAGAACAGTCGCTGCAGGGCCCACTTCTGGAACCGAGACGTCAACGCTGCCATCAACATTTTGGAGCTGCTCAAGTGCAGGCTGCTTGACCTGGCGAGGCTGGCAGCATTCCAGCGGTAATGACGACCAAGGTTTTTGAAATATGTGAGGATAGGCTGTTGTGTGGGCATGCGCTCTGCGCATTGTCAGCGCAATGGGGTTCCGTACCCGAGCAGACGGTGTGGAGGAGGGAAACTCCGATGACACAGAAGCCGGTACATTTTTTTAGTTTAAAGAAGGGATTTTTTTTTCCTTTTTTGGATAAATAAAAAGGAGGTGGAGACATAGAAAAAAAGCAAGCAATGGTGTACGACGTAACCGTAGACGAGTCCAGCGCGCAGCAGAACATGGCTGGAATGAAGTTTAGAAAAAGGAACTTGATAAACCGGTTTATCAACTTCGTCGGCGCGGGGTTTCAAAGTTTGAAGGCGGTATATCGGTATTTGCTGTTCAAACCAATACTCTTGCAAAACCAGGAAGTGTAACGGATCGCAAACGGCTCAGCTTCGCTTCCTGGAGCTCCTATTTGCTCCTCGCGCAGATATAATTGGCTTCGGATAAAGCCGCACCCTTTCAGTAAGGTCGTGGAGAAAAGGCAAAGGCACGTACATGTAGTTTCCTCACTCTTGGCACCTTTTCCCGGCAGCGTATCCAAGCCGCACTATCGTTCCAACGCAAGAAAGGCAAATGGCGACAGCTGCGTACGCCACCTGCAGCTTCTAGGACGCCGTGGCGCGTAGCAACCTCACCATCTTTGCTGGAGACGTCACATTTCAATTGTCCCTGTTTCGAGCACCCCTATCGTCTACCACTTCTCGTCTTCAACACTTCTCCCGGCCCCCAAGCTCCACAACTTCGTTGTCCCTGAATCACATCAACTCTTTGAGAGTTCGCCTTCGCTCCTCGTGCTTTTATCGGTAAGTGCTAAATGAATGCCGGAATCAGCTTTTCGCTATCTAGATTGCTCTCTCTCTCTACTAATATATGTAGCGGGCCGCGCCACAACGCGTGACTACGGCAAACGGGCGGTCAAATAACCCACTTCACTGTCGTCGCCAGAAGCGGTCGGGTTGCAAGTGACGATGGACCAACTCTCTTCCAGTCGTGATTTCAATGCTGAAGGACCAGCCTCCACTCGAGGTGCTCGAGGTGTTGATACAGCACCATCGTCTCCTGTCGAGTATGATTCTGAAGATTACTGTGATGACACTACTGAAGTGACGGCTACACGAGGCTACGCAAATGGCCAGCAGTCCCAAGTGGAATCTGCTGTTGCTGGAGCAAGAGGAGGGCCTGCCCAAAACGTCACTCACAACTCAGCATTTGCGCGACTTCCGTTATCAGAACAAGCAAGGACGTCAGCATCCCAACAGATACCCTTCACGCAATCAGCACCCCCAATAACTTCGAGTCTACCCTGCGGTGATTTCCGTCGGACGACTTCGAACTCCGTAGGACCCGGTGCTGGAGCTACGACACCAACGCCGCACCAGCCACCCGACGTTACTGGCCGTGACTTTTGTGAGTGGCCTCCCGAGCCGACGGCGCTGTATGATGCAGACGATATTGCTCGGATCCCAGCATGAATCCGTGAGGCGGTACTCCAGTTTAGGCCAAATTAAACGTGTACGCCGATGCCTCTGCCCCGAAGCCATCGGTCTATTACGTTCAAATATGGAGTCCGCGTGAAGTGCTGGTTCCGCGAATCCCTTGTTGTCGGGTGGTTGTGCATGGCAAGCGATGCGTGCCGTCGGGATATCACGTTCCTGCCCTTCCATGGAGAAAAACCACTAATGCTACAAAGCACTTGTGGGAGACGCACCAAATCCAGTCTGAAAAGACGACCCTACAGAATACGCGTAAGCGGGACCGCGCTGAAGGGGTCAACCGCATTCTAGCGTCCGCGTTATGCCGTGACGATGCGAAGCGTTTGTGTTTGTTGCTGGAGACGATTCGAATTGTCTACAACAACTTGCCATTCCGGTTTGGTGAGTACGAAGAGTCAGTCATTCTGAAGGAAGTCGTCACAAAAGATGAGTTCAAGACAACAGTGAACTCAAGAACGGTGACAAATTCACTTGTCGAGTTGTACGCATCCGGTCGCCAAGAGCTGATAGGGTTCATCAGAGACAATCGTTTGGGACTTATCAAGTGTTTGACGATGGTTGTTGACTTCTGGACCCCAAAGCATGGTGGCGAAAAGTATCTCGGTTTGCGCATCTACTTCGTCGACTCCCACTTCCGACTGCGTACTGTACTCGTCATTTCTTGCCCATGTATGGAGAACGCGACCAAGGGATTCGCGGCCCTTTTGAGCGGTGGATTTGCGGTATTCTGTTTGACTTTGGCCTGTCCCCGAGCGACTTCTTCGGCTCCACCACTGACAGCGGCCCCGACGTTAAATGGACGATGAACGAAGGGCTTCGATTGAAGTGGGAATGGTGCATCCCTCACAAGGTGAACGCTGCCACCAAGATGGCCTGCGGCTTGACGCGAAAATCGCACAATCCCGAGATGTCGGCGTTGCTAAACAAGCTATCTCAAACGGTGTACGACACCTCCACCAACTCGACGCTTGGCGATCTGCTTCCCATGCTGATGATAATGTTGGGGGAAGGCAATGGTACCCAACTAGTAGGCTACAAGCCGCATCGCTTCATGGGGATGGCAGCCACGATGGAGCGGGTTCTGGAGAAGTGGCCAGCTCTGGAGGCATGGTACGAGGCGCGTTCAGCTCAGCATGCACGGAAAAAGAAGCGAGCGCCACCAGGGTTTCACCTTGCCGGTTGTCAACAGCATTTGGTGCAGCTATTATCAATCCTTACACCGATTCTTCTCGTGACGAAGCGATCACAGGCGCAGGATACGAATCAAGTGCAAGTCCTGCTGTCCTTGTATACGATGTGCATGACTTCTCTCGCACTTGACAGCCCCATCAGGCGCTACGACACGGCTCCGTCGAACGCCGTCAATATTCACCCTTTTCAACTAACATCGCTGGTGGCGAGGACAAGGATGCTGCTACAGAAGGCGTTTTACCACAACTTCTTCCGCCGATATGTAGACATTGTATCCGGTTCCTACATTTTTGAGATGCAACTGGTGATGTATCCTTCGGTTAAGCACGTGGGGAGTCCGATGGACGAAGTGATTGCCGCCGTTGCACGTACTGAAGGGAGAATGCGGGATGATCTTGTTGCTGGTCATGTTGTCGCCGTTTGAGCTGCAATTATGAAGCGCTTGAAGTCGCTAATGCGCTTAGTAGCCAACAGTCAAGACCCAGCACCCGTTGATCCGATTGCTGCTCCAGCTGTGCAGGCCAATGTTTTCGATGACGACATTTTGGCAACCTTTGCAGTTCAACCCTTCCGAAGCACCGAACGACCTGCTCAACAACGTAACAAGCACGATACTCTCATCGCCGGTGAGCTGAAAAGGTGGCTAGAAGATTCGGATGGGCTGCAGATGATAACAGTTCCTGATCCAGCCAAGACGAGCGTCCGCAGACCGGAGAGTATCCTGGAATTTTGGCATCGGCAGCAGCAGTCCAAGCGCTATGTCTTGCTACCCATGGTTGCTCGCATCCTGTTTGCAGTCCCATCTTCGTCTGCTCAGATTGAAAGGGACTTCGGCAACAGTGGGCAAATGGTGACTGCCCTGCGAGCTTCTACAAGCACGGCTAATATCGACATGGCTTGCTTCCTTCATCAAAACCGGTCATTTGTCGATGTGTGCCAGTGCCCAAAGCTGAAAGCATCCGAAGTCGACGAACACATTCCAAGCAATGTCAAGATTAACCTGGAACCCGAGGTAGTGGAGCGAATGGAATGGAATCAGCTGGCACAAGCGTGCTTTTCGACATCAAGCGCAAGCGCATTTGCTTCTTACAACGAGGAGGAGACGAAAGACTCAAGCTGTTAGTTTAAACGAGTAGGAGGCGAAAGACTCCAGCTGGTAGTTTAACTGCTTCATATATTCAAATATATTCACCTAGCATATTCGAAGTGGCTTTAGTAGTCAATTCCATGAGTTTGTCAAGTCCAGCATGGGATAAACATTACGAATACTGCAGCGCTTTTACCTTCGCTTGGTGTGATTTCTCCAGCGCACTTGCACGTTCGGCAGCGCGTAATGCTGTTTCGAGTGTCAGTTCCGCGCGGATTTGGTCCAGTCTCGATAGATTGGCCACGGCTTGCGGCTTCGAGGTTTGAGCTGCGGTTGGTTTACGCCTCACTTTACCTGCTCCAGCTCTAAGAACGCCTTTGGGGTGCAATGCTGGCTGATCGTTGCTGTAGGAAGTCTTGCGACCTTGTCGACCTTGTCGACCTGGGGAACTAGCTGCTTCATGATCCGACTTTGCCTCGTGCAGCGATTTCATTGTTGCTTCGATCGAGTTCCTGAATGAAGTCATCGCTTGATTCACCTCTGCCTTTATTCGGGAATCCATAATATTCTCCTTGTCTTGAAGAATACTCTGGTTCGAGACAACATCTTGCTGATTGTGGCCCTGTGTAGCCATCTCCGCACGAAGTTTCACAAATTTACGCTCCTGCTTGCGCTGCAGCTTGTTTAGTTTTGCGTCAAAACGCAGCTCCACTATCAGCAACAAGTTTTTGAGATCCGCTGTCTAGATTCTGTCTTTCAGCGCGCAACTGGGCAGAAATCAAATCAGCCACGCTGGAGTCACGCTGTTGAAGACGTTCATCGACATAGGCTTTCATTACCGCTGTCGCTTTATTATTCACCGCTGTACTGCACGACTCCATCGCTATCTGAAAGAAGTGCTGCGTCCACGACTTCGTGTCCTCCACTTTGCAGTCCAGGTCACTCATATGCGCCTGCATCTCGGTTCGTATCCTCTCTTCTGAAGCCCCTTACTACACTGTCTCGCCTGCACAGCTAATTGGCGCTCGACTTCTGCAACGTGATGTTCTCGCTCTGCACGAAGGTGAGCTTGAATATCGTTCTGCAGGCTGCGTGTCTGAACTTGAAGCTCTTCATTAAGTCGGTGTGATGCTTGAATACCTTCTACCATCTGCTCGTTCATTCGGCGCTCACTTTCTTGGCGGGTCTGGCGCACCAGAGTTTGTTCTTCCGTCCTGCGTCTGGCCTCCTGCAGCTGAAGCTCCATGGCTTGACGCTCGATGCTTCCGTCCACCAGCACCAGATCTTCTTGTACGGATAGGTGTTTCTGCTGATCCTTGATGGAAATGCTTCGGTTGCGCCTCGCGTGTGGCGGGTTTCCGCTTTGCAGAGCTTGATCATCGTCGTGGAGCTCACTTGTGTACGATACAAGAGGCGCGTATGAGTGCTGCATACTGCCTCGACTGGTGAGCAAGATGCAATGGCGTTCACGGTGCAGGGAAAGATACCGTATTTCGCATGTAGAAAGCTGCACCGGCATATGAGATGCACTTTGATAACTACCATTCTTTTTTTTACTTGCTCAAAAGGATTTATCTCATTTTCTTTTTATTATTATTGTTTTTCTTTTTAGGCTGGTGGAACAGTGATCTTTCGCTAAGGTTCCTACATTTTCACTTTGGTCACCGCACGTCGCATGCAGAGCCCGGGATGACTTCAGCGGCCACTGGACCGCTGAAGTGCTGGTCTACGCTGCATCTATTAGGGTGGTGCTGCTGAAGGTGCCTCCCCATGCTACGTCTATTTGCCAGCCTGCAGACGTAGCATGGAATCATCCGTTCAAGACTTGGCTGCGCAGGTTTTGGCTCGAGGACATCCAGCGGCAACTGATGCAGCCGCGCGACGCGGAAGCCAAGTTTAAGCTGACTCCACCAGGCCGCGCCGGGATGTGCCATTGGATTCGCGCTAGTTGGGAGAGCCTGAGCTCCGACACCATCGCGAATGGATACAAGAAATGCGACTTACACCTCAACGAGGAGTGCCTCGCCGCCGCGTCGCTGGTGGCAGAGCTGCAGAACCTATCGCTAGTAGGGCCAGTGGCCAAGGCGGTCGACCAAACTCAAGACTTCGACCGCAATGTCATTCTTGACGAAGCTGTGGTGTAGCTTTCTTCTACAATACATATTTTGATGCACATCGTTTTTTAAAGGTATGTTTTCTGTTGTGAACATCATGTGCAGCTTTCTACATGCGAAATACGGTATGTGCTCTGGTAAGGCCGCGCACTTAACCGAGAAGTGCCCGACGTCTCACATCAAGGCTATCCAGCCAATGGGAGAAGCTAGGCATGAACTCGTCGTTTCGTTCTCTCGAATAAGTTAAACCTTCGTTCGCTTCCTCCCGCTTAAGTTTTCATGCGTTTGAACCTTAAAACCTCAGGAACTGCGGTTCCTGAGGTTAATGGATTCGTCAGTTCCGTGGCCAGCCATGCAGCAGAAGCTGCTGCGCGACGCGCAGTCGACGGACGAGATGGCGCGCCTGCTCAGCCAGGAGATCTCTCTGTTTCAGCGCAACATGTACAAAAACCACAGCCAGCACCGGCGCGCCTTCTTCTTCCAGAACCTGCAGCAGGTCAAGCGCCGTCTGCGCGATTTCAAGGTGGAGACCCTCACCGGCTGCTTTGCGGAGGCTGCGGGCGTCTTGAAGCAACTGGAGCTCGACGCAGGAGCGCACCACATTTCCTGGAAGCTGCTGGCCTCCGACCTCAAGGTCGGCACGGACGCCGTGCTGCGCAAGCTCGTGACGCTCACAAGGGCGGCCGCCGAGGTGATCCGAGCAGCTCAGAAGGCCTACAAAGGTGCGGAACTGTAGCGTTTATACTGGTGTGCTGTGTGTACTGAGCTGATTTGGTGGTGGTGTGCTTCTGTGTGCAGCTTTAATGGTGCAGTTCGCCATGACGTACTTCATGCCGTTCGCGCTCATGATGAACAGCGTCCTGGCGCGGTTGACGGTGCTGTTCAAGACAGTGATCGTGCGGGCGATCGAGCTGCACGGAGGCATCACGCTGCTGTATCTGAACGAGGTGACCAAGTCGAACCCGCTGCGAGCCAAGGTCACTGCCGTGCAGCTCCGCGGGTACCAGATTCCCAGTGACATTCTCCAGCTCGCCAATGCGTAGATTGGACAATAAGCATTAGGTACAGGCAGAAGCGAGGAGTAACACACGTCGTAAAATACATGATATAGACAGCAAGCCAGCATGAATCCAACATACTACAGGTATGCGGTCGCCTCGTGAGGTATCGGGAACGGGGACTGCAGACAAAATGGAGCAGCTTTGTTGCGCGGAAGACACTGGCGACTACTGCGCAGTCTCTAATCACGAGCTGTTCGGGGGAGTGGTGTAGCCAACGATCGTCTTGTGGAACTCCACGACACCCTGTGAGAGCAGTCAACTCCTCCAAGTCAATAGCCGATTCCGTCGAGACTATTTTCAATAAAACCACGCACCTGCACGCTGAGGTCCAGTACTCGTGTCGTCATGTCCTCATCCATTTCCACCTGCACACCAATAGTACGCATCGTGGGCGCTGCGCAACACAACTCCAGTCAGCAGCATACGCACCCCCAAATCCCAGTACGCTCCAATTCAAAGCTCCTCACCGCTACAGGTACACGACTTCTTGGAGAGACCACAGCGATTACACTTGTAGTTGGATGGCACGAGTGGACACACGTGGCCCTTCTTGGGCTCTCCACACTGCAGCCAGCCAGCCATACGCACAGCAAATTAGCTCCCAGCTCCACCCTACCAGCACCCGATATCTTCCTCCTTCGCACCTTGCTGCAGCGGTAGTTTCCTCGGTTCCGGTTCTGCTGCGTCTTGGTGCTCAGGTCCAGGTCGAAGCTGGCGGCGTCCAGCCCCGCCATGGCCTTGTTGCCGTCCTGCAGCTGGTCCATGAAGCCGCCCGTCGGGTCCGCCATCATGGGCATGGCCCCTATGCCGTAGTCCATCATCCCCACTACATGGGACCGAGCCCAAACCGTCAGTTCTGCACCCAAATCTTACATCAAGCCACGGTCATTATAGTACGCACTGCCATTCACGTCCATGGGCATGTTCCCGTTCATCTTGCACGCGCTCGGCTGACCGAAGCAAATGTGCGTCTTGCGTGCGGGATAAGGTTGACGAGCTGAGAAAAATTTCGGCCGCGTCACACCACGTTTACACCATCTACCTATTCAGCCACATACTACACGCCGCATGCCGTAGCATGGGAATTGAGCCATCCGCCCCAAGTCAGCGACTCCATCCAAAGACTCGAGCCATGTCCTTCAGCTTCGGCCAGACCAGCGGCGGCGGCAGCTCCGGCGGCTTCTCGTTCGGCGCCAGCAGCGCCGCGGCGCCGGCCTCGACGTCCACTGCGGCTCCGAGTGGCGGCTTCAGCTTCGGCTCCACGGCGTCCACGACGGCGTCCACTGCCGCAGCCCCGAGCGGCGGCGGCTTTTCCTTCGGCGCCGCCCCCGCGACGTCCACGGCGCCGTCCTCGGGCTTCAGCTTCGGCGCCGGCGCCAAGGCCACGAGCGCGGCGCCCAGCACCAGCAGCAGCGGAGGATTCAGCTTCGGAGCGACGTCGGCAGCCCCCGCGGAGGCCAAGAGCAGCGCAGCGCCGGCTCCTGCGGCGCCCACGGGCTTCTCCTTCGGCTCCAAGCCCGCTGCGACGTCCGCCGCACCTTCTAGCACTAGTTCGGGCTTCAGTTTCGGTGCTAAGGCACCGGCAGCGCCCGCAGCGGAGGCCAAGCCGGCGGCCAGCTCGGGCTTCAGCTTCGGGGCCACGTCTGCGGCGGCGGAGGCCAAGCCGACGGCTGCGCCTGCCACTTCGGGCTTCAGCTTTGGAGCATCGTCGACTGGCGCGGAGGCGAAGACGGCGACCACGACGTCTACGGCGCCGGCGACGGGCGGCTTCAGCTTTGGAGCGACCAGTGGAGCGTCGACGACGACGATGGACGCGGCCAAGCCGGCGGAGGCCAAGCCTGCTACTTCTGGCTTTTCGTTCGGAGCTACTGGAGCTAGCGCTGCTACGGGGTCCAGTGCTGCTGCCACGAGCTCGTCGACGACCGCGTCGACGGGCGGATTCAGCTTTGGAGGCGCCAAGCCCGCGACTTCTACGGCTGCGGAGAGCAAGACAGACACGACAACTGCACCGGCGTTCGGGTTCGGAACGTCTAGAGCGGCGTCGACTGCTGGTGCGTCGACTACGGCAGCCACTTCGACTGCGACCACCACGGCTATCACAGCAGCGGCGCCGACCGAGACGGACAAGCCCCCGGCTGAGTACATGGGCCGAACGATCGAGGTGAGACTGGTTGGCCATGTGGTGGACTTATCAAGCATATTACTGATGGTTTCTTTTCGTATGTGTCGAATTGCAGGATATTATTAATGCGTGGAGCGAGCAGCTCGAGCGTAATGCCGACACTTTTACTACAGAAGCCGTTAAAGGTACGACACCCTCTCCAGCCATCGGATGCTATTACGCTTGTTTCATGTAGTGATGCGTTTTGCTGATAAATTGGCAGTAAGCAAGTGGGACAGCGACCTCATGGACAGCCAACGGCAGCTGGGCGACATCGCCGGCGATGTCCGGCGCATCCAGGTGGCTCAGAACGAGCTGGACACGAACCTGGACACGATTTTTGCGTATCAAATGGAGCTGAAGTCAACGCTTGAGGTGCGAATGTGGATAGTAGTGATTAACTGCTTGGGTACTTCGATCTAACTGTTGTGGTGGTAATTGCGTGCATTTAGCAATTGGAGAAGAGCGTGGACAAGATGTACGAGTCTCAAGATCAGATGCCTGTCGCTGCTGATATTGAGCGCGAGCAGACTCTGCAGCTATCCGTGGATATCGACGATCAGTTGAACTCGATGACGACGACGCTGAAGGAGACGGTAGAGAAACTGAACAAGGCCCAGGTCGACGTGGCAGACGACAACAATCCGATGGTGCAGATCATGAAGGTGCTGAACGTGCACCACAACTCCCTCCAGTGGATCGAGGGCAGCGCCGGCAAGATCAACAGTGAAATTGCGCAGCTGTCGCGTAAACTGCAGGACTCGTCCATTTAAATGGCTCCGCACGAAGCACGCCGTGAGTTGCAAGTTGCAAGAAGAGCTGCTTTGTGCCCCGCAAGCTGAAGACGCACTTGAGATCTCGTGATATTGGTTGGATACTCGGGCGTCGATGAGGCATCGCTGGTGTGCCGAATAGATATCGTTTCGCATTATGCTGCGGTAGTATTGGATCCTTGACGTTGTGCCTTATAATGATCTTCTAACGGGGGCGGCTTGGTCTGTATGTTTCGGTGCAGCGCAGGCCTCATCCAAGCATAGTGAGGGGCCTTGTGCTTCAGATGTGGTAGACATCATGGAAGCTGCCAGATCAGTGAGCGTTGATCCAACGCTGGACGTCCGAGCTGGAGGCAGAATTGTGACTGGCAGCTCGATTCTGACGGGGGCGATCAGCATCGAGTACTCACAGACGAGAGCGACCGTGTACGAGCAGCTCAGGAAGCTACCCGTCGTCGATGGGAAGTGGACTTGATCGTCCAGGTTGAGTTGCACTGGGCATTCGAGCATATCGCCGTGCTTTGGTCCTGGACACTTGGCTTCTGCTACCGGCCGTGCGCAGGTGTCTTCATCTCCATTGGGATGGCGCAGCGTCACCTTCTGGATAAGCTGGACCCTGACCTGGTCAACACCAACGGACGCAGTGTGGTTGTTCACAAAGCACTCGACGATGGGGCTCTCGCCCAACGTGAACACATCTCGAGGCATGGACATCGCGAGGTGAGACGTTCCTCGACTTAAGCATCCGAACCACCGCAGCGCCTTCGACACAGTGCGCTCGACCGAATGGACTTCGACTGGCGGCTGTGGATTCGAACGAACCACGACGTCCGTGCTGGCTTCAAGGTCCGAGACGAAGCGGCCTTGCACTTTGATCGTCGCCGTGACAGTGTACTTGATAGTGGCGTGTAGCGCAGCTACGTCTCCGTCCAGCGGCTGCACGTTCAGAACTCCCGGTAAGTCGGCCGGCAGCGTGTAAGTGAGAGGGTAGATGTACTCGCCAATGTCGTACGGATTCGACAGGTCCTTATGCACCACCTAGGACAACATTCTCGCACTATTAGCCCACTAGCGACGCAAACCTCATAATTCAAGCCAACGCTTTACCTCTTGACGGAGGATCTGGTGACATCGCGAGTGGTGGTCGCCGCCGTCTTTCCACTGAGCGATCTCCTCGCCGACAATGGTGCACACCAACGCTGCAAGCATTAGCATCAACACCTAATGTTAGCAAACCTCCACGCACACAGCAATGCACCAATACAACCCACGACGCACCTCCGCATTGCAGTGGCTCGCTCACGAGGACTGTGATGCGGCCAGTGACCAAGTCTCCAGCTCGGTACTCGTCCTTGTCGACGCTGAGGTAGAGCTCGCCCTTGACGCCGATCTCGCCGCCGAAGTGCACGCCGCCCGCCTCCTGCTCGTCCATCGTCGTGCCCGGCACGGGCGTCGTGGTCTCGGAATACTCGGCCTCCAGCATCTGCGGGATCGACTCCTCATCGCTCGACGCCATACCGCTCGGATTAGCTGAGCCCGTCGAGTTCGGTGCGGTGCGGCGCCAAAGACAAAGTGCACGTAGGGTAACAGCAGTCGCTCGTACGCGATGGTGAAGGACTCGACGTCCGTCGTAGCGTCAAGAAGCGGTGGACCGCGACTGCTGTCGACATGACGTCGCTCGTGCGTGCAAGGAACGAGCCGCAGCTCGTTGAACATCGAGGGTGAGTCAAGCGATTTCGAGGGGGGCCACTAACCTATCGAGGGGCTGGCAACGCTTCAACGAAGCACCCCATGGCGGACACGGAGATCCCCGTCATCTCGCTGGACGACCCGAGCCAGGGCCAGAAGCTGGCTGACGCCTTCGCCCGCTTCGGGTGCTGCTACCTCACGGGCCACGGCATCTCGGACGCGCTCTCGAAGCGCATGATGCAGAGCGCCGAGTCGTTCTGCGCGCTGCCCGACGAGACCAAGGCTGCGATCCCAGTGGTGCAGGACAAGGGCTTCACGCGCGGGTACATTGGCGTGGGCAAGGAGAGCGGCAGCGCCGAGCGCGTGGAGGTCAAGGAGGCCTTTTCCTACGGCTACGAGTGGCCCGAGGGCAAGACGGAGCCCTTCGCGAATGGCCTGCAGGGCCCCAACGTCTGGCCCAAGGCCGAGGACTGGCCCGTGAGTAACCGCCAGGTGCTCAACGAGTTCTTCCAGAAGATGGCGATGGCCTCGCGCGCGGTGGCCCGCAGTTTGTCCAAGAGTTTGTATGGAGATGCCAAGTTCTTCGACGACTACTGCCACGAAGGAGAGACCATCTCGCTCATGCGCATGTTCCACTACTTCCCGTACGAGCGGTACGCCCGCTTGACCGGCGGCCAAGGCCGTCTGCCCGACAACTTCCAGGAGTTCATCGGCTCGAGTCCGCACACGGACTGGGGCTTCCTCACGCTCATCATGCAGGACCCCGTCGGAGGACTGCAGGTCTTCCACGACGACAAGTGGGTGGACGTGCCCTACGTGCCCGGCACGCTCGTAGCGAACGCCGGAGACTATTTGTCGCTAGTCACGGCCGGTAAATGCTTGTCCCCTGTGCACCGCGTGGTTGCGGACAAGCGTGAACGCTACTCGCTTGTCTTCTTCTACTACCCGGACTTTGACGCTGTGATCCCGTCAGTGAGCGACGTCAAGGATCTTCGCATCGGTGGTGACGCCCGTAGTGCGAGCTACAGCAAACCCTTCAACAACCTGCTCGATGGAACTGTGCGCAAAATCGACGGCTGCTTTGGCGAGTACATCATGGACAAGTGGGCGGGCGTGCAGCGCTAACTGTTATCAGTAGCGTTGAACGCGTTTTGAAAACTTACGGAGCGCGGGCGTTGTAGCTTTGTGTGACCGTCAACATCGCCGAATCGATAGTCGTTGATGAAAAAGTGGTGCACGAATGTATTGTTTTGCCCAAGATCGTTTAAGCTACATGTGTAAATCCTTCGTGCTGCTAGAAACTATAAACGCGAGAAAGCCTCCGGGGACGCGAGATTAGTGTTGCTTGCCTTGCATGGAGCTGCGCCCCAGAAGCTGCTTCCTGATTCAGGAAGCTCAGGAAGCCTGAACTACGCTTATTTCCATCACGCTGCTGCACAAGTCGTTGGTTCCACGAGGATGAACTGTTTCAGCCCCAGAACGTTTTGTGCCGCTTCAAGTACAGTAGATTCGAGAAGCACCGATCCAAATTTTGAACAGATCGGGATCGGGGCTTTTGAACTTCAAAAGCCCACTTCACTCAACAGAAGACCCCAACCATACAGGGATTCTGATGCGGTGGTGGGTCAAGATTACCCACGTGCCCACAATGCTCTTAGCGATCTTTTACCACTTTGTTTTCGGGATTCGTGATGCACGGAGTAGAATTTCATACTGAGTCTCTCGTTTTACGTCGGGCCGCATGTATCCAGTAGTAGTTAGGATAAACAAGGCGTTTGAGACGAGTGACTACATAGTGAACGACATCTTTATTATACGTTTAGGAACACAGAGCACTTCAACCTGCCGTCTTAGAACTTGGGGTCGCAGTCGTTCTCCGCGTCGGACTGGACAACGGGCTCCTCGATTGACCGCTCACCCGCAGGGCACGGAGTCTTCGCGTTCACAACATGCACGTCGGTCTTTCGCACAGGCGAAACAGCAACGCCCAGTTCAGCCTCCAGCTCCTTCGCACTCAGAGCACTCCGGGCTTCAGGATAGTGCATAATGCTCTCCTGTACTGCGGGGTCAGCTGCACGCTGCACTTGGTCCTGCTGCTTGGGGGTCTGGTTGTTGGGGGCGCCACCGTTGCTTTGAGGGACACTGCTGCTTTGAGGAACACCACCATTGCTTTGAGGGACACGGCCAGGAGTGCTAGGACTCGAGTTCGGGGCCATGCTGCCTGGATTGCTGCACGACTCGCGGTTGCTCTTGCCGAAGTCCTGCGTCCAATAGTGCTGGTACGTGCCGCGTCCGTTGAAAGCGTACGAGGCGCCGAGCATGTTGTAGTCGCCCAAAATGTTGGCACGGTGCTCCGGCGACCTCATCCAGGCGTCCATGACCGCATCGACGCCTTCCTGGCCAGCAGCAACGTTCTCTCCGGCCCTGTCCCAAGCATAACCAGTGTCCGTCACGCGCTTCTCCATCGTGGAGCCGTCCGTTCCGCCGTGGGCCATGTAGTCGTGGTCGGCCATGTCGTCCGAGTGACGCTGGGAGGAAGACTGCAGCTTCAGGTTCGCGCAGACCGGAGGAAGACCGACAGCAGCTCGCTCCTTGTTGACTCGGGCCACCATGGCGGGGAGGTAGTCGCTTGGCTGTCTGTAGGTGGCGGCGAGGTTGCGCTGCGCCTGGCGCAGGTTTGCGGCGTCGGAGAGGCCATTGGAAGCGGCAGCGGCAATGACCAGGAGAGCGAGCGAAGTTTGTGTGATTGTCATTATGGAGGCGGAGGTTGTTGTGGGAGGAGGACAATTGAAGAGTGACTTTGACGGTGGGGCCGTCAGTCTGCGTAGTGCAAGTGCGTATAGTGGCGGCTTGGTATGGACACAGGCGTCGACCACATGGGGATCGTCGTTCGCATTCGTTTGTCTGGTTTTCGGGAGCGTGGGGTGCCCCAACGAGAGCAAGCCCACAAAAGCCGCTTCCAGATGTGGCGACTAGCGCCTCATAACGCGAGTATCTCCCACGGATCCTTTCGTGCCCCCCCCCCCCCCCCCACGTTCACATGCTAGAGCACCCCTACCAGTCGAAACAACTTGGGGGTCTGCTACGAGAGTTATCATGAGTTAACGCTGGTCATATGCAGCTTCGGCCAGTTGGCATTTCTTATCGCCCAGAATTGAGAGAACAAGTGCCCACTCGACCAACACAATCGTGCGGTGCTGGAAGCCCCACCAAGCTGGCACAACCGAGACCAATGGTGCGAGGAGACTACCACACGGCTACTGCTTCTGCTCAATGACAGCTAACGAGGCAATTTAGATATGAAATCGAGAAGGCTGGACATTCATTTTACGTGGACGGCTAAAGTATAAAGAGAAATATGCATGTGGGGGTTGCAACCTCCCCTCGTTTCGATGCCTACCAGCCTGGCGTGCAGTCGTCTTTGTCGTTGGCAGCAGCGAGATCGTAACGCCTGCGCCGGAGAAGGTCTACATCAGGAGAGTCCACCTTCGCTGCCGGGGTCCCTTCCGGCAGCTCAGTAGTCGGAGCCTCGGTGTACGGAGTCGTTTGCTTGGTACCCTCCGTAATAGTATCGATGGGCGGGTCGACCACGACAACGGGCGCATCCGTTTCCTGTGAAGGGTAGTCGCTCGGAGGAGGGTCGACAACGACAATTGGAGCGTCCGTGCAAGGAGCCTCAGTCTCGTTCTCCTGCGAGCCGGAGCAACTGTCCACGGTGTTGCTGCCTTCATACACAGGCGGGTCCACCACCACGATCGGGGTGTCCGTGCACGGAGCTTCGGTCTCCTTCTCTTGTGAACCGGAACAGCTTTCCTCAGTTTTGCTGCCTTCGTACACGGGTGGGTCCACCACCACGATCGGGGTGTCCGTGTATGGACCCTCGGTCTCGTTCTCGTGTGAGCCGGAGCAACTGGCCTCGGTGTTGCTGCCTTCATACACAGGCGGGTCCACCACCACGATCGGGGTGTCCGTGCACGGAGCTTCGGTCTCCTTCTCTTGTGAACCGGAACAGCTTTCCTCAGTTTTGCTGCCTTCGTACACGGGTGGGTCCACCACCACGATCGGGGTGTCTGTGTATGGACCCTCGGTCTCGTTCTCGTGTGAGCCGGAGCAACTGGCCTCGGTTTTGCTGTCTTCGTACGGAGTCTCAGTTGTCGGAGGCGGGTCCACCACCACGATCGGGGCGTCAGTGCAGGGAGCCTCGGTGTCCTTCTCCTCCGACCCGGAGCAACTGTCCTCGGTTTCGCCTTGCTTGGTGTAGGTCTTGCTGTTGTATTTCACGTGGTCACCCTGAGTTTGAGCCGCCTCAGTGCTCTCGATGGAAGTCGCGATGGTGTCGGCGTCGATAGCAACGTCGCCACCTTCGCACTCCTCCGCGTCCCCCGTTCCGAAGTCCTGCGTCCAATAGTGCTGGTACGTGGTGTCGGGGTTGTACGCGTAGGCAGTGCCGAGCATGGTGTAGTCGCCGAGGATGTTTTCGCGGTGACCAGGAGAGGCCATCCACGCCTCCATGACAGCATCCACGTCGGGTTGGCCCGCGGCAACATTCTCGGCCACAGCGCTCCAGTCAAAGCCTTCACCGGCGATACGCTGCTCGATGTTGGACCCGTCCGTGCCCGTGTGGTCCATGTAGTCGTTGGCGGCTTGGTCGTCGGAGTGCCGTTGGGCTGCCGCTTGGAGCTTCTTGTTGGTGCACAGCGCGGGTAGACCCTCGGAAGCTCGTGCTTGGTTGACTCGGTCAAGCATGAGAGAGAAATAGTCGTCGGACGACGTGTACGTCTGCAACTTGCGTTGGCCCTGCCGCAAGTTGGCAGCCTCCGCGACGGCGGCGACAACAAGAAGGCTTGCAATCGAAGGTCGGAGGACGAGCATGGCGCGATGACGCAGGTACCGGTTCTTGGTTGAGCTGAGCGGACTGCACTTGTGGACCCGACGCTGAATCGAGTTGTGAGGTGAAGCAACGCGAGGCGAGGTGAGGTTGCTTGCAGGCTAGTCATGATGGGCTTCAGGCCACCCACGCAAACTGAGACCGAAGGCCTGTCCGCACGATCGTCACCGCAGTCACCGCAGTGCACCCAACTCGGGGTGTTCCTAACATTTTCCAGACCGTAGCTTGATCTGCTCGGTGGGGCGAAATCAGCGAAAGTAGCGTGTTCCCCCACAAACAAGTGCTCCCTCTCGGTGTTACTACCTGTCGACAACGCTTGGCGCCTTCGCGTAGTAGCGACAGCTAGCTGGACTCGAGCGATGTGGCCGGACAGCTTCGGTTCCCCCTATAGTTAAACGGCCCAGTGGCGGTGCAATACATCTCGAACAGCAAAAGCTTGCAAACCGACTTCTGTCTTGCACCACCGACAATGAAACCAAGTTCCCATACCATTGTTGGTGACTCATGCTGGTGCAATTTGACCCAGCTTTTCATTTCATCGACATCATAGTTGTTTGGCAAGTTTTTAGAAGTCCAAAATCTGATGTAAAGAGAACTCGTCCTTACAAGAAAAATCTCAAGTGCTCGTCCCAGCTAACGGAGAAGTTTTCTTCACATTCTGGATTTGAACGTCTCGAGAGCCCAAGACCCTACGATCAGAGGTCCGCCAATACAGTATCATATTGGATTGTACCTGACACGAAGCACTAATAAAAACTGCAATTTCTTAGCAAACAATAATAAAAATTCCCGCAATTTATATTGCAATTTATATGGTGCGCCTTGCAAGTCTACCCCTGCCACTGGTGCCGGTAGGAACCCCAATTGGAATCACCGCTCGGTAATCGACCGGCCAGCTTACACCAAGCTCAGCACGTTCAAACTCACTGATGAGATCATAATAAGCGGCACCTGCTGGATTAGTATTTTTTCGCGTAGATCGCGTCTACTGTGTAGAGATTGGGACCTTCGCCGAAGTCGGATGAGTTGTCTTCTAACGAAGACGTATCACTCTCGTCCACGGCTAGACGTGGACAGCACCATGGCGTCGACAGCGCTTCTTGTCGGAGAACTTCAAGAGGGGCTGGAACAGCTTGGTGGCGTGCCTGCCGGTCGCGTGCCCGCTCAGCTGCCGCGAGAGCGGCAATTTGCTTGAGCCTCTTGCCCTTCTTCGGCATCTTTGTTTTTCCCAAGTGCATAGCTAGCTAAGCCAAGAATCTAAGGTAGACGTGTGTTGAAATTGGCTAGCTATTGTAGGAGTATTTCAAGCAGTATAGTTTTACACTCATCAAAGGTATGTTGAAGATAAACAAGGATTGATCTATAATTATTTATTTCGGGCCGACTATATCTTTTTAGAGGGGGATACAGGTCAAGATAGGCATACGCTCGATATGAAATGCATCTTCTTCATCAATATGCCTCTGTCGAGGCTGGGAATACCTGCGTTGAAAAGCGGACATACTTGGTTACATAACTACGATTTTGACTTGGATTGAAAATACAGTGTTAGTGTCGTGGCATAATTTAAAAAAAATTCTAAAAATATGAGGAGTGTAAACTTCAATGTTAGGGATGGTCTTATTGAGTTATGTAGCTAGAACGCTCCCCACTATCAATGCCTCTGCTAGTTTTGCTACCCTGCTGCTTGATAACTCGGGCTACTGTGGAAACGTCCCACATGCCGCGGTTGACCCGGAGAAACGCCAGCTGCTCGAAGTTGGCCGGAAGCATAGATCGACGCTGCGGTGTCAATACCAGCTTGCACTGAGAGAAAAGCCGCTCGACCGTGTCTGACGTCGGAGGAACCATTTTCACGAGCGGTATGTAACGTGTGGTATTTGGGGCTTGTTTCCTCTTCTTTCCCTTGCCTTGGAGCAACATCGTCGCGTAGTCTTCTTCCCGCCCCTTGCGCTTCTTTCCTGTGGGTTGTGCCTGCTCGAACCGCTTCAAAGCTGCTGTCTCTGCGGACGATAGAGCCGTGCCAGAGATGACCTTGACAACACCCGATTCGAATGCAGGCGTATGGACGATCTTGGCGGTCGACTTCAGATGCTCTGACATGACAGGGTACTCCACGATGAGGGAGTCGAACATCAGGCGTACCTCTCCCATATCGGTGTCCTCGCGCTGAAGCCGCTTACAGACGCTCTCGAACTTCTTGAGGTGCTCAAACAGCGCGACCAACTTCCGGCGCTTCCCGCCGGTTGGGACCATTTTCTCCACGGCGTCGACCTTCTTGATCTCTGCGCGAATACGAATGTACCTCTCCACCATTGTAAACGTCGAGGACCAACGCGTGACGTTCCGCTTGATAGGGACGAGATCGGTGTACTTCTTCAGCTCGGCACGGTTGTTTTCATGACGTAGCTCCACCATAAGGTTGTTGACTTCGTCCAGTAAGTCGCCATACGGCTCCGTGAACTTGTTCACAGCCAGGTTGAAACGATGACTGGCGCAGCCGACGAGGGGGATACCCATCTTGGTTGCAATGGACTGGTTAGTTGCGCAGTTGTCCCCCACCAGAAACCCCACCATGTCGCTGGTCTTGTCGTACACATCCAGGATGTTCTTGAACGGCTTGATGTGGGCGTCTGCCGTCTGATCGCCGTCTTCAAGGGGAGACATACCAAGTAGCGGTATGCGCAGCTTACCAGCTGTCTCGTAGACGGCGTAGAGAGCAACAAAGTGAATGCCAGCGTGGGTCCAACCGTCAAACATCAGGGCGAAGAGCGTTCCCATCTCTTTCCCCAGCTTCTCGCCGACTTCAATTGCGATCCCATCCATGCACTTCTTGACGGCATTGGCGGTCACAGGTCGGAGCTTGCTGATGGCCCGAGTTAGTGCATCTTCGACTTCGTGGACGGGCATGTTGCGTTCGATGATCCAACGGACCCATTGGAAGAGATGGCTGGCTACCTCTGCGACGAAGCCGAACGCTTGAAGAGGTCGGTCCGAGCTGGCCTGGAGCGATGCGTACGTTGCCTCGTAGCCAGCGTGCTTCGATGCCACGTGTGCCACCAGATTGGAGTAACCTTACCCAGCCAACTGTTTGCGCACGCTGTTACATAAGTTGCAGCTGAAGAGGCCTTGGCCACGCGAGGTGTACAAGAAGGCGGCGAGTTGCTTGTTGGCGACCATTGCTATCCTGTGGAAATGGAGATATGAACTGCCAGTGGAGCCGTATTTGCAGGCTGCGGAGTTGGTTGGAGCACGTCTCCAAGCCAGTCATTTGCCTTGGGCGAAATGTGGTGTGGTTAACGCCGTTTTTGATGTCATCGGAGGCTGGAGATGACGCCATCAACAGGAAGCTCTGTACAAAAACTATAGGAGTCCAGCCAAGGCACTTTTATGGAAATTATTGTCAATGATTGGGCCAATATAATACTGTACGGGGACCACTGTAGCCCAATAATAAAAAATAATATTGAAAAAAACTGATTATTTATTGTATTGCACTATTTTTTCCGACCTCTGCCTACGATGTCACGCCACTGGACCCTCAAGAAGAGCGGCTCGAAGAAAGACGGCGACAAGAAAGACGGTGGAAAGACGAAAGTCAGCAGTGGGAAGAATAAGCGTGCGAAGAAGACGACGAAATCGAGCGTCGACTTGGATGGCGTTGTGCAGCCCTGCGTCCTAGTGCCCCTGAAGGACGTGCTATGCCAACTTGTTCGACGATATCGTGCCGATGGGGAAATCCCAAGACGACCCGCCGCTCATTTTCTGCTGGAAGAAGGTCGAGGCATTCGTTCGAGCAATCTCGGACGCCTACAGTCAAGCTGCTGATGGCGGCGCTGCCGTTCCACCTCCACCTTTTGCGATGCCGAACCCACTGACGACGGAATCATTCAAGAAAGCGCTAGTCGCTCACGTTCGCGAACGACCGCTTCAGCCCCTGGGCACTTCGTGTTTGCCGGGTGATATTGGTGAAACGGCTAGGGCTGTAAACAGACTCGTCCTTTGGAACTAGAGCCCGTGGGTTCTACATGTCGTCGCTGTTGGTGGTGGATGCTGCCTATTGGAGATCTGTACGTGTTCAGGCTTGGTACCAATAAGCTGGAGGTTGCACTCGTGCCAGCACCAAACGGAGTGTGGAACCGGCTGATGTGACTCCACCGCACTGAATTTTTCATTTTCAAGTGTCGTCCTTCCAATGATAACGAAATGTGTTATCATCCCCAATTGTACTTGCGATGCATCTAATCACGTAGCGCTCCACGTTGGGGTGGTGTTAAATTTATTGAGTTGTTGGCGTTCTAGTGGTGGCGACGACGAGAATTTTAAATCAATTATACGAAATGAACGGCCAAGCACAAGCGCACATGGGTCCGTGGAAGCCGCTTACTGGAATCGCGTCCGCTTCCATGCTGATGAACCGCTGCAATCCATGAGCTCTGGCACTTCGATGCCAATAGTGTCGCTCGCATTTGGGCTTGTCATGTCGTCCCATTCACTACTTGCGTCGGGGGATTCATTGTCACGCCGCCGTTTGACTCGCAACCCCCAACTTTGCCGCTGCTTCTCGATCTGCCTCGGGTGAGCCGGGAAATCCACACCGTAAAACTTGCCGCCACAGAGAATCTGCTGCACCTCCTTCTTGAACTGCTCGGGGTTTTGACGCAGCTGCTCGGCTGCAACAGGGTTGAGAATGTTATGATTGACAGGTTCCAGGAAGATTAACTAAGCCAAGACGAGAAACAGTAGCCATGCACAAAGTCGCTGAGTCAATCTCATCGCAAAAGTACCGCCGGAATGAATCCTACCTGCAATCCAAGCAAGACCGTGTTGATGCTGAGCACAGGGCGCCAGTCCGTGCCTAGGATTGGCATCATTACTTTGCCTGTTGCCATATCAATATTAGGATGCCACACCCTGCACAAAAGAATACGCAGACACACGCTTGTGAGTTGATAATGTCACTAACAAGCAGCCCACCATCAGTTCTCACCTTGTAAGACATTTCACACTAGGAGCTGCAACACACGTCCCAACCATAACAATACAGAAAAACATATCAGCGACACACATCATTACCACGCACCGCCAACATCCTTGCCCTAAGATCTTACGGTGGAAGGGGTACGTCTTGGGGATCTCCACGAAGAAGGTGAAGTCCCCGTTGGCGAACGGACCCGACACGTCGGCTATGGAGATCGTGAAGATCAGCCGCAACATGTTGTCAGCTCCATCGGGGAAATCCACGCGCGTCGTGGCCTGGTTGCACGTGAATTTGGCCTTGGAAAGCTGCAGCAACAAGTCAGCATCAGGTCAATTTACCTCAAGCTATAGACAAGCTGCAGCCAGAGCGCACCTCGTTCACATCTTTCCGCACTCGCAGCGCCGCCAAGTCCGAGCGCATGTACATGCTCGGTACACGAGGAGGCTGCTCTGCCAGCGTGACTGCAAGTAGTCCAGGGATGTCCCGGAACGTCTCTCTGCTGCGGAGTCTGTGCTTACTACCGGGTCTTCAGAGCGCGCGACCTGTGTGCTCTGCCTTCTGCGCGTGCTGTCACCACCGCTGCTGCTCGTACAGTCGTCCGACGGCCGCGTGAACTGGGCGCTGGCTGGCGGCTTGCCTTGAGCTGTTCCGACCGACTGTGCTGAAGTATGGCACCTCTCGGGCAAAACGCCAAAACCGCTCTGCGATTGGCTGATACAAGAGTCCGATTTCGACCAATGAAACGGTTTTAGAAGCGATCAGTGTTCAACTTCATACAAAAAGGCCTGGAGGGACGAGCAAGACCGCGCTCCCTTCATGCCGCCCAACGGGGGAGACGCGGCCGCCGTGCGCAGCCGCCCGCTTCTTCACTACAAGGACCTGGGGCTGGGCACGCAGAACCGCAAGGTGCGCTTCACCTGCGTGCACGCGTCCGAGAACTTCCTGGCCTGCGGGTGCGTACCGTATCCCCTATTCTACCGCGCACAAGAGTGATGGTCACCACTGCAACTACAGTACTGACTTACGTGATCACAATTGCGCACTCCGCATTGCAGAGCCAACAATGGCAGCGTGTATCTGTACGCGACGTCGGCGCTGAGCCGCGGCGAGGGCGACAGCCGTGCCGCCAAGTACCACCTGGTCAAGATGATCTCGCCGCCCAGCAACGACCGCGTGGCCGTCACGAGCCTCAGCATCTGCCCGCTGCAGAAGCGCCTCGTGGTGGGCACCATGCGCGGCGTCGTGTACGCGATCCAGCTCTCGGACTACCACAAGATCGGCGAGAAGGTCGAGTTCTCGCACGACTTCCACGCCGGCTTCCCCATCACCTGCTTCCTGTGGGACAAGCGCGGCACGAGACTCTTCTCGGCCTGCAATGCGGGACTCGTGTGCCAGACCGTGCTGCGCGCCGGCATGTCAGCGATCTTCGGCAGCACGGACACGGAGCTGCTGCTGAAGGAGGAGACGGGGATTGTGCAGGTACTGTACAGGCAGGAGACGCGTTTGCAGCTTGTTTTGGGACTTTTACGCTGATGCTGTGGCTTCTCTTTCTCTTTCTTTTACCGTATCCAGTTGGATCTTGCGAAGAGCGGGCGTTCGTACATTCTAATGGTGTCGTCGCAGCTGCGCGTTTTGCTGTTGAACCTTACGTCTGGAGACGGGAGTGCTGTGCAGATTGGCACGAAGGCGCGCCAGGGAGCGTACGGAGCTTGCTTTTTCACGAGTCTCAATGTCGAGTCGATAGACCCGGCGAAAAAGCGGGAGATTCGAGTGTTTTCGTCGCGACCGGGAAGACGTGTGTGGGTTGCCGACCCGCAGACTGGTACGGTTTCGTCGACGCTGAAATTCTCGCTGAGCAAGAATCCTTCGCAATTTCTTCAGAGCCCTGAGTGTGCAATGGAAGAAGGTAAGTTGCTTGACGCATTTGTAGAGTTGAGTCTGTTGCTTACTGATTGTTTTTATTTTCTGCAGGAATCCAGCCTCGAAATCTGACTATTAACAAGCTAGGGCGCTTTCAGTTTTTGCAAGATCCTCCCTATGCGCCCCAAGACGTGAAAGATGCAACCACACTGCTTGTGAGCTGGAGCGTCGGATCGAGTGTGTTGTTCTTTCTCGACCCTTTTGCTGTCGAAATTGTGGAGTGGCATCTGGACTTGGGTATTATCCACGATTTGAAGGTTTGTGTCTGCTACACGTTCTGCGTGTGTGAAAGATTGTTCTGATGCCATGCTGTTGCGTGTAGATCGTAAATGAAACAACGCTAGTAGTTCTGCATGGTGAAGCACCAAAGGTTTCTTTGATTCAGTCCTGCTCAGCTGACCAGTTCCTGCAGATTTATGGCTCAGATGATATGAAAAGAGCCGTTGAGGTAAGAGCTTCAGTGACTTTGCATATTACAGATCATGAACTGACATGATTGAATATTTGCCAATGCGATACAGCTTGCTATTGAGTTCAATCTAAATGATGCCATCGTTGTCGACTCGCTGCAAGCTCAATGGCTGGCCTATCTTGACAAAATTGGCGCCAAATCGGGGGATTATGTGGAGCTTACTGCATCGTTGAAGGCACTTGCGGACAAGACAAAGGCCCTGGAAGAGGAATACCGGGTGGCAGCAGAGACCGGTCTTCCAACTCCGACAGACTCGCAGCCATTGCAGGTTATTTTCAAGCAACGCCCGCAACAGGCAATGACAGCGGCCACTGCAGCTTCTTCTGATTTGTTTTCTAGTCAAGGGGACTCGACGGATACGGAAGTGACACTGGCGACTGGTAGCACCCTGCACAAGCCTATCGAGTACTTTGACGTGTTGGCGCCGTCAGATCAGTCGTACTCCAAGAGCATTTGTGCTCCAGATGGGTCTTTTATGGAAGCGAGGCTTATGGATATTCCAGAGCTGCCACGGGCGAACTCCGCCGTACTGCCCGACGACTTTCGTGAAAGTTACATGGAGGAGATCATGGAGGAGGTAAAGCGGTCCGAACAAATCCGGAATGAGGAAGGTGCTATGAACATGAATCTTCTACCAGCACTAAAGGATGGCTCAACGGCAGCAGCGAAAGCATTCTCGACGTTTATTCCAGGCAGCAGTATGCTCACGCACCTGATTGATGGGTCTATGATCACTGATCCCTTTGGTCGATCCGACGCGTCTGGCATTTTTAGTGACTTTCCTGAGTTTGATGACGATGAGCTGGTTATCGATCCAGACCCTCGTCTGTTTCAGCGGAAGTATACACACGGCCAGAGACTCAAAACGGATACAAATGAATGCTCTGTGCTGCGAATTGCGATGTCGACGATCGGAGAAGCAGACGAAAGTAATCTGGACACGGAAGTGCTCATGGAAGCGATTTCGATGGATATATGGGATTCCAATCTCAAGTACACGTCTAACTTACCGATTAGTGAACAGCTGAACCTCCCAGAGAGCACGTCGGAGGTACAAGAAAATGGAAACGTATACCCAGAGAGAAGAACTCAGGGAGTCGATGACGTTCGTGCTAGGAAGGGCGACGCAAAAATTACGGTACTGCACGATTCAAAACCAGCTTTGATCGAGAGATTGAAGGTCCAAACAACGATTTCAACAGCGTCGTCGTCTGAAGCATCCACCCCGGTTAACAAGTTTAGACAACGTCTTGTGCATCGGGCATCAATGTCTCCCGATACGGGGCGCGCTGCGCAGCGTGCAATTCAGAAGCATTTTGGGGCGACCCCAAGCTGTGAGATAAAGCTGAAATGCATGGTAGGCGGCCGAATTGCTGTCTCACCGGAGCTGGAGCCCACCGTCCGGCGTGATGTCAGCGAGCTAGTGTCAGAACTCCAGGCAGCTTCAGCCACCGCCGAGAAAACCAAGCAACTCACGCGAAGACTTTGGCCAGCATCTGGAATTACAAGAGTGTGTGCTTGCCTAACGAGCTTATACTTACTGCAGGGCGACATGAATCAAGTGCAGACGACGATTACAGCGTGGTTGAATTGCTTTGACCCAGCCGCACAGCACGAAGAGCCAGAAGGAAGCGATGGCTCCGTTGAAAATAAAAGCGAACTCACGAATGGTCCAACGACCACGGCTGGATTTGCTCGTGGCGAGGCACTGGTAGATGGCGACGGTCTTCCGCTAACGAGAGGTGATTGGAATTTGGTGCGGACACTTGTGTCGATATACTTCGCTGTTTGGGCAGCGGGGTCGAAGCTACACTTGCACCCTTTGAATCCGGAGGATCACGCGAATGGCAAGCTTCATAGATTGTATGAAAGCGAAATGGGGATTACCTTAACGCTGGAGCCGCGTTATCAGTGGAATGGCGAAGGTGACGATTCAGAGATCGAATCAGCTACAGCAGCTGAAGCCGAGGCATTTGTGGCCAAATATGGTGTGTATATTAATCCGGACCTTGCTGCTGAAGTGTGTAACCTTCGCCAATTTACTGGTGCATTGAAGATTGTGTTGGATGAAGTCGTATCCAGTGCTGATATGGAGGAGACGTACGATGACATTGTGAGCTGGATATCGGAGAAGAACAGTGGCAAAGCCTTCTCAACATTAAACGAGCGTGATTCGTTGTGCCTATTGTTGCACCTGCTGGACATATTGCTGAAAAAGTGCCCCGAGGAAGCCATTGAAATGTGTGTGAGTAAGTACCCAGTTTTATACCCGTGGAACGTCGAGCAGGCTCTCTTTGGGACCGAGCTCGACTGGGAGGCGATTGATGAAAGTGGGGATGGAGTCCGTGAAATTTTGAAGCCAAACACAGTGGACCAGACATCCAAGTATTTCAGATACCTGGTACGGCTTCTCGAAGAAAAGGGCAATGAAGCTGGCAGAGACAGGCAGGTTGTTAGTCGATGCTTGGAACTTTGCTTCGCTGGCAACGGTGTGGTGGGCGATTTGTTTGAGGAAGACGAAAGGTGCAGTCGCATTGCTTGGGTTGCGGCACTTGTTCGCCAACCCCACAGATTCATGTATGACCACGAGAAGTGCTGGAAAATGTTTGCAGAAAGCAAAGCGTTTCCCGCTCTCCTGGAGTTGGCAATGCTATCTTTGCAAGATGATGGCGGATCGGCTGCATTTGAGCGTGGCTTCAATGAGTTGTCGGAGCTGGTGACTCTTATCACGAAGAGCAATGAGTTGCTCGTTTTCGACACGCTATTTGCACGGGTTGCTGTCCTGCCGCAACGCTCTGAGGATTGCTTGTCCAAGATTCTAAGTCAAATCCAAGCGTCCGTGTCTATCGAGAATCGTAACGACCACCTATGCTCTGCGGTTATTCATGCTTTGCTGAACTCGGTGAACCTTACTTATGGCATGCGCCTGCTTGCACGGTTCCCATTGCTGTTTGCTGCCACACCGCTGCAAACGTACCACACGATTGTTGAAACGCATGTACTTACGGAGCGTCAGAAACATGAAATCGTTCAAATTTTGGAAATTGTGGATACCAACGTCTGGGCGTCGTACAAGGAAGACGTATCTGCAACGAGCTCAGTATCCTTTGCCCCGCAGCTTGCATCAATTCTACAGCTTGAAATGGGTGCACTTGTTCCAGCAATGAGCCGAGAGCAGTACGAGATGTGGGAAAACAAATGCAAGCAGTATGACGAGGAGACAACGACACGCCGGATAAGTAAGGTCGAGGGAGCTGGAGTGGATATTGGCCCTCTCTCCGGCCCGGTCAGTCCACAACGGAATAAAAGCAACAGAGGCTCAAGAATGTCAGTCGGCGCGGCTCCTGTTGCCTGTCGATCGTTTGAGTACCGGAACAGTGACTGGGGTGGTGAGGTACAATTGCACGATTCAACCTGCGGGACGTGCGATTTACCTGTGGTGATTATCAGTGACAGTAAGTATCGGCAGCAACAATGACTCTTGAGCTCAAACCCACCAGCTAACTGTTTTATGGATGTATACAGGCAACTCCAATCTGGATGTGGTATTGCTTCCTTGTGGCCACGCCTTCCACGAACAATGCTTGGAAGATAACTCGTGCCCAGTTTGTTTAGAGGAAAATCTGAGCACGCTGGATTACTTTTGATCGGATGAGTGAAGGATACGGTAGAACAGGTGTGCGTCTAGCTTTTTAGCATTGGTTGCTGCGGTGCTCTTATCATATTTGTTGTTACTTATTCAATTGAGTAAGGTGAATTTGTGCAGGCGATAACGTTTACTTCAAAGGATGCTGTTGCTGTTTATTGTTACTGGTGTCGAGCGAGTGACTGCTAATGTAGTGGACTTGTTTGTGGCTGCGCTGATGGCTTTTTGCCGCGTTTGCCGCGGTTCACAATAAGTCCCACCAATTTCTTGCGCATGTGCCGGTCGATAACCGTTTCGTCATCTCCTAAGTCTACTACGGTTGCTCCTCCGTTCGTGCCATCCTCGGCCTCGTCATTGTTGTGAGTGCCGCCGCCGCTAACAACATCGTGGACAGATGTGTGGTTAGCACGTCTAGTCGAAGAGATCTTGAGCTCTTCGGGAGGAGGGCCAAGAAACGAGGACCTAACAACACTGGAGCGTGACTTGGGCCGAACCCGAACGTTGGCTGGTGAAGCCGTAGTGGACGCCATGCGTAAAATGAAGTGCTCTTCCGTCTCGGATGGTGCAGGGGCGCGTACAGAGCTCTGGTGAACCCCAGGTTTGTCGTCGATGGTTGGAGCACCGCCCAAGAGAACTGATCCTGAACCAGACCCGTTGGAATTTGGAGTTGTCTCGGATCGGTGCAGTTCGCGCTCGGCCTTCTCGCGGTTGATGACATCCAGGACGCGATTAAGCTTCTGTTCCATGAGATGGAGCAGGTCGGGTGTTGGCGTTTCCATAGCCCGGCTGAGTTCGTGCTGGTCATCGTAATCCAACGAGCCGTGCACCGTGCTGAGCTTCGCAAGACATTTCAGCATGCACGCGCGAAACGCGTCCATGAGGACGTTGGCGCGGTTGCACTTATCCGCCAACAACGCAGCCTCCTTTTCAGTCTCCTTGAGGCGCTCCGATGTCTGATCCATTTCCTGGTAAATCGTTCGCGAGTTGGCTGCTGCGCTGCGCAGGTGACTCAGTGTTTCGTTCAGCTGCTTGTGTCGTTCACGAAGCTTCCTCATGCGCGCATCGCTAACTGTGTGCTCTTCTTTAAGTGCACGCAGAGTCTCCTCTCGGCCAACATACTTGGAAATAATCTTGTCGACATCATTCGTGCCAGCAGCCTCAATGATCTGCTTCAGCTCGGCCTCGACACGCATCAGCTTCCGGTCCGTGTCCGAAAGCTCTTCCTGGATTTCGGAGAAATGCGTCATCTGCGCAGACGATTCACGGCGCAGGCGGCGCGACTCCTTCTGTTTGAGCTGCCCCAGAGCTGCCTGTACATTCTTCTTACGTGATACCTCGCGTGCCTCGAGAATATCCGACTTCAGGCGGGTCTGCTCCACGGCGTGTTGAAGATCATCAAGCGCTCGGATGTTTGCCTGCTTTTTCTCCCACCACTCCGTATAGAGCTGCTTGTACGCACTCTCAGCCGCCGATTTTTCTTGTCGTACAGCCAGCAGCCCAGTCATGGCGCAAGTTAACTCCTGTCGTAGAGCTTGCAATGCCTTCTCCTTCGCCAGAGTTGCCTTCTTCGCTTCCAGTGCTTCTCGTGACAAGCGTTGAATCATGTGGTTGTACACTCCGCGATCCGTCAACTCTTCCTCGAGCTTGGACTCGTAAAGCTGCAGAAACACATCGCGACATAGCCTAAGTTCTTCAACCCACAACTAAAGATGAGCTGTAAGCAGCGTACCGCGGACTTGTTCTCGATGTTAGACATTTGTGACTTCGTTTGCGAGTTGTCGGCCATGCGGCCATGGAGAGTCATCGTCATATTCTCCACCTCCTCCTCAAGTTTCTGCGAGTCATACCACAAATGACTCTCGTTAGCTTTACATAGCAAAGCAAAGTGACACGAGTACTCCTTACCTTGATCTCCTTCTCCTTGCGCCAATTAGCATTCTTGACCGTGTCGTGCTCCTACACAACACGAAAACAGTTGAGCTAATGGTAACACATCGCCGCAATACAAGCGAACGATTCGTTCGTACCCGTCGCAGACTAGCAACCTCATCGACCTCCTTCTCCACAATGTGCGTTTCGTCCCCCACGGCGATGCCCAGAGACGACAAGTACGGCTGCACCGACGGCGCTGTCACCTTCCTACAATCGTCCCCATAGAACGCACACCGGTGAAAGGCCACGCTCACTCGCTCGCTCCCACAAAACAGTCACATCTTACATTTTATTAAGTCCTCGCCGCGGGGAGAGCATCGATTCCGTGGCCTTGGCGTCGGACGTCGCCTTTGACTCGACCCCCGTGGCCGACAGCCAGCGCTGCCTGCCGCCAAAGGTGCCTCGCGTCCTCTCGGTCTGCGAGCCATCGTGCGGCGGGATCTGGATGGTCAACTCATCTTCTTCTCGCCCGTCCATCGTGCCGTTCGCCGCTACCTTCCCTATCAAATGCAACGCTCAAGCACTTGCAGCGACAGAGAGCTCAGTCCCCTACTGCTACTGCATGAAACGCGGAGAGTATTTTTGCCTGGACAAGTTGAAGCGCTCGAAATAAATACTGTAGCCATTTCATTTGAACATGGCTACACCTGTCCAATTCGATACTTGTTTTTTTCAGCTACCAGCTCTCAATAGTCCAGCTTTAGACCGCCACCGCCACAATGCTGACCCCGAGCGACTGCCAGTGCGGCCATGCGCACGGCGACGACCACGACCACGAGGAGGACGAGAACGACGACGACGCAGAGGACGCGCAGCCGCCCACGTCTCTGGCCTGTCAACTGTGGCAGCCCTGGCGGCTCATCGTCATGAACCCGCTGCCTGTGCTCATCGTGTTTGTCATCTCCAACACGGTCTTCGTGACTGTGGGAGGCCTGCTGCGAGTGCTAGCCCAGCTGCTCACAGTGCCCGGACTGCTGGTGGCTCTAGTACTCGGCCTCCTATGGGCCGTGCACCGGGTTGCGTCGCTCATGGCGTACCCCGGTCAGTTGAAGTTGGTGATCCGCGAGGGGGAGGCCAACTTCGCTCGGCTGACCAAGCGCCGGCTCCAGATCTTCGCCGAGGCCGCCGCAGAGCTGGCGGCTGTGCTGGACCCCACGGCTAGCAGCAAACCCATGCGCCTGCGCTTCCTGCAGGTCCACCAGAACTTCACGTTCGCGCTGGAGACGCTCATGCTGCCGGTGCTGCAGTCGCTGGAGGTCGTGGAGCGCGACGGGAACCTCGGACCTAACGGGGTGAAGCTGCTGAGGGTGCTGAGAGAGATCGTCAAGGTGAACTCGCAGAAGCTGGCGGAGCCCTGCTCGAAGCTCTGCTCGGCGTCGGAGAAGACGTTCGAGACGCAGAGGCTCAAGATGTTCTCAGGTGACGACAAGGAGAAGGACAAGGGCAAGGCGAAGGCAGAGCCGACGTCCAATAAGGAACACTCGAGGATGAAGCTGTTCGGAGGTGCCTCGAAGCCGGTTCTGAAGCGCTCGACAACGGTTGACTCGGCGTCGCTGGAGGCGGAGGCAGCGGCCAAACCGAAACCGGCGGAAGCTGCACACCCGTTGGTGACGTTTGCAGTTGCGGTGCGACGACTTCAAGCTGCGATTCCGTTGATCGGACGACCGCAGACCGATGCGCCTGCGCGGAGGAATGTGACTTGGATTGCCAAGGAACTTTGCCGGGGATCGAGCCCCGAGGTCGACTACGTTGCGACGCTGGAAATGCTGCGCGCAGATATGACCGTGCGCTTTGTACGTTCATTATTTGACTATTGCGATTGTTATTTGGTGTGCTTTTTTACTAATCTGGATGGTTTTGCTGTCGTTGGTACTTGTAGAAAGCCGAACAGATCTGGATTCCGGGCTATGAGGGCCATCAAGTTGACGCCATGTTGATGCCACCCGCGTCAAGTGGCCGTGACGCAGTCGATCGCCCCGTGGTCATTCTGTGCAACCCGAACGGTGGTCTGTACGAGTTCCACCACCTTCAAATGGACTGGATCAAGTTCTATACGACAGATCTGGACTGCCACGTTCTTGTGTACAACTACCGCGGATACGGGCGCTGCAAAGGCTCGCCATCTCCTAAAATGCACAACCTGGATGGCCTCGCAATTGTAAATTATCTTACGAGCGAACGTGGCATCAAGAAGATCGCAGTCCACGGTGAATCCATAGGCGGGTTAGTGGCGACGTATTTGGCGCGCAAGTCTCCCCACGTAAGTGTGCTTATCGCAGACCGCACGTTCGCCACCGTACCAGCACTGGCTCAGCGAATGATTGCAAGGTGGGCTGGAACAGTGGTGGACTGGGTGATGCGCTGGGAGACTGACAACGTGCAGAACTACCTGGATGCAACATGCGCCAAGCTGTTGTGCTCCGATCCGAGCGACGATATTATCCTCGATGGTGCGTCACTAAAGTCTGGCGTCGCACTAAGCATCGAGTTGGGAGACAAGATTTTCAGTTTACCCCGCCAGCGCGAAGCTGATGGTTCACCGACTTCACCGGCATCTCCTTCGAATTGTGTACGCAAGGTGCGGACACGGCTGGGTCCACGCAGTACGCGTCGCGTCAGCGAAGCAGCGAGTCGACCGCAGTTAGGCCAGCCGCTGACGGAGACTATCGTCGCCCGCTTCAGCGAAGCCGTTTTGTCTGTTGGTAGGCGCGCATTGGAGTACACGAGGCGCCGCGATAAAGAGGAGGCTGAAGGCCATCAAAGCAAGAAATCCCTTGAAGAGGCGACAAGCTCCGGTGCGAAAGCTAGTTTAAGCCACGTCACCATTTCGGTAGAAGACGCGGAGGCCTCAGCTGCAACAGCAACGAGTGAAGACCCTTCTGTAGACACCGAGCAGAACCCAATGCTCGCAACAGACTCGCCGGAGCCCATCACGACGACCGCTGCATTTCCCGACGAGCTCATTGCTGTGGTCTGGATGCAGCTCGCTCGTATGGATGGGTACTGCGGACAGGTCCTTCTTCAGGCTGCTGAGAACGGAGGGTACGACAAGATCCGAGCCTGGACGGCTTCGCTGTTGACGTGGGGCGGTCGCGTAGCTCCTGACCGCCGCAGCGCGCGTTCTCTGGAGCCTTTCGATCGCGACGGCATCTTTATTGTGCCTATCACGGTCGCGGAGGCGCATGTCATGCTGCAGCACCTCGTGGAGCAGTACCCGCCTTTGAAGTTCGACTACGACATCGGCTTCGTGGTACTGATGATCGAGTACTTGAACGACTCGCTCCAGCGACGGTGGCGCCATCTAGACAGCGCCAAGACCGATGAGCCTAGTGAAGCCACCCAAGGCGACAAGAAGGGCGAGAAACCTGTAGCACCAGACCAGAGCAAGTCGGCAGTCCCGTTGGTGATTAACACTGGAGATCCCAAACTAGGCTGCCTACTGCCACTGCATTGCGGGCATAACAAGAACTACGAAGACGCAGAGAAGCAGGCGCTGATTGGTTTTCTGCGGCATGTAGGCTTCGTAGGACCCACTAAATAGACGACCACTGATTGATTTGAATCTGAACTGAAGTCCATCGAAAAGATACGCGATCTTTGAAGAGGCGTATCTTGTGATACGCTTGACAAGCTTCGCATCGCGCAGTAAGCCAAGAGAGACGAAACATGAGCAAGCTCTCAAGACTGCTATACAGCTTCTTAGGCGGCACAGCGGTTGCTGCCGCAACAAACATGCAACCTACTCTGCCCATAGGTAAGCTCAACCTAGACACACGACACGAAGAGATAGACCGTTGACTTCTTGACTGTGCTGAGATGAGCCAGGAGAATGCATCGTGAAGCTACCAACGAGTTCTGAGACTCAGGAGATGGATTCACGCACCGTCAAATGTCAGCTGGCAGCATTCGGAGCTTATCTGCCTGAGGAAAGGAGCGATCTGAAAGTGGTGCTACCACCTGGGGACGACATGATGGCGTGCTCTGCATTGGACGAGGGTCAAGAGCGATCCAGGTTTGAAGGCGCTGCAGTGGTCGTTCGTCGTGGGGGATGCTCGTTCCAGGAAAAACTGGCGCATGTGACTGCAGCAGGTGCGGCCGTGATGGTTCTCGTGAACTCGGAGGATGCTCTAATCCCCCTCAGCAGCCTCGAATATGAGCGTAGTGCTGCAATTGCGGTCTCTGTGATGAAAGGCGATGGCGAACAACTGATAAGATTTGTCCAGGATACGACTGGAGTTGAACTGAGGATGGTAGCTCCCGCGAGTCTGATAAAACAAGCGCATGCTAGGCTGCAGTTTTTGGTGGATATCAATACGCCTGTGGCAGTATACGAAGAGTATTGGGACGTCGTGGAGCAGTTGCAACCTGCTGTGGGGACTTTGGATGAGCTACTGGCAAAGATATTGTCCAGAGACTATGTTAGTGGCGAAATGTTGCATGATGTGGCAAAAGCAAAGGAATTTGTGGATTTCTTTTCGTGGACTGCCAAGCAGCTCTCCAAATGGGGGTTTAGTAGCCAAGCAGCACTTCACGCTTCCGTTGCTGCTGCTGTTCTGCAAATTGAGTCTTGGACACATCCTAAATCTAAGCTGAACAACAAGGATCGCCTACTACTTCAAACAGCGGCGCAGCGTTTAATGGAGGCTGGGTCGTACTCGCAGAGTATTATCCTGCTTCAGATGGTAGCAGATTCTTCAAACACTCGAGCTGGAGACGCAGTGAATTGCCAATTGGTATTTGTGAAGTTCCTTCGAGACAATTTAGCGGCAGTTCTATCGGAAACAACAAGATGCAGCACCTCAAAGCTTGACATCGGTGTTCAGAGCCTAGAGGTAGCAAAGAAAGCTTTCCTCCGACTGACTAAATTCAAGTCATCAGCGCACGACCGGGAGTGTGTGGAGGTTGCTGCGGGGTCAGTAAACGATTCGAATCTCGCCTTGTCATGTTGTAACTTGGAAGAGGACGCTCACGGATACGCTGGACCAGTATCGCGAAAGTTTAGTAGTGGATTCACAGAAGAGCTCTTTCACTCGCTGGTCATGCTCGGGGTTTTCTTGGACGAACTGGGGGCATTTAATGAGTCACTGCGGTTCTTCAGTTATGCTGCTAATTTGTGCGAAGGTGATCGAACTACTCTCGAGGTACGAATGCTAAATTGTAGCGTAGCCAAGGGCATGTGCACGATACTTACTGGAGATTCTTGTATTGCAGCTTCGGCAATCTCTAGCTGTACCAATCATTTATGCTTCTCAAGCTGAAGTGGACAAGTTCGTCGAAGATCTGAAGAGTAAATTACAACTACTGACAGAAGCAGCCGAGAAAAAGAAGATGATCGAAGAACGAGTAATCTCCGCGTTGGGAGATGCTGATAAATCGGTAGAAGTATCCTCTACCCAGGCGACTTCAGCTTTACGACCTGAAGCCGCGGCATATCTTCAGTACACGATAACCCCACCTACCATGTTTATCGGTTACCAGGTACGATGCCAGCAAATTCATCATGACAACAAGATGTCGTACTCACTAGCATTGCATCAATGCGTTTGAGTGCACAGGGTATCAACGTTCTCCCAATCCAGCGAGCTATAAACCAACTTCGATCTTCGCTCTATCCAAGTTTATCGTCTTCGTTCGATCGGCTCGCGTCCGATGATGGGACTCAGAAGCCTCGAAGTATTGGATTTATCTCCACTTGGTTTCGTGTTCATTCCGTGGGCAAACTGTTGCTTGGAATCGTTCAAAACCTGGATCGAAACAAGTTTCACGTGACCATTTATCGCTGCGTGCACTTCCTGTCCGACTCCGACGATGTTACAGAAAAGTTCAAGAGAGCTGCAGATGAATACGTCGAGCTACCTGATAGTCAAGATGCTGCTGTTACAATTCTTCGACAGGCAAAACTTGACGTTGCAATTTTCCCTGAGCTCGGAATGGACGAGTGGACAGTGCTGCTGTCTCACCACCGCGTAGCTCCAATTCAGTGCGTCTTCTGGGGGCACCCAATCACTACGGGGAATCCGAACATCGACTACTTTATTTCCTCGGAGCATTTTGTCTCCGACCACTTCGAAGACACAGCGGGCGACCTCAAGTTATCAGACTATCGCCGGTCGTCGTTCTCCGAGAAAATCGTCCTCTTTCGCGGCCTCAGCACGATATTTACCGAGCCCAAGCCGCTCACCGCGGAATCGAAAGATATAACCCGTTCGAGGCTGTTCCTCCCTGCCAACCGAAGGCTTTACGTTTGCCCTCAGGTACGTATCCGGTGCTTGCAAGATAAAACTCTGACGACGACTAACATCAATTTTTCGTACGCAGACTTTGATGAAGTTTCACCCAGCCTTCGACGAGGCTCTTGCTGGAATTCTAGAGCAAGATGGTAAAGCAACCATTGTGTTACTTGCCTCCGGGACCCAGATCGTCTGGATGGAACAGCTACGCAGGAGGTTTCGGCAGCGTTTTGGCAGAGTACGTCGTCATGGATATTATCATTTTACTTTGGGTGTAGCTCATGGCTCGTTTTGCTACTTCGTGTACACAGAACCATCGGCGAGTATTGTTCTTGCCAACTCTACCCTTTGCCGAGTTTCAAGCATTGGTGACACTCGCTGACGTTCTCCTGGACCCGTTCCCGTTCGGTGGAGGCGTCACCACGCTCGACGCACTTCATTTGGGCATGTAGGTGCACCCTTTTGTTTACAGCAAAGAGTGTCTATTGGTGTTGATCAGCGGCTAATCGATAAGTACTGCTCGTTCATGGTGTGTTGCAGCCCAGTAGTGACGTTGCCTTCCGCGCAGAGCGTCGTGCACCTGGCTGCAGGATTTCTGCGCTACATGAACGCATCGGACTGCATTGCAAGCTCGCTGGATGAGTACGTCGAGCTGGCGATTCGGATCGCTAAGGACCACGCAGATGTTCGACAGCGGCTGCTGGCACACCGGGGCGACATCTACCAAGACGTAAGCACAGTCGACGATTGGAACTCGTTCTTGAGCACCGTCACCCCAAAAGAGGAAGCCTCGACTGTATCTCAGTAGCCCTTAAGACTTAATTCATGGTTAAGGTTCCGACACAAACACTCTGTGGCACAGAGTCTGTGCACAATAAGCTTGACGTGGTGAAGTCCTGCCAGCGAGTGCAAGCTGGGCGGATTCGTCAACGCCCACCGAGATGACCCCGGCTTCAACGAGTCAAAGCCACGCAGGGCACGTCGGTTGAGTAAACGCCGTCCATCCGTTGGCGACGTGCAAGGCAACTTCAACGTGGCGAATCGTTAGTGTCACCCGACCTCGGACGAGCAAAGCTGAAGCTGGTAGAAGATCCCTCCTGACCAACTGCTCCATGTAATAAGGGTCGGGCTACATGCAAATGGACTCGAGTCCTGTGCGTCCAAGACCATGAACGCCTTGCTCAAACGGCCGAACCATGGCAGCACTGAGCAGCAGCCTTTCGTGTACTGACGCGCCTCGATGACGCGCTCGTTGTATACGTCAAATGAACGCATTTCTATCGCGCGACCCTTCCCAACGCGATAATCAGAAAATGCACAACAAAAGACAGTCAACAACATCAATCCAGCTATCTAAAGAATGCATCTCACCCAGCTCCCCAATATCAGGTTAAACGGTCTCCCAACACCGTCGGAATCCCGCCGGCACATCTCATTTCACCATGCCCAAAGTCTCCACTGACGTCGACACAATCCCCACCTCACTCTTCAATTTGCCGTGTTCCGAGCACTCCACTCCACCACCTTAAACTCCACTCACTCACTCACTCACTCACTCACACGATGGCGATGGAGCTCAAGGACCTGGCCCCTCTACTGCTCAAGACCGAGCGCGCCAATGGGGACATCGACCCCACCGTGCTCACCAACATCCTGCGCGGTGGCAAAGCCACCAACGACCGGCGCAAGGAGCTGCTGCAGGTCATCGAGCGCCACCCCGTGCTCTCGGACCGCGACATGATGTACCGCAACCACGACGAGCGCTACAACTTCGGCATCAAGAAGGCCTTCAACTACATCAAGCTGCTGCAAGAGGGCGGCTACACGGACTCCGCGGACCAGCAGATCCTGTACTCGGCCATGGGGGAGCCCACGGCCATCGAGGTGCACCGCTCCATGTTCGTGCCGACGCTGGAGAACCAGGGCGACGACGCGCAGCGCGCCAAGTGGCTACCGCTGGCCAAGAGCTACAAGATCCTCGGCGCCTACGCGCAGACAGAGCTCGGCCACGGCTCCAACGTGCAGGGCATCGAGACCGTCGCCACGTACGACAAGGCCACGCAGGAGTTCGTCATCGACTCGCCCACGCTCACGAGCCGCAAGTGGTGGCCCGGCGGTCTGGGCAAGACGGCCAACCACGCCATCGTGCACGCGCGGCTGTTCCTGGACGGGGAGGACGTGGGTGTGCAGGCGTTCCTGGTGCAGCTCCGGTCGCTGGAGGACCACCAGCCTCTGCCGGGCATTGAGGTCGGCGACATTGGGCCCAAGGTCGGCTTCCAGCCAATTGACAACGGCTACTGCGCGTTCCACAAGGTGCGCGTTCCGAGGGAGAACATGATGATGCGGTACGCCAAGGTTTTGCCTGATGGGACGTTCGTGAAGCCCAAGAGCGACAAGTTGGTGTACCTGACCATGGTGCAGATCCGCGCGTACTTGATCCGTTCACTTGGACAGGGTATGGGCATGGCTACGACTATCACGACGCGCTACAGTGCCGCGCGCGTGCAAGGTCGCAAGGCTCCGGGCGCTGCCAAGGGCGAGTTCCAGGTCTTGGACTACCAGAACCAGCAGCACGCACTGTTCCCGTACATCGCCATCTCGTACGCCGGGTTCTTCGCCGGCACGGGCCTCATCGGCATGCACGACTCGGCCCTGGCCATTGTGAAGAGTGGGGGCCCGTCGTTCGGCTCCAAGCTGGCGGACCTGCACGCCGTGTGCTCGGGACTGAAGGCGTGGTTGGCCAACCACGTGAGCGACGGCATTGAGAACTGCCGCCGTCTCTGCGGCGGACATGGCTTCACGCACTCGAGCAACCTGGGCCACCTATTCGCCGAGACTGTGGGCGCCTGCACGTACGAGGGCACGTTCGACGTACTTGTGAACCAGCACGGCCGCTACTTGTTGAAGGCGCTGCTCAGCGGCAACCACCTCCCGGACAGTCCTACGGCCTTCCTGGCTGATGCTAAGGCCCACGCCAACCCGAGTCTGCGATGCAAGGCCCAGTCGCCCCAAGACTTCGCCAACCTGGAGCTTCTACTCGAGGCCTTCCGTGTCCGTGCGAGCCGCGCGGTGTTGACCCTTGCGTCCGAGATGAAGGCCAACAAGAACGACGCCAACGCCTGCATGGTGCAGCTCACGCGCGCGTCGACGGCCCACGCTGAGCTCCTGCTGCTCGAGGCGTTCGTGAACGGTCTGAGCTCGATTCCGGCCGGTAAGGAGCGTCAGGCCGTGACGCACCTGTGCGAGCTCTTCGGAGCCTGGTTGATCACCAAGACGCTCGGCGACTTCCGTGAGGACGACTACATCTCGTCCAAGCAGGCCGCCATGGCTCGTCGCCAGCTCGTCAGTCTGCTGCCCGTTATCCGCAAGAACTGCGTGCTGTTGACGGACGCCTGGGACTTCACGGACTTTGAGCTCAACTCGACCATCGGCCGATACGACGGCGACGTCTACCGCGCGTTGGTGCGTCGTGCTCAGGATGAACCTCTGAACAAGACGCAGGTGCCCGAGTGCTACGAGCAGTTCCTCAAGCCGCTGTTGCAGTCGACCCTGTAGACAAAAGGTGGAGATGTGTAATGAGTGAAGTGTTCTAACAAACAATGAAATGCTTTCGAGAATAAAGGCTCAACAAACGCAACGACAGATTACATTTACACACATATACCTAGGTTGCACTACCTAGAAATCTCCTCAGCTTGGTTCTAGCCTCCGAGAGCAAGTCATGCCTAACAAACCAGGGTCATGGAGCACACCTCCAAGTTTACGGGTCGCAAGTCTCCTGGGCGCCCACTGCGAAGACCTGGACCCAGTGGTGCTTGTTGAACGTGTTGGTGTTGTACGCGTAGGCCGTGCCCACCATGTTGAAGTTGCCGAGGATGTTGGCGCGGCCCTCGCCCTTCATCCAGTTCTGGAAGACGGTCTCGACGTCAGGGGAGCCCTGGTCGATGTTCTCTTTGACGTTCGAGCACTTGAAGCCGGCGGCGGCGGCGCGCTGAGCGGGGGTCGAGTTGTCGGTGCCGGCGTCCGACATGAAGTCGGTCGACGACTGGTCCTTGACGTGGCGCTCGGCTGCCACCTTGAGCTTCTTGTTGGAGCACAGCGCCGGGAGTCCGTGCGAGGCGCGCTCCTTGTTGACACGGGCCAGCAGAGCGGCGCCGAGGTCAGAGTCACCGGTCATTTGGGCCAGCTCGCGTGTCTCCTGACGGAGGTTGGTGGCATCAGAGATACCGGCGGCAAGCACGAGAAGGAGAGCGATCGAAGTCTTGATGTACGCCATTGTGTGTGTTGGTTGGTATGGGATGTGGTCGGAGGATGGAAGATTGGAGAGTGACTAAGCTGGTGAGCTCTTAGATTCGGCCACCAAGAGAGCAGTTGACTACCGGTAGTCGCCTCTGCTGGTGATCCTGTACCAGGTCAACACAGTCACTCCTCTTCCCGCATGATGGAATAGGCACCAGCGTATGTTACGGATCCTTGTAGGCCACAGAGTGCAACAGATTCCATGGTCAAGTCCTCGAGTCAGGGACCAATTGTGGTGTTCGTGCAGCAGGTGGTGCCCGATTAAGCTCGTTCGTTCGATTTCACTCTATTACATGGTAGAGGTTGCCGTCTGGCGGGGGATTAACGTGGCTCGGCTTCAATAAACCAGCATAGAGCAGCACGCATGAGCAGGATGTATTTGGCTTCGCTCGATAATAAGACGTAGCCGAGTGGTAAACAAATCGGACATGGCGACTAAATAGATCGAGTGAAAGCCTTGGTGACCTTTGTCCTATCGGGTAGCAAAGGCCCCGTATGCCGACAGAGAGCTATCGGAAGCAGCACCTCGGGTTTGGTTGTGATACACGATGTCGTAGCTGCTCGAAGTGGTGGAAGGAACATTAAAACCTAGCGCTCCACAAGGGCAGCGCTTCGCATCGCTTGTTATTGATAAGGTTTCTTTAGGCGGCAGTTTGATGTTCACTTAAGATACTCAGCATGGAGAATCGTGTTGGCTCCCCTTCGGTTGCTGCAACAGCCGCAGACACGGTTGCCTACTACCGAACACAGACTGAAGCTCTCGCTGGGCCTACGCAATGGCCACGTCGAACGGCGTCGGGTTCCAATCCGGGAAAAACTTGGCCACCGTCTCCTTCACCTCCTCCTCCGTCCCCGGAATGAGGCGTCCATCCCCCATGCGCGTTAGAATGTACGCCATGGAGTCGGTGTCGTAGTTCTTCTTCCTCTTCTCGCAGTCCACCACCTTGAGCTCAATCGTCTTTCCCAGCTTCTTTTCAGCCATGGCAGCGATCTCCTTCGGGGACATGCGGTCGCTCTCGACTGAGAGCCCACTTCAACGAGCTCTTCGGTGCCGTGACCAGCGCGTGCGCGACGAAGCGACCGAAGTCAGCCCGCGACACGATGCCAAGCTTCGCGTTGCCATCGCCCACGACACTCATGGTTCCCTCTTTGAAGTTGAACCCCAGAACACTGCAATGACACCCAAGAAAAAAAGTTAGTTGGGGATAACACCGTTATCAGTGATATTGTATATCACGAATACTCACAACGGCAAGTACTCGCTCCAAAAGCCGCTAAGGAAGAGGGCCGTAAGGCAGATCAAGCTCCTTCAGCAAGCTGCGAGCGTTCTGCTTGGTGATGTTGGCTCCATCCTCGTCGGGCACGCCAAACTGTAGATACACCAAGTGTGTTTTTAAAGACTTCGAGGCATCGAACGAGCGACCACCCTACCTCAGTGGGCACAAATAGCTGGACGCCAGCCGCCTTCGCCGCTCGAGCGACCCCGTACTGGATGGAGTGGTGTTGCGCATCGACCGCACACACACTAGCGCAGATAATGGCCCTTAGTACACGCAGTCAATTTTCCGATATACAGTAGCATGACCTTACACAACTTCAGTGCCGGCCAGTGCTGTCTGTAGCGCCGTCTCGTCATGCCTTCACGAGGGACGCGTCTCGTTCCTTGAAGGGCTGAAGCTCAGACTTCATGAACAACATTTTCCGGTTATTACATTATACACCTCAATCAGCGCGTCTTGTACGATACCTGTCCCGAGTCAAAATCGTCACGGTAGTGTTGGCGTTAAGTAGACCATCAACGATGCTGTAGCCGACTCCGCCAGCACCGACGACCGTGAACTTGGTGAAGGTTGACATCCGTGATGATGGATCTTGGAACGGAGCTGGTGAGAGGAAATTGAATTGTGATTCACGCCTCGCTGTGAAGCCTGTATTGCACAGGGAAAAGAAGTTTCCCTCTAGGGGGGGCGCAACGGACGTAAGACCATGCCAGCCGGCTAAACGGAGCGAATGGGAGTCGATATTGCAGGTTTTCATCGCAGAGAAAGACAGCGCGTGGCAACCGATGGATCGAGAGAAGGCTGTTGCTTTGCTATGGAGGAGCTGATGCGAGAGGACCTGAAGCTACCGGCGACGAATTCCAGTCGCTTCGGCAAGATGCCTAGGAAAAGAGGCTCGAATGATGGCCACACGATTTTCGATCCGATGTCGAGAAGCGTCTTTGAAAGAGAAATATCAAAAAAGACTTGGTTACTTCAAGAACTACGTACATGGTGCCACTGCATCACTTTAAAACGCTTACAGATCCGACTGGATGAGCGGCTTCAAGTACTTCTCGTAACCCTCGGGGACCTGCGTCTTGTTCAGCGGCTCGTCCGCAGCACGGTTCACCAACGCGCGGTAGATGTCGCCGTCGTAGCGACCGATAGTCGAGCCCAACTCAAAGTCGCTGAAGTCCCAAGCATCGGTGAGCAGCACGCTGTTCTTGCGGATGCTCGGCAATAGACGCACGACCTGCTCGCGCACAAGGTCGGCCTGGCTCGAGGACAGGTAGTCGTGCTGGCGGAAGTCTCCGAGGGACTTGGTTATGAGCCAGGCTCCGAAGAGCGAGCACAGCTCAACAACAGCTCGCTGCTCCGGGCCAGCAGGAATTGTGCTTACCCCGTTGACAAGAGCCTCAAGCAGCATCAGTTCCGCGTGCGCGGTGGAGACGCGCGACATCAGCACCATGCACGCGTTGCCGTTGTTATTGGTGGCCTTCATCTGACGCGCTAGTGCTAGCAAGATGCGAGCGGCGCGCACCTCGAATGCCTCCACGAGCAGGTTCAGGTCTCCGAAGGCCTCCGGTGTTTGTCCAGAGAACCGCAGCTTGAGATCGGCCAGCACCTTGACCTTGGACAGGAAACGAGTGGCAGGCTCGCTCGCGTCGAGGGTCTTGGCTCCAGCCAAAGCCTTCAGCAAGTATCGAGCGTGTTGCTGCACCAGCACGTCGAAGGTGCCTTCGAACGTGTTGGCGCCCACAATCTCGTTGAACAGGTGCGCCAGGTTGCCGGACTGCGTGAACCCGTGGCCTCCGCAGAGCCGGCGGCAAGACTCCACTCCGTCACTGACCCTTTCAGCAAGCCAGGCCTTGAGACCCGAAGACACGGCGTGCAGCGCAGCCAACTTGGCGCCAAAGCCAGCGTCTCCGCTCTTGACGATCTCCACGGCTTCGTCGTGTCTTGCCATCATGTCCCGAGCCGCAAACTTGGCGGCGTACGAGATGGCGATGAACGGGAAGAGCTTGTGCTGCTGATTCTGGTAGTCCAGCACCTGGAACTCGCCCTTGTTGTCGGGCGTGCGGCCTTGAATCCGCGCGGAGCTGAAGCGCGTGGTAATCGCGGCCGCCTTGGCCATCGTCAGCGCGAAGCTTTCGACCAGGTTCGCGCGCACGTGCACCATAGTCAGGTACACCAACTTATCGCTCTTGGGCTTCACGAACGTCCCATCAGGCAAAACCTTGGCGTACCGCATCAGCATGTTCTCCCTCGGAACGCGCACCTTGTGGAACGCGCAGTAGCCGTTGTCGATGGCATTGAATCCAACCTTGGGCCCAATGTCGCCGACCTCAATGCCCGGCAGAGGCTGGTGGTCCTCCAGCGACCGGAGCTGCACCAGGAACGCCTGCACGCCCACGTCCTTCCCGTCCAGGAACAGCCGCGCGTGCACGATGGCGTGGTTGGCCGTCTTGCCCAGACCGCCGGGCCACCACTTGCGGCTCGTGAGCGTGGGCGAGTCGATGACGAACTCCTGCGTGGCCTTGTCGTACGTGGCGACGGTCTCGATGCCCTGCACGTTGGAGCCGTGGCCAAGCTCCGTCTGCGCGTAGGCGCCGAGGATCTTGTAGCTCTTGGCCAGCGGTAGCCACTTGGCGCGCTGCGCGTCGTCGCCCTGGTTCTCCAGCGTCGGCACGAACATGGAGTTGTGCACATCAATGCACAGAGGCTCCCCCAGAGCGCCGTACATGATGTTCTGCTCCGTCCGGTCCACGATCTGCTCGTCCTTGAGGAACTGCACAAAGTGCGCAACCTTCTTGAGCCCGAACGTGTAGCGCTGCGTGTGGTTGCGGAACATCATGTCGCGGTCCGAGAGCACGGGGTGGCGCTCCACCATCGCCACGAGCTGCTTGCGCCGGTCGTTGGCGGCTTTGCCGTCGCGCAGGACGTCGGTGAGCACGGTGGGATCGATGTCCCCATTGGCGCGCTCGGTCTTGAGCAGCAGCGGCGCCAGGTCCTTGAGCTCCATGATCAGTGACGCTTTGACGTGTGTGTGAGCGAGCAAATTGGATTGTGAGGTGTTCGAGCGGATATGCTGTTTTTGGTGTTGAGGTTTGAGATAGCTGATAATTTTAATTTGGAATTGGTTTGCTGGGAAATGTGTGTGCTGAGAAGTCATACAAGATGAGCTGAGATTCCTGATATTTGAAGATATAACATGTATCAAAAAGTATGGTAGTAATTAGAATGTCGAGGTAGTATCATGTTTGGAAGTTTTGTGCTGGTCAACGATTGTTTGACGTCATCCAAGTGGCGACTTCAACATGGTGTTTGACGTAGACGCTGGTTATAAAGCAAGTTATAAAGCATCGAGCACGGCAGCATCTTGCTTGATGTGAATGCAAGCATACAGCGGATCGACCACCGACGGTGGTGGTCGATCTCTAGGAATGAAATACTGCAGAATGCGTGACCCGTGTTCGCAATTTGCGAACGGTTCAAATGGCACGTTGGGGAATGCTGTGCGAATCTCACGACCCAAATCCGCATTCGTTCGTGTGCAGGAAACGTCGGTCGAATACAACGTCTATTGAGTTTTTTTAATTGCTATGACGTTCTGTGAGATCTCGATCTTCTACCATGACTATGACTCGCTTCCCTCACCTCGCTATCTCATTCTGCTGGTTCGATACTTCGGGCTTCACGGGGGGGGGGGGGGGGCACTTGCGACCGGATGGCTAGGCGGCTCGATGAGTAGCTCTCACACAGAAGCTGTTTGCTTCAGGGGACAGAGGATGTTAGTGCCAGGAGGTCCCCTCCAGTAACCATACACTCCCAACACGCGCATCATGTGCTGACCCCTGGTCTCTTTCACTTTCACGATCAACTTGCTCTACTGTACTCTTCGGGTCGATACACGGGGAAGACGAACTCGCTCAGGCTTGCCTAGACGCACCACTGGACGAAGAGGACGAAGAGTATCTGGCGTATGCTTACTGTACAATCGGTACTGGATCCCAACCGGGTCGCTTGGTGCTTCCGGGTTACAGTAGCATTGCCCATCGGGTCCAAAAGCATATTGGCATTGCTGTTCGCTTTGGATCCATCTGACGAGGTTGTCCCTGGGATTCTCTTGGTGCAGACAACCAAGTCCGGTGACTTAAGCAGCGGCAACCACCACACTTAACATGTCATTCTGTTTACATGGCGCTTCAACGCAGACAGATCGATTCTAAGTTAAAGACCCATAATCAAACAGTGATCGCCATATGAAAAAGTATCGCATCACTGCATAGGGCACGCTCTTCACTTTAGCCTCGCGATAAGACTCATGTGCCGTTCCACCACCCGGAAAAAAACGCTCATTGCGTGGGTCTGTAATGGCTCGCAGTAGCCCCACCTGGTTTGCCGCGTCGCATCGGAATCAGGCGCGCTCGCTCAATACTTCGAAGTATATTTTTACCGATCGTTGTCGTGCCCTCGCGCCTTCGATCCTGACCACATTCTCCAATTCGCCACCCTCCGCCCACAGCTAGAACACTAAACCATGGTGGCCTTCGCGCAGACTTCGATCGCTCTCCTGCTCGCTCTCACCGTAGGTGCATCCGACGCCACCAACCTTCGTCAGGATCAACGCGACTTGAGTGCTATGGCGCAGGCGAATCAAAATGCGGCAGCGCTGCTAGCGCGAGTCAACAAGGAGCGTGCAGCCCACGGACTCAAGCCAGTGTGCTCGAACAAGAAGCTGCAGGCAGCAGCCGAGCGCCACGTCAAGGACCAGTCCAAGACCGACTACATCTCCGACACCGGAACCGACGATTCGAATCCCGAGACGCGAGTCACCGATGCCGGCTACAAGTGGCAGAGCGTGAGTGAGGCCATCGATGCGGGCAATGCCAACGCGGACGCTGTGGTGGACTGGTGGATGAGGAATGAAGCTCGTGAGACCATCCTCGGCAAGTATACAATGGCGGGATCGGCGTACGCGTACAACCCCAACACGTACAGCAAGCACACGTGGGTGCAGGTCTTCGCCACTGGCAGCTCGGAGGCGTGCGATGCTTAAACAGCCTCTCCCTAAGGGCTTCTACTTAGAGATATATATCTTGAGAAATATGATAAAGATTTTTCTTTAGAGTTTTTATTTGCTTGGACCTTGAAATGACGTTCACATTTCCGCCAATGAATCTTTATCCTTTAGTCGATCGGCAGTGCCATTTTGACCAATCGCCTGATCGGGTCTCGTTTTGGTCGGGTGGTGGTCGTTACTTTGGCATTCTCGTTCGCTCCCCTCAACCAGACCCGATAGATTTTCTTCTCTCGCCAGCATGCGCGCGCGCAGGGTGGTGGATCAATCCGCCGCGGTGCAAGACAGTCGGTTCACGACCACGATATTCCTGGAGGGCTACCAGTACACAAGGTCCACCACGTCTGGACGCAAGACCGCGTACCGATGCAGCTACTACCGATCCGCTGGCTGCAGGGGGAAAGTGGACCTGATCACGCGCTCCAAGCTCTTCACCAACTTCGTCGAGCACACGTGTGAACGAGGCGATCATTTCGTGTCGGAAACTCCTGACCAGACCAACTCCGTGACCCCCGCTGCCACTGTTACCACTACATGTACCACCACCACGGGCCACCCTTACATGGTCCAAGCCCAAGGAGGATTCCAGCCCCCGCCCGTCAACCGAGTGGCTCGCGTCGCACCGGGTCAGGTCGATCTTAGCCACTTGGCGCAGATCGAGAGCCCTCCTCTTCTGTTCGTGCGCAACACCAAGTTGAACTTTTTCCAGTTCAACTGCATGAACGGATACGGACCCGACAATACCCCGAAGCGAGTCATCGGGTGGGCTCACCCTCACCTCGTTGAGCTGCTCAAGCACGCAGGCTCGACCATCTACGTGGATACCTCCCTCCGTCGCCTACCTCCAGGGTTCGAGCAGTGTCTCGCTCTGGTTGTGCACGACAAGCCGTCGGGGTTCTTCGTCCCAGTGTTCTACGTGCTGTGCACGCTCCGGTCGGTTGCTACTTACCGTAGCGCCCTCGGCTTTATCGCTGGCAGTACAGGACGAAAATTTAAGCCAGAGGAGGTCGTGTGCGACTTTGACGGCGACTTGTTGAGCGCACTGCGAGCGGAATTCCCGAACGCCGTCGTGAAGGGGGCGGTGCATCTCTTTAAGAAGGCATGCCGGACTCGAATGGAGCGACTGGAGATCTCGGAGGAAGCCACCAACATCGCGATGCAGAAGGGGGTGCTCGACATGCTGGTGTCGATTCCGCCGGATAGAGTTGCCACTGCTGGCATTGCGTGGGTGAAGCAGCAGATCATGATGAAGTGTGATGGAGCTGGGGTGCCGTACGCGCAGGAGAAATGGCGCTCGTTCTGGGTTTACTTCAGGCGCGTCTGGATCGCGCAGTTCCCGCCCGCCGTGTGGAGTCTCCACGGGCTGAGCGACAGCATCATCTCACGTACAAGCAACCCTCTCGAGCAGTTCCATAGAGAACTGGACGCAGCCTTCACGTTGCCAGACCCGGGCCTCCCGTTTTTCGTGGCAACCATCGAGAAGATGGCGCGCCGCCACGTCGCTGATCTTGCAGCGGAGACGACTACGCTTCCAAGGGCGGTTGAGGTTTTTAGCGACGAAGAGGATTCAAGCGACGAGGAGAGCACCGAGGACGACTTGGACGGAGATGACGACGACGATAGTGTCGAGTTTACTAAGCCCGAGTCGCCACGCGGACACGAAAGCGTCGACCGTAATGGCGATGCGGGAGCTGACTACTCGAGCTGAATTTACGTGAGAGCGGCAACAGAACGAATCACCGTGAGCTCCAATCCAATGATTCCATCGCTGCAGTACCTGCTTGCAGAAGCGATCAAACAAAAATGTTGCGGCAATTTGATCTTCGTAAACGGCATTTCGTGTATTTCAAGAAAAAAAATCAACGAACGACTTGATCGGAACTGTTGTCAGCTCTCGGATAGTTACAACACTATTTCTATAGCAAAATTGATTCAGATGCGCCTCGTTCTGCAGCATCATGTTGTTGTTGTCGTCAAGTTTGTAGCCGCCGATTGCGTGGTCTTGGTCTATGGATTGCGTATCGGAGCCAAGGGCTATTACGTGAACGCTTCACACCATGTGCACGGAAGCCCAGCACAGGGCTCAGCTCATGCTGAGCTAAGCCGAGCTCAGTCAGCAATCTGCTCCCAATTAGACAAGTTCCATCCAGTCATGCCTGCATTCCGCCACCCCTCGGCCCCGGGCCGCTTTGGCTCCTCTCATCGGGGTTTGACGACGACATGAACAAGGACGCCCCTGCCGCGAAGTTGTTGTCCGCGCTGTTCGAGAAGCTCTACCCGAACGATGAGAATCTACCCAAGCGGATCCTCCTCGTGTCGGCGCACTTTGAGTCGGACAGCAACGGGTTCGAGATTTCCAACGCCGCCTTGCCCAAAATGATCTTCGACTACTACGGATTCGACGACGAGGCCTACGACATTGACTACCCTGCTAAGGGAGACCCTGAGTTCGCTCAGAGGGTCAAGGAGCAGCTCGAGAAGAACAAAATCAAGGCGAAGCTGGTGAACCGCGGGTTCGACCACGGCATCTTCGTCCCGATGTCGTTGATCCGACCGCAAGCGGGCATTCCGATCGTCACCATGTCGACCAATTTGTACTTGGGCAACAAGGCCCACTTCAACTTGGGCAAGGCGCTTGAGCCTTTCCGTGATGAGGACACGCTGATCCTCTGCTCCGGTCAGTCGACGCACAATCTTCGTGCCCTCCACAGCCGTAGTCCTGTCCTAATCGAGGGAGCGCGAGCATTCCAAAGCTGGCTGGACGAAACTCTGTCTTCGGAGTCCAAGCTCACTGTCAAGGAGCGCCGGGAGGAGCTAATTCATTGGCAGGATGAGCCTGCATCTCGGTTCGCGCACCCGACTCCTGACCACTTCATGCCGTTTCTTGTCGCCGCTGGAGCAGGAATGGAAGAGAAGCAGCCAGGAGCAAAGGCGTTCTTCGGTGGGTGGACCATTGGCCACATGTCCTTCGCCAACTACGCTTGGGGTATTTAGCAATAGGTAGAATTGGTGTGCTCGAAACGGCCCATATCCTGATAACTCGAAATGAACAAGATGCGCTTGAACACACCCTGGCGCTTGTCGGATACGATGATAGATATTTTGTGTCACACAAATTGTGTGGTATCTTGCGCACTGCCAGTGGATGGCTGTTAAGAGGTCACGTCCCCAACATGCTGTCGCTCATGGTCGCAGTACAGATTCCGACGAGACTGGCTCCGTGAAACTATAGCACTCCTTGACTCTGCCTCAGACGCTGAGGTCCATGCATGCGCTGACTGTATTATTAGATGAGGATGTTGGCCGAGGGCTTTACCTTCCAGTATCTAACTCGTTCATTGCCTTCATCCGTGCCTTTCGCTGAGGATCCTCCCTCCACCACTCAAGCGTCATGCAGCTCAGGGGGACTTTAGCTGCCGTGCTAAGCGCCATCGGCACTCCAACTCGCAACCTGACGGCCAATTTTGACATTCTCTCGCACAACGATGTCTACGAGATGGCGCAAGACACCGTCGACGGAATAAAACTCGGGGGACCGTCGCGCGTGGTGCCTATTGCCAACTCCATGCGAGAAGCTAACCCCAATACTCTCGTGCTCTTTGCGGGCGACACGGTGTCTCCATCCCTTTGGTCGACCCAGCTCAACGGCCAGCACATGATCACGGCGCACAACGCAATCGAGCTGGATTTCGCGTCGCTGGGCAACCACGAGTTCGACTTCGGGATCGAGAACTTCGTCAACTTGACGTTCTCCTCCAACTTCCCCTGGTTGAACGCCAATTGCTCGCAAGCCGCGAGCTGTTGCGTGGCACAGTGCCGCATGCTATCAAAAACTTCACGGACCCTATCAACGGCAACATCAGCGTCGGAATATTCGGTGTAATGTACGATATGAAGAACTCGAGTAAGGGCCTCTACTGGAGGGATCCAATTGAGACGGCTCGCGAGCAGGTGGCTGCTCTGCAGGCCCAGAACGTCGACTTGATCATCGCCCTGACGCACCAGGACCTTGTCGACGACAACAGGCTCTCCGAAGAGGTGGGCGGCATTGACTTGATCATCGGCGGACACGACCACAGCTCGATGCTGCAGACCCACTATGGCACGCCGTATATCAAGTCCGATTTCAACTTCCGCTCGATCTGGAAGACGCACATCGAGTACTACGCTGCTGATGCCAGCTACGACCGCAAGGTTGTCATGACCCACCAAACGGTCCCTATCGTGGAGAGCATGCCTAGTGATAGCAATCTTGACGCCACCATTGCGGCGTACCAAGCACAAATGGAAACTCTTGAAGAGCAGATCATCGGCAACCTGTGCGAAGACCTGGCTCTATCGCAGAATGTTGTGCGCACCAAGGACTGCAAGATTGGTCACCTGTTCGCTGACGCTGCTCTGCAGTATTACGGCAAGGGTTCAGCTGATGTTGCCGTCGTGAATGGAGGATGCATCCGCGGCGACAAGGTCGTAGCTGCCGGTGATCTAACGATGGGTGACTTGCTGTCTTGGTCACCGTTCCGCAACAGGCTGATGACGATCCAGACGAACGGTGCGTCGCTGAAGCTGTTCCTCGACCACGAGATGGCCAGAAGTTGCGGCTCCAATACCATTGAGCAGAACGGCTTCTACGTGCACCTGTCGGGCTTCAGCTACACATACACGCGCACACGCGAAGGTGTTGGCACCATCTCAAGCTTGGTGTGGCTGGATCACCCAATTAATTCGGGCGAGATCAAGGACTCGGACGAATTCGTCATGGCTCTCACCAACTATCTCTACTCGACGGAGTTCGTTGTCATTGACGGTGTGAATGCTACGGTCAAAGTGAGCGAGGTTGAGGCTGACAGAGTGGACTCGGCTCTTGAGGCCTACATCTCCAGGTTGAGCAATGGCACCGTGTGCCTCCAACACGAATTGCGCTCGTCCGTCTCATTCTAAATCGCCTGCGTCTGTCAGGTGGCGAAGCTTTCCACGGGTTCAGACAAATATATGAGCGGGCAACAGATTATCAATGCTGCTGTGTAGAATAGTTCGACTTCGATACACCACCATCTATCCAAATGTAACAAAATGTATGGTCCGCCCTACCGAATTAGAGGTGCACGACTGCGGACGTGTTGGAGCGGATGGCCATGTCGGCTGCAGCTCGAAGGAACCGCTCGCCGGGTCGGCTGCCGGAGTCCCATGTGCAACTTATCAATAAAACCGCGAGAATTATTCTTATCAAATGAAACCACGAGAGTTCTTCTTTTGTAAAAAATATCTGGGTTGCTTCATCTAACACCTATTGTGCCTTTCTGCCAAAACGCCCTCAGATTTGAGGTTCTACGTAGGACTCTTGCTCCTACGTAAGACCTCATAAAAGTTAGTACCAAGGCCAGTAAAACCGTGCATAAACAATAACTGAATGTAAACTGAGCGATTTGCTTGCGAAGGGAGGCCAACAAATTGTGCACAGTACCGTTATACCTGTAGCACATGTACCCGTACGTAGCTCCACGCTGGCACGGTGACCTGGTTGCGGTGCTGCCTGACCCTCCGCCTGTACGAGTGCGGCCAAACTATGCATTTGCCACAGATGCATTCAGGCGCACTGGCCTGATCTAGTCCTACGAAGGCCCGAATGGCCAGCTTAACATGGCCATTCGGTCCTTATTTCCAAAAAGGTACCCTTTAGATGAAGACGGAGCTCCTACGTAGGACTTCCGTAATCCGATGCAGGGCCAGTAGCAAATCCTAGGTTTAGCCCTACCCTCTCCTTCTTAAGACCACCTTTTTGAGGTCAGATTGGCCAAAGTTTCTGAAAGGCACAAAAAATTAGTTGCTGCTGCAGGCATTGACTACCCCTATTATTAAGGTTAAGGGCGATAAAAAAGAAGGAAAAAATATTGGCTGGAATTTGGCTGGACGACAGCGACAGCAAAGAGGGGGCAGCAACATGTAGAGTTGGTGCTTTCCAATCAGGCAGGACTCACAAAAATACCCCCCCCCCCCCTGAAATCAGTTGAATCGAAAGAGTAGCTCGCAACTGGCGAAGGCCATAATCGCTCGATTTTACGTGAACACCTGCTCAAAAATCATAGCGATCGTGCAGCAAAGCTGCAAAAATCCTAAGCAAAAGCCTCTCAGTCATTTTTTGAGCTCAGTTAACAATGTGCTTCAATCTCCGGAAGCAACAGGCTTTCCACCACTACACCAACTACCCTATCGCCGCTAACTATGCCTGCATTCCGCCACCCCTCCCTGGTCGTTTCGCACGGTCCTGGCCCACTATGACTCCTCTCTTCGGGTTTTGACGACGACATGAACAAGGACGCCCCTGCCGCGAAGTTGTTGTCCACGCTGTTCGAGAAGCTCTACCCGAACGATGAGAATCTACCCAAGCGGATCCTCCTCGTGTCGGCGCACTTTGAGTCGGACAGCAACGGGTTCGAGATTTCCAACGCCGCCTTGCCCAAAATGATCTTCGACTACTACGGATTCGACGACGAGGCCTACGACATTGACTACCCTGCTAAGGGAGACCCTGAGTTCGCTCAGAGGGTCAAGGAGCAGCTCGAGAAGAACAAAATCAAGGCGAAGCTGGTGAACCGCGGGTTCGACCACGGCATCTTCGTCCCGATGTCGTTGATCCGACCGCAAGCGGACATTCCGATCGTCACCATGTCGATCAATTTGTACTTGGGCAACAAGGCCCACTTCAACTTGGGCAAGGCGCTTGAGCCTTTCCGTGATGAGGACACGCTGATCCTCTGCTCCGGTCAGTCGACGCACAATGCCAGCAGTATGAGTCCTGCATTGATCAGAGGCGCGCAGGCCTTCCAAAGCTGGTTGGACGAGACGCTCACCTCGCAGTCGAAGCTCAGCGTCGAGGAGCGCACAAAGTAGATCACGAACTGGCTGGACGCTCCTGGGGCGAGACTCGCCCACCCGACACCCGACCACTTCATGCCGTTCATCGTCGCCGCTGGAGCGGGAATCACAGACAAGAAGCGGGTGCAAAGGCCTACTTCGGTTGGTGGGCCATTGGTCACATGTCGTTCGCCAACTATGCGTGGTGAGCCTTGCCGATTGAAAAGTTCAACAACATTTGAATTGTGTACGAGTTTTACATTTTCTGCGTAATGATCCGCAGCCAAAATGTTTCGTTTGGTGCCTACAGATCGGATTGAATCAGCGGCTTCAAGTACTTCTCGTAACCCTCAGGCACCTGCGTCTTGTTCAGCGGCTCGTCCGCAGCGCGCTTCACCAACGCGCGGTAGATGTCGCCATCATAACGACCGATAGTGGAGTTCAGCTCGAAATCGCTGAAGTCCCAAGCGTCCGTCAACAGTACGCAGTTCTTGCGGATGACCGGCAGTAGACGCACGATCTGTTCGCGAACAAGGTCAACCTGGTGGGAGGAGATGTAGTCCAACTGGCGGAAGTCTCCCAGCGAGTTGGTGATCAGCCAGACACCGAAGAGCGAGCACAGTTGAGTCAGCGAGTTCTTCTCAGCTCCAGGCGGGAGATTCTTCACTCCACGGATGAACGCCTCCAGTAGAATGAGCTCCGCGTGAGCAGTCGAGGCACGAGTCATGAACACCATGCAGGCATTGCCGTCGTTTTTCGCGGCCTTCATCTGGTTAGCCAGTGCGAGGACGATGCGTGCTGCGCGCGTTTGGAAGGCTTCCAGCAGCAGGTCCAGATCGCCAAAGTCCTCAGAGGTCTGGGCCTTGCAGCGCAGCTTGGTATCACTGTACTGCTTGACCTGGTTCAGGAACTTGGTGGAGTTCTCGCTAACAGGGAGCGAACCAAGCGTCTTCAGCAGGTAACGGGCGTGCTGCTGCACCAGCACGTCGAACGTGCCTTCGTACGTATTCGCGCCGACAATTTCGGCGAATAGGTGGGCCAGATTGCTCGACTGAGTGAAGCCGTGGCCCCCACATAAGCGACGGCACGTCTCAACGCCGTCGCTCACTCGCTCTGCCAGCCAGGCCTTCAGACCAGAGGACACAGCGTGGAGCTCTGCCAGTTTGGCTCCGAATGAAGACCCACCGCTCTTGATTATATCAACGGCAGAGTCGTGCATCTCCACCAGAGACGTACCGGCAAAGTGCGCGGCGTACGAGATTGCGATGAGCGGGAACAGTTTGTGCTGCTGGTTCTGATAGTCCAGCACCTGGAACTCGCCCTTGTTGTCCGGAGTACGCCCCTGGATACGAGCGGCACTGAATCGAGTGCAGATAGTGCTAGCTGCCCCCAGCTGTAGACCTGCAGTCTTGATCATGTACGCTCGAACCTGCACCATCGTCAAGTACACCAGCTTGTCGCTCTTGGGCTTTACAAAAGTCCCATCAGGCAGCACCTTGGCGTACCGCATCATCATGTTCTCACGGGGGGTACGGATCTTGTGGAACGCGCAGTAGCCGTTGTCGATGGCATTGAATCCAACCTTGGGCCCAATGTCGCCGACCTCAATGCCCGGCAGAGGCTGGTGGTCCTCCAGCGACCGGAGCTGCACCAGGAACGCCTGCACGCCCACGTCCTTCCCGTCCAGGAACAGCCGCGCGTGCACGATGGCGTGGTTGGCCGTCTTGCCCAGACCGCCGGGCCACCACTTGCGGCTCGTGAGCGTGGGCGAGTCGATGACGAACTCCTGCGTGACCTTGTCGTACGTGGCGACGGTCTCGATGCCCTGCACGTTGGAGCCGTGGCCGAGCTCTGTCTGCGCGTAGGCGCCGAGGATCTTGTAGCTCTTGGCCAGCGGTAGCCATTTGGCGCGCTGCGCGTCGTCGCCCTGGTTCTCCAGCGTCGGCACGAACATGGCTCGGTGCACGTCGAAGCCCAGCGGCTCGGCCAACGCCTTGTACAGGATCTGCTGGTCCACGGGGTCCGTGTAGCCGCCTTCTTGCAGCAGCTTGACGTAGTGGAAGGCCTTCTTCAACCCGAACTCGTAGCGCTGCGTGTGGTTGCGGAACATCATGTCGCGGTCCGAGAGCACGGGATGGTCCTCGATGACCTTGACCAGCTGCTTGCGCCGGTCGTTGGCGGCTTTGCCGTCGCGCAGGACGTCGGTGAGCACGGCCGGGTCGATGTCCCCATTGGCGCGCTCCTTCTTGAGCAGCAGCGGCGCCAGGTCCTTGAGCTCCACGGCCATGACTGTGACGGACTTGGTCAGCTGGCGGTGAATTGGCAAGTGAGAGAGTGAGTGCACGACGGCAGTTGAAGCACGGAGCAGTGTGGACCACAAAAGTGTCGACGTCATCGTCGACGTCGACACTTTTGTGGCCCACGCGACGAACCTCACACAAGCGATATGTCAGCTGTATGAAGTAATACAGGTTTTCCACGGCTCCAGTGGCCTCCTTCACGTCCGTCAGCCAAGAGGAGCGACGCCAAGCCAAAAGGAAGGAAGGAAAGATGTTCCGCTCCCCGCAGCCGGGCGACTGGGCCGCCGAAGACGAGGACACGGCGCCCCTCCCCACGCCCACGCAGGCACGCGAGCCGGCAGCTCCAGCGCCTGCGCCCGTCTCAGCAGCCCCCGCCGCGTCTAGATCGCAGGACGCGCGCGGCGGAGGCGGACGCTTCGACCGCAGCAACAGCGGTGGCGGCGGCGGCGCGGGAGGACGCTTCGATCGCGACAGAGACTACGAGCGAGGAGGACGCTTCGACAGGGACAATGGAGGAGGACGCTTCGAGCGCGACCGCGACTATGGAGGAGGAGGAGGCGGTGGACGCTTTGACCGCGGCGGAGGCGGACGCTACGACCGCGACAGGGACTACGACCGCTACGACCGAGGCGGAGGCGGCCGCTTTGAGCGCGACAATGGTGGACGATATGAACGCGACAACGGAGGACGCTACGAAGGCGGAGGACGCGCCGACGCCGCGCGCTGGGGACACAACGCCGACCGCCGCGGCGGCGGCGGCTCGGGCGCGCGCGAGCTGCCCGTAAAGCAGGGCTTCGTGGTGTCCATCAAGGAGAACTTCGGCTTCGTGAGCTGCCTGGAGCGGGACGGGGACCTGTTCTTCCACATCTCGGAGGCGCCCGTGGACGTGCAGCTGCAGGACGAGGTCGAGTTCCGCGTCAAGTACAACCAGCGCTCGGACAAGGAGATGGCCTGCCAGCTGGTGGCGCTGCCCAAGGGCACGATCAAGGTGGAGGAGGTCTCGGACGAGCTCTTCGACGGCGTCGTGACCAAGAGCCTGCCGCGCGGAGGCCACGGCGGCGGCCGCGGGTTCTTCAACAACCGGGACGACGACCGCCACCAGCGCGAGGAGCATGGACTCATTGAGGTGAAGAAGGCGCCCGAGCAGGGAGAGGACGCGAAGGCCGAGGAGACAGCAGCGACAGGCGATGAGGAGCAGACACAAGAGGAGGCTGACGCGTCGCCCAAGAAGACGCTGGCCAGGCGCGAGTTCGTGCGCTTCAACAGCGAGAGCGTTGCGGTGATTGAAGAGAAGGACGACCAGGAGCAGACTGGCCGACCCAAGAAGAATCCGATCCCGCACTTTGGCGACGAGGTGCGCTTCCGCATTGCCAAGCACCGCAAGACCGGAGCGAAGCGCGCGGTGGACATCATCATCACGGTTTCTGCCCGGGAAAAGCTGGAGAAGGAGATCGAGGCCAAGTTGGAGACGATGACGCGTGAGACGGGCGTGGTGGACCGGGTGAAGAACGGTGGTGGCTTCATCAAGTGCTGCGACCGACCTGTGGACGTTTACTTCCCCTTCCATGAAATCCGTGAGCCAGAAGAGGGCGACAACAGCGACACCAAGGACGGTGAGCAGAGTGAGACCTCTGAGAAGTCCCGCCGTGGCCGGCAAGGTAAGGGACCGACTCTCCGCGAGGGTGATGAAGTGTCTTTCTTTGTGTACGAGGACCAGGAGGATGACTCAGCTCGTTCGCGCCCTCGCTTGACTGCGCTCCGCGTGCAGAAGCTCCCCCCCGGCTCAGTTTCTTTCGAGGAGCTCGTCCGTGCTGACGTCGAGGGCCTCGTGTCGAAGCTGCCAAAGGAACCTCGCAACGGCCCCGAGGTCATTGGCTCGATCACTGTTGCGTCGGTCGAGCCAAGTGATGGTGAGAAGTCTGAGGAAGCAAAGGACGCCGCGATTGAGACGACGCCCGAGAGTGAAGGAAAGCCATCTAAGAAGAAGAAGGGCAACAATGGCAAGGCCAAGAAGCAGAAGGTTTCCTTCCGTCTTTGTGATACGGAGGACATGAGCTACGTTCCCCACATCGACGACAAGGTCGTCTTTGATGAAGTGCTGGACAAGCGCACTGGTAAGATGAAGGCCGTCAAGGTTCGCGTGGTGCAACTGAACCCGAAGAACCGCGAGACTGGCACAATTAATGCCATGAAGGAGGACTTTGGATTTATCAAGTGCGCTGAACGCTCGGGCGACGCGTACTTCCGCTTCTCAGATGTCATGGGCATAAGCCGGAGCTACAACAACGGCACGGAGGTGGCGTTTGATGTTCAAGTGGATAACAAATCCGACCACATCCGCGCAACGCGATTGCAGATTTTGCCTCGCGGAACTGTCAAGTGGGAGGATGTTGCCGCTGAAGGCCTGGAGGGAAAGGTTGTTGCCGTGCCCAGCTCGCAGAGAGGACACCAGTCAAACCGCGGCGGTCGTGGAGACAAGATGAAGCAGCTGCAGAAGTTTGTGCATGGAAAGATTAGTTGTATCACTCCGCAGAAGCAGCACTTGATTGACTTCCTGCCGGAGTTGAAGGAGAAGGTTGACGCGGCGTTTATTACTTCAGAGGACGTTGTGGAGGCGCCTGAAAAGATTGCCGAGGGCAAAGAAGGAGATAAGGAGGGCGAGGAAGCTGACAGCAAGGCTGAGATCCGGATCTCGTTCCCCAGCGCTCTGTCCAAGTTTGAGCGTGCTGCTATCCATGAATACAGTGACTGGCTTGGACTGAAACACGAAAGCAGCGGCGAAGGATCTCAACGTCGGCTTGAACTGGTCGGCACCGAGAAGATTTCGCTAAAGACCGTGGAAGACAAGCTTGCGAAGTCTGCTCCTGAGCTTACGGTGGAGTTTAAGGAAGACGATGTGGATGACGTGCGATACAATCCACACGTGGGAGACCGCGTCAAGTTTGATTTGGTATTGGTCAAGCGAACTAAGCAGTTCCAGTGTAAATCCATATCGTGCGTGGAAGCTGTCTCCACCAAGAGCAAGCCTGCAGCCATCACAAAGAGCGATGCGGCCAAGGGCGAGGGATTCATTGTGTCGGTGAAGCCAGAGGGTTTTGGTTTTATCCAGCCTGCTCAAACTGTACCTGGATCCCTGGAAGAAAACCTGTTTTTCCACATCAAGGAGGTCATGACGGGGCAGACATTGGCCGAGTTGAAGGAAGGAACCGAGGTCCAGTACACCATCTTTGTTGACGAGAAGAAGACGAAGAAGCGTGCGATGGCCATCTCCGTCGTGCCAGCGGGGACTATCAAGAAGGTAGTGCCCGAGAGCATCAAGGGTGTTGTCACGAAAGTTAGCTTCCTGCACCGGATGAAGAGCGGGCCGAAGGGGCGCTTCGCCAAGGCAAACCCTAAGACAAGTACTCTCGGACGAATTCGCATGGCCATTGACGCTGATGACGATGACGATGCTGACGCGGAGGGAGACAGCGATGACGAGGAAAATGAAGAGGATAACACGGAGGAGGTCAAGAGCGGTGACACTGAGACCGAGTCGAAGGACGCCACTGCCTCTGACGAGACGAAAACGACGGAGAAGAAGGACACGGCGCAGAAGAAGTCGAGCAAACAGATTTATCTGTACAACATCCGTGACATCGCAGACCCGACTGTGGTGCTGCGTGAGGGCGACGAGGTGGAGTTCATCCCCCAGGTGACGCCGAAGAATCTACGCGCAGCCAACATTCGTCTCATTCAGTCGCATGCTAAGCAAGGAGTGGTGACTCGCGTGGCCGATGATCTCGGGGGTATCATTCGCCTAGACGGCGACGATAATGATCCAGCAATTGAGGCTTCTTACACGGCTCGCAATGTGCTGCGTGGCGATATTCTGAGCGAGGGCGACCGTGTTGAGTTTGCGTACCGAGCACCGCCCGCCGCCAAGCCCAACAACAAGGTGTCGAAGAAGAACGTGGCCGATGATAAGGGTTCTGAAGAGGAAGAAAAGGAGAAGGTCGAAGGTGAAGAAGGGGCTGCCAAGGATTCCGCTGAATCTACCGCCGAGGAGCCTATCCTAGGCCGTGCCACGAGTGTTCTGCGCCTTTCGTCTTCGCCGAACCCCCAGGCAAGTTCTAAACGCCGCGGCTCTCGATCTGTCAACTCCACGCTGAAGGAGGCTATGCGTCAGGTTGGAGCCAACGCTATGGTTGCGTCTCGCATGGCGAAGGGGCCGGATGGAACGCGGGGCTTTGCTGAAGGATGGAACTCGTCGTCGCAGAGCAAGGAGAGCTCTACCACTACTACAGGCACCACCACTACTACCGTCACAACGACGACGACGATTAGCTCGGAGACGAGCGAGGCGTAAGTGAGAAGACGCGTGACTTCCATCACCACGTTCCATCGTGAGTTTCTTGACAGGCGGGCTTACCCTCCATGTATCTGTAGGTGCTAGGCATGTAAGGAAAGCTGTCGGTTTGGCAGGCATGCTTGCATTCCTGTTTATAGTAAGCCGACCGGGATCACTAACAAGATGAATAGATGCTTTCGAGACTTCGTTGCAGCCATACTATTAGTAAACTACTGGAGCATCTCAGTCGCGTTGCTCCGTTGAGTTGCTTAGGGGGCCGACACCCTGCAGTGGAATCTCCACTGCAGGCCGACGTCCCCGCCCTCCCAATGGATCTAATGAAGTTATTGATTAATTTAATTGGGTCTAAGCCATCACGTGCAGATCGGTGCAGCTTCCGATCCGACATCACATCTTCGATTAGGAACACTATTATTATAGAACTGCATGAAGAACTCGTCATTGCATGTTTAGAGATACCCTTCCGCATATAAATAGAGATCTGTTCAGCGCCTTTTGGCCGGCTTCAAACGGAGTCGTCTTCACGAAAAAATGTCCGGACAAAGATTTTGGTCGAGAAAATAGCGACCTGATCGCAACTTTTTGCTAAGTATGTTTTTAGAATCGGTGCTGGTATACTCGAGGTGTACCTCTACGTATAAGGGAAGGCATGCAAGCCGCACAGCGTTAAGCAAGTACTGCAGTAGTAGCAACAGCGGCTAAGATTGGGCCAAAAAATGACCTAGCTGTTCGACATTTTGTTTCTTAGCCGGTAGGCGGTGAAACTTTGCAAGAGCCGACCACATGAACACTTCAAATACTGTGTAGACTCTATTGTAAGCACTACCAACTCGATAGAGCGTTACTGGGTCACTGATTTACTCCCAAAGTCGGAATCCCTACAATTTCGTCATGGGTACAAGGTACCAATCGACTTTCCGCACTAACTTAATTGCTGTTGCTTCTGGGGGTCCGTGGCTAGTCACTTGTATTTCATTGTGCCATTTAGAGCTCTTTAGAATCAATTGCATTGCTTTGGAAAGCGAAAACGTCTTATCTACAACTATTGTTTTTGTGCCCACACGTGGGATTTGGACCGAGCCCACGGTGGGCTTTGAGGCTGGGTAATAAAGATTAAATAAACTGTAGGAGACTCAGTCTGACGCTCCCGTATATAAGCTTGCTGACCGTGTTCCCTCCGCTCTAAATCATGGTACGAACGTATGCGACGAGGCGTTTAGTCACATCATCATAGCCGATAAACTGTAGCATTTTAGCTAAAGCTCCACCCGTCGCCCTGTTGCTGAGCCAAATTAGCATTTCTCTGTTTGGAAAGTGCCCTCTAAATCGTGTAACTCCGATTTAATGACATATGATCACTAAATTCCGCATCTTTATGCAGTGAAATCTCAGATCCTATCCTTGTCACAATTCTAGAAACATCAGTAAGCACAGGATTTTTTGGTCAAAAATGGCCCTGGGCGACTCAATCAGAATGTCAGCCCTAGCCCGTTCCTTCTAAACTGATATCAGGTAAGTAAATGCGGGTATGGACCCTTGAAAAAGCTAAGTACAAGTGAGTGCATCAATCTAAGGGGGGACTTCGTCCCCAACTAGTACAGTCAAACCTGTTTATATGGTCCTCTAAATGAGCCCCACCGTTTAAATGATTCAGTTTTTCGCGTAGCCAAAACTTTGACTTACTTTTTGTATGGTGTCAGCTTATATGCAAACAAGGTATATGAGTCACTTTTTTGGGAACCAAAATGAGTCTAACCTGTTTATATGACTCAAAGTTCTCCAGATAAAACACTTCGAAATCCTTAAAAGCACTCTCTGCGACCACCATTGAGTATTAAGCACATACAAAACGATAAACAAAGTTGAGAGTCACCATTGCTCAAATAAAACTGCACATGACGATTTTCATGGACCATGGTCATGGTATCGAGTTGCTGTATTCGACCTTTGCCACGGTGCACTTATCATACCAGGCTAACTATCCATTCTATTTGAGCCACTATATTATGTATAATCTATTGTCTAACCTTTTGTCGCCAGGTCGAGCGCGTACGGGTAGCATGGGTACAATCTTACCCGCATGCGCGGCCTTCAATAGTTTTATATGAAAGTTTGTATCAAATTCCATATACCCATCAAAAACAATACAGGGATAGAAGATCTGAGATTTGACGATCTTAGCCTACATTTCTTAGGTATTTTGGGAAAACTTCGCTCACCGCTTTTGATGCAATCCTAGCTCAAATCGAGTACCTGAAAGATGTTTCGAGCTCTCCAAGCAATTCTTTTTCTACCTTACTAACCGGTTTGCCCATGGCACCTCTGTGTCGCTTAATACAAAAAATGGTGATTTTTTCGATTTGATCAACTTCTGACTGTATTTTCAACACGATGCATTGCTCAAATTGAGCCGGGAAATAGTTTCTAAACGTACCAGGCATTCTTCATTCCATTCATCTAATTTGCTTGTCAATCAGAGCTCTGTAGCGCTCAAACTTGAGCCGACGCGTGCGCGCGGAAGACTCAGTATCCTACCCCTGAAGACAAAAGGTAAAACAAAAGCACACCCACTAACATCACGGCCTATAATTTTTTTTAAAAATGCACGGAGCTACGCAGTTTAAAAAAACGTAGAGGCGGTTTTTATCGGACTTAAACGGATACTATAGTCAATGCTAGTGTGCCGCGGCGATTGCGCGGTGTTTGATTGAACCAATCACCCATCGAAATTGTTGAGCAGAACCTATAATAATGGAGCACCCCAGTAGGGTTGCTCCGTTGCGTTACATAGCCTCCCATTTTTTGTCCTTGAATCAAGGACAAAAATCCGCTTAAGTACGCTGTGATTTTGGTGGTTTAGGCCTAGAACCGGCAAAAAGGACCAAAAGTGACTTGGCGTTTGTATATCCGGGTAAGTACGAGAGTGGCATGTGTAACAAGCACAATAGTGGTTGTCAGACTTGAATGCAAGCCGTGGATGCAAGTAGGAGCATTAGCCAATGACAGGATGCAAACTTTGACTACGTTTCCAAGCTCGCTGGATCCAATCAGGCAAAAGGTCAGGGGACCTTTCGCCTAACCAATCAGGTGGACCTTTCGCCTAACCAATCAGGTGGACCTTCGCCTCAGTCAAAAAGGTGTCAACTCGTACTCGCAAGATTAGCGCAGTTCGCCCTGCAGCACTAGATGGTTGCTGCCCCGCCACTTGCTGTAATCTGACTCCGAGGAGAGCCAATCCAGGACGGCCTGCAGAGATGACTTGCCGTCGGTGGCCGCATCGTGGTCTCAGAAGACCGGCTTCTTCTTGGTCTTCGCGCTTAGTTCGCTTGTCGCGACGAGATCTTCGTGCTGTTATTTTGTGTGTCGCACACTCCTTGGACTCCAAGCAATCTCCTGGGAAGAGAAAGCTGGGGTAAGATCTCTTGTAATGCGGGGGAATTTTATCCAATAAGATGATGAGATTCTTCTTGGAAAGCGGCTTGCATCCAACTCTGACAACCACTAATGACTGTTCGAACCGAGGCCACACACTGAACGCAAGTCACTCTCAGACATTTTTCCTAGAATCAAGGACAACACGGAAAATGTGATATGTTATTAATGACACTTTGTATATAGCTTTTTTGGGATGATGAACAATGATGGACAGTACCCGACACACAATTTATAGGGGTAATCTAGGGCTTTCTTCAGTAGGAGTAAGATAGCGTATCTCTCAAACCTCCGGTCAGGGTTAGCTTCAAGTTTTTGGTCCTTTATTTTGGCCTTGATTAAGAGGCTGTTAGGGTTAGGGGCCGACACCCTGCAGTAGAGTCTCCACTACAAGCCGGCGTCCCCGCTCGTAATAGAAATACCATGATCCTGTTTTGTAGTGTAGTGATCCAAACTTAGAGTCTCAGATTAACCCTTCAGGTCATCGAACCAATAAACATTTAGTAACACTGGTGGGGCTGCACGATAAAGTCATCATTATCGGAAGTTTCAGAGGGACGCCGTCCCAGCCTCGTCCCCACCCGTCCCTCGCCTGTCAGTCTGATACATGGAATATCTGAAGTGACTACTACCAAATAAAGTCATGTATCATCACACACAAAAACACAAATTCACAGTTTCTTTAGGGTAAAATGCCAATCATGGTACAGTTTGGATGGTCCCAGAAACTGGGCAAATCTACTGCACCACTCAAAAGGAACGTACGAATCGTACACCATTTAAAATAGGAGATAAAGGCCATTCTGGTGAATATATATGTGGGCTCCGCTTTGAGTTCGAGCCGATAACAATCGGCGGCCAACGTTGATAGAGTTCTACAGATAAAAATACAGGACCAGTTCGTGGCACGGTCCATCCAAAATTAAGTAATTTCAAATTACCTGGATCTTTTTTTACGTTTGGACCACACCGTTTTTTTGCTAAAAATAAACCGAAACCAAGTCAAAAACCGTGCCAAAAATTGGCACCGTACCAGGATTGGCACTTTACCTTAGAATACATTCCCACAAACCCCATTTTACAGAAGCCAACAGCCAGCGAGACAGGGACACGAGCTGCAGGACGGCGATGTTGGAATGCATATTCAAATTGAGGACCTAGTTCACCGGATGTTGAGAAGAGAGCTGAGACGTAGGAGAGACCAGGTCGTAGTATGAGAACGGGCTTGAACCCGTTTGTGTTGGTAGGGACTCGAGGTGGGAGCTGCTAACACCAAAAACTAATTCAGTCTTCAATTTATCCACAAGGTAGCACTTGACGTGGCTCCGATCTACATCGCAACAGGGTTCTGTAGCCCAAGTCTCGCGGAGGTGCCAAGATGCCGAAACCGACGATGGACGCGTCCTGGGAAGTCGAGGTCTCTGAGAAGACCGGTCGGCCCATTCGCTGGAACGGACAGAACTTCCAGTACTACAAGAAGCTCACGGAGATCGCTGCACGAAAGAAGAGCTTAGAGCTGTTCAAGGTGATGACAGGTGTAAAGAAGTACGATGAGAACTTCACGACCCTGCAGAAGGAAGCCTGGGAGGGCTGACAGCTCGATCTACAAGAGCAGATCTTCTAGTCCGTGTGCACGGACATGGTCCAGGAGCTCATGGCGTTGAAGGATGGCTCGGCCATGTGGAAGTACCTGTGTGACCGGTACGAGGGCACGGCCAACGAGCAGACCAAAGCCATGCCGAAGCGGCAGCTGTACGACCAGCTGGAGTCGGCGAAGTACAAGCGGAATGGCAGCATTAAGGGGCATCCCAACTACATGTGCCGGCTAAAAGGGAGACTCAAGACGGTCGGGATGACCTTGGACGACGCCGTATTCAGGGGGATGCTGTCGTCGTCGCTTCCCTCCAACGAGCGATTTGATCGCTTACGAGGTTTTGTTGATGCGGGAATGGACTACGTGAACACGCCAGAAAAGGTGGTGGCACTGACCATCACGTTCGACAAGGCGAACCAGGCAAAGCCTCAGGTGGCAACGAGCATGGACGGTCGAAAGGGCACGGAAAGGCGCGTGCGTGTTTTGTGTGCGGCAGCGCAGGCGGCCTGCCCGGAGAAGACGATCAAGCAGGGTGGCGGTGGCAACAACGAGCAGAAGCTCTAGCGACGCGGCAACTGCGCGCTGCGTCGAGATGAAGGCGAGCCGTCACGCCCAGCACTCAATGATGAGGACGTTGCCGATGAAGGTGCTGTCGCAGGCGTTGCAACAGCTGCGGGACAGGGCGCCCCAAAAGAAGATGCTCTGGATGATGAACATGCAGCGGAAGCTGCTGGTGCGAGTCTGCAGAGCTAAGACCAAGGAGATTCCGACACCTGCAACGCGTGGTGGTACTTTGATACTGTCTCAAACTCACACGTGAGACGTTTGTACGTCGTCTCGTTCACCGAGGACACCTCGGTCATGAGGAGTGTCCGCGGCTTGTCGCCAAGATTTGCCTCGCGTATTGCTGGAGTGGGCACAATGCGTTAGTAAATGCGGTCGATGGAGAGCAAGTTGTCATGTATGTGGACGACGTCTTCTACGTACCAGATGCCAAGTATGGCCTATCCTCGCCAGGCTTGGCGTATGTGCAAGGCTTCGAGTTTGATTTTGACCCAGCGACTCGTAACTCCTCGATTTCTAGAGAAGGGCGACGTGTGGTCGTGGCGACGCCCTAAGAAGCGACTTGGGCAGTCCAGGTCACTCACCCGTCTCGCGGCAACTTCGTGGGGCCTGAGGGTCGCCCGTTGTGCAGCTACACGATGGCGCAAGGAGTCGGCTCTCTGAAGCTCTGACACGAGCGACTGTGCCATACTTGCCGACAGTATCTCAAGACGATGGTCAACAAGGAGCTGGTGCGCGGCATGCTGCTGACGCAGCGGCAGCAGGACACGTGCGACGCGTGCCACTTGGGCAAGCAGAAGAAGCAGAAGCACCGCAAGAAGCTGGATCGAGCGATCAAAGAGCCGAATCAGGTGGTCTATGCAGACTTGCTCTTCCCAAGCATGTCGGATGGGACTCAGTACGAGGCCATCCTGGTGATAATGGACGGGTACTCACGTTTGGTTACCGTGCAGCTGCTGAAAAGCAAGGCAAGCGAGGTCGTGAACAAGCATCTGAAAGAGTACGGATAAGGGCGGCGAGTCTGTCAACGAGGCGATGGAGGAGTGGGACAGATCGCGTTGTATCGAGCACGTCCAAGGCGGACCAAAGAGCTCGCAGTTAAATCTCTGCGAGAGAACACACCAGTCGCTGGTGGCGATGACCAAGACCACCACGGAGCAAGCTGGCTTCCCTCGTAGTCTTTAGCCGGAGTCCATGCGAAACACAGTCTACGTCAAGAATCGCGTGTACAACAGGAGGACCCAGCGTGTTCCTTACGAGATGTTTTTCGGCGCGAAGCCGGACGTGCACCGCATCCGCAAGCTTGCGTTTTTGCATGTGTCCGTGACTCCGGGGCGACGCAAGCCCCACAACAACGTCAAGATCGGATACGTGCTGGGGTACGACGAGAACGTTGTGGACTGTAAAGTCGACTTTCCTACAGAACACACTGCCAAGTTCGTGTCTGACCTTCGCGTGGCTGAGGACATCATGTATCGTGACCGCCATGATGGCGACAGCGAGGAGGACGACTAGTCTTCGCTGCACTTCACGGCAGAAGCCGGAGAAGATCAAGTCGACCTTGCCTCCAGTGTCGCACATGCAGAGATGATGACGGCTGTGGCGTCATTTGTCGGCGAGAATAACGGATTTGCGCCCGTCGAGCTCGACGAGGACGAAGCTGACGCCCTGGAGGATGGCGAAGAAGGTGAAGAGGTGAGGGCAGCCGAGGCTGAGGACGAAGAGGAAGTCGGCCCACGGGACGCAGGCTGTGAACTTCGGGAGGCCCGAGCCATCGGTGAAGACGAGAACTTCGACGATGAAAAAGAAGCAACATTGGCCGCAACTCGTGGGACCCTCAGCCAGGATGGCAGAGATGCATGTACAAGCCTACCTGCTACTACTACCGAACGAGAAGAAGTAGTTTCGGACGCTGTTCCTAGTGAGAGCGCTGAAGTGGAGACATTGACGGGTACGTTCGGTTCGTCCGTGGCAGAAGACAAGCTCGAAGATGCTGAGATTGAAGCTGACTCTGATGAGGAGGAGATTACTGTGGCGGGTGTTTTTGCCTCAGACGAACATGAGGTAGACGCAAATGTGTCTAACACTTCCGGGCTGGAGGATGATAATTGTGGGCTCAAGATAGCAGATTCGGCGGGCTTGAGTCGCGTGATCGAAGGTGGAAGCGGTCATGATGATGTAGTCGATGCAAGTATGATGTTCTCACCGGCTCCAGCCCAGACACGAAAGCGCACGCATCGTGACAAGACTCTGACCGAAGAAGAACGCGTCGAGCGTGGCGCTGCAAAGCCTGAAGCGTAAACGACTCGCACTGGGCTCCGCGAGTACCAAGAGCGCCGGCGACCTCGATGTCTGGACGACTACGTGACGAATCTCACGCTGAACAACGCTCGTGTGCTGGACAAGAATGACCAGCCCATTCGAGCAAGAGAAGTCAAAATCCCTCGCAATCGCAGAGAGATGCTGCGCTCGAAGTGGCGGGATTTCTTCCTGATGAGTGAAATGGAGGAGATAGCTGCACTCAAAGCCAAATGTGTCATTATGGAGATTCCTGGAGAGGAAGTTCCAGCGGATGCTCAGCCTGTGAATACCATGTGGGTGCTGAAATTGGATCACCTTGGCTACGTAGTTCGATTCAAGGCGCGCATTGTAGCTCTGGGGAATTACCAGCCCTCTGGTATCGATTATCGCGAGACCTTTGCGCCAGTGGCGAGGATGTCCTCTTTCAGACTGCTAATGGCGATTGCTGCAGAGCTGGGGCTAGTCGTGTACGCCGGAGATATCAATACAGCGTATTTGAACGCGTGGCTGGCAATACGGCAGTTCCTGCGCTTCATCGACGGATACCCGCGTAAGGTGAATGGTGCAGCAGGGCTGCCGTAACTTTAGCGTCAGAGGAAGACGTAACAGACTCGCAGAGTCTTAGCTTAAGATAGCCTGTTCTAATACCAGAACGTACGAGTCCGTACTCCTTACGGACTCCAAGAGTCAACCCTTAACTCTCAACTGTGTGAATCTCGAACTGAATGTATTTCTCTTTAGCGCGGCCAAGCCGCCTACGGTGTAAATGTATCCGGTTCACTATCTAGCATAGTGAACCCTAGTCATATGCATAATCAGTGGCTCTGAAGACGTGTACGGATTCTCCTACTGATTTAGGTTAGACAGTGTGTACCCACTTCCTAACCCTTCGGGTAACTCTCGTGTAACCCCGTTACACCCTTCCCCACCAAACCGTGGACACGGGTGTTCACGCTTAACGGTCAACCTCCGGGTCTTGTTCCGTCAAGCCTCCTTCTCGAACGAGTCAATCCACGTCGCGTGGACTTTTCTGAGAACTTCTCGGCGCAACGCGCCCTCACATGACTTCAAGTCATAAAGCCGTTTGGTCTTTCGACCGCAGACAGCCTCTCGCGAGATCCGCCTCGGAGCCTCGCTCCTCTCGTGCTGCTGCACTGCGTGCCTCCGCACCTTCGCGAACGCAGGCGCCCGCGCGCACACCCTCGACGCCTTCCAGGCTCTCGGTGTCCGAGTACTTCGCGGCGCACCGCCAGAAGCCCTAGCTCCCCTCGAGCATCAACCCACCAGATCATGGATCCTAGGGAACTCTTTGGTGAAGAGGGCGAGGTGGACGAGTCCATGCTGGGTTCTCCGAACCGAGGAGATGCGTCCCCAGCCACGCAACGCTCCCCGAGCCGCCGCGACGCTTCGCCCACGCCGTCGACACGCCGTGAAGAAGGCTCGCCAGCCCCAGTTGGCTCTCCGAGCCGTCGCGACCAAGAGCCGTCCACCTACAGAGTGCGCTGCGCCGTCGAGGGAGGAGCCGCGGCCACCGCTGCGAACTCCGAACCCGTTCCCTGAACGCTCCTCCGGTCTCTACGAGCTGCGCGCGCTGATTGAGCCACGGTATTCGCCGCCTCGTGATGAGGACGTGCCCCTGAGCCCCGTCATCTCCAACCCTTTGGCCGAAGCTCAGTGCGAGCTGGTTGCGGCGCAGATGGCTCCCATGCGCTCCCAGCGCCCCGAGCTGCGGCCTCTGCTGAACCCCAGCACTGCCGACTGCGGCTTCCGGCCTCGCGACCCCGCGGAGGCTTGTCGCCGAGCGTTCCAGCAGTCTCTCACGCTGCACGCCATTGGGCCCTCGGCCCGTACTCCGGAGGAGCTCACACTGCGTACGTCTCTGCGAGAGCGACTCCTCACTCCACTGTCTACGACTGTCGCGGAGTATCGCGAAAGGCTGCGGCTGCAAGCCCAGCAGAAGTCCGTGCCCGCCATGCGGACGTACCCGGTGGTACTTAGCCCGGGGAAAGACTCATTTGAGTACGAAGCTCAGTTCGAGTCTTGGGCCGAGCACAGCCGGAAGCTTGGCTCCATGGATGCTCTCCGAGCCAGCTTCAGTGAAGTGGATGTTCGCATTGAACGCAAGCTCCGCTTCGATTTTGCGAAGGTCCGAGCCAAGCGCAGCCTCTCGGCGCTCGCCCAGCCGCAGACCCAGTTTAGCGCTGCGCGCTTCGCTCCTTCGAGCACTCCAGCCGCTCCTTCCCGCGAGGGAGTGAGCGCTGTGGCTCAGGGTCAGCCTCGGAGCAATGTGGCTGACCCAGCAGCTCCCCAGCTTATTGCCGGGAAGCGCGGGACGACCGGCGTGCCGGCTTTGAGTCCTCGGGGAGCTGGTGATCAAGCTGATCAAAAGTGTCCACGACGTCTGGGCAATCTTGGCGGAGGGGCACCTCAAACTCCCATGAGTTCTCGGAGTGAGGGTACCCTCGCCACTTCACAAGATACTGGTTTTGACCCCGGCACCGCCGCTTCGCCAGGAGGCGCTCCACATGGTAATGTAGATCCCCATGCTCATCGAGCAGAGCCGGTGGAGGCCGCTGTGGGGCCCTATGCGACTCAAGGTGAGCTCTTGGAGGCGCGGCAGCAGGCGGGTCGCCTTCGGGATCATATCCATGACGTTGATGCGCGTCTGGGCCGGACTGCCACCGAACTCGACGAGCTCG